TATATGCAATGTATACATAATGTTATGTATATGTATATGAATATGTATATACATATATGTATGTACGCTCGTACATTTTTTATATTGTATATGTGCATGTGTCCCACCGTACGTCAATTTTTCGCTTATTTTTTTTCTTTCTCAATTCCCAATGTGCATTGCATAACATCAGACTTTGTTCAGAACAAGGCGGACTTCAATTTCCTTATTATTTTTAATCCTCCCCAGTAGAGAAAACCTATCTTTTCTATAGAAGAATTTCTCATTTTTCAGATTACATTTGTTGTGCATAAACCTATTTATTGATTCATCTGAACACTGCGAGTTCTCATTTGAACATTGTCTATATCCGTTTAATACAGTTGTGGGCATTTTCTTCTGCACACGATTCCCACGTATTTGTATATCGCTCATCTTCCCAGAAGAGCTGTAGCACGTAGTATCATTTTTAATAGTCTTTGTGTTCATGTTTGTGTTCGTGTTTGTGTTCGTGCTTGTGTTCGTGTTTGTGTTTGTGTTCGTGTTTGTATTTGTGTTTGAAGGAATCATTTTTATGTTCGCTTTTCTCTGGTTCAGTTCATATGCATCTTCTCTCTTCTCGTTATGAAGGAATATTTTGTTGGGAATCTGGCTTGGATTATGTTGTAATTTTTTAATTGTCTCTTTATTTCTACTTACAATGATTCTAGGATCCGCTTTAACAGAATGATGGTTCCTCTCGTTTGACAAGTTCTTTAGATCATAGTAGGAACCGTTAACTAATATACTGTAATTACCTGATGTGTTTCTACCTGTAGTTTTGTTGCGAATTCCATTTTCATTTCTTCTACGTGAGGGGTGGTGCAAGTGTTTATTCTTGGACACAGTAATGTTCCCATTTTTTATACCTTCAAGAATAATTTTTTTCCACAAATTATAAGATAAATCTTTTTTTTTAATTTTAGAATGATTCTTTACATTATGAACAGTGGGTGTGTGTAACTTGGAATTGTAATAATAATGTGAAGGATGGTAACCACCATCATTCAAGTCATTCTTCATATATTTGCAAACATAGCTTGGAGTGTATTTTTTTATCAGGTTCCTATTATTATAAGCATTTCTAAGATTGTTAATGTTTCCATTTTTTCTTTGGGAGTGTATGTAAGCAGCATATGTTCTAAGGTATGTTCGAATAATATCTTCCTTAATTTTGTTTGATGCATTATCCATAAGCAACGGAAATGCTTCTCTATATCTGGGGATTTTATTTAAAATAATATATCTCTCTCTATTAAATTTAGCTTTATTACTAATCATATTGCTTTGGAACAGCCTTTTTCTTGTCAATTGATCATATTCTTTCATTTTGTTTCTTAAGCAATGAGCTCTTTTCCATCTTTTTTTGTCTTGTTCATTATTTATGCTCTCCGGAAGTTTCACATATTCGTGTATTTTTAAAACATCGTCTATGTAATTCCTACATTGTAACTCGAAATTATCAATGTTGTTTACAGAAAAATCCCTGTTCCCCTCATTGCTGTTGCCAGTGCGGTTAATGTGGTTAACCTTTCTAGTTTCGCTCATTTCATTCAGGTTTTTGTCGATACTGTTGTAGTTCTTGTTGCTAATTTCCACATTGCTACTATTCTTGTGGCCTTTTTTATCTTTTGACACAATTTTTATTGCACCATTTACATTTCTACATACACCTGTGACAAGCGTATCTTTTCTCTTTTTGTCCACGTTCTTTTCTCGTATCTGTTGCATTTGGAATTTCTTTCTTTTTTCCTTCTTATTCTACTACTGCTATGGGGGTGGTTTGGCTAGCTAGCGCATAGATACATGAACAAACACTCACACGCACATGTAAACATGCAGAAAGCATGTAAATTAACATATGGTTCAAGTAAATGAAATTACTTCTTCATATGTTTTGGGGAAATTGTAGATGGGATTGGTTCCAAACCGTACGAGATCAATATATTTGTTTGCAACGTGCAAATGTGAAGTGATAAAAAAAAAAAGGCGTCTACTAAAATATACGTAATTATATACACTCGTGGATGGGTTTATTTTATCATTGTGGTCGTGGCGAGAATTTTTTTTTTCTTCTTTTTCCTTATTAATGTGAGAATGCACACATGGAAGAAACTTTCCCCTTATTGTGGCATATATATTCATTCAGGAAAGTACAAAAACCTACTTTTGAGCTGATCAATATGACACTTCTCCCTTTTCTCTCTCTTCTTACCCCACAAAAATTAGTGAACAGCAATTGAGGATTTTTCTAAATGATACTAAAGTTTTCTTAAAAAAGGACGGAAGTAAGAAAAACAAAAAAAAAAAAAAAAAAAAAAAAAAAAAGACGCATATGAGTGAAATAAATGTTAAGGTATATACACAAATGAGGATGAAAATAATGACAAGGAGGAAAAACAAACATTGGAAAAAGTATACACAAAAACTAAATTGAGTTTAACAATCTTTTTTCCTTTTTTTTTTTTTTTGTTTGTAATATTTGTTTGTTAACTGTTGTTAATCTGTTTAAGGGTACCAAAAAAAAGAAAAAAATAAACGAATGAACAAAGGATGTTCTCTATAAGCAGACGGTGTGAATAATGCAAGGGTATTGAAGCGCAAAAAAAAAAAAAAAAAAAAAAAAAAAAAAAAAAAAAAAAAAAAAAAAAAAAAAAAAAAAAAAAAAAAAAAAAAAAAAAAAAAAAAAAAAAAAAAAAAAAAAAAAAAAAAAAGGGAAAAGCGGAATGTGTAAAGAAAAAAAAAAAAAAAATTAAAAACTGACAAATTAAAAAATGACAAACTAAAAAATGACAATTTCAAAATTGGAAAATTCAAAACTGGAAAATTCAAAACTGGCAAATTCAAAACTGGAAAATTCAAAACTGGCAAATTCAAAACTGGAAAATTCAAAACTGGCAAATTCAAAACTGGCAAATTCAAAACTAACAAATTCAACACTTACAACTTCAAAAATGACAACTTCAAAAATGACAACTTCAAAACTGAAAAATCCAAAAAATCAAAAACGTTCAAATATGAAAAGGAAATATGGTTAAAAACAAAAAAAAAAAAAAAAAAACATTTTCAGCCGAAATAAACACAATCGACTTTCATAGAGCTTTTATTTTAGTGACACAAATACACAACCAAAGGTTCGTTTTTGAGTTATAGTCTGCTCTGTGTAACATCATAAAAATAAAGGGAGCAGTGAGGGTGAAGGGAGGTCAAAAAAAAAAAACTAAAAAAAAAAAGAAAAAGGTACACTGAGTTTGAGCATTTTCAGAGTTTATTGATCATATCTACATCCACATGTGTGGGTCAATATGTACATGATAATAAGATTTTTCTTTTTTTCCATCTTGTGCATATTTGTTTTAAATGGAAAAAAAAAAAAAAAAAAAAGAGTAACATTAAAATAAATTTTCAAATGTGTTCGCTTTTATAAGACTTTGGCGAAAATTTTTCTTTTTTCTTTTCTTTCCCGCCTTCTCAGTTTCTTTACAAAAGCGAATGTTTCATTTTGAATTTGTCACAATAATGTGTGCTTTGAGCTGTGGAAATTCTTTTGATCACCCGAATCCACATGCATGAGTTTTATGATTGTGTTGTTACTTGGCGTTAATTTTCCTTGATTCTATTCTTCCTTTTCCTCTTTCCTCATGATTTGACCTACCTTTTTATGTTTCTGCGTTTTTTGCATTTTCTACACCTTCTACATTTGCTACACCTTCTACATTTGCTACACTTTCTACATTTTCTACATTTGCTACACTTTCTACACTTTCTACATTTTCTACATTTCCTACTTTTTTCTTTTTTTTTTTTTTTTTTGCTGGCCAAGCACCATGACCCTCGTTTTACACACCTGATGACACAAAACCTACCTGTTTAAATGAATTCACTGCACAAGCACTAGTTTTTTAAAATGCGCAAAATGCATGTTGGGAGTTTTATTTTATTTTTACATTTCTTTTTTTTTGGAAAAATTGAGAAATTTACATATTTACTTTAAAATATTCCTTTTGATTTTCTCTCTTCAATCAAGTTTTTCTCTTGTTACGAATATTTTTTTTTTTTTTTTTTTTGTTCCAAGTTTGGTAAAATTTATTTTTGCATAAAATAAAAAAAAAACAAAAAAAAGTGGATTGAAACAAAAACGTTTGATTATAATTATTACCCTGTAATTTTTCTTTATTTTTATGTCACAAATAATTACATAAATATTTTTATTAACATGATAAATTTAAAAGGGGAAAAGGGCTTTTAAACTACTGAGGGATTTTTTATTTCTCATTTTTTTTTTTTTTTTTTTATCATTTTCCTTCATATTGTTATGTTGATGGAGATACCCTGGCTTTGGCATTCCCAAGCCTTTTCCTTTTTGTAACTTGGTTATACTTGATTAAAACTGAATATTTTTTGAGGGATGCAGTTGAGTACTCTAATCATAAATACTTATGCAGCTCTTACTTCAAATCTGATTTATCAGCTTTTTACTCAAGTGTTCATATTTCATGGACCAATTTCTACATTTACCATGTGATGGATCAACTCAAGCCTGATGGGTAGAATAACCCATGGATTCAAACAAAAGAGAAAAAAAAGTAGAACACATATAAGATTGTTACATAAACTGTGATAAAATAATAAAAAAAAAAAAAACAAAAAAAAAAACAGTTTCTATCTTTCCATCTTTCTATCTTTGCCTATATTTCCATATCCTAAACATTACAAACATGAATTAAACAAATTTTACAATTCCATACATGTATAAATTACTTTTTCTGTATCTCATTATATAAAACAATCTGGAGATAAATTTTGAATGCGAACAATCAATCAATTTTTCAATGCCACTGTTTCATAAGTTCATGTATATATGTTTATAAAAAATGTGCAATGGATACGAAAATATAAAAACTTACATGCATGAGGGCGAGTGTAACTTAATGGAAAATATGAATATGTAGAAAAGTTGTTCTGTAACAGAGAGTGCTGTCCAATATATAAACACATAGAGATATATATGACATAGGTATATTACGTGCGTATATACTGAAGCATATATAAATATACACATAAATGTAATAATCATGTATAGATATGTATATAAAAATATAGTAACGAGACTTGAACGTGCAGTTTACATGTAAAAATGCATACGAATCTTTGGGAGCCTTTTTTTAGCACTGCTTGAGTCGAGTATGGAAATGTGCATATCAAAAATGACATCCACATCATCATATCAAACACTTCAAGAAGTTATATATATATATATATATATATATATATATATATATATCATCTCTGTCTACACGCATTCACATACTCAACTCATGCATACCACCATCCCTGATTCAGGCTGTTGGCATAAAGTGCTGCAGGAAAAGGGGATTGGTTGTTGGTTGGTTCAGTTCAACTCGTGCCTGAACTTCTCACCAGCGAAAAGAGCATTGCTTCCAAGAGATTCTTCAATTCTTAACAACTGATTGTATTTAGCGTTCCTCTCACTTCTACATGGTGCACCAGTTTTAATCTGACCAGTTCGAAGGGCAACCACAAGATCTGCTATAAAAACATCTTCTGTTTCACCAGATCTATGTGAGACCATAACACCCCAATTATTTTTCTGCGATAATAAACAGGCTTCAATAGCTTCAGTAATAGAACCAATTTGATTAACCTTAAGCAAAAGTGCATTACAAGCCTTTTTTTCAAGAGCTTTAGTAATTCTGGTAGGATTGGTCACTAGTAAATCATCACCAACAATTTGAACATCTTTTCCAATAGCTTCCGTTAATTTGGCATAATTTTCCCAATCGTCTTGATCAAATGGATCTTCAATTGAAATAATGGGGTATTTCTTAACCATATCAATATACAAATTTACTAGTTCAGCACCTGTTTTAACTAATGACTTATCATTATTTGGTGTTTTAAAATCCAAATCATATGTTTTGGTATCGGCTTGGTAAAATTCAGATGCAGCTACATCCATAGCAATTTTAACCTTTCCTTCATAACCTGCACTTTTAATAGCACTTACTAATAAGTCAAGAGCTTCATTTGCATTTAAAATATTTGGTGCAAATCCTCCTTCATCACCTACATTAGTTGCATCAATTCCATACTTTTTTTTAATTTCTGATTTGAGAGTGTGATATACTTCTGCTCCATATCTTAATGCCTCTTTAAAATTTGGTGCACCAACTGGAACTATCATAAATTCTTGAAAAGATAATTTATTTCCTGCGTGTGAACCTCCATTTATTACATTCAAACAAGGAACAGGTAAAACCATTTGATCACTTTTCTTTCCTGACAACTGAGCTAAATATTTATATAAAGATACTTTATTTGCAGCAGCACCAGCTCTACATACAGCCATAGACACTGCTAAAATTGCATTTGCTCCTAATTTACTTTTAGACCATCCCCATTCATTTTTACTTCCATCTAATTCTTCGACCATCAAGTTGTCAATTTTTTTCTGCTCTCTACAATCTAAACCTGTTATTTTCGGTGCAATAATATCATTAATATTTTTAATAGCTTTCTGTACACCCTTTCCTAAGTACCTACTCTTGTCATTGTCTCTCAACTCCAGCGCTTCGTAAATTCCTGTAGATGCTCCTGATGGTACTGCAGCTCGAAATATTCCCATGTTCGTTTCTAGGTCCACTTCTACAGTTGGGTTTCCTCGGGAGTCTAAGAATTGCGCAAAAATGGGCGACGAAAACGTGTGCACAGTGTGGACGCAAAATTGAAAAAAAAAAAAAAAAACCAAAAAAAATATAAAATAAAAAAATAATAAATCAAAAAATATAAAATAAAAAAATAATAAATCAAAAAATATAAAATAAAAAAATAATAAATCAAAAAAATATAAAATAAAAAATGGATAAAAAAATAAAAATTAAAAAAACATTCACACAACTCTATTTTTGCTATACAAGGATCGTAATTCACGTTACACAATTTTTTCTACATTGTGTAAGAATTATTATTACTATTCTTGTTGTTATATCTATTACTATTTCTAATCCTATTACTATTATTATTATTTATTTTTTTATTATTTTTTTTTTTTTTTTTTACACGAAATTCTTATCATTTCAATACACTGGGTAATTACTCACATAATGGAGGTAACAATGCATGTAGAGGGAATAAAGATTATACACACATCAAGCATACACAGTAGTGAATTATGTAATTCTGTGGGTAACGGTTTTTACAGGTTGCTACTGGGGACCAACATCATTTGCAATATGGTCCTCCATATTTATATTCCCAAAAAAGTAAATCAATTATAGGGAAGATAGAATAACATTTCGTAACTAATTCAACCCATGTGGGTACATGTGTAGAAAAATATTCCAATATCTCCCCCCCCCCCCCTCCTCTCCATTTTGAATTTTATATATTCTAAAAATGTGTACTAGCACTTATCTACACTCTAATGTAAAAAGGGACTTAAAAACACATGCGCATTTTTTTACACAATCTTTAAAGCATGTTATACAGGATACACAAATAGGAGTGGCATGTATATACAGTGCAAAAAAGCTTGCCGGAAAACGAAACGATGCCAGGCGGATCACCTCTATATATGATCGATATATTCACATGAATATATCCCGCGCATGAATAAAATATTTTCGTAGGTACATATGTATATATTTACACCTCATGCACGAATTCGTAAGCATGCAAACGTGAGCACGCAAAGGTAAGCATGTAAATGTAAGCACGTAAATGTAAGCATGTAAACGTAAGCATGTAAACGTAAGCATGTAAACGTAAGCATGACTTGTAGACATAACGTGTTGGAGTTGAGGGAACTATTCATGTACTTACCCAAAATTTCACGGGCAGATATGCGGGTTATTAAGTGAGCCATAGTTTTTCTGCGTTTGGTTGGAACTTATAAAATTGTTGGGTGAACTTTTGAAAAGTAGCAGATATGAAAGCTATATTTCTATGTGGTAAAAGGTGTTACTCAATAAGTGATGTTGAAAATGATAAAAAAAAAATTCAGCAATTCGTGTAATTGATATGACAAAGTATTTTTGTTTTTTTATGTTTATGCGTGTTTTCTTTATATATATTTTGGTGTTATTACTGCAGACGATTTTCTTTTTGTAAATAAAAAAATTATGAAATGATATTGTAAAAAGAGTGAACGTAAAAATATATGTATTTCAAAAGGGTGTATTTGAAAATATTATTTTTAAAAAAGAAGAAAAAAAAAAAAAATATACGCATATAATTTATTGAAGAAGGGAGTGTCTCCTTTCATACATTAAAATATTTTAAAAAATAAAAAAAAAAAAAAGCACCAGTTCATCTGAATTGTTATATCTTCTATGGTGCGCACATATAATTTTTTTTATATGCAAAATAAATATGGACTACTTTTTTCTCGCATTTTTTTGTTTTTTGTAGAAAAATAAAGACGACGGCTTTTTGCAATTCGATTATCATGGTGGTGGGGGGGTTTGCACAGGCTCTACATTTTCTACACGCGTACAAATATTATTATATATATATATATAAATGTATATCCCTCTGGTTAAAATCGATAAGAAAAAAAAAAAAAAAAAAAAACACTAGAGCGAGGATATTATCGCTGCGTTATTTTATTTTATGTTTTGTCACTTTTTACTTCATTTCGCGTTGTAATAAGCCACACGTTGACAGGCAGATAAAGGAAAAAAGTGCATAATATATTATGTTGTTAAGCAAATGAACAACCTCACGGGTAATCCCTTAACAGCTCATAAATATAGCATAAAAGTAGCCTTAAGTATACTGCTTGCTTATGCAACCTCGAATGCAATTATATTTATACCCCATACTTCACTATACCCTAATGTGACCCACATCTTGCAATACTCCCCAATTCAGTTTCACTCCACCACATTAGTTTATCCCCCTACCCCATCTTTTTTTCAGTACACTTTTGGACATTGTGCACATTTCATATATTTTTTCTACACGCATGTAAATATAAACACTTTTCATAAGTATCGCGTAAATCCCTCCCACCCCTTACGCAATCCTATTAACTCTCCCCCATAATCGTATTATTTTTTACTTGCTAAAAACCCTATCCACACAAGTACATAAAATAACGTGCAAAAAAAAAAAAAAAAAAAGTGCTCGTTTTATTATTCATGCCTAATTTTTATCCCACTTATATATGAAAATATATTTTTATACAAGTTATAAAAGAGAAACACTATATATTTCTTATATTAAGTGATATAACAGCGAAAACTATGAAACCGAATATTCATGTTTTTTTCATTTTTTTTTTTTTTTTTCTTGTACATTTTTCTACACCCAAATGTGATGTTGCTAAAAATTGCGTTATATTTTGAGAACACACAACACACACACACAAAAAAAAAAAAAAAAAAAAAAAAAAAAAAAAAAATTCAATAAATATATTTGTATTCACAAAAAAGAATCCTTTTCATCTGACCACGCAAGGTAAAAGTAGTATGCTTTAAAAAAAAAAAAAAAAAAAAGAAAATAGCTACTTTTCCCCGTTTATGAATATTATCATTTTACTTACAAGTTATAAAAGGTGAGAACCAATTTGGACTATTGAGTTAAGTAAATATAATCTCATATCCCATACACATTCGCACATATTTATTTGAGTAGATATATAAAATTGTTATCAAGGTGAACATGGGAATAGGGGGAAGGTGTTGTAACTAGGGCTTAAAATATAAATTAAAAAAAAAAAAAATAAATATAAGACTAAAAATATATATGTTATGAAACTTCTTCAACTTTTATGACCTTCATAGGCGCAAAGGCGGCCATATAAGGGAGAAGTGACACATTTCAGGCGAATGAATAAAAAGCCATATCGTCAAGATTCATCTATAAAAGCGTGTATATAAATACACATTTACATATTCTCATTTATACGAGGGCAAATTGGTTCTGCAAAAAGGCGCCTATAAAAATCACACGTAAAAAAAAAAAAAAAAAAAATAAGGTGGAGGGAAAATAAACTTCTTATCCTTAAAGCTGAATGAACAATAAAGATATATTTTTTTTGCATGCCTTTTATTGTGTGTATGTTAGTGTATATAGGTATTGCTATGTTTGTGTTTGTGTTTTTTTTTTTTTTTTTTTTTTTTTTTTTTTCCATACGCGGGTGCAACTTAGGACCAGTTAAAATGTGGATAGCACAGGTTGAGCAAATTCTGTGCGCATGTATTGAGACACCTTGCAAGATAACACAATATTAATTCCAATTCAGGATATGTGTAAAAGTATTTATATTTATGATTTAATTTTCTTACGCATATCTTTGCATTTTTATGAATTATCACACCAGAGTGGGATGATTAGTACATGAACTATGTTTTCTTTTTTCTTTTTTTTTCAATTTACATATAATTTGAAAAAAAGAAAAATTGTGTGCATATGTATGATGCATGTGGGTACAATAGACGAGTTAGAAGGGGGGAAAAAAGAAAAGAAAAGAAAAAATGCCATTTAATTGAAAGTTGCAAGTTATTCTTTTAATTTATTAAAAATGTGCGAAAAAAAAAAAAAAAAAAAAATAAAGAGACTCACAAATGTTCTCATAAGGGATTATTTTTATCTCTTCATTTTATGAGCCACGGTGTTTATATGTACCATTTTAATCGGCATGGTATATGTATATGTCTATTTTTTTTTTTTTTTTTTTTCGTTGCACAAGTTTGAATAATTCATTTGTAGTATCGAAATGTTATACTTCTGAACATACTTTCTCCCCTTTTTCATTCGAAATTATCATGATCCTCACTTAAAAGTCCTCGTCAAGGACTATTTGTCTCTCTCCATAAATATCTTCCGTCTTTTTGACTGACTCTGATTTATGGTCATCGCTTACCACGACCTGCCAGTAGTGAGAATAAAACAAAAAAAACAGTAAGGAAGCAGTAGGGAAGAAATAACGAAACAGTAACGAAAGAATAGTGTAAGAATAATAAAATGATCATAAATGTGTAAGGTAAATTCCGTGCAGTGCTGCACCAAACGAACGACAAATAGACGTATAAAAAAAGAATCACATTCTTTAATATTTGCCCACATATAGGCCACCACTACATATATGCTAAAAATGCACAAAACAAATCAAATGTTTCACTTGGTATGCTGCACAGAAATAATGCGAAGGGACGGGGGGAAAAAAAAGAAAAAAAAAAAAAAGATCACCTTATTAAATTCCGGCCAAGTGAACGGATATTTGGAATTAAAGTACTTGGGATATTTTAAATTTACCAACATAGTATCAGCTAAGTATTCAAGAAATAATTTCACTTGTTCCTTTTTTATTTTCAAAACAGATAACTCTAACATCTCCAAAGAAAATTGATACTCTAACTGAACAGCCATTTTAAAATATTCTAAAACACTTTCATATTTTAATTTGTTATTTAAATGATTACAACACATAACAGAAAAATCACCATGAAGATATTCATCTCGGTGAATTTTCGCATGAACATTACATAAGCATGGTAATATAGAATTTTCTTTACAATATCCAATGAGAATATTTAATGTACCATTAAAAAGAACCTTCGAAATGTATATAAGTACTAGCTTGTTATAAAATGGTATATTCGATTCGAATACTTCTGTTAGCCATTTCTGTTTCTTTAATACGCTGTCTAATTGTATAACCTTGTTAATAATAACTCTTTTCTCTTTCGCGTCAGGAATGTATGTTTCGAATATGCATGCATACACTTCATCGTGTATATTTTCCATGCACATTTGAAATCCGTAAAATGCTCTCCCTTCTGGAATCTGAATAATGTCAAGCATTTTGCTAGTAATCAGTGATTGCTCTTCATACACATGTAGGTCCCTATGTGAGTGAAGGGAGGAGGGAAAGAAAAAAAAAAAAAAAAAAAAAAAAAAAAAAAAAAGGAGCAATGGTCATGGTGGTGGACTGATATACCATGTTTTTTTTCACGAGTAAAAAAATCACATATAAATATGGATTCATACAGGATGTAATGGGAAAAAACACTGAACATATTTTAGCATGGACTTGTTTTATTTTATTATTTTTTTTTTTTTTTTTTTCTATTTTTTTTCCATTTTTCCTCACTTTAAACTGTAAAAACATATCAGTTCGAATAACTTCACGAGCATATTCTTGTCAATACTTTCCAAAAATATTTTATCTTTATCGAAATTGTAATCCTCGGCGGTCCAAAAGAGGGATTCTATCTCTTTATAATAATTCTATAGGGGGAAAACGATATGAAAAAGATTAGTAAATAGGTAAATTAAAAAAAAAAAAAAAAAAAAAAAAAAAAAGTGCATAGAATAAAATACTATGGAAAAATGGTAAAAATATAAAAAGTTCAGTTTCTTTGGCCTTTCTTTTGGAAGAACCTACCCAAAATGTCTTATACTTTATCGGGAACATAACCTGTATAAGAAGAGAAGGAGGAGGAAGAAAAAAAAAAAAAAAAAAAAAAAAAAGGAAATGGCGGTTAATATATTTATATATGATTTTTTGCTCTCCTATTGGAAGATACAACCATAAGACAACACGCACACACAGAACTACGTTGAACGGCGCTACAAACACATATTGATAAAGCCTATATGGATAGTTTTGATTTTCTTTTTTCTTTCCACCACCTTACCCATCTGAACTGATTCTCTTTCAAAATATCATCATTATTTTGGACCTTCAACAAAACTTCTTGGTCAAGATAATTCTCTTTGTCCATTTTAACGAAATAATTAAAAAAAAAAAAAAAAAAATGTACTTTTTGTCAACGATGAGTTTATATTCAAACAAAATTGTGGAAAATAAAACAAGACTTTGAGTAGGAAAAAAAAAAAAAAAAAAAAATATATATATATATATATATATATATATATATATATATATATAGGGACACTTATTTTTACAATAAAAAATTCTTATTTATATATTTTGTTAATTGGTCATTCTTTATTTTAGAATATTCCCTAAGAAGTTATTGAAGTTTGCAGCCCCGTATGTTTTCGTTATTATTTATGAATACAAATATGCGCATATATGTGTTCGTGTATGGGAACATGCTTATATCAGCATGTGTTCATATCTTTGTGTGTTCATGGTGAATGTGTGTACTCGAGCGTTTATCACCACTTGTGCACATGCATACGTGCATATATAATACGTACATGTATGCATACATTTATACATATATGAATACATATAAAATGCATAAACATATTTGTATACACTTTCATAACTTCATTCATTTAAGAAAAAAAAAAAAAATTTCACTACGGCGCTTTAACTCCCAATATTTTGCCTAATCGAAACATTTTACACAAAAAATTAAAACTGTATAAATTGATTGGGGAAAAAAGAAAAAAAAAAATTAACAAGGAGAGAAAATTGCAAGGTTCTCCAATTTTGCGTGGACATGCATGTATTGATGAACGAACAAGGGTACATATATATTCATATATACATATATATGTACATGGATATATAATGTACATTTTTTTTTTCATACTATATTCGTGGGAATAATGTCTAAAATGTGTCCTGGCTTATTATCATTAGTATGCGTGCAATCATAAGCGCTGCAAGTACACAAGTTTGCAGGGTGTCCCTTGGCTCCTAAGTATATGATCGATTTGTGTGCTAAGACCCTTGTGAGGATACATGCATATACATAAGAAAACGTGAATGTGCATTTAAAAAAAAAACATATGCATAAACAGGCACACCTGTATGTATGTGTGTATGTATGCCAAACAAAATATATACACTATGGAACGTGCCCACTTAAGGGTTTCCCCCTTCCCCAAAAAAAAAAAAAAAAACATAACACTACACGCTAGCTCAATTAACATATAAAGTACCTAGGTGTATTTTCCCTATCCATAAATCTGCTTAATACACCCATTTTTACCTTTTGGCGTGAACGAATGGAACAGAATTCAGGAAATTCTTCTAATTTTCATAATTGATCATTTATATATTGAACAAAAAAAAAAAAAAAAAAAAAAATTATAATTGTAAGGTACTTGTGTTATGAATTCCTTGTAAACATATAGGACTGATTATACCAGCACATGGATAAAATTTGTGAAAAAGAAAAAGAAAAAAAAAGGTTCATATATATTTAAATATATGAAAAATATATACATCTCTAAATAACAGGGTTATTTTACTTTTTTAAAATTACACACATTTTTATCTTAAATAAAATATGATAAAAGCAAATAAGATCAAAATAAATAATTTTCCTCTGTTACAAAGCCAAAATTGAGGATTATTTTTATATTTCACTTGTTATATATTTACATTTGAGAATTTTTTTTTTTTTTTTTTCTCTTGTTCTTCCCTCCTCCATAGTGCTATTATATATGTTGCAATATTTTACGTTCCTTTCCTAGCTTATGTTCGGTTTAAAAATTGTTACAAACATAACAGGTCATGATTGAGGTATCTACCAAAACATGGATGAAGACTTCGAAAAAAATGGGTCCCATAATTATGAAGAAATTCTTCATAAAAATGTGAAAGGTTTTATTTTATACCATCAAAATAATTATATGTACATGCTTTGTTGAGTACGGCGTGCATATACATGTTCCCCGGTGTTACATATAAGTAAAGAAAAGGTGGTGAGAAGAGAGGGGGCAAACATTTCTGTTCATTGTGATTGTCTGCTTTTGGTCATTTATAACGCAAGCACATTATAGCCCATGCTATCGTAATGCCATGAAATATAATAACAAACTGCCTTAATTCTGCCAGAAAAAAAACATATACATATATGTGCATACATATATATATATATGTATATATTTCCCCTTTATTTGCTTCCCCTGTTGAATAACCCGTTAGACATTGAAAATAAAGTACAACAGTTGAAAAATACCACCCTCCCTGATGATAATGCATTGAAAGATGTTAATGTATTGTTCGATAGAACTGTTCAACTGAAAGACAAGTTTTCCACTGTTTATTTTCAATACATCAAGCATAGTTCAGTCGTAATATATGAAAAGGTGAAAAAGTTAAAAAGTGCAAAAGAGGAAAATTGACATGTTCCAAAAAAATATACATCTCTTCGAAATATACGCGAACACATATTTTTTTACAAAATCATATGAACCTGCGTTTTTACAACATTTTTATTAGAAACTGAAAGAATTGATAAAGGAAATCGAGTCCTTAAAACATATGCTTATTCAGAATAAGAACAAAAAAGTCTTGGGAGTGTTCAATGACATTTGTGGTGATAATTTTCTTATTCCAGAAAATGACTCCATTGAAAATGAAAATGAGAATGAAAATGAAAGTAAAGAGTTAACTGATGACTGGGTTGACTTAAATCAGCATAAGTTATTCTTTCAAAATCTTCAAAATGAAAGGTATGAACAATTTGAAAAAAACAGCCAAAAAAGGGAACAAAAAAAAAAAAAAAAAAAAAAAAAAAAAAAAAAAAAAAAAAAAAAAAAAAAAAAAAAAAAAAAAAGGAAAAAAAAAAAAAAAAAAAAAAAAAAAAAAAAAAAAAAAAAAAGCGTACTCATTAAGATATGATTAATAGTACTCCACTAATAAAATCGAAATATTACAAACCAAGTGAATCTTTTTATGAACAACTTTTTTTTAAATGTGACCAGGATAATTAGAGGACATGACGAAACTGAATGCTCGAGCCTAATTCTGGACAATTTAGTACCATTAAATAAAAAAATATAATATGATATAATATAATACCACTAAATAGCTTGTTAAGCACCAATTACACCAACATTTATTTTTCTGTAAACAGGTTAATTGCGAAGTTATAATTCTCGATGTGTTAAGTTCTGTGTTAATACGAAGAATTAAAAACTGCACTATTTGGTAAAATATGAAAGCTGCCCATTCATGATTTCCGATAAAATACTTAATGAACGGCATGTTTTCGCATAAACACATTTACATATGCACATTCCAGTGAAAGAATACATCCATACAGAAGCTGCAAGAAATGAAGTTATGTACTCCACATTTTATCCTATAAAAATGTTTTTCACATTGCCACAAATAAATGCCTTTTAGGATGTTACCATTAAATATATACATATGTATATATATTTTTTTTTATATCCCCCGTGGGGTGATTAAATTTTCCTATTATTCAGGGTTGCTGTGGTTGAATCTTCTATTTTAATATATAATTGCCTGGGCTGCAATATATTGTCAAATTCAAAGCAAGTTCGGAAAATACACATATAAATACGTATATATGTAAATTTCTTCTGCTTATGTGTGCAGATGAATATAAACACGAGAAACAATTTTTTTACGCATGGTTTTATTTTATAATAAAACATTTTTCACATACACATTATTTAATCAACATTTTTTTTTTTTTTTTTCCTCCTCTTCTCCCCTTTGCAGATAAGAATACATGACACTAGTGAAACGAATTTCTACATTAACACAATGAGTTCTCCCATCATAGAGAAGTATACAAGATATATTTATACACATTTATATTAATGAGTTAAATATGTTGTGTGTTCATATTCGTGTGTTCATCATCATTATCGCTCTTTCCGAAAAGTGTTTTTATTTTTATGACTTGTTCATATTTTTTTTTTTTCTTTTTTTTTCTTTTTTTTTCTTTTTTTTTTTTCTCATAATATTTTTTTAGCTCGAATCAGCTAACTTTCTTTCAATACAATTTGAATTATGATGGTTTGTCAGAATTATTAAAAAAAAATAACATAAATAAGAACTCAAACAATTGGATGGAAATTCTAGATTTCAACTGGCAGGATACACAGGTATTTAAGCTAAGAGGAAAATTGTTACATGTAAAAATAGAAAATTTATGAAAAAAAAAAAAAAAACAACAAACAAAAAACAATAAATAATACACTGAATACCATCTATTCAACGAAACAAATGTTTTAGGAACAGTCTCCAAACTTTAGTATATCAAAAGAAACACAGGTGTATTACATAAAATTACAGAAAATATATCATATTCAAAATGACCAAGGACAAACAGTAAATGGAAAATATGTTATAGAAAACTTCCCTGTGTTTTTAAAAAAAGTAGATTAAAAAATAAAATAAATATATTCCTCAAGATATCTCTCACGTTCAAATATGAAAAAAAGAAAAAAAAAAAAAAAAGGAACAGCTTTATTTTATACACTTTTCCAACAAGGTTAAAGTGTTCACCTTTTTTAACAATAACTTTTTTTTCTGCATAACTTTTTATTGGTGTAATAACAAAAAATGAATGAAGTACAATAAAAAGGAAGCTAAATAAGTTTATTAATATTAAACAAATGCACATCTACGTTTTTCCAATACTGCTCTTGATTTGATATAAAATTAAATTGATCTTTTTTTCAGCTATTTATGTACTTTTTTTTTTTTTTTTTTTTTTTTCTTTTATTTCGTGCCACATCATGGGTAGCATACACACGCTTATATTTTTATACATATCTTAATAAATATGCACGATTTTTTCCCCTTTACCAAGAAAACGGTTCATTTATTGTTACATCTTTCCTCTAAAAAAAAATTACCTCCTTTTTCTATTGTTCATCTACACTTGTAAAAGCATAACACAATAAATTTGTTGATGGTTAGAGGCATAAATCTTTTGTTTGTAACCACGTATAGGAGCCAGGATCCGTCCGCTCTTCCCCTTCTCACATCAGGGTGGTGTTGTGTTCACGTAATTTTAATAGATTTCATAAATTTTATGCACGTCAAAAAAAATAAAAAAAGGGGACTTAAAGCTTTTTTTAAAAAAAAAATTCCACATGCTTTAAATACAAGTCAGATAGCAACGTGGTATGTATGTAGAGCCAAAAGAAAAAAAAAAAAAAAAAAATGGAAAGAAAATAACAAAATGAAACAATAAAGCATGGCACAATTATGAAAAATTAAAATGTGAAACATACAACATTAAATAAAAAAAAAAAAAATATATAATGCCAACTATAATTTTTATCGCAGGAAAAGGAAAGCTACTGAGCATTGTATATATATATGCATACGTGTACATTTTTTCTTCTTTTCTTTTAAAAAAAAATCCTCATTCCATTTGAATTTTTTACCACATTTGTGTATACATATAAACACAATTGCTTGTATAATACCAACGTACATTTACTCAACGAAGCAATTAGTGTGCGAAGTCGAACGAGAAACAACCACAGAGTATAGCTTCATTTCAAGGCCCATGACTTGATGTTGTTTTTTACCATTACATATCGCACATAGGAGAAAAATAAAAAAATAGGCAAAAAAAGCGAACAGCCAAAAAAACGATATCACACAAACAGGTGTATAAACATATTAAGTTCATTTTCAAACACGAATAATTGCTTAAATTTAGAGAGAAATTTCTTGAAAAATAAAAATGTTATCCACATTGCGCGGAAAAGTCCTCAATAAAGGGGAATGCACAAACAAATGCGTCGTTTCAGTTTTAAACGCGTTTCAGAAAAGAAACATATCGAAAGATATACGATTTGGTAGCGATGCCAGAACAGCAATGCTCACAGGTAAGATATATCATAAATCTAAATGTACAAGGAGAATACATATAGGCATGCATATATGTATATATATGTATATTTTTTTTTTTTTTTTTTTTTTTTTTTTTGCATACCGAAATTTTGGGCTCCTTTGGGAACGCGTCCACATTAATACATAATGCCATCTTTGTGTAAATCATGATTTGAGTTATACTTAGCGTATAACCCTTCTTCTAGAACCCCTGTGATGATATACCTGCATGTGTAACAACTAATCAGACATAATTGGTATGCTCAATAAATAATACATCATATGTTGTTCATCCCATTTATTCAATAATTTTTTTTTTTTTTTCTTTTCTTCCCCCTCTCCCCCGGATGCCCACTTTAGGGTGCAACAAGTTGGCAGATGCTGTGAGTGTAACGCTTGGACCAAAGGGAAGAAACGTAATAATAGAACAATCCTTTGGTTCTCCGAAAATAACAAAAGATGGAGTTACAGTTGCGAAGAGCATTGAATTTAATAACAAGCTAGCTAATTTGGGTGCTCAGATGGTGAAACAAGTAGCTGCAAACACAAACGACAAAGCAGGAGATGGAACAACAACAGCTACGATTTTAGCTAGATCGATATTTCAACAAGGATGTAAAGCAGTAGATTCAGGCATGAACCCAATGGATTTATTAAGAGGAATAAATAAAGGAGTAGAAAAGGTTCTAGAGTATTTAAATTCGATAAAAAAAGATGTAACAACAACTGAAGAAATATTTAATGTAGCTAGTATATCAGCTAATGGAGATAAAAATATAGGACAGCTAATAGCTGATACTATGAAAAAAGTTGGAAAAGAAGGTACCATAACTGTTACAGAAGGAAAAACATTACAACATGAACTCGAAATTGTGGAAGGAATAAAATTTGACAGAGGATATATATCTCCATATTTTATTAATAATAGTAAAGATCAGAAAGTAGAACTTGATAAACCATACATACTTATACATGAAAAGAAAATTTCAAGTGTTAAATCTTTACTACCAATCTTGGAACACGTTTTACAGAATCAGTCATCCTTATTAGTTATTGCAGAAGATGTAGATAGTGATGCATTGGCTACATTGATAGTAAATAAATTAAGATTAGGATTAAAAATATGTGCAGTTAAAGCTCCAGGATTTGGTGAACATAGAAAAGCACTTGTTCATGATATTGCTGTGATGACAGGTTCTAAAGTTGTAACGGAAGAAGCAGGATTAAAATTGGATGACCCAGATGTTGTATCTTACTTAGGGAAAGCTAAATCGATTAATGTAACTAAGGATAGTACATTAATTATGGAAGGAGAAGGGAAAAAAGAAGAAATTAATGAAAGATGTGAAAGTATAAGAAATGCTATAAAATTAAATACTTCCGATTATGAGAAAGAAAAATTACAAGAACGACTAGCCAAAATAACAGGAGGTGTTGCATTAATTAAAGTAGGAGGAATAAGTGAAGTAGAAGTGAACGAAATTAAAGATAGAATACAAGATGCTTTGTGTGCAACCAAAGCTGCTGTTGAAGAAGGTATTGTTCCAGGTGGTGGAAGTGCATTATTATTTGCATCCAAAGAATTAGATTCGGTGCAAACAGATAATTATGATCAAAGAGTTGGTGTCAATATAATCAAAGATGCATGTAAAGCACCTATTAAACAAATTGCTGAAAATGCTGGACATGAAGGATCAGTAGTTGCTGGTAATATTTTAAAAGAAAAAAATTCCAACATTGGATTTAATGCACAAGAAGGAAAATATGTAAATATGATCGAATCAGGAATTATCGATCCCACTAAAGTTGTCAAAACAGCTATTTCGGATGCAGCTTCTATAGCATCACTTATGACAACAACAGAAGTAGCCATCGTTGATTTCAAGGACACAAAAGTGGACGAAACGAATCCGCATATGAATTCGGTGAATTCTATGGGAGATATGGGTGGCATATATTGAGAAAAAAAAAAAAAAAAAAAAAAAAAAAAAAAACTTTTCCTCCATGGGGAGTAACCCTGTAAATCTAAAGTAGTAAGGAAAATATGACGTTGCATTTATACGTCGTATCAGAACTGTGCATACTATGAGCTCTCCATGAGTGTTGTATGTAAACAGTGGAGTGAATGGCTCAGCAGAAAAGCGACAACACAAATGTGTATATACTTGTGCATGCGTATGCAAACGTATAACCCCATGTTAAGCACATGAATTGAGTTTCAAATAATAGAATGAACCAAAAAAATGATACAAGACCAAAGATAAAAGTTTAGGTCAGTGCGTTGAAAATACCCACCTGCATAGAAGTACTCATGTGCATATTTTGATTTGCACACCCTTTATGAATAAGAATTTATCAGAAAAAGGAGAATCCTTATCTATATTTTTCATTTTAACGAATCTTCTTATATAAAAGTAATAAAAAAATTTTTTTTTTTTTTTTTATAAGAATGATTCTACTTCGTAAAACTAAAGTTACTTTTTAAATAAGTTTCCAATTTACTAAAATTTTTATTTCATTTTTCAATTTTTTTTTCATCTGACCCATGTTGTTACGTTTTTATCTCTCGAAATATTTTAAAATTCATTATTCATAAATTCACAGCTATTTTTGATATTTCTCTCAATCGTGTGGGTACACGCTTGCATGTGTGCATACACTTTTACAAAGTCTAATCGTGACTTTAACGCACTTTTATTCCTCATGTTGTTTTCATAGAAAAAATAGAAACTCGTGTGAAAACGATTTAAAGAAATTATTTTTTTTTTTTTTTAAAAAAACCTCCAAACGGTCCTTATTTGTAATCTGTAGCATGTCATGTTCAATTAACAAACGTTTCATCGGTTTCATCCGTTTCACCCGTTTCATCGGTTTCATCCGTTTCACCAGTTTCACTCGTTGCATAAAAAAAAAAAGGGTTAAAATTGTGAAAAATGACGACATCGTGAAGTAACTTATTAAGTTTAAGCAAAAACACATAAATAATTATGTATGGGATAATGAAAAATACAAACGTTTTGCTTATGTTCCTCGTGGAGGGTTAATGTTGGACGGTATTATATTTGTAGCAGTTTTTTTCCCTTATGAAACCTGCTTACAAATAAGATTTTTAAGTCTCACATAATGTTTCATAAAATGCGTGTGTGAAAAAAAAAAAAGGGTTGTGGATACGTGCCTTAAAAATGCACAGACGTCTTTGTGCAGGTAAATATAAATGCATCATCTACCCCCCTCCAAAGAAAAAAAAAAAAAAAAAAAAAAAAATGATGCTTACTAAGTTAACGAGTAGAAAAGAACAAATGGTGAGTTATACAAAAGAGTGGAAAGAAAGCAAATCACAATAAAAACTTCCCTACAGAAAATAGGGGGGGAAAAAAAAAAAAAAAAAAACCTTGGAAGAGAACACATCCAATATTTTACGTATGAAACATCTGATATATAACACATAGGAGAAAAAAGGAACATTTGCAAATGAAATGAATGTTAAAAAATACTCCATGTTTTTCTCACATTTATTAAGAAATAAAGGAAGAATACCAATTTGTAGTTTTTACTGTATTACCAATAATTTGCAAAAAGTTTACAAAGCACGTCATACAATACATCAACCGCTTTGCAAATTTAGTTCTAAAAATCAAAACAATAAAAAAGAAAATGAAATATGTGAAATCAGAAAGAAAATCGAATTAACCAATTTTAAGCTAGCTGATAGTTCATACGATTATATAAGCAGTGATGATTCAGATGAAGAAGAATACAAATGGAAAGAGGAAAAATCTACAGAAAGAAAGCTTGAAACATGTGAACATGACAAATCGTTTGATGCCACTCAAAGATATAATCAGAAAATATTAAACCATGGGAATCAACTTCATAACTGTTTAAAACAAAAACACATTTTCACACATGATGGAGGAAAAAAAAATAATGGTATCCATGAGCATCATCCAGAAAATTATTCTGATATAAATTTAAATGACAAAAATGAGGATGTCATAAGGGTAACTTCTGACCGAAGAGAGAACCATTCAGTTGATTTAAACCAACGAGAGAACAAAATTATTTGGGATCAAATAAACACCAGCAATGGTTGTACAAGTGTACAGGAAATGTATTCTGATGAATTTTCATCCATTATAAGGAAAAACGATGGAGATAAGGAGTATGAACAAATGAAATTTTATCTAAACTCGTACATAAAAAGAAAAAAGGAAAGTGAAAATAATATGACAGAATGTCACAAGAATGAATCCTCAACAAGTGTGCTAAATGAGGAACTACACAAATTAGAAATATCCCTGAGACCTTCACAGAACGATATTAATAACATAAAAACATTTATAAATTTTCTGCAAAATGAAATAAATAAGCATTACAAAAATTGCCATGTAACACCGTTTGGGTCAATCATAAACGGATTTTGGATGAGAAATAGTGATATAGATATATGCATTCAAATTCCAGTACTACTTAGTAGAAAAGATCAAATAATCTTTTTAAAAAAAATTTGTTTAATATTAAATAGTTTTAATGATGGGATAATTGAACAAAGATTTTCTGCAAAAGTTCCCATCATACATTTTTATTGTAAAAATCCTAGACATTCATTTGAATTATCCTGTGATATTTCAGTAAATAACATTTTAGCAGTAATTAATTCCAAATTAATTCAAAAATATGTAAGTATAGATAAAAGATTACAAATAATGGGAATAGCACTAAAACATTGGTTAAAAAATAGAAATATTAATGATCGATCTAAAGGATTTTTATCGTCTTTTTCTTTAATCTTAATGATAATTCATTTTTTGCAATATGTAATCGAACCAAGAATTCTTACATCTCTCCAAGATATTTCGTTCAGAAGAAATGAAAAACCATTTTATGTAATGGGGGTTGATTGCAAATATTGTCAAGATGAAAATATCATACGAGACGAACTACGTAAAATAAATAATTACAACGACACATATATATGCACTTCAAAATTACTAATAGAGTTTTTTAAATTCTTTGGCTATAAATATAAAAGTGGCATAATAGCCATACGTGATATAAATGATTATTACCAAAATTTCCAAGCTTTAAAAAATTTTGAGTCTTATTTTCTTTTTGTTGACAATCCCTTTGAAGTTGGAAAAAATGTTGCAAATATCCTTCCACAAAATTACAAAACAATTGTGAATGAAATGAAACGAGCCTACAAAATATTAAAAAACAATGGCTCCTGGAGGGACGTGTGTGGTGCTGAAAATCAGTTCACTTGTTTGAAGCACCTTTGAACAGCTTTCTTTTACACGGTTAGCGCGTGTTTTTTTTTTTTTTTTTTTTTTTTAGATACGTGTATTTTTTCCCTTCTTTTTTTTTTTTTTTTTTTGTGCACACATGTGCGAACACAGGCATATATGCATGCGCATGTGTAGATACCGTGTTTTTCTGGAGAATTTTAGGAAACTCGTTTTTATTTATGGACGTTTGTAGTTTATTTTATTTATTTATATATTATTATTTATTTATTATTATATATTTATTATTATTTATTTATTATTATTTATTTATTTTTATATATTTTTATTTTTTATTTATTTATTTTTTTTCTATTTCACCTGCCTGTTCATGTAAAAATGGCATTTGTACTAAAAACAAGGGCACAAAAATGGTGAGCTATATGGAAAAGCGCACAATGTGCTGAAACCTTAGAAATAAAAAAAAAAAAATAATAATAATACAGTAATAAATAAATGAACTACCCAGCTAAGCTAGCTATATAACAAAAAACCAAGAAACCCTATGAAAACAAACATGTGCGGGTAAAAAAAGGAAATTTTTAATATTCCTGTGACTCTGTTTCTCCAAATGTGTGTGTAGCTACACCAATTGTTTAAATTATGTTTGCCATAGTATACATACATAGTATATTCTTTTGACTGCAAATAAAATAACAAATAAAAATCAAACTGATAGAAACTGTGTGGACAAAAATTAGTTGACAGTTTTCCCTGCTACAAATATTTTTACATGATGTCAAATGATATTATGGACACGTCTCGATCAACCACCTATACTGCGTGCACACGCAGGATGGCATTAAAAATTGAAGAAAAAAAAAAAAAAAAAAAAAAAAAAAAAAAAAAAATCAGTCATCCAATACAATAACGTCACTACCCTTATTTGCACTTTCCACGTCTTGCGATTTATGAAAAAAATCGGATTGAAAAAATCCTTCTGTTAAATCAATTAATTCATTATAATTTTTTTCATTTTTGGCATGACAACGTTGATCGGTTTTAATGACTTCCTCGCATTTATGCGTTCCACCTAAGTGACTGTCCATTGAATTTTTTTTAGCTGAAAAATTCATGTTGTTTACATTTTGAAATCCTTCATTCATGTGATTAGCATGATAGTTATTAGTGTAGGTGTTATGAAATGTATCATTATTCACATTTTCACAACTTTGGACGTATGCATTTCCATATGGGTTACCCATCACCCAAATTTCGTTTCCCTCATTTGCTAACGGGGTTATACTTTTTTTCTGTTTTTCTTTATTTGTATCATAGTGATAATTATCAGTAACATGGTCATCAAATGTACCATTTTCTTTAAAATAATTGGCACCTACCTTGTTGGGATTAAAAGAATTCTTCATATCATAACACGATTTTTCTTCTCCTATGTTATCCTGTAATCTTTGATAAGTAACATTTTTCAATTCATTACATGAACGCATGTATTTTGTTTCTTCTGACGTGTGAGGAGGCAACTTTTTATCATTATATTGAAATGGTTTTGAGTAATTCTCTTCATATTTTTCCTTATAAGAATCGTAACCTTGTGTTGGATAATAATTGCCACTATTTTTTTTACAAAAATGTATTTTCTCTTTTTCAAAATAATCCCCATTGTAACTGTCAGTAGTGAATTCCTTTGGATCTGTCACTTTATACTTATCATCAAATTTGTTGAAATTATTACTATGCAACTTTGGCGAATTGTTACAATAGTTCTCTTTGTCTCTGCAATTATAATAACCGTTATATCTGTTATTAATCCCATAAGTGTATTCCACATTATAATTAACATCCTTATTTGAGCTATAGTCACCACCATAATGTATATTCTTAGTTTCTTTACTGGGATCATTTCTATGCATTTCTGATACATATCCCCCCTCCTTTTTACATTCTTCTCTCACATTGTCACATATTCTATCAGCATATTTCTTATTGAGAGTATTATTGTTGTGTTCATTAATTGTGTTACATATGTTCGACTTACATGTATAATCCAAGTTGGTCTTACTGACATTTTTGACATCTGTCTTGTTAAAATCAAAATTATTATTAGATGAATCTTCTATATAGTAAAATTTTCTATGCACATTATCTTCATCTCTTTTAGATTCAATTTTTGGGGGAAAACCAGTTTGGTCACATTGATAACTGTATTTTTTTACATCATTCGATAAATTGATAAAATTAGCACTTTCTTTTTTTTTTCCTATATCGACTTTGCAGTTTCGATTAATCTCATCAAGCAAAGGATTCATTCCAGTAATGTTCAATTCATCTTCTTGATAATCCTCCAAAAGGAGGGAACCTGTATCAGATACTCGGAGCCCTTTAAATAAAATAGACACTTGGTTGTTCCTTAACAATAATGCACCACGTTGAATAATAGGTTTGTTGTATAAAATAATTTTAGAATATTTATATGTACTCTTTTCTAGATAATTAAAATTTTTGTTATGTTCTTGTTCATATGCATACACAAACACATTTCCATCAAATAGTAAAAAACGATAAATTCTTTTATATTTTGTGCTTTTTTTGGTTTGTGTGGAATTCTTATTCTTTTTACTTGTTGTCTGAATTTTGTTATTTTTTTTATATTTCTTTTCCTCTTTCTTATTTCTAGCGTTCTTAAACCCATGATAGTAACCATCTTCTGTTGAATCCCCTTGTTCTTTTTCTGAGCTGCTCAGGCAGTTCTCCATTTGATCATTTTCATCTCTATCGTGATCTTCCCTCGTTACATCTTCATTTTCATCTTCAAACAGGTATAACCGCTCACTTATATTAACATAATCAACAACTTCAAATATGTTTATGCCGTCCAATTGATGATGTCCTTTAAGATGATTGAAATTTGATGGTAAGCAACCCCTTGGTTTGGAATATGTGAATGGGTTTATCATAAAATGTTCATACAATTCTATCTCACTAACGTCCTTTTCACATCCCGTATTTTTTTTATATTTGTTTAAAAAACTATTATAATTTATTTTTATTACATTATTTTCAATTAATCTTTTCATCCTTTATGATAATTCATCTTTTCTTTCTTACCAAAAAAAAAAAAAAAAAAAAGAGAGAAAGTACAAATGAGAGAAATATAGTTTATTCTTATTAGTTATATTTTAAATGTTTTCTATTTTGTTCCACCATTTTTTTTTTTTTTTTTTTAAAACACTAGTTACACTTGCACATTTATTTTTCTACCGTATGGGGTAGAAATAATTACCTTATCCTGAAATATCCATTTTTTTTTTTTTTTTTTTTTTTTATTTTCCCTCTGTGTGAGAATCCTCCACATAGTCACTTAATTGTATACCTTCTGTTTTTTTTTTTTTTTTTTTTTCGTTCTGTCAAAAAATTATTTTTATCTATTTGGTTACAATTGTAAGAATTTGTCACACATAATGTGTAGTGGTTGGAACCGATGAGATGAAACACATTTATAATTTGATGTGTGGAAATAATAAAACGAGGCCAGAAAAAAAAAAAAAAAAAAGCATAAACATATATGAGGCCTAATGGTTGGGAACAATTTGTGAGTTTTCTCATACGATAAAATAAAACAGACTTAATTAAAATTTAAATTGTTAGAGTGTTCTTTTTTGAAATGGTTTAAATGATTTGCAAAGAAACTATCACAAAAGATGGAGTTGCACAGATGCTGTCACAAAGATGCAACTACTCCGTTTTGAAAAGATGAACAACACATGTATGCACAACAAAATGGTGTACATTTTTTGTGAAAGTTCTTTCTTCCCTTCTTGACAAATTGCGGGCGAAAAAAAAAAAAAAAAAAAAACAAAAACAAAAAAAAAAAATGCTTTAAAAATAGGCACAAAAATGGATATATAATCAAGGGAAGTATAAAATGAGAAAAAAAAAAAAAAAAAAAAAAAAAAAAAAAAAAAAAAAAAAAAAAAAATGCTTTAAAAAAAGGCAAAAAAAAGGATAAAAAAAAAAGGGAAGTAAAAAAAGAAAAAAAAAAAAAAAAAAAAAAAAAAAAAAAAAAAAACCTATGTACGAAATCCATAAATGAAACCTGAGCTAACCATTTCAACCCTTTCTGTTAATAACGTCTCTACCCCTTAGATGTTAATTACTACGCAAGATATAAATCATCCTTGGTGTCAAATCCCAAGCTTGGAGAATCCTCCATCCGCTTTGTCAAAATTTCGACACCCTTTTCAGTAATTAATAAAGTATGCTCAAACTGAGCTGATAATTTTCCATCAGATGTTGCACTTGTCCATTTATCAGGCCATAAAACATCAGAAAAATGACCCTGATTTATCATAGGTTCTATGGTAAATACATGTCCAGGTTTCATTATACCGACAGCTTTATTTTTTTTAAAATGAGGAATAGTTGGATTGGTGTGAAATAATTTCCCAACCCCATGACCTGAGTAGGTACGTACAACGGAAAATCCTTTTTTAGACACATATGAATCTATGATGTTACCAATGTTTTTATATAACATACCAGGTTTACATTTTTTAATTGATTCCATTAATGAAAAATAACAAGTCTGAACTAATTCCTTTGCTTCATTTGAAACTTTATCAATATCTCCTACAAAATATGTTTCATTCAAATCTGCATGTACCCCTTTGAAAAAAACACTTATATCAATATTGATAATGTCTCCATTTTTTAATGGTCTAAAATCAGGTATGCCATGACACACAATTTCATTCACTGATGTGCAACATGATTTTGGAAATTTATAATAATTTAGAGTAGATGGATATGCATTATTCTGAATAATAAAATTATGAACTTTTTTATCAATCTCATCAGTTGTCACTCCTACTGAAACTAACGAATGTGCATAATCTAATGCTTTTCTTCCTAGTACACACGCTTCTCGAATTTTAGTAATTTCTTCTTCATTATTTACATATATGTCACTTTTTCTTTTGTATTTTAATTCTGATTCAGGAATAGAACTAACAGCATAATCTGGTTTTTTGATGTGTTCAGGTACTGGATTTATTTCTGATATAGGCCATGGTCTTAAATTTCCAGTAAATGCAAAATTTACAAAATTTTTCAAATGATGATCATATTTCCAATATTTCCTATTGGTTGGATCAAAATGTTCAGGTGATAACTTTTTTTTTATGATTTCCATTAATTTTTTTCTCTTTTCTTCCTCTTCATCGGGTTTCCGGTTGATATCCATTTTTTTTTTTTCTTCTTCTTCTTCGTCTTTCCACATTTCATGAATTTTAACAACATGTTCTTTCCACGAATTTTTGAAACATTCTTGTGTGCAAAAGTAGCTAACCATTTTTCTTTTCAAGCATATGGGACAACTTAATTTTTTGGTTAATACTTTTCCACATCCGTTGCATGTCTCTTCTTTCTCTTTTTCCTTTATGGTATCTTGCCCTTTGTTCCCCAATTCATCACAACCACTACCACCTGATGCACTGACGTCACATTCTCTCTTTTCACATACCATTCTGTACTTTGTACTTTTTTTACTTCTATATGTAGAAATATATATATAACATATGTTCATGCATCACTGTGCATTTTTTTTTCCCCCTTCAAATATGCATTCGGATTTGCATTAGTATTAGTATTAGCATTAACGTTAGTATTTGTGTATGAATTTGCATCTGCATTTATGCTTGTTTTTGAACGTACGTGGGTAAAAAAAGTTTCCCCCTTTGCACTCTCGTAAGGTACACGTACATATGTATACATATGTGTTGTTTATGTATGAACGTTTTTTTTTTTTTTTTTTTTTTTTTTTTTCATACATGTACTTAAAAAAGAAATAATGTTTACTGAACAATTTAGTGTACAAGGAGAATTGCAAACATTTCAAAAGGTGCAAAGAGTTAATAACATCTCCCTTGTGCATATGTTGTTTCATACTGCAGGTGCTATATCCTAATCTTCCCATGCGGTATATATTCATACATATATTTTCAAATGTATAATATGCATACATTATTGATTTATCAGCAGCATGCAACCACCAGCTCATTGTATTGATTTCAACGATGAGCATTTGCCTAATTATTTTATTTTTTTTTTTTTTTTCCTTTTTCACAAAGTTCGATGAAGATTCTGATTTCAACCATATGAATAATATGATTTTGATTATTTGAGGTTTTTTTATATTGTAAACTGTTGTTTCATTTCGACAGATATGAATTTTTCAAGAACGCCTAAAATCGGAGGACTTTTATGTATGTGTTTTTGCTATATACTATTTCAAGCAAACGGGGAATAAAATAACCAAAAAAAAGAAAAAAAAAAAAAAAGAGATAAAGAAGAAAATATTATAAAATGTCAAATCATGTGCTCCCAGTCCAATTCGGGATAATATAAAAAGAAACGAAAAACACCCCACCCCCAATGCATCCCATCTTTGGATTTCCGTTCTCGCTCGCACCCCATCATATGCATACATACATAAATATGTATGTACATATGTATATACACATGTAGAAAAAATTTAAATGAAAATTTTTATTTTAATATACTTACCCCTTTTCGCGATTTCACATAAAAAGAACTTCTCTACATCAGTGAAGCTTCTCAATAGCAACAACAGCAGTATCCGAGAAATTTGGAGTAGCAACAAAATTTGGAGTAGCAACAAAATTTGGAGTAGCAACAAAATTTGGAGAAGCAACAAAATTTGGAGAAGCAACAAAATTTGGAGAAGCAACAAAATTTGGAGAAGCAACAAAATTTGTAGTAGTTACCAAATTTGGAACAATATCCGTAGGAGCAAGAATATTCGTACAAGTGGACGAAAGACGAGTAACCTGTCATGGCCAAAACCTTTTAAAAATTTTATTAACAGAAAAAGGTTGGGACCACAGTCAAGCTGGGGAATGTATTTTATTCGCAACTTATTTTGTGATAGCAGACACATTTTTTTTAATTGTAAGAAATGAAAAAAAAAAAAAAAAAAAAAAAAAAAAAAAACGAAAAATAAACAACTAAGCGAATGTTTCCTACATACACATAAAATGCATAAAATATATGCAATAATTTGTATGCTAAAGATATTCCTGTGTGATCCAAATGTGTATCTCTAACTTTAGCAATAAAAGTTGCAAGGTCATAATATTCGAACATACAAAAGGTGTCCACAGCTCATTAGATCCATTTCTATATCCTATTTTTTCACTGCATTTTTTTTTTTTTTTTTGCATTTCTTTCACCCCAATCAGACAAATACTCAATCATAAGAAAAACACTTCATACCACCATGGAAACAAACAATGGATTACCAAAATGGAACATGCCGTCGAAAGAAGGGAAGAAAATAACAGGACTTATCTTAAACAATTCCCTCACGCGAAGTAAAGTGGAATTCGTACCCCAGGTAAAATTCGAAAAAACGATCGACCAAGTGTAACCAGTTGGTGCTATTGAACAAAAACAAGCAAGGGAAAAAAAAAAAAAAAAAAGAAAAAATTATCCCAAATTGGAAATTTTATTTTTGCTACCTACATGTGCACTTCTATGCGAGAATGTGATTTTCCCACTGAGTCATAGAAAATGGCCCCGTAGCCTCATAACCCCCACCCACCCCAAAAAAATGGAAATTAAAATAGGACAAAAATAAGACACAATATGGCAAAAATAATACCCTTATAACACTTAATGAAGCATTTCATTTTCCACATATTTGTGTACAGGAAAACAATCAAATAAAGTGGTACGCATGTGGACCAACTGTGTACGATGCAGCTCATCTTGGACACGCAAGAACATATGTAACCTTCGACATAATTCGAAGAATCCTAGTGAACTATTTTAAATATGACGTTTTTATGGTGATAAATATAACAGATATTGATGATAAAATTATAAAAAGAAGTGAAGAAGAGAATGTTAGTTTTACCGAATTGGCAAGAAAATGGGAGCATGAATTTTGGGAAGATATGAAAAAACTGAATGTTCTTTTACCAACAGCTATAACTAGAGTTAGTGAATACGTAGAAGAAATTGTGAAATATATAGAAAAAATAATTGAAAACAAATATGCATATGTAAGTGAAGAAGGTAGTGTATATTTTGATATTGATGAATTTAAAAAAAATCCTAAACATTTTTACGCACGTATGGAACCACTATCTGTAAAAGATGAAACACGAATATTAGAAGGCGAGGGAGATTTAGGAGTAATATCTAAAAAAAAAAAAAATTCTTATGATTTTGCATTATGGAAATCATCAAAGGCAAATGAACCATATTGGAACTCCCCTTGGGGTAAAGGAAGACCTGGGTGGCATATTGAATGTTCAACAATGGCTAGTAACATATTAGGAAATGTTCTTGATATACATAGTGGTGGTATAGATTTACGATTTCCACATCATGATAATGAATTAGCACAAAGCGAAGCATTTTTTGATGCAAATCAATGGGTAAACTATTTTTTACATTCAGGACATTTACATATTGAAGGATTAAAAATGTCAAAATCATTGAAAAATTTTATAACTATAAAAAATATGCTAAATATCTATACCCCCAATCAGATACGTATTCTTTTTCTTCTAAACAAATGGGACAGCTTTATGAATTACAGTCCAAATGGAGAAAGCATGATTCAATGTATAGAAATAGATAAATTTATATTCAATTTTTTTGCATTAATTGAGATGAAAATAAAAAATTTCAATTTAAATAATTCAAATTTGTATTGGGATGAAAATGATACCAAGTTGAATAATTTATTTAGTATTACAAAAAATAAAATTCATCAGTTCCTTCTTGACAATTTTAACACGCCCGAAGTTATTTTAACCTTACAAAAGTTAATTACAGAAATTAATATATACTTACAAAATAATAAAATTCAAGTTGGACTACTGCTAGAATTGAAACATTATATATCTTATATACTTGACACATTCGGATTGAAATATGGACATTCACAAGTAGGTGATAAATATGAAGAAAAATTTAATGAACTTTTGCAAATAGTAGGTATGTACAGGAGTAACATTCGAACGTCACTACAAAGTAATGCAAAATTCATTCGAAAATTTTTAAAAGAAACAAAAAAAGATGTTACAAAAAAGGGGGAAGAAAAAAATGATGAAACAACAACTGAAAAAAAACAAAAGGAGGATTTACTCTATACAGACTTTGTAAACAATATAAAAACAAATAATGATACCATGTTGAAAGAATGTGATTTGTTACGAGATGAACGTCTTCTAAACATGGGAATACTTATCGATGACAGACAAAACAATGAGTTTGTTATCAAAGTTCTAGATGATAATCAACTACAGCAAGAGAAGAGGAAGCGTGAGCAGGATCTCAATAAGAGGAAAAATGAACAAGGTGATACGATTGCCTCAATCAAGAAAGACACATTGAACACAAAAATTCCTCAAGAGGACAAGAGACAGAATGATATTCCACAACCATAGGAAAACATATATCTCATGCCTTATAAATTTACCATTTCCACAAATGTTTGACAAATCATCTTAGATTACAAATGGGGTTACCATTCAATTCACGATTCTCAATATGAGGAACAATTGAAATGATAAATATCTTTCGCCGTATTGCCCGTGCAGAAAAAAATAGGGTAAGAGAGGATCTCATCATAAAAGAAGCAGGTGTGGTGTCCGTGTCTTTATCGAAGCTTAAGTAGAATTCAAGAGGTGGTTCTCTTCATGTATGCCTCATGGGCGTGTACCCATGTACGTACTTGTAAGGAAAATAAATTGTTTCAAATATGAAAAATGATAATGCTTTTATTTTTTTTTTTTTTTTTCCAACGATTATAGCGGTTTCGACCATTCTTTCGACCTTTCTTTCGATCATTCTTTCGACCTTTCTTTCGATCATTCTTTCGACCATTCTTTCGGCCATTTTTTCGACCATTCTTTCGGCCATTTTTTCGACCATTCTTTTACGATTATTTTTTAACTATTTTTTAGCTATTTTATTTTACTACGTTCTTACTACTATCCTCTTTTTCATTATCCAAAGGTAAGAAAATACACCCCATCGTGTTCATCATGCCGTTCCCTCACCCAGACATCGGGGGAATGTAAACCATTTGATAGAATAATTTCAATCACTTCATCTTTGTCCATTCGAAATAGTGAAAAAAAAAAAAAAAAAAAAAAAAAAAATGATAAAATGATAAAATGAAACTCTGCCATAAATTTTTTTTTTTTTTTTTTTAAATGATTTACAACCACATATACTTCTCGATCTTGGAAAAAAAAAAACTATGCTTCCACAAATGATTCTCCGCTTACATTTAATTACATAAAGCATAAAAAGTGTGCAACGGGGCGGCAAAATGATAAAGCGAAAAAAAAAAAAAATGTTGTAACAGAGGGTGAAAGAGTCAAATAATGTGTCCCCATGTGACACACTCGAAGGGTATAAGCAAATTGACAAAAAAAATAAACAAAACAAAGCAATTCCTACAATGTCATTTTTAACATTTTGGTAACTCACAAAAATTTGGCCATATTTTTTGTATACCCCTTTTCTTCAATATGCTACAATTTAAGGTCCCGTGTTTTTTTTTTTTTTTTTTTTTTTTTTTTTTTTTTTTCCCCTTCTTTTTTCTACTTTGTAAAATCACTTATTTATCCAAAATGTTGTGAAGAAATAGTTGTTAAATTTCTTTTTTTTTTTTTTCACTTTTGATAAACATTTCTCTGACAAACAAAAATGGAACTTTTTCTCCATTCTTTCTCCTGTTCTTTTTTCCTTTGCAATAGTTTTAGAATGGTGAAAATAAAACTTCCAACATCCTTATACAGTGAAGAAATGAACCAACGGGGATGGAAAACTTGACACTATATAAAAAATAAGGCTATTGAGGAGATAATTTAATACTTATATTCCTCCATTGTCATTTTTTTTTTTTTTTTTTTTTTTTTTTTTTGCACGGTTATTTTCCCTGTTGAGTTATCTGGTTTATTCCACATTTATATTTTTTTTTCCTTAACTTCTTCATGTGGACCCCATGTATTTTTCCCATCCCTCCTAAAAATGGCCGAAAGAAAAGTCCTTAACAAATATATTCCCCCGGATTTTGATCCGGAAAAATTAGAAGAAAGGAAGAAATTAATGAGAAAAATAGAAAAGAAAAGGAACAGAAACAATAAATATAACAAGAAGAAAAAACATTTTTTAAACATTAGGATGATGTACCCATTCACCCTGAAATGTATCAAATGTAAAACGTTTACATATGTTGGGACGAAATTTAATTCAAGAGTCGAAAAATTAAAAGACGAGAATTACCTGAACATACCAATATGGAAATTTTATGGAAAATGTTTTGAATGTAAAAATGAAATTATTTTCAAAACAGATCCAAAAAATGGAGATTATATCCTAATATCAGGGGGTATAAGAACATATGACGCTCATAAAGAACAGGAAATTGCTGATGATTATTACAGAGAAAATAACATTATCAAAGAAGAAGATAAATTGAAAAATACAGAAAAAGAATCCTACAATGCCTTATTAGAATTAAAAACAAATGAACAGTTAGAAGAGTTGCAAAATATTAATAAAAGACACATAGACAAATTTAACAGCATCAATAAAGCTTTACATAAACTGTATGAAAAAAAAGGAATGGAAAATACCAAAAATAATTTCTTCATGAATAGCTTAGATCCAGAAGATCAAAGAGCCTTTTTCAATTTACTTAGTAGAAGCAGAAGAACAACAGATCAGACATGGGGAATGTCAAATGCAGCTATAGAGGAAATCCAAAGGGCGTCTAAACCTGAGGATGAGGATGTTATTATAGAGGTGCTAGAGGAAGGGGATGATGTTGAAACGGAGAATAAAGATGAGGAAAGCAACGATGAGGAAAGCAACGAAGAGGAAAGCAACGAAGAGGAAAGCAACGATGAGGAAAGCAACGAAGAGGAAGACAAAAAAGAGGAAAGCAAAAAAGAGGAAGACAAAAAAGAGGAAAGCAAAAAAGAGGGAAACAATGAAGAAGAAAATACCAACAGCTATATGTTAATAAATCCATGTAAGCCGCAAGAGAGTCCATTTCATAAAAAGAATTTTTTCGAAAAAAACGTAAAAAAGAGAAAACATAACAGTAACGAAGTAACGAAAGCAAACATGGATAAAGATATAGATGAATCAATAAAAGTAAATCAAAAAAGCGAAATGAGAAATGTTTGTGTAAAAGAAATGGAAGGATCCACGCTCAAACACAGTGTCAGCACCCGTAAAAACAAAACAATGTTTGTAAACAGCCCACAAACTACTATTAAAAAAAATTTCGAAAAGAATTACAACTTCATCATTAAAAAAAAGGAAGACCTTTCAAGTATTTTTAACGAGTACAATTCGGATAGCGATCAAAATTTGGATCACACAAGTAATTAAAAATGATGTACTTATATATATATATATATATATATATTTATTTATTTTTTTTTTTTTTTTTTACGTATAATTAAAGTGTAAAAATGTGCTAGCTCGGATCTTAGGTTCTTTTTTGTTACATTTTTTTTTTTTTTTTTTTTTTTTGTTACCTAAAATTTTTAGCACAATTTATATCTTTTAAGTACCTATTTTATGCTTTATATTTTTCCTAAATGTGGCCATTTTTTCGGTAGACAAAAATGTATGCATATACACACACATACACATGCGCTTGTGTACTACTAGCAAGTATGTGGCATATGCATCGGCATTACATATCTGTATGTATTTTTCTTTTACGCTTAAATATCCGAACATTCTAATTTTTTTTGAAGTGAAATATATGCATACATTTTTGCACACACCAATTTTTGTGCATTTTTCATGTTTTGATATTTTATGTCTAAAATATTATTTATTTTTACGTGTAATTAAAATTCTGATTTAAAATCATCCTCTAATTAAAGAAATAATAAAATAAAAAGTTAAACATAAGAATGAAAATTATCTTAATTTTTAAAGGACAAAAAAAAAAAAAAAAAAAAAAAAAAAAAAAAAAAATAGCATAAACTGAATTAATATAAAACCAAGAACACATAAGAGATGTCACAAAAAAGTGTAGAGAGATATTTTATCAAATTATATCTATGCAAATAAATAACCAGTTTTCAAATATATTACATAAAAAGAGAAAAGGAGAACGGGAATATAAAAATAAAATACAATGAAATAATAAAATGTCTTAAAATGTGTACTTATAATTAAGAAAATCTGATTAGAGTGTTGATAGTTTTTAATATGCTCTGCATAATTCCCAATGGGTGATTATTTTTAATTTAGCAAAATAAATAAAAATAAAAAAAAATACGAAAGCATGGTCTTTTCTTTTTATTCTTCCAAATAGGCCTTTTTTTTTTTTTTTTTTTTAAATAATCTCCACCTTAAGGAGAACTGTATTTTCCTTAAAATGTAGAAGTACTTTTTAAAATTTATAATTTGTAGCTGTCTATCCACCTTCTCACGTACCTATCTATCTGTATATATATATATATATATATATATATATTTATTTATAATGAATATACGTCCGCGTTATTCCTCATATTGTAAAGTTAACATGTACATTCACATACATCCTCATGATGAGTACCTCATCCCCTGGTAACTAATATGTCAGCTATTTCTTTCTTATGTATCTTCAGGAGATAGTCTATTGTGTCTTTCATATTCCCAGTTTTTTAAGAAATATGCTGGTAAATAGCAATCGTTACATTTTAAAAATTCGTTTTTTACTGTATCTTTGGCTGAGCCAATAGAAGAATACCCATGATTATATAAAATGCAATAATCAAATTTAAAATATAAAATAAATGTCCAAATGGCTCCGTAGGTCCAATAAAAAATTGGGTTTAAATATAAATATGGTGGCAGTCCTCTAGAACTAATATTTAAAATTTGTAATTTTTCACTATAGGTATCATTAAATCTTGTTCCATTAACAAATGCTATAGTTGGAAAAAATGTACATGAATCGATTTCATTTTCTTTCATTTGATAGCTCATACTAATTTTATGCTTATTTTGAAAAGCTTCTATAAATGTTGCAATGCTATTTTTCCATGTTCCTTTAATTACACTTATATTAAAATCATGCATATATACACATTCGTTTAAAAATTGATATACTTCAGGAAATTCGTTTATTTCGTCTTTAAAATAAATTAACTTTGGTTTTTTTCTTTTTCCCTTAACATCATGTAAATATTTAGCATATGCACACCTAAATAAATGTAAAATTACAACAGCATCTTTGCCTCCATTAAAAGATAGAAAAACATTATCCTTACAAAGACGAAAGATATCATAAACTAGATCTATTGATGTCATTATATCTTCAGATAAATCCATTATTTTTTTTTTTAACATTGTTTCATCTTTATAATAATTAATAATATCATAATTATACATGCTATGTTTGATAACGTCCCGGTTTTTTGCACCATTTTCAATTTCATTGTAACCCTCTTCTGATTTATAACATTTACTCGAGGTTTTACTATTGAAACTCTTCAATTTATTAATTTCTTTAACATGTTCCTTATGTAATTTTTCGATTTTTTCAAACAACTTTAGTGAGTTTGTATAATCATTCCATTCTTCATCCTTGTCTTCAGACTCCATGATTCAAATTTTTTCACATTGATCAAGGTCTTATAGTTGTTTTAAAATAATAATAAAAAAAAAAAAAAAAAGGAAGTCTGTTTATTATATCATATTTTTTTTTACTCAATGAAAGAAAATGAAAAAAAATACTATATATACGTATGTAACCTTATTTAAATTCTACGTGTGTATATTTTAAATGTTTCTGATTATATAGAAAAGAGTAAAATGACAGAAGAAAAAAATTCAAAAAAAAAAACTCAAAAAAAGTACACTAAAATAAAACAATTAAAAGGACAAAAAAACTTTAATAGGAAAAAAATTTTTATAATTGCAAAAAGGTGGTAGTATGGAAAAAAAAAAAAAAAAAAAAAAAAGCATAATCAAAAAGTATTAGTCACACCTAATAAGCATGATTGGATTCAAGGGCAAATGATAAAATGAAACAAAAGTCGTACAATTTTTTCTCAGCAATTTCTCGATACTTTTTCTTTTCATGTTTGCTCCAGGCTGTAAATATTTAGAAAATGCAAAGGTACCAAAAAATATATAAATAAAAATATAAAAACATAAAAACTTGAAATGAAATGTAATACAAAAAAAAAAAAAAAAAAAAAAAAAAAAAAAAAAAAAAAAAAAAAAAAAAAAAAAAAAAAAAAAAAAAAAAAAAAAAAAAAAAAAAAAAAAAAAAAAAAAAAAAAAAAAAGGAATAAAGGCAAAAGCAAAGTGAGAAAAATATATAACATAATCTATAACAAAATTATAAAAACACTATGCAAGAACTACAATCCCCTCCTCCCCATACTTTTTTTTTTTTTTTTTTTTCTCTTTTCCATTACGTCCTTTTTAGAATACAATTAAATTTACTAATGTGTAATTGTAGACTATTTAAAATTTAAGGAATTGCGTAAAAATTGAAATTTTGTAAAAAGAGTGGACAATAAAAAAAAAAAAAAAAGAAGCCAAAATAACAAATTGTTAGTGAGCCTTTGTTAATATATTGTCCGTATTTGGTTATTAGTTGATTCATTCCATTTTTTAGTTCTAGGACACATGTCAATTTTTAGGAATAATTTTGCTTTTTTATATTCCCTAGCGATTACATGTTAATTGAATTAGTTTCACTTCCCCTTTTTTGGCATTACCTTTTTATAAATTAAAAATGGGAGGTAGCAACCATGAAGAGGTCTTATGTGTATACAAGAGCAAGAAGAAAATCGAGGAAGAAAAATTTTAGAATTTTTTTTTTTTTTTTTTTTTTTAAACCACATATGCACAAAGGTAGATATAAGCATACACACTACTTTTTCGTTACACATGAAACCTTAAAATATTCTCAAAACATTTAAATTATAGCCCGCAATTTTTTTTTTTTCTTTTAGAATAATGTGTGAAATGTGTATTATTATATTATGAATGACGTTCCTATCAATTGTACTTATGTGTTAGCAACAGCAAAAAATTTTGTTTGCTTATTTTGAGAGAGTGTGGTGTTTATGATACACATAATATGTAGCTACCCCCACCCCCAACCCTTATACCACATACCAAAGGGGCAGTGTTAATCTTATATGTAAAAACACTTATGACCGGACTAGTATGTGTGTATACTTATGACAATGAGCAAATTTTCCTCTTTTTTCCATAGTGGAATACTTTTATGTATGCTCCTATTTAATGTGCACGTGTTAAATTTGTTTAAAACGTTCAGATGTAAGAAAATCAGATTATTACTCTTTGGCCATTGAAAAAATGTAAAGGCGGCCGATAGTTTCAATTGCCTATATATATATATATATACATGTACACATATAAAACCATTCAGTTTTTGATATCTCGTTTTGTGGTCGCACCCTGTATAAGGTGTTGGTAAATTCGTTTAGTGTCACACGTGTAGGAACATTTTTAACCGTCACACATAAATATACACTTTATTCTATACGTGTAAAAAAAAAAAAAAAAAAAATGTAAATATTCTACAATGTATGCATGCATTACTAGTATGCAGAGTGTGACAAAGAACTAGGGAAATAATTCTCTGCAACAATACTTTTTGCTTTAATTTTGAAGCTTTTTTTTTTTTTTTTTTTTTTTTGATAAAACCTCATTCGACATGTATCATTCGTCCCGTCATCGCTAAATTTTTCATCTGTTTTATCACGTATGCAACATTATCCCGGAAATTATGTTTTCAAACTGCAAGGATGGGCAACTGGTTTTAAATTTAAATTCTAAAAATGTAGACTTCCATCTGTGCATATTAGACTGATTGTGTATAGTTTACTATTTCATTCTTTTTCTTTTTACTTATTATATTGAAGGAATATGGAGTTGTGAGAAATGCAAAAAAAATATTCCTTTAAAAAATGTACGCAAGGAGTAAAATTGTAAACTGCGTATGAGGGGCTAAAATACAACGTGAAAAGTTCCCATATTTTCTAACATGTTTAAAATAAAAAAAAAAAATAAAATAAAGTAGAATGTTTCTGTTACAACTGTAGTTTCTTATATGCTGCTTAAAAAATGCACCATCATTTCTATTTTATTTATTTTTTTTTTATTCAATGTTTCTGTTTGAAGCAGTTTTTAAGGATTAAATTACACTTTTTTTTTTTTTTTTTCAGTACGAATCTACATACTTATATATGTGTGTATTCTCCCACTTTTTAAAAACATTTAGCATAAAGTGAACTAAGAGGAAAAAATGCTAATAAGAGGATTGTGTATCCAACATATATAATGAATTTTTTCTTCATCAAAAGTTTCTATTTGTCTTCACACATTTAGCAAGAAAAATAAAATCGAATGAAACAAAATACACTACAATATGATACACACGACATAGTAAATTCCACTACCATAACAACACACTTACTGTTGTTTGCACTTTTGTGCATTTTTGGTATTTTGTTGTTTTTTTTTTTATATTATTATTATTATTGGGGGAATTACATTCTGGGTTGACATTGTGAGGTATGTTGCAAAAAATATATGATGGCATTTCACTTTTTTTTTTTTTTTTTTTTTTTTACACCTATCAAATTAATATTTTTCATATTCCCCCAAGCGAGTAAATTAAATATAAAAAAAAGGTTAAACAAAAAAAAAAAAGAAAAAAAGTCAAACAAAAAAACAACAAAAACGTAACAAAAAATGTGTCAAAGAAACATAGCAATAAAAGAAAAAAAAAAAAATAAATAAATAAATTGCACAAAAATAATCCCTTTTGTTAGGACATTGCTTTCTTTGTAGACACATATTTTTTTTTCTTCTATATGTTTTTTTTATATAGTAAATTTCACTTTCATACTGATTTTTGTTTCTCATTTTGTTTTATTTTATTTTGTTTTGTTTTGTTCTTTTTTTTTTTTTTTTTTTTTGTTTTTCTTCTCCCTTCAACAAGTTTTACAACAATATGAATAACAAAATTAAATGTTCTCTATGTATACATTGTAGTAAGACAATTCACTACGAAACTTATTTTTATAATTGACAACTTACCTGTCACGAACCTTTTTCTTTTGATACATCCCGTTCCTTATTAATACACACATACACACCTAACTGTGAAATTTTTAAGTGTATCCCATTGTACTTTTTATTTTCTCACCCCCTTTATAAAATTTGTTAATGTTTCCACCATTTCAACATTTCACCATTTTGTTGCATTTTGACAGCACTGTCGCTCATTTACTTCCCTTCTCGTTATACGTATATCTTTTGTGAGGTCATGTCATCAAAGCATTACTCTCTCCATGTGTCATTGTAAGGACTGTACACACTTTTAGACAATGCCAATTAACATACGATACCGTTTTCTTCGAGCATAAAATTTAACACCGAGAAAATATAGCATTAAAGGATCACTTTGAAATTTAAGTAATAACTACAAAAAAGCAAATAAAGACGCAGATGAAGCATCAAATAAAGACACCAATATATAGGAACAAATGAAGGAAAAAATATATCCAAGGTATGAATGGTTTTTTACTTATACATTCCTATGATACCCCCACCCCACCCCCTTTCCTAATTATCCCAAATTACAACCTGTCAATTACACTCTTTTGTGACATTTTAATTTTCTTTGCCACATTTATTCGTGAATTATTCATATTAGTATTTCTCTCTTTTGGGTTATTTCTTTTTTTCTCTCAACCGTTTCATCATCTCTCTTCATTTATGTGCTTCCAAAAAAAAAAAAAAAAAAGAAGTGTAGACTTAAAAATTCTCAAATTGAAAACTTCCAAATTAGCAAAGTCGTAAATTCTCAAATCAAACATTTTCAAATTAGTAAATTTCCTTTCAGTTAGCACTTCAGAATAGAGCAAAAAAAAAAAAAAAAAATACCTGGTAAGTGTATTTCCAAATAAAGCTGACCCTGCTATAAAAATCCGAAACGATGTTTTTTTCTATGAACAACGAGGAAAACCAAAATGATACCACGAAATGCAAATTAACAGAAGAAGGAGAGACGAATACATTTTTTGAAGTGCCCAATAGAGATATGAAAGGAGTTCTGAATGACCATATGGTAAGAGAAAATAACAATATAACAGAGAAAGAAACTGTAATAAAGAAAAAAAACGAGCATGCCATAAATCCAAGCAGTGTGCAAAACCTAAAGAAGGAAAATGTAGAATCTCCAATTCAATATACTATAAGTGTGCTGGATGAAATAGTTTCAAAAACAAGTGAATATTCAAAATTATTTCTTAACCATTTTAATGAAAATGAATCCCAGTTAACAAAAACTGGTATAAGTGCAAATTTGGTACTAGACAGAACCATTAAGGACTATATGGAAAGTAAAGAAAATTATCATCCTGACCACAAGGATCTAGATAATCTTCAAAAGTGTGAAAAGGAAAATGTAATGAACAATTTCAACAGAACAATGTTTATTAGAGAATATAACGAAAATGATACAAAGAAAGAATGTTACCTGAATAACTACAAAGATGAAGATGTATACAATGATCTGAATAAAGTCTATTCATGCTATTCAAATTTCTCATTTGATAATTTGAATAATATGGATAATATCACAGCAAGCAAGAGTGAGGCGAAGCTTTTCCAATCAGATGGAGTTGTTAATAAAAGTATTGGAAGGAATGAATGTATAAAACTTCTACATATGGGAAACAATGAGGAGGATATTATCAAAGAAAATAAAACTGGTTCAGGAAAAAATGAGATACGGGATATGTTATCGACATGTAATACAGAAAAAAGTAACTCATATGATGAGAGTCAAAAATATTCAGACCAAGAAATGAGTGAAGATTGTATGAAAAGAACACATAGCGATGATGCTATAGATGAAGATATTGTAGAAGTTTACTCAAAAAAAGGAAAAGAGGAATTTAAAATGAGTAACAAAATGGAAAAACCAGCGTTAAGTAATAAATCGCTAGAAGAATTGAACTATAGCAATAGAAAATCACATTCTCCATCATTCATAGAAAAGGAAAATCTTCTGGATATCTCTTCCATAGCAGATCAAGCAAGGAAAAGAGTATGTGCTGAACTTGGCTACGATTTAAATGATATAGGAAATTTTAACTTGTTGACAAATGAGAGGAAATCTGATGAAATTTTTCAAGAAGTTGATACTTTGGACACTAAGAAGAGTACTGTGGAAAGTGAGAGTGATGCTAAGGACCCAGATGAAACATTTGATTCTTTGCACTTGGATAGTAAAGCAGAAAAGAAAAGCTCCAACAGTAACGAAAGCGAAAGAAGCAATGAGGGAAGTAGAAATAGCTCAGACGAAATAGAAAAAATATTTAGCAAGTATCAAATTGAAGTATCGCACGTGTCTAAATATTTCGACTTTAATAAGAACGAAAAAAAGGAAAATATAGAAGCAGAAAAGGATCTTGAAAAGGAATATGGTGATGAGCATATCGAGAAAAAAGAGCAAATTTTTGTCTATGGGGAAAACGAAGAAGTGGTAAACCAAAACGGTGATAATGTAGAACGTATAGGAAGTACGGACGTCCGTTTTATTATGGACGAAAAATATGGAAATGAAAATGGAAGCGGATTAAATGGGAGAGATTTAAATGGGAGCGGATTAAGCCAATTTAATGAGGAATCGCTGAAAAAAAGACCATCAATGAATTATTTATCCGAAGAAGAATCTATAAACCTAGATGTGTATGAAACGAATTACTTAACAGAAGATGTACTAAAGGGCGTGCTAAACGTGAAGGAAGAAAAAATCACGTTTGAAATATTTAAGAACATATACTCTGATGTAAATTACGACATCAACTTGTCCAATGTGGAATTGTTGTTTAATGCTATTGAACAGAATAGCACCCAAAAGGTTAAGAACGAACATACTACGGATCTCCTGAATGGAAATAAAATGGAAGAAGGAGAAAAATATGTAACTGTTAATGACATAAAATCATATATAATAGAAAGGAATACACAAAATAATAACTACTTCAATGAAATTATCAAAATGATTGTTCATTTTAACAATATATTATTATTAATGATGAATAATAACGAAACAGAAGTAAAAGATAAAATATTATTTGAGCTTTTATCCTTAAAATTTTTATCCATATTTAACGACATTCTACATGTACAGAACAATTTTGACAACTTGATTAAACATATAAATGAAATAATAAAATTAATTATTTCCCATGAATCGAAAGAACAAGGTCTGAAGGAAATTATATCTGGATATTTAATAAGTCAGAAAATTAGGGTTCACGAAAATAACATCCTATCACAGTTGAGCCTTACAAATCACATACATAATCCACAATTGAATAAACAACTTGATATAAAACAAGATAAAGAATCCTGTAACATCTTAGACAAAGGAATGTCTAAAGATGTTGATTCTGAAATAGGCTTAGAAGATGTAGAACTAGCTAAGCAAGAAACAAAACTGGATTTATCGCCCACTACAGATACATATAAAAAAGCAAAAAATGAAAACGATCCTGTACAAACAAAAACGCTTAATACAAATTGTGTAACAAGAAACGGAAAGAGGGAATCTATTGTGGACACTGAAAAAGAGGATAAAAAATTAATCATGAAACTGATAGAAGCAGAGAATAATACACGAAATTTAACAAAGGACATTATAATGGATGAAATAAAGAATACTGATGAAAGTACTGTAAAAGATGATTTGAAATCTAATTCTTCTCACGCTAATAGGAAAGAGAAAGGGTCTTGCAACCCATTCCTCAATAATTTGAATTCATCAAATGATGCAATGGTTAGCAGTAACAACAATTTAAGCAGTAGTAGTGAAGTATTAAATGGCAGCAACGATCTTAGTAGTATCGACGGAATGAACAAAATAGATAGTGTGGAAGGTTACGAGAATGGAATAATAAGAAACAACAAAAAACATATCACGTGTAAAAATAATAAAATGAAGGATTTAATAATAAAAAAGATTAATAAAAAATCGAATGTTGTGGACGAATTAAAGACGAAGCAGATTCCTATAAACGAGGAAGAAAATGAGAAAAACAAAAAAATTAAAAAAGTGAAAAAAGTGAATAGGGAAAAAACAAGTCAGAGAAGTTTCATTGCCCTAACAGAAGTAAAGAAAAAAATGGAATTAACAAAAAATGCTAAAAATAGAAAAACAGTAGACAACCAAAAAAAAGGTGAAGGAAATCAAAAAATTATTGATCATAAAGAAGCCCTTGATATTAAGAAAGTAGAGAATTGTAAGAAAATTGAAAACTACTTAAAAAATGTACAAGAAAATAAAGAGAAAAGTAAAATGTTACCTAATAATAACCTTAGTGAGAAAAAGGACGAACTGAGCCACAAAAAAAATAATAAAATTGAAGTTTTCACAAATCAGAATTTTAATTTCTCCAAATTTAGCCAAAATAGAAACACACACGTCATTTCGAATAATATGATGAGCTGTATCTCAACGAGTGACAGAAATGTACCCACCATCTCAGCTACAGCTGCAGCGATGGAGGGAGACCTGGAAAAGGGGATTGAGAAAAATAAATATTCTCCACAGAATAATTTTTTGCAAGAAAATGGACATTCTCGAATATTCTTCCAGAACAATCCTAGCATGAGCAATACATACATGAATGGAATCCAAATGAATAGGAACCAAATGGGTGGAATGCAATTGAGCAACATCCATGGGAAAATAAATTTCGTAAACAGTCCAATCTCTTGTGAGATTAAAAGTAAAGAAAGAGCGTCCATAGCCAATTTGTCAAGTTATAAGGACATTTGTAACAAACAAATAGGGAAAAACATTATAAATGGAACAAATCCAATGCAACAAAAAATATTAGAAAATTCCTTATGGAAGGATGATTCTGGAAAAGGAGACATTGTGAAGAATTATCGAGCTACTACTGAGAATGAAAGTCACGACCACATTTACAATTACAGCAGCAAGTTGGAATACCACAAAAAAAAACAAGTCAATATGTCAAATAAAATTCAAGAAATTGCAAATATTTCACCTAATGAAAATCAAGGATCGAAAATGAAACAAAATTCGAGAAGCACTACAGACAAAGACAGCATGACTAAAAAAGATTCAAACAATTTAACTTTAGAAAAATTAACTAAAGGAAACATTGAATTGTGGGGACAGATAACCACCAAGGGAGAAAAGTTGGGACAATATAAATCGCAATGGAAAATTTTGAAAGATGAAAATTTGTTAGATAAAGAGAAAACCAATTTGGATGAAAAGGCCAAGAAAAAAGGAATTCAACAAAACGATAAAGATATTGTTGTAACAAGTCAAGAAACGAAAAAAAATCAACTTGAAGAGGAAAAAGGAAAAGGTAGTAAAAATGAACCCTTTATGAATCAAAAAATGAATCACACGAAATTAATGGATAATAATCTCACTAATGAGCATACAAAAGATAGCACAAGTGTCAGTAACATAAACCATTTTAATAAACAACCCCCCTTTGTGAATAAAAGGTACAGCAGTGAATATAATAAAATGATAAATCAGAAAATGTACACAGGTTTTAAGAGAAATGTGAATCACTTTAATGACATGAATAATGTCCTCCTTCATGCAAAGGGTCTTACATATTCTAACAGACATTTTACCACTACAAATAACGACAATTTATTTGGTATAAGAAAAGAAGGGGAGAAAAAAGATAATGTTGTGTGTACTAATCCTACCAATTTAGAAAGTAATGTATCAAAATTGAGCAACTTGAAAAAGTTTACAGACTTGAAAAAGTTAATGCACTTAGCAAACGGGTTGAATGAGGGTAAAAATTCACAAGGAAATATTGAAACAGAGAAAAACACAATTGAAAACAAGTCAGCATATAATCGATTTACGGAAATTTTTACAAATAAAATTAAAAACTTTACACTTCGAAATAGTAAGTCAATCAGATGCAGTAAGACTCATGAAAATGTACCTTTTTCTAATGATACAAATTCTGAGGAAAAAGACAAAAGTAGTGAACTTAAGATGGAAAGCAAAAATTCGGATGATAATAGCAGCAAGGTGTTGGAAGAAAACACATCTAAGTATCATAATTCTCTCGTTAATGAAAAGGGGAATTACCTGTGTGACAATAAAAAGAGAGGAAATATAGTCGATAGTTTCATAGAACAACTCAATTTTTTCCAAAGTAAATGCACATCGGTTGAAGTTAATCAACATCATCATGAAGAGAGCCTTCCCAGTGAGGACAACAAGACACAGATGGAAGTAGCAGAAGCAGGCGTAGACACGAGGGAAGATGCTAGGGAAGATGCAGGAGGACACACACACATTAATGACACAACTAAGAAACCAACTGAACACAAAAACATTGCTGAGGATAAAAACAACGATATTGGTATAAGCCAAGTGAGCAGCATTTTTTGTACAGTAAAGAACAATCGAGATGATGTGAAGAAAAGAGGGAAGGGCATGCATATTAGAAAACCCGGGATACTAGGTGTCTCGAATGGCAAAGATGAGGATATACAACAATCTGGGAATGTGAACAATTATCCAAATGGCCACATGAGCAACTCTCCAATTGGCCACACGAACAATTACCCTATTGGTTACATGAACAATTACCCGATTGGCCACATGCAGAACTCTCCAATTGGCCATATGAAAGCTTTAAACACGCATACAGGTGCAATGAGAAACTTAAATAATGCAATGTACAGTGGTAAGGGTGGCATTAATTGGTGTAACGAATTTGCAAACAATATGGTTCATAAAAGTAACAATGCATCCCTTGCACGTAATAGGAATATCATCATGTTGGAGGGAATGTATAAACCAAATTACAATTCACAAATGCAGAACAGAATTAACATTCAAGCAAGAGGTGTGCCACGAGGAGCATCAGCAGCACCTGTATCACGTGGATCACATAACATGAAAAAAACAAATTCTTATTTTTTGCACCACAACCAACATAACGGAGAATTATTCTTCCCATTTCAGAAAAGAAATAGCACTTTACATAACCCTGTATCAGTTCCGAAATTTCAAGGTCATCAAAATAAAATGACAGATTTAATAGAAAAGGAAAAAAATTTATTGGATATATGTGACATGAATGCAAAGAATGATATTTCCTACTCAAACGAAATAAACCCTCTTTTTAAAACTGAACATATGCAACAAACAATGCACAATTATAGAAAAAAAAATGTAAGTAATGATATAGGTAATATTGAACAATATACTACTGATAAGAGGACTTTTGTTAATCCCTTCATGGAACAAGAAAATAGCCACAAGGGATTAGGTTATATGCATCTAAGTAATAACATACTTCTAAACAAATCAAATGCCAACAATCGCTATAATTATTCTCTTTTTAACAAAAAAATTAACTTCCAAGAGGAAAAAAATAACACTCACACCAGTACCTTCAATTCATACAACACGAAAGATCAGCTGAAACGCAATTGTGTTCTCAAGGATGCACATATGCAGGAAAATTATATCATGAAGCCTGTTCATCATAACTGGAATGGCACTGCCCACCAAATTGGAACCCAGTTAGATCCACCTAACGTTGACAAATGCATGCTGCAGAAGTGGAAAAAAAATAATGCAAACGAGGTAGACGATTCCAGTAAGGTATATCATGAAATGGACTCTAATAAGGTATATCATGAAAATGTCAGTAACCTCTGGAACCCGCAAAATTTCACAAAGGAAACTACAACCTTAAAAAAAAATGATGGAAGGGTATCCATGGCCCCCAACTTTTTAACCCCTTATCATAAAGACATCCCTTCTAATGATATGCAAAGCGTGAATTTCGCTGATGAAAGTAATAACCTTACCATCGAACAAATAATGAAAATACCTGGAGTAAAATTAGGAAAAAATTACATACAAGATGTAGACATCTGTTCAGATTGGCTAAAGTTTAATGATTATGACAAGAAAGTCATCGAAGAATCTTTAAAAAACAGCTTCAAGAACAAAAATTACAAGAATTTTATGGATTCTATGCAATCTGCAAATGGATTTTATTCCACTGTCAAATAGTTTCACAAAAAAAAAAAAATAAAATAAAATATAAGATTCAGACCTGAGGCCAATGTCTAAGGGGGATACATAACAAAGGAATGGAAATAATCAGTACGCACGGTTATATATCCATTCTCGTATTCATACATATATGCAGGATATATATATATATATATATATGCCTAATTTTCGATTAGGCATAAATAGGTTTTTCCTAATATATCGCGGGCATATAGATATGTCACATTTTTCAAAAAGGACTAGCAAATTGATGTTATTATGAGAATTGTTATATATTAAGACTGAGAAAAAGAAAAAAAAAAAAGGAATAGAGGTCAGCTCATTTAGTGCAAAATTATTTAGTCATATGTTCATAAACACAATGAACAGAAAGTACCCTTATGGAAGATGAACTTTCTATGATTTTATCAATCGGTGATACTTTTCCCATTAGGTAAAAATATTTCATACTAATAAATTTTTGTTACAATGGAATAAAAATATTTGTAAAAGTGTATAATATAGCCTCCGTTTTTTTTTTTTTTTTTTTTTTTTTCCCCTTTTTTTCCTATTTTCTGCTTGTCCTTTTTTGTTTTTTCCGTATATTTCTTGCAAATAATTGGACTCCATTTAGGATGTGCATGGGGGCATATCAGTATATATGCTTACATAACCTTGCTTATCTATGAAACTTTTTTTTTTTTTTTTTTTTTTCTGTTGTAGAGTTACCATTTTTTAAATATTAATTTTTTCCCTCTGCATGCTGGTCTCTGAATGACACTGTTTGTTTAGTTTTGTGATTTCAGCATTGTGGCTTTAGCTTCCCCATTTTTGCCTCCCCATTTTTGCCTCCCCATTTTTGCTTCCCCATTTTTGCTTCCCCATTTTTGCTTCCCCGTTTTACTTTTTTTTGTCTTATGAATTCGCACAAACTTTGTTCACCTGTTTTCAAATAAACATATTCAACTCATTATGAATAAAAAAAAGAATTTTTTTTTTTTTTTTCTTTTTCATTTTCCCAATTTTACCGTTTAAAATTATCCCTTCTTCTCCTGACACCTATCGTGGAAATTTTTTTTCGATGAGGATTTTTCGACAAAAGGAGACATGTCACATATCTCGCAAACGCACATCCTAACCAATTGTTTTAAGTGCATACTGTTAAAAATTTTTCTTTTACACCATTTTTAGTAATATATTTGTGTTCAAAATTTGCACACACACACACATTGTGCACTTCATATATATATTTTTTCTTCTGTATGTATTAACAAAAAAATTGTATCTCATGTTTTAATCAAAAATGACCTTGACATTTGTGTCCTATTAGAAAGGGGAATATACTCCCCCTCCTTAAATGAAGTGTTATGTAGGCGCTGTTATTAGGTAAAAGATGGAATTCATAAGACGGAAAAAAATAAATTGTATCTCCAAGTTATGCCTTCATGTTATGTCACCAAATTGTGCGAAAAAAAAAAAAAAAAAACCTCAACCGTGGTCTTTTGTCTGCAAAATTAATTCACTAATCTGGCTTATATAAAAAATCAAGAATTTTTTTGTAATCTTAAAACTGAACTATATTACAAAAAGTGCAAGTGCCAACAAATTACCACATTTATGAAGAGTTCTTTCACTGAAAGAGAAGACAACGATCTATAGCCTTTTTGTTTGAAATGGTTTCACTGAAAAAAAACGGAAATTCAGGGGTGGATGAAAAAATTGAGCTCCTAGTGGGAATAATAAAACAGTGGACATGCAAGTAATAAAAATAGGGAGAAAAAGAAGTGAAGGGTGAAAAGTGCAGATGCAAGTGTACACCTACATGTGTACTACTCAAAAATCAAGCCCCATTTCCTGTGTATCAAAACATACACTCAATTTTGTAAACAGGTATGCTTACCGGATACTGGTCAAGGGGAAGGATGAAGATAAGGCGGAACATTAGTAAGGATCGATTTGTTCGCGAGCTCATTTTTATTCTACCAAAATGTAGTGAACAGGAGACACGACATTACACATTTGTTAGGGATACATTACTTATTTAGTTTTTTATTTTTATTTATTTTTTTTTTTTTATATATATATTATTATTGTTATCACTGTTATCATAATTAGTATTACTTTTATTTTATTATTTTTTATGTATTATTATTTTTACTTTTTTTTTTTTTTTTCTTTTTTTTTCAACCTTATACACTCTACGTGAACACACTGCAGCTACAAAGTCACCTTTTATAACCAAAGTGAAAATGAATCAATATCGAAATGTACAATCAGTGCGATATTTACCTTAACTGAAATATGCTCAGTGGGGATAGATCACTGTGATTATACATCTAATATTTGTGACAAATATTTTGTTTCTTTCAAATTTGAAAATGAAAATTTAGTACGCACTGTAGACATGTGCCTAAATTACGAAGCCTGGATTGATAAGTAAAATATAAAGAAAAAAAAAGTGGAGAAAATATTCTTCCATGAAAAAAAATTATTCATTAAAATTAGAAGACGTATTAAGAGTGTGAAGGGAGAAATAAATAAATAACTTATCCCAAAACTTTATAAAAATATTATCCTAAAATATAATATGGAAATTTTAACCGACCTTCGCTACAAATTAAAATTTATTTTATTTTTATTCTCAAATTATCACTTATCTTGTACTCACCCAAAAAAAAAAAATAAAAAAAATGTTCCTTTTTTCCACTGTTAGACTTATCAAGGATAAAGAAAAGCTGAGGAACAATATTGATCTATCATCAGAGTTATTAAAAAAGAAAGAACATATTTATTTATAATACTCCTATGTAGTAGTATAAGAGCTGTATTTTTTTTTTTTTTTTTCTTATTTTATTTTTCTCCACTTGGTATTATATTTTCCTTTATTTCTGCGTCCCGGATGCAGATTTATGAGGACGAGATTTGTTAAACCAGCTGATGAGAAAAACATCGAAATAATTTTGCAAAAAATTAAAGATGAAAGAGAAGAGGCTCGAAGAAGCAAGGAAGAAGAAAAAGAATTTAGAGAAAAAAAAAAAACATTTTTAAAAACAGAAAATATATTGCACAATAAAAAGACTTTCTTTGATGAAACCTATGAATTAGACAAAATAAATTCGCAAAAAGATTTGAACACAGATCATGGGAATAATGAATTAGAAAGAACAAGTACAAAAAATGTGGAGAATGAAAAATTAAATGAAGTTCTCTCATTTCTGAAGTCTAACTTGTACTTTTACTTTACGAATGTGGATATTAAAAGGAAAGGTAAGAGCAAATGGAAGAAAAAAAAAAAAAAAAAAAAAAAAAAAAAAAAAAAAAAAAAACAGAGGATAGTGGATGGAGGAAGAATAACCAAATGGGTTACATGATGAATCGAATAAACCATTTCATATGTCCATTCGCCCCTAATTCAATGCACATTTTTTTTAGGAAAACTGAAATATGACCATTACATAGAAATACTAAAAATGGTGAATTACAAAATGTGTATTAGTTATCGTCATGTGAATAATCAGAAGAGGAACGAACAAAAGGAAGAAAAAGATGGAGAATCAAGTGAGGAAAAAAAACAAATGCAAGGGGAAAATATTTTGTCAATTCCAAGCACCCCAGATAATTACCTTTTTTGCGAGTCAAGTGAAGAGTTGTGTTCCAACACGGACGACAGCTGGGAAGACGAAAATTTAGATATATCGAATATACCAAAAAATAACAAAAAAGGAATGAACAAAAATGATAAGAAGTGTATATTGAACCTTTTCAATATTAATAATAAAGAAGTATATTTAATTAAAGATATTAATATATATCAGAATAACAATTTTAATGGATGTAATATATTTTTTGAACTGGAAAATGTTCCTATTAATTCTGAATACTTCCTTTTTGATATAGACAATGAATATTGTCAATATATATACACTGATAATTATTACGATTTTTTACTATATGTTTCAAATGCTGATGAAGAAGACAATGGGCATATATACTACAATAATTACATAAATAATATACCCCAATATTTATATGAATTGAAAAAAAATAGAGAACATTTTAAGATTATTACTTTGGACAATTTGTTACTGTATAAACAGTTAATATACGCATGTTATGAAAATGAATTAAATTTTATGTATGAGACCTTTTTACACCAATTTAAGAAGTATGATTTATCAGATAGTGGATACATACATCGTACTCATTTAAAAAAAGTGCTGCAAAAAAATAATCACATAATATCCACACAGGAGTATAAATTGTTATTGCATATTTTCTGCTACAATGATGATAATTATGCAAACTACAGGGACATTAGGGAAATCATCCTCCGTTTGAGGTAGGGTGCGCTGACGGAGCTGATCCTTTGGAAAGCGATACAACAAAAAAAAAAAGAGACAAAACAGAACAGAATAGAACAAAAAAAAAAAAAAAAAATAAATAAATAAATAAAATAAGATTAAATAAAATGTGACTCTATCTATACTGTATTTTTTTTTTTTTTTCTTCTTTTCACATGTTATTACCCCCAACTTGCTACATTCCATGCAATACTTTTAAATTACGTGTACATGGTTATTATCACACCTTTTCTCATGTTTTCTAAGTGTGCATACTTATACTTATCTGTACACATACATTCCACCACGTCTTTCACTTCTTCCACGTCTTTCACTTCTTCCACGTCTTTCACTTCTTCCACGTCTTTCACTTCTTCCACGTCTTTCACTTCTTCCACGTCTTTCACTTCTTCCACTTCTTTCACTTCTTCCACTTCTTTCACTTCCCCCACTTGCTCAGATTCGAAGGCATCAGAAACAGCATTTTTGAAAGGGACAAGAAATTGTTACAAAGATATTTGTGCGAACAGCTAATAAAAAATAATCTGAAAAATAAAAAAAAGATACATATATTTGATTCTAAAAACGTTTTAGATTCATGTGATAAATTATATCTAAACAAAAATATCATCCACATTATTTTGTCTTCCCTTAATTTTGACGAAAATTTAGAATTAGACGTCTTATTATTTTTAAAAGTTTCTATCTCCATCATTATTAACAGCATCAAATTAGAAACGATGCAAATGATATACAACAAGATTACCGATGAGAAGCAGAAGAAGGAAGAATTTCAAAATGTTTCCCATACGGTCCATAAAGGTGAAATGGTTAGATAAAAAACTGGAATAACTGAATATAGAAAAAATGAATCGTAAGAAATATGACCTTTATTAAATATCACTAGAGTTTCGACAAGGTAACAGTGGAACACATCCACAGCTACTATTTATCATCTCTATGGGAAAAAGGAACACTCCATTTTCACAACTTTGCTACATCATATTTTACTTGTACCACTACACCCATATCTATGAACTGCATGTATCACATGCATATCAATAAGAATTCACTTTGCATACACACATGAACATTAACAAAATTATAGCAGACGAATATACCGGTGCTTGAATTAGTCGAAAGGACCTTAACGAAATTATTCAAGGTTCTGGATGAAAAAAACGAAGGTAAGGGAAAAAGTTGTACAGAAATACCTTTCCTGTGGAGACAAATTGAGGGGAAGCTGTAGATTCATCAATGTGCGCATCTACAAGAGGTCCCTCTGTACGTGTGCGTGGTGCTTGTTGAGATCCGTGTGCATGCTGTTTGTTCATACAATTTTTCGCATTAACTTGGCGACCTTCTCCCCCTTGGGCACCATGCAGACCATCTCAAAATAATCGATTTCATTGAAACACTGCTAGAATCAAATCAGAAAAAGAAAATTATTGACATTAAGGAAATATGTAAACTAAGCAAAAAGGAGTTACAAGGATTCGTAGCAGAAATAGATACGGAATCAAAAGCGGGAAACTATTCAAAGGAGCAAATAAAAGACAATAGAAATTTCGAGTTCTATAAAAATAGGAAAATTCATTATGCCTCACACATACATAAATGGTGCTCGAAAACGTATCAAATAAGGTAAATCTATAATGGGTTCTAATTTTTTTTCCCCTTTTTTTTTTTTTTTGTAAAGCTTAGAGAGAAATTAGAAATCTGAATCGTTTTCCATAAAAAAAAAAAAAATAAAAAAAATTAAATAATAAAATACATCGTGTTTTTAAATTATCCCAGTTTTAATGATTACATCCCTTTGTATGCACTAATTAAAGGGATAAAAGCGGGTTGATGCGATTGAGGGAAATGAGTAAAATCCTTCAATTTCCTACTATTACACCCTCTTCTGTCCACATAACAAAATAACAGATTTTGTTCACACCTACTAAGCATACACATATGAGTAGAACATCACAATATGGGAACTTTTAAATAAAATTTTCTTTTTCTTTTCAGATCATGCAAATATTACAGCTATTTTTTTAACTACCCCGATGACTTAATTGAACTAGATGTAAGGAAGAAAAATATGGAGGGAGGAAGGGGTGAGGGTGCGAATGGGGAAAAAATGTATACACTTGCATGCAGGAATTCTATGTTTATACTTGAGCCAAGTGGGGTAAAGAATCCATATACTTTTTGTATTTCCTAGGAAATGTATACTTATGACTTATGTATTTTTTTTTATTTTTTTTTTTTTTACTATGAACATTCAACATATCGACAGGAGGAAATAAATAAGGAGTTGTTGTTTTGCGAAGAGGAAAAGGAATAAAGATGGAGACAGGTCGATAAGGAGCAAAAACAAATAAAATATAAAGTGAAATAAAATAAAATGAGAAAATTGTGTCCCTGTGACGGGGAGAAAAAGTAAATTTTAAAGAAAACGTTAAAATTCAATTAATTGAAAAAATTACAAATTAAAAAATGGTTGAGCAAGTTTACATTTATTTGCATGCACTGGACGATTTTGCACAAAATTTCGCGAATCCCATCTCAATTATGGGTTAAAACATAAATAGCAAAAAATATGAAATGACTAAACTCAGGGGTTGAACACATGATGATATATATTATCAAAACTATGATCCTTGTGTGAATGCACAAGTTATGTAAACTGCCTCGTGTGCAGAGTTTATACCTAGAAAAAATTAACGATTAGGTATGTGTGCAGGTACGTGGACAGATAAATGTGCACATATTTGAACAGATAAAAATTTAAGTATTCGTGGAATTAGATAAAGGGACGTATCCTAATGTCGAAGAGAGAATTTATTTATTTCAGACCTATACAAAAATAAAAAAAAAAAAAAAACTTATGGCACAGATGCACACACAAAAAAAAACCTTTCCATGTTCCGCTTCTATACATTCCTTAGGGAAACATCTCATTTGGCAAAATTGATAAGAAGTGAATCTGTGGACAACATAACCTTATTTTGACATTTTGAGATTATATTCGAAACTTCCTTTGAGAGTTCTATTTTTTTTAATTCCATAAAAGCTGGATTATCCTTTACAGCTAACCCTATTAATTTGGCTACTTCAGCTTCTCCTTGTGCCTTAATAATTGTTGATTTTTTTTCTTGTTCAGCTTTTAAAACGATATATTTACTCCTTTCAGCTTCCTGTTGTGCTACTTGTTTAGCTTCAACAGCTTTTTCATATTCATTACTGAAACTTAAATGTGTTATTGATGCATCATCAAGAAGAATGTTAAAGTCCTTTGCCCTTTGAACTAATTGTTCTTGGACAGATTTGCTTACAACTTCTCTTTGTGTAATTAATTGAGAAGCATTATATTGTGCAACCACACTTTTTAATACTTCATTTATAATAGATGGTAACACCTTCTCATCATATTCTTTTCCTAAAGTTCTATATATCTCTACTAATTTGTTTTCATTAGGTCTGGACAAAACACGACAAGTTATATTAACCATTTGTAAATCTCTAGATCCTGTTAATGACATTAAAACTCTTGGCTTAGTTCTTACATCATAAATTATGCACCTTTCAAAATAGGGTATTAAAAAATGAGTACCTTCACCATATATTTTATTTGACAATCCAAAAAGTCTATTATATTTTATTGCTCTTTTCCCAGCTTCTACATTATATAAGCTGTTATTAAATAACCAACTACTGAAAGATGTTAATCCCAAAATTGCACCTACGCTTACTCCTACTTTTCCTATTCTTCTCAAATTATATATATCGAAATTCTGTGGATTACTCATTGTGACAGTTCCTTGTTATCCTAATTAACTTATTCTGGCAAAATGCACGTAAAAAAAAAATGTCGTACGGGTGGTGTGCGTCAAAATGGATGATAAAAAAAAAAAAAAAAAAAAAAAAGGAAAAAAATTTCGCGAATAAATGAGATACAGCTACAACCATCGAATGTGTGTTTTTGCCTTTACCAGTAATACTGTACTAGAGTAATCTATATATATAAACGATAAAAAAAATGAAGCGTTTCAATTATTGTTAATGTTAACAGAACATATGCGTGGGTATTTATGCTTATGTAAAACTGTCAAATTCACGTTTTGTTTTATGGGTCATCTACATATGCAATTATGGGCACGTTATTCAAATATAATCCGTATGTCGTTAAAAACGAGATACCCCATATTCCTAAGCCTTCAAATATAAATCTTTTATTTTGTGCGTACATTTGAGGCGGTAAAATTGGGAACGTTGTTATTTCAGGGAAGAATGTTCATAACTATGTTTACGTATATATAAACGTGTTGCACTTAAATGTATGAAAAAAAAAAAAATATATATACATTCGTTCATACAAGCGTTCATACATGCGTTCATTTATTCGTTCATACAAGCGTTCATACATGCGTTCATTTATTCGTTCATACAAGCGTTCATACATGCGTTCATTTATTCGTTAATACAATCGTTCATACAATCGTTGTGCATATATGAACACTTTTTATATAATAGGATGATGTCATAAAATGAAGCTGTTCCAAAATAACGTCATCTTTGCAATATTGTGGAAAAAAAAAAAAAAATGTAAACAAAATAATAATGTGTCAACTTGGCTGTGAAGAAGAAGAGGTATTTGCACGCAAGTAAAAAACATGGGCACCACAATAGCTTCGTTCCATATATACATATTAAGGTGTATGTATTTTTACATGTTCACATTTTTTTTTCACGTTTCCTAGATTTTCTAATCACATTTTCTTCTTTTATTCACATATATTAAATCATCCGTTATGTGTTTCGTAACTCTGTTAAGTAGGAATAAAAAGAACTTTGGGGTCAAATTGGGATCCTTTTTTTTTTTTTTTTTTTGGAGGGGTGCGGAGGGGAACTGAGAATAAACGTAACTATGCTAAAATGGGCATCACCAAAAAATACTAAATGGCTTTTGAATTATCTACATTCTTGTAAATTACCAAATTAAATGATTTGCAACACCTCTTCACCTTTTTTTTTTATTTTTTATTTATTTTGGTTCAAACTGCTAAGCATTAATTCGATTTTATTCACCCCGATCCTGGGACGTTTTCCAAAAAGACGGTTTCATATTAAAAAGGAAATTTACAAAATTCATTATGAGCATTTTATAGAATATAATTTATATGCCCATAGTTATGAATTTACATTTTTGCAAGTAAAAAGATTAGAACAATATATTTATTATTATTATTTTTTTTTTTTTGTTGTTGTGTGTATAATTATTTACGTATGTACATATTTACCTGTACGTTTTGCCATTTACACTAAGAAATGGTATATGTGTAAAATGTTCATTATATGTTTGGTAAAAAGGTGATATATTATAAAGTGAAACGAAATTTCTACTCTTCAAGTTGCATTTTTTTTTTTTTTTTTTTTTTTATTATTTCTTTTTCCTTTTTTTTTGCCATGAAAGCATGAAGTGTTCAGTTTTCATTATTCTTTTCACACCTCTGTCAAAAAAAGAGCAAATATCATTTATTTTCATAGGGAAATAATTTTGTACATATAACTATATGCACAAAGTAGTAACCTAAAAAAGAAAATGGTGTGGTAGCAAAACGCACACAATGCCATATGCATGGTGGTGTTTGAAAAAAAAAAAAAAAAAAAAAAAAAAAAAAAACTACCGAATGGTGCAAAATAAAGAGAGTATCTATATGTGCCCATTTTTCTTGTATGCACATTCAATTATGAAACTCAGGTGTTGTACAAGTGTTACGGTGAAAATAATTCTTACGGCATTCAGTCATTTTGTACACTTACTGTCTTTTTATTTTATTTATTTATTTATTTATTTTATTTTTATTATTTACTTTTTTTTTTTTTGAGTTCCCCTAGTTGTCCATTACAATAATAGAATATTCTCTTTAAATTACAAAAGGGAAACAAGTAGACTTTCTATTTTAAGCATCAATTTTTTTTTTTTTTTTTTTTTTTTTTCACCCCCCCCCCCTATAGATTGAACCCCATTGGCAAATACACCTCATTATAAATTTTGCCTTTAATGAACTGATCTATTTTACGAGAATTCGTGCTTTACGTGAACATACATTTACTTCATCTGTAGACTTCTGCGCTTATTTTATTTATTTAATTTTATTTTTTGGAGCTTCATACTTTAGTATATTAAAATGGAAGAAGATAATCTTAATAGAACACATGAAGTTAAAAAAGAAAAGTATTCAAATAAAAAAAACTACTGCAAAGTAAGCACATAAAATTGTATTCTTCAAAAAAAACGCAGCACATGGTTATGTATGCCCCTTTAAAATTTTGTTATATGTCAGTAAGGGGAAGTTATAAATCATAATTTTTTCGCAAATCACCATTTGGGATTATGTAGTAGATGATACTATACACGTGCCCTCAGTTGCAGCAAGTGATTACCAAAATAAAAAGAATTTTTATGCACTCATTTGTTTTTTTGTGTATAGTCATATTTTGTTACACACTTCTCATTTAGGAGGTGTTTAAAGTACATTATGGATGATCATGCATTGCTTAAATTTGTTTTATATATACATACATACGTACGTACATTATATATACATTTTTTATAATCATATTTTATACTTCTTAATGGATTTTGCCTTGAATCCATGGTGGTCTTTTATTGTACTTTTTAAAAAAAAAAAAAAAAAAAAAAAGTTGGAAGAGGAACACGTTTTCACTTTGTTTATATTCATTTCAAAGAGCACCACTAGGGTCATGATCTTTTATTTTTCATTTCCCACACATGTGTATACGTTTTTGAATGATAATCCAACGCTTGATGGAAGGCTTATTCTATGAATACATAAAAACATACATTGGATTTTGTATTGATGCATTTACTTCTTTTATCTGCCGATTGTACCATTATACACAGTCTACATTAATGCTAAGGTCGTTACGCTATTGTTGATTCTCATTTTATATTATCCTTATGAAATGTAAAAAATATAGGAAAAAATGATCGTGTAAAAATTATGTTCCTACGTTTTGCATTGTTTATTTATTTTTTCTTTTTTTGACACGACGTTTTATTTTGAGTACATAAACATATTCATGCTTTAATATATATATATAAATACGCTCTTTATTTTATTTTATTTTATTTTTTTTTTTTTTAATTTTTTTTTTTGCCGTATGCGTTGCTATTATTGTATTGTTATTTTATTTTATTTTTAATAAGCCCAATCTATGTTTAAGTTTCAGATGACCAAAAGAAACTATAAAAGCAATATAGAAATAGAAGTTATTAGTGTTTTTATAAGTTTATGACCTAGTTTTATATAAAGATTAATCTATACATGTTTGTGGATTTTTCCTTTTTTTTTTTTTTTTTTTTTGTCAATTGTATTTTCCTTATATGAGAATAACTACAAAAATAGTTTTTTTTCCCCATATAGTTATAACATGAGAGTATAAATATTTAATTGAAATTATTTTATACATGAAAAGATAGTGTTTTTCTTGCACATTTTGTAAATGTCATTTCCTCCATATTCATATAAGCTATTTTATTGTAGTTTTTGTATCCTCTTGTACATATGCATATTTATGAGTATAATTATACACACATTTATCTTTCCTTTTACGACTACTGTTGTGTGTAGATATATAAGCATAAGCCTGAGCTCGTATGTATATATATATATATATATATACATATACGTATGCATATGTATTACACATTCTCATATATGATGGTATCAATGGAATATATGTATATAGGAGATTTTCTTTTTCACATAGACGCACAATGACTTGACATGTATACATATATCATTTGAAATTTTACTCGTTACGATTATGTTGTAAAGAAATATTTACAGTATAATGTAGAATTTTTATAATGCATAGACAATTACCTATCATTTTTTTCGTAACAACATGGCTATTTTAATGGAACAATTTATGAATATGTATTGTAATGTGTTTTTTTTTTTTTTTTTTTTTTATCATTTTTTTACCCTGTCATTATGAGAGAACAAATGTGTAATTTTTCATATATGTAATATGAAATTACTATACATATATTTTCTCCATAATGCACCACATGAGAAAGAGCATATGTATGTCCAAAGCGAGATAAGTATAAATAATGCCCTCAATGTTAATAGAGTGCTTACGAAATTTTATTATATTTTTTGTTTCCTCCGTGCAAATTTAAACCCTTTTTGTTAATTGTATGACTAATTCACGTATTATTATTCGAACATGGTAAAAAGACAAGAATAATGGAACAAATTTGTCTAATATCATTTCTCACAATTGTTTGTTTAATCTTGTTTGATGTACTTATTTACCCCAATTGAACTCTTTGTTGTTATAAGGTGAGCTATAATGTGTGCACGTGAAAATAAGCACTTTATAGGGGAAATTTACCTTCGTTATTCACGAATATTTGATTGGGTATTCATTATCGATACCAAATGTGAAAAAATGAAGACTATTTTGGCGTTACTTTGTTTTTTTCTTTCCTTTTGATTACGTTTCTATTCATACTAGTAAAAAATGCAATATGTTATAATGGAACAAAAATAATTTTTAATTATTTCGCTCATTTATATGTCTTTTTATTTCGCTAACTGTAAAATGTATCTATTTGAATGCTGTTCATAATTTCCATTTTTTTTTTTTTTCCTTTTGCACACATGTAATTTTTTTGAGAAAGTCCCATTAGATTCACATTTCATGAGCTATACATTTGGGATAAATTTTTTAAACTTTAATTGATATTTCAATTTTTTTTTTTTTTTTTTCTCCTTTTTTTTTGTTATATTGTAAAAATGATCTATTATAATTAATTTTCAATTAATTATAAACATATATATATTACGATATATATATATATATATTTTTTTTTGTAATTTCTTTAAATCATACCACACTAATTTTAATTTTTGAATATGCTTAATTTTTGCATAGTTTTACTAATTTTCCTTTCAATTGCATTTACATGGATATGTAAGATATAAACGTACAGGACCTACATCTTTTTAGATACGTAGGCTTATTCGATAACGAACAAAATTGCAATAATAGCATTTTACATAGCTCTTAGTTTTGTGCGTGGAAACTTTACACGTGTACGACAAATTTGTTAATATCTATCTACATGTGCGATTTTATGAAGTTTCGTTTTTTTATATACATATCTCGTCCTAGTCTTTTCAAATGGGAACTGACATTTTGTTTTATGTTTTTACCCCACATATATATTGTACCATAATAACATATTTATATATATAAATTTGTGCATACGACTATTTCTGCTTCAAACAGATATTATTCCACCTACCCTATACATTTGCATGCCACAAGAACACTTAAATTTCGATAATGGAAGCAATGTTTTTGTAGGTTTATTGTTTTGCTGAATATTCATGACAAAAGGTCGTTTTTTCGCAAGCTATTTTAAATAATATTTTTTTTTTTTTTTTTGTATATCTTTCGAATTGACAAAAGGGGTATTATTTGTATATTCATACATGTGTACGTGTACGAAGAACAAATATTATTTGCATATATGTGTATACATAAATATATACAGATATATTGAGTTATAAAAAGAATATATATATCTAATTGGTAAGTTTTTTACCCTGTACCCATCAACATTCTCGTTGCCTTTTCATCCTTTACAATTCCCCATTTTACGCAATTCAAATGAAAAAAAATTACATCTTTGTAATTAATAAATATTTGTATAATTTTTAAAATATGAGAAATTCTATTTTGTTTCAAAAAGATTATTTGGCTTCATAAATCTCTTTTTGTGTATTGAAAATAATAATTGCATATATATATATATATATATATATATATATATATATATATATATATATACATACATGTGTTGACTTATCAGGAGCGTGTATATATATATGTGCTATATTCGCAAAGGTGTAAACGTTCATAACTGTTTTCATCAACTAGAGCATACATACAAAATATGTAAAAAAGTATAAACCTTTTGAATATACATATATTGTATAACATATTATAATACCATGAATGATGACCTTTTCAATTTCCTATTTACTATATACGATAAACTTGTTTAGATAATTGTAAATTTTTTTTTTTTTTTTTCCATTTTTGACTTTTTAATTGCGTAGGAGTTCGTAGCACAAAATTTTAAATTATTTTCAATCACGAATTTTTTAAATGTAACATTTTTCAAGTGTATTTAAATTAGGAAAATTTTCTTCCTTTTTTTTCACTTTTTAATTCCTATCGCGCGATTTCATATCTCTTCATACATTTGTTTTGAGGTGAATAAAATATATACAAGTATTAGAATATATATCATTAGTAGGGATTTATGATGTATAAGGTTATGTTTTCTTAACATTTTGAATATGTATATATATATACATACACATATATATATATATATATATACACCGCAAAAATTGAATGTTTTTTTTTTTTTTTTTTTTTGGCATTACCTTTATTACCTTTCCCCTCATACCCCCCCTCAATTTATCCATGCACTATTTTGAAAAAAAAAACAATTTTATTTTTAATAAAGAGAACCCTTACCTTTTTTCCCCTTTTGAACAAAATTATTGCTTTTCTTTCTTTACATAAAAAGAAAAAATAAATAAAATAAAAAAATAAATAAACAAAAATGTAAAAAGATATATTTAACCTCATACCTGTTGACATGTTATGAATTCACCTGAAATAATGAAAATCGCGAATTAAAAAAAAAAAAAAAAAATTTTAATTGTGTTACGCATATACATATATATACAATATACTGTATATGTAAAATAATGCATGTAATATATATATGTACGTTTATGCTGGTATAAACATGCATACATTACGATAGTTAAATAACTATTGTTACTGTTACAATTTTTTTCTTACCATTTACTCATGTTCTTATATATATGCAGGATATATATACATATATAGCATTGATGGTGAGCAGCCTGTGGGAATACGGAAATGCTAAAAATTACAGGAATTAAAACAGTTACTTATATATATATACATATATGTATATATATATTTGTAGCAAAAATATTATGATAAACGTTTTAACAACTTGGTGCGAATTTATCAAACAATGATGAATTGAAGCCCTTTTTTTTTTATATGCACATTACGTAACCGCCTTTTTTTTTGACTCAGGGATATTTTTAAAATTATAACAATTTGATTGTGACTGATTTTAATTTCCTCTCGTTTAACTGCTTTAACACGTCATTTAAAAAATTAAGAAGCTATTGAAAATTATTTGCAAAAATACGGAAAACATAGGAAAAATCGAAAAACGTGGAAAAAAATTTGCAAATAATTGTAAACGTCTCCAATTTGTTGGGGATTTATTGCAAGGCTTAAGAAGGCGGAACCGAAGAGCCATATTATGCAAGTGGGTTAAATTATTTCCACAGCAAAAAACGTAAAGCAAAGAAAAAAAAAAAAAAAAATACAGCGTCACAAAATTGAACGCAATTTTTATTTTACCTTTACCAGCTGCAAGAAAACTAAATACTGAAAAATAGAGATGATTGTATCAATGGAATAATATAAACAATAAAAATTAAGAGAAAAAATAAGCAAACACAAAAATTATATACAGATTTACGCACACATTTACATATATATGTATGTGCATATGCAACGAAGTGGAAATTTTATTGCACCTTGGTTAAACCATATTTTCCCCAACCCCTCCTCCCTTTTCTTACCCTTTTTTTTCCGACTTAACACCATATGATGAATATTACACAAAAATATGATGAATCCTTTCCATGCACATTATTAACAACACACGAAATTAATTGGGGAATTTATGAATCCTTTATAGAATATGAAAAAACGAAGTTAATAAATTTTAATCAGCAATTACTGAAAAATGTAATTATCGAGATATTATTATTAGAACATGTGAAAAGGGTAAATAAAGGAGAATTAAAAAATTGTCACTATGGTGAAAAAGTGTTTAGTAATAACGCACATATAAATAAAGGGAACAATGAGTATAATTCACAAAAAATTCCTTCAACTAATCATCACACATGTTGTAAATACGCAAGTATAAAAAATGGGGAATGCTATGATATCAAATGGAAACATGGAGAATTATGTTGCCATTTGGATTACAGTATTTATTCTTGCCGTGCACAATGTAGAAAAGATGACGATTCACAAGATGGGAATTTTGTAAAGAAGGAAGAATGCTATATAGAAAGGAAAAACAAGAATCCCGCAAAAAAATATAATATTAAAAGGGTAAAGCTAAAAAGTTGTATTGCAAGGATTGGACTCAGAAATAAGAACCGAATTAGAATCTATAGTATCAACCGTAACCAGATTCGAAGCAGTAGTTCTCTTTGCAAGATATTGGATACACGTGAAAGTCAAAAGGACGCAACTTTGAGAACTTACAGTTTAAGCGAATGTACTCAGAATAAGTTAATTCGTAACCATGGAAACGAAGAAGAAACTTTTTCTAGTATTATGCAAAATGAGAAGAAACATTCGGGGAATATAATAGAAAATGAAGGAAATTCTTCGAATCAGCTTATCGCTGTTCCATGTGATAGGAAAAGTTGGTCATCTAATAATAAGAAGAACGATGTATACTATATTTTAAATGAAATAATTAAATCCGATTTGGTAGATCATATCTATTCGTTATTAAAAATGATGAATAACATTTATTTTAACGTAATTCTTTCAGAAGGAAGGAAGAAGATGTACATATACCACTTGACGAATAGCTTACTTGGTTATGATAAACACAATGGTGAATTATGCATAATGGATGAAGTAACATGTTACAGGAGTATTTATAGGACTTGTAGAAAAAACAACAATAGGAACTTGCTTATCCAGAGAGATATAACAAAAAAAGAATCATTTAGAAACCTCATTAATTTTATTATCTGGAAACAACGTATTATCAATATGAAGGACTTAATAAAAAAGACAACTTTTCCATTTGAAGATATATATAAAAAATTTTACAAAAACATGAAGAAAAAGAATAGAATAATAAGCGATGCCTTTTTTTTATATTATGAAATTGTAATGTTAATATATTATTTCTTTATCTTGGAGAAGAAGGATTGTTTTTTTCCTAGAAATATTATGCTAAAGTATATCCTTTTTAGCGTATCCGTTTTTGTCAGAACATCTGATAATAATATACTTATGAAAAAAGTGCAAGCATGCACTGATACACCAAAACACTATTTTCCCTTTCGCTACCTTGTAAAATATGATGATTTTTTTTTAAAAATAAATTACCAGTCAAAGTACTTTCCTTTTAAAATTTATTTTATTAACAATAGGGAAATGGAAAAGTGTGACATTATTATGTGTAAAGTTGTTGCATTTTACAAAATGAAGCACAAAATTGATTTTTTGTTTAATATACTTATTGCAGATATATATATGAAACAATGTGATGATTTCGATTGTGAAAAATATTACTTTGAAAATCTTGTGGATATATGTTTATCATACATTTTAACTCCGCTTAGTAGTAATCTTAGTAAAGGTATACCAAATGAAGGAAAAATACATGACAGACATGGTGTGATTTTTTTAAGCAAGTGCATAACTAATAGAATTAGCAATAATTATGATATATCCTCCTTATTTGGAAAGCTTATTGGGAAAATGAAATGTACAAATGAAAACACCTTCAGATTGACGAGAAAGGAAAAAAAAGGTTATTTTTGTTTTATACATAAGGAAAGAGATTTGAATGATTACTGCAGTAAAAAGAACAAGGCATGTGCAGGGGCCAAAGGAAAGTGCATATTTTCCCCCATAAAAGAATACAATTGTGGATACAATATAGGGATACATAACCAAAGTTCGGATAAGACAAGTTATAACAACCCCAGCAGAGATAACATTTTATGTGCAAAAAATGTTTTTAAAAATATGATGATTGTATTTTTATCCCTCAATATGGAAGAAAAAAAATTAAACAATGCTGCACGTGTTCGTGTTAAAAAGGCTGCAAATCCTTTTCTTCCTATTGCTCGTTCAGGAAAAACAGCCAATCGAAAGTTGACAAAATGGTTTGAGGACCTTACCTCTTATTGCATCAGTAATAGCGGTGGAAACAGCAATGATAGCAATTATTCAAGCGGATATTCAAACAGCAACTATAGAGGAAATAATCCCAACAGCAACAGTAACAGTGGAGCGAGTAATTATGGAGGTATGAAAGGTTCAGGGTATAGCAGTGGTGGTGCAGGTGGAAGCGGTGATAAAAACGAGGAAAATGACAACAATAATAATAATAGTAATAATAATAATAGTAATAATAGTAATAATAATAATAGTAATAATAGTAATAATAACAATAGTAATAATAATAATAATAGTAATAATAGTAATAATAATAATAACAACAACAACAATAATAATAATAATAACAACAACAACAGTAATAACAACAGTAATAACAACAGTAATAACCATAGTAAAAATGTACACAAAGATCAAGAGGATGAGGAACAGGGTTATATGAATAAAAATAAAAACGAAAGTAGTAGTAACAATATAGGAAAAGGCAAGAATATAAATAATCAGGTTTATGGGAATAGTAGCAATGATGCATCAATGAATATGCCTGAAATGAGATTGGATAATACGAACCAAATGTATAACAACCATGACAGGGATAACCCAAACAACATAATGAAAGGAAAATACACTGATAATATTATAGGGAATATGGAAAATGTATACAAGAATGATAACAATTGTAGTAGTAAAAACCTTAACAATGCAGGGAAAAATGAGAACCCTTTTGCGCTTGGAGAAAATAATAAATCAATTGGAATACATAGAAATCCTGCGAACACTCTAATGAACAAAGGGTGGACAGGTGCAGAGGTGAATAATTCTAATATAAATTTTATGAATTACATGAATAATCATAATGCTAGAGGAAATGTCAATAGCAACATGGTTCCTCCATCGACGGCTGCAGTAAATAATAGTAGAATGGGGGGAAATGTATCGGTGAATCACATGATGAATTTCACAAATATGTTTATGGGTGGTGGATCCCCAGGAGCAACATCTGGTGTAGCAACAGGTGTGGCACCTAGTCTGACATCTGGTATGGCAACAGGTGTAGCAACTGGTGTGGCAGGGAATATACCTCCACCACATGGATCACAAAGTAGCATGAGTAGTGGCGTAGGTGTTGAAGCATTAGATAACATGCAAAACATGAAGCAATCAGGAGGATTGCAAAAGCACAAGCTCAATCAGTACATGCCTTCGACACAAAGTGTAGGAGATAACAAAATGGTGAATTCACAACAGCATAGTAGTAGCAGCACTAGTAGTAGCAATAACAACATGCCGCTGAATAATATGCTGCCGAATCAATTGCATCAGCAATTTCAAATTCAGCAACAGATGCATTTACAGCACTTATTCTATCAACAGAATCTACACCCATATAATATGATGCAACAAAATAATTTAGGAAAATTTCCAAACCAGCGAGGCGCTATGCAAAAGCAGTCAAATGTTTCTATATTAAAAATGCCCCATATGTTATCTATGAACTCAGGTGATCAGAGAAGTAATTCCATTTCTCAAAAAATGCCAAGACATGTAATGAACCAAATGGATTCATCAAGTAGTTTACGAAGAAGTGGGAATGCATCAAATATATCTTCCATAACAAATCCGTCCAGTCATGTGAGTTCTATGTCGTTGAAATTTCCATACAAAAATAGTAGCTCATCACAACATATGGGTAGTTCAAATAGTAGTAATAACAACAATTCTAGCAACAGTGGAGGAAATAACCTTTCGCAGCAAAATCAAGTCGGAACACAAAATTTACAATATCAACATAACATGCAGAATCCAAGTAACAATTTGAATCACAATATAGCGAATAAACAAAGCATGCAGCATAGCTTATTGCAGGGCCCACAACAGAATATGTCACACCTTTTATCTAGTAAGCAAAATTCCCAGCAGTTATTACTACAACCATCGATTTCGTCCAATCAGTCAAACTCACAACCCTTACCAGCATCATCCAATCCTCAGAAGGTGATACCACAACTACTTCAACATAAGCAAGGGGTTCAACATCAACAGGGGGTTCAACATCAACAGGGGGTTCAACATCAGCAGGGGGTTCAACATCAGCAGGGGGTTCAACATCAGCAGGGGGTTCAGCAGCAAATGGTTCCTACATCGAAAACCATGAGCACGACTAACATATCTGGTTCCATTAATAGACAGCCCAGCCATGTATCATTTTCAAAGGCACCTTTAAATCAGCAAAACATGCCTCCATTCATTCATCATAATCCTGCACAGATGTACCAACAGCAGCCTCCATTTTTTCAGAGAACATCATCAGCCCCTCAGAATATTGTACACCATCAAAATGCAAATGAGTGTATGCAGAATCCTTACATGCAGCATCAGTACATGCTTCAGCAGTACCAGTTGACACCACAGCAGATGTATATGCAACATCAGCAACAGAAACCACAACATATGCTGCAACACGCACAGCAGAATATGCCACCATTGCACATGCATGTGCAGAAGCAAGGCATATCGCAGATGCAACAGAATATGAATTACCTGCATCAGCAACAACAAATGCAGATGCATGCACAAAATGGAACAAACTTACCACAACATACTAATTTACCATTCAGACAGAACATTGCGCAATCGTACCCACCACACATACTTAAAGAGAATATGTTTGCAGGAAATAACAATTTTGAATTATTGGAGAATATGAATGATATGCAAAGAATGAATAGATCAATTATTAAAGGTCATGCAATGGAAATATGCAACAATAACAATATATCATTAGAAGGAGCCATAGAAGAAGATATATTTGATAGTAATTACCATTGTGATATTTGTAATAAAGATATAACACATGCAATTAGAATAAGATGTGCTGAATGTATTGATTTTGATTTATGTGTAAATTGTTTTAGTAGTGGAAAAGAAATGAAATCAGAAAAATGTGAACATTACAATTATCACAATTATATACCTATCCCCAAATATGATTTCCCGTTATATAAATTGAATTGGAGTGCAGAAGAAGAGTTACTATTACTTGATGGAATAAGTAAATATGGATTTGGGAACTGGGAGCAAGTAGCAGATTTAGTAAATTCAGCAGCAAAAATTACAAAAACAGATAGAGAATGTGAAAAGCATTATTATAATTATTATTTGAAATCTAATTGTGCACCATTGCCTGACAATAAAAGATTATTAATTAAACCGGATGGAAGCCCATATGATATTGAACATTTGGTAGAAAAAGATATGAACGAAAATGATGATTATGTACAACCAAAATCGAAGAAAAATAATAGAACGCAAATTATTGGTTATTGGCCATTGAGAGGAGATTTTGATATTGAATATGATAATGATGCAGAATTGCTACTAGCCGATATGGAATTTAAGGAATCAGATTTACCACAACAAAAAGAACTAAAATTGCAAGTATTAGAAATCTACAACTCCAAATTGGATGAAAGAATATATAGAAAACGAACGGTTATAGAAAGAGGATTGTTAGACACGAAATATCAAATGCAAAGAGATAAAAAGAGAACGAAAGAAGAAAAAGAATTATACACTGCATTAAAACCCCTGTCAAGATTTCACTCACCACAACACCATGAGTATTTTATTCAATTATTGTTAGAAGAACAAAAACTTCGCCAAAGATTAACAAAATTGCAGGAATGGAAAACCTTGGGTTTACAGAACATCGAACAGGTGCAAGAATATGAAGTTGAAAAAAGCAGAAGAGCTAAAGAAACCGTAAAACAGCAACAGCAACAGCAGCAACAACAACAGCAATTGCAGGACAACTTGGAAAAAGTTGGTGCAAAATCTTTGAAATCTAATAAAAAGGAGTGTAAGATTAAACAGAAAGATGAAGAAGAAATCGAATATAGTAAAAAATTAAACATAAATACATTCGTAGAACTTGATTTATTAAACGAAAAGGAAGTTGAATTTTGCAAAAATATGAAACTACCCATTTTATTTTTCCTACTAATTAAAAGATTACTAATAATGGAGATTAGTAATAGCAATTTAAATATGTTGAAAGATATTAATGAGCTAAAGTTGAAGGGATATAAAGTAGGTCAGTTATACGATTTTTTCCTAAGCTTTGATATAAATCAGAAAGAAGAAATTTTGAACAATAATGGAAATACTAACCTTAAAAATTCCTACATAAGAAAAAATGAGGACAAAAGGAAAAAACTCAGAACAAATTATGACTATAATAATTGTAGTAAGTCCGAAAAGGTTGAAGTAGATAATACTAATGATAATGCTGGGAATGCAGGCGCTACCCCAAATAATGCAGCTAATAACTACACAACATCCAATGTCAATGAAATATTCAGCAATAACAATGGCACGCAAACAATCAAAAATAGTATAACCAGAGAAAATGCAAATCTAGATAAAGCGAAAATAACCCAACAGGTCATCGAAACGAACACAACAGTTTTGAAGGAAACATATACAACAACAGATCAATTCAACAATAATATGATATACACGAATTCCCAATCTGTGGAAAAAATAAATGAAAAAGATGAAATAAACCTTGGATTAAATGATAATGGAAAAATTGCTAAAAGCAATTCTCCTTTACACTCTTCTACAGAAGGAGGAAGTGTTTTAAGGGATAAACAGTCCAGAGAAAGAAAAGTAAAAAAAGAAAAGGACGAAAAAAATTTACATGATTCCTTGTTAGATTTTAAAGAACCTGAAATTGTAAATAGTATCAATGAAGAAGTGAATCAGGACATTTCAGAAAAATTGTCAGCAAATGCTAAAAAAAAAACAAACTTAAAAAAAAAAGGAGGAAATATTACTACAACACTTGAGGATGAAAAAGGCATTATTATTAATTCGAAAAAATCGGGATTTGTTGAGAAAACTCAAGAGGAAGTGAAAGACATCTTAGTGAAGGATGAAAAAAGAGAAACACAAAAAGTTGATGACGAGAAAGTAGAACTTGCTAAAATGGATGATGATAAAATGGACAAATATAATGTCCCAAGCCCTTCCAGGCAGCATGACGTAGAAGATGGTGGTGAAGAAGAGGAATATTATGATGTGGATGATCACGTGGATGATGACGTAGACGAAAGAGAAACAAACGCAGATGCAGATGAAGATGAAAAAAAGAATATAAAAAAACACACAAAGAACAAAATGGAATGTAAAGAAGAAAGTCCAGATCTTATCAGCACAACGAAAACAAATTTAGGAGATAGCAATTCCAGCATTGAATTAGTGAAAAGTTCAAGTAATACAAGAAGAAAATCAAATGAGAAAATTAAGGATATCTCTTCATCACACTTTAAAAGTAGTCAAAATAAGAAAAAATCAATTGAAACAAATATAAATGAGGAAAAAGGGAAAGAAACATCCAGTAGTAGCATAACGAATAACAAAGATCATTCTTTAGGTATATTGAAAAAATCAGCTCAAAAGAATAATGATAATGTTACTAGTGATGAAATTTTTGAAAATAATTCGAAAAAGATGAACAGTAATAAATCCAGGAAAGGTAATGAGTATGATTTAAGTAAAAATGTGCCAAGGGTTAGTAATATTTTAGATATAGAAAATGACAGTAGTTGTGTTGATGAATTTGACCTAAGTATAGAACTGGATGAAAAATTACACAAGGAAGAAAAAAAACTAACCTCCTCTCCCACTTCTTCTTCAACATTAAGTAAAAATGATAAAAATAACAAACGTAATATACTAAAGAATGATAATTTGAACATAGAATTTGCATCTTCAAGCATTGACACAAAAGATAATGACTCTAAAAAGGACAAAAATGACGATGAATATTTGAAGAAGAAATTATCAAAAAAAAGAAAAACATCTGTTAGTAGTTCAGTTCTCAACCCGAAAAAGTCCAAGTTGTGATTTTGCTTTTTGAGCAACCATTCAAGTTTGTACTAGTAGCATATGACTTAAAGGCTTCACATGTGTTGTACGTGTATACTCAAACATCCGTGTCATCTCTGCACGTACGTATTTATACATGAATATATATATATATATATATATATATATATATATATATATATGTATATACACATGTGTATATATAACCCCCTGAATAATTAAAATGAGATGTGCGGATTAATTATTCCACATTAATAGAAGCGCACCTTTTGAAAATGTAGCATCGCAAATATGAATTGTTTTATGCATATTATATTGCTTCATTAACGAAAACTATAACACACGTACAATTTTTTTTTCTTATTTTTTTTTTTTTTTTTTTTTTTTTTTTCATTATATAAAACCACCATTGTTACTCTTTTTAAAGGCCTTTTTATTAAACTTTTCATGGTGTTAATGTAATATGTCACTTTTACATTCATATAATTTCAACAGTACAGAATTCGTGCGTGGAGAGGAGGAGGAAGAAAAGAATAGATATAATAATAGGGGGGCTACGGCTATATCTATGCACTCGGAACACGTGCATATTACCATCTCATGTTAACCATTTGAGGATTCATGACTATCATTATTTAGTCAACAATATAAAATTCTTGTTCAGAAAAGAAAAAATTCTAAAAAAAAAAAAAAAAACGCATGTTATTAATTATCTCGTTTTACATTCACATAATATTTGTTGTTTCATACAAAAAGAAAGTATTCCAAACATAGGGGTCTATTCCTGTCCCTATTTCTACATGTATACATATATGCATTATATGTACATACCCCACAACATAGTTGTTTATTTTTTAATTTATATATATATATATATATTTATATGCACACGCTAGTTTTTTTTTTTTTTTTTTTTTTTTTTAACTCAACTTTTCCATCGTACTTTATGTTTTAAAAATTAAGCATATTTTTTAAATTAAAACAAAAATGAAGCAAAATTTGCAATACTTCTATATATACATGCATACATGTGGAACGCAAAAAAACAGAAAAAATTGCTACAAAAAGCTGCACATACATGTGTTAAACAAAAGTTGCAATACGGGTAAATCCACTATGTACGATAAAAGGGGGGTCCAAAATGGGGTCCAAAATGGAATCCAATAAAATGTGTATTTAGCTATTGCGTGTTGGGTGAAACTCATTTGTAGACATGACTGCACCCACTTGGATTAGTGGAATAGACACCATTGAACATACACTTAAATGTTTGAAAATAGAATAATGGTTTTAATTTTATAGCAACAGGTATCCTTCTTACAGGAACAAACATTCGTTGTGCCCAGATGCACATTTTCATCACGATCACCTAGGTCTGTAACTAAGTATGTTCCTTTCTGTGCAGAAAAACAACAGTGCGATTTAATATAAAGGAATAAGAAAAAAAAAAATTTATTAAACAGAAAATAAATATCTTGCAGAGACAAAATGTTTGAAATTTTGGTTTTTAACACTTTGTAATAATTATCATTTAACTCGTTTTTATAGGTAAAATTATATCCCTTCCCCCCAGCTATTTTTTTAATACCTATTAAATGGTATGTATGATATAAACAATCATTCATTTTTATTAATTTTTTTTTATTTCCTCGAAATGGATAATCCATATTGTTAAGCATGTTTAATAAGAATGTGAAGTTTTTTTTAAAAAATAATTCCTCCACATTTTTGTACTCTTTCATCATTTTGTTGTTGTATATAAAATCAAAAAGGGTGAACGGTGGTTTTTCTTTGGAGTTGGATCTATTATAATAATCGCTGCATTTTTCATTCTCTAAGCTATAATTATATAAAAGTGTTTTTATTTTCTTTTCTTTGTTTTTACATTTTTTATTACTACTCTCATCATGTAACTTACTAATCGGGACCTCATTGTCATATTCTTCATTTATACATGTGCAGCGTGTGTCAAGCACAGTGGAGCCACTATCACCCTTACTTTCACTACTGCCGATGGAAGTAGTACAGCGAAAATTATTGCATTCTTTATTGCATTCTTTATTGGATTCTTTACTGCATTCTTTATTGCATTCTTTATTGGATTCTTTACTGCATTCTTTATTGCATTCTTTATTGCATTCTTTATTGCATTCTTTACTGCATTCTTTACTGCATTCTTTACTGCATTCTTTACTGCATTCTCCACTGCATACTTTACTGCATTCTTTACTGCATTCTCCACTGCATACTTTACTGCATTCTTTACTGCATTCTCCACTGCATACTTTATTGCATTTTTTTCTACATAACAGAAACTTCGCTTCTGTTGAAACAATTTCCGAATTTAACCTGCATCGATCGAACTTTTCCAAACAAAAGGAGTCAAATGTCCTTTCCTCAAGTGCACAACATGTGAACAAAGTGTTAACATTTTGTAGTTTAATATTCTTATCACTTAAAAATTTCCTTGTATTTTGGTTAAACAATTTACAATTTTTAAAATTCTCTATATAATAAAACTGTTCACAAATAAAATATTTTTCAAACGTGTATTTTTTTCTTTTCATTTCTCTGATTTTGCTAGCTATTTTGTGTTTTAAAGAAATAGGTATATAACCATCTCCACCACCACCGCTTCCCCCCCCCCCACTGTGTGCTCCTTCTTTACACACACGTGAAATATTATTTTTTGTTCCTTTTCTTGAATCATTTAAGCGATGTAACTTATGAGGAGTAAAAAAGCTCATTGAATAGCAGTTATAAATAATGCTCTTCAAAACATTATAAAAAAAAAATTGTACAACTATTTTTACGTTGAAAAAAGGGATAATTTCCATATTTATTTCGTTTATATTATGTAAGTTTATCTTTTTTAAAACTTTTATATGAGTTGTAAACATATTTTGAAATAAAATTTCATGTACGGATGTATCTTTTATTTCTTTCATAAAATCTACAAGGTGCTCCTCATTCCCACTTTTTATATCTTCGTCTAAGTAATTTTCCATTTGTTTCTTCATTCTTCCACTGTAATCATTTTTTTTTGCTATGTGTGAACTTGTGTACGGGAAATTTGTAGTGCTATAACGGCTTCTTAATCCATAATCAATGATATTACAGAGCTCCTGTTCATAACACACATTGATTTCACTCATATGAGGTGCATTTCCATTATCTTTTTTCTCTTTCACGCGTTTACCACATGCATGAGTCATGTCTTCATCACAATTATCATTCATGTTGTCAAATAGATGAAATCTGTTTTCAACACGTGTGTATTTTTGTATACCTTTCTGATGATTACATGTATTATCAACATTTTCAATCACCTCATGACAAGCCAATTTTTCTTCACTCACAATGCTTATATCAACCTCCCTTTCTTCATTGTTCTTGTTCCATGAAATCTGGGCATTTTTTTCTTTTGTCCAGTATGTCTGAAAGAATTGGAGTTTTTCCATTCCATAATTGTTTAAATTGGTGAAACTTGTTCTATCTCTATTATCCTCCTCCTCCTCTCGTGTCACTCGTTGAGGAAGGTTAACATTTTTAGAAATTTCATCTTTATAATAATTCCCCAAGTTATGCATTAAAATTTTATGGATGTACTGATAAATATTGTTCAAATCTATTCGATAAGATTCCTCAAAATTGTATTCATTAAATAATCTCTTTTCATCTTCTGTTAGATAACTCTTCGTTAAATTTTTCATCAACATGTTTACAGTTGAAAAATCCTCATTCTGAGAAATGATTTCTTGGATATTTTTATATATATAATCGGATCGAAACAAAAAATTATAATAAACAGAAATATCGGTTAAATTCAAAAATTGTTGACGAATGGTCCTAAACAGTTTTGCTAAATGGACTTGTAAACGCTCCAAAGAAAATAAAAATCCACTTCTTTTCATCAACTCATATTTTTGTATAATAAAAAATAAATACATTTGAAGTAATACATAATTACTAAAAATTACACGCATGAATATAAAAACAATATGAAAGGAGGGTATTAATTCCATTCCTAGGAATTCATTAAATGTTATTAAAAAAAAGTTTAACATTTTCTTCTTTTCTTTTGCTATCGATTGTTGAATGACTCCTAAGCAATAACAAACAAAATGATCTTTTATTCTTACGTTGAAAATATCAAAAGTTATAATAATAGATGAACAAAGAAAATAATGTAAATTCCCACCATACTTTCTACTTTCTTTGTTATATAAATTGGTGTCCATGTTTTCTTTCTTATTCCAAATGATAAAAAAAGAATATACAATACATGCGTATAAAGATAGCAATGTGATATTCTTTTCTAAAAATTCAGTTATAACATTTATGTCCACATTCTTCGTTACTTCCTTCGATTCCATCATTTTTTTTCTTTTTTCCACATTTCTGTCGTCTTTTTCATTTTTTCTTTTTTTAGCATTTCTTCCTTCTTTTTCATTTTTTCTCTTTTGCTTTTTCGATTCTTTTACCTCCACGTCGTTTCTTCTGCAACTGTGATCCCTGTCACTGTGTGTCTCTGTGTCCCTAGTCCACGTATGATGGTGGTTTCTTTCCATTCCAGGATATTCACAACTAGAGTTCCACCTGGGGTGTGCTTTATCGTGAATCTTTTTCGGCACATTATCCAATACATCGTCTAGCACGTCATCTAACACATCGGCATGGTTCCCATCTACCAAACCGTTACATTTACTACTATTAGAATGCACGCCATTTGGATATTCCACCACTTCATCCATTTTGTTTATTTTATGCAAGATCTCCTTACCTCTGCGATCTCCGCTCGTTCCAGTAGAAATATGATTATCTGATTGGGGACAACTCACCTCCTTCCCCCTCTCACCAGTTATTTCAGAAGTTATCTCATCGGCTGTATCATCAGCTGTGTCATCGGCTGTATCATCAGCTGTGTCATCAGCTGTATCATCGGCTACCTCCTCACCAGTTGTCTCATCATTGATCACTCCAAAGCATTTTTCATCAAGTAGTTTTTTTGGTTCCACTTGAAGAGAAGGATCATCAAGAGAAGAGTTATTTATCAGATCGAATATATCATGAAATATATTCATCCTCTTTTGTGCTTGTAAATATTCCCCATGTCCAAATTTATTATGTAAATTTTTCAATTTGTTAATTATAATAGTGATACATTTTTCCATGTAGGGTAATATATCATCCTTTGCAAAATTTTTTAGTTGTAATCTGTTACATATTGTAAATAAAATTTTTGCTAAATTCTTGCAATATACTCTTGTTTTCGTGGTATTTTTTTTTATCTGTCTTTTCAATTCATGCATGGTCATAATTTCACTATTTAAATTACAGTATATGTAATTTAAGCACAAGACTAAAATACAAATTCTATTTTCACCTCTATCTTTTATTCCTTTAATATTTTTTATTTTCTCAAAATTATTTATATAGTAATTATAGTACTTTAAATCGTTGCGATAGCATATTTTCTTTATTATCTTTTCGTAGTTTTTTTTATCGAAAGGTAGCTTGTTTTTTTCATTCACATTGTAATGTAGTTCGTCCTCCAAATTACTGTAAGAATGTGCCTCATTTGCATCGCTTGTGTTGTCCACATCATTCTCATCCTCCTCTGCCCATTCATTTTTTCCTTCTTTTGTAACATCATTTGTATCACCCGACTTTTCATGCCACTCCTGATGAACATTAATAAACCCCTTGAACAACTCATAGTTCTCACTTGTGCCATTTTTTCCGTTTCCATACATGTTAAGGAGCTCGTCCATTTCGTTCTAATATTTTGACTCAATTCTATTAGATCCCCTAACAATTTCAGTTTTCAACATTTTAGCACGTCCTAAAATCATGAGGCTCATGGGAGGGGGTAGGTACATTTTTTCCCTCTTTTGTATTTTTAATTTATTTTACACGATAAAAATTGCATATTCCTATCGGCTCTTTTACAAAATACAGTGACAGATAACTGAAACTGTCATTCATTTGGTGCGTAAAAGTATGCAAGTACATAATACATGTATGTGTCTACATAGGGTGAAAAAAAATATCACGTAATTTGCTTATAACAAAAAAAAAAAAAAAAAAAAAAAAAGGAGAAGAGAGAAATTGCAACAAAAAAAGTAAGAAATACTACAAGCATTTTATTAAGCTCATTTTATTACGCTCATTTTGTTATGCTCATTTTGTTACGCTCATTTTGTTATGCTCATTTAATTGCGCTCATTTTATTACGCTCATTTTCCGAATTATTGAAATTGAGTTGGGTTTTGCCCAGCGCAACAAGCAGTTGTCGATCACGCGTAGATAAGGACAAAATGTTTATATATACATAAACATGTATATACTTTTATGTAACACTTAAAGTAGAGAAAAAATATGTGCATATTTTTATCTTCAAATTATATGCGTTCATAAAAAAAATATCCTGCAGTTTGCTATTTTGGAAATTTTTTATCTCTGAGAAATTTCCACCGTTTACAAGCAGCATGAGAAAAAAAAAAAAAAAATGAAAAAACAAAATAAATAACTAAAACGAAATAAATAGAACTAAATAAATAAAACAAAATAAATAAATAAAACAAATTAAATAAAACAAAATAAACAAAACAAAATAAGTAAACAAAATAAAGAAAAAAAAATAAGCAGTATTAACATGTATTCATGGAAAAATACATAAACAAGTACACTTACGTTTCCACGTATATATTCATTCAATTGACCTACACCGTAATCTCAATATGGGAAATGCGGACACGCATCTCGTCGGGGGGAGGAGGAAAAAACAAAACAAAACAATTTCTTATGGGGGAGGGGTCCAAAAGGAAAACCTCACGTCCTTACTTGTTTGGAGTACTTAAAGCTATTCTTGCAAAATCAGCTATGTTTTATGCGTAAGCACAACAATATTCATGTATTTATTGCATGTTTCTGTTCATATGTAGAAGTATTTTAGAGTTTTAAGGATAGGTCGAAATGAATTCATATGTGTTAGTAAAAAAGAAAAAAATATTTTTTAAAGACTATTGTAGTTGATTTTTTTCATTTTTACATAAGAAATGACTTTTGAAATTAGGAGCTTTTCAAATATTTACTATTTTCCCCTTGGCTAAGTATAATAATAAATAGGTTTGGTTTACACTAAAAAAAATTTCGGTTATGTATGAATGAACATACTTGAGGTACGTAGGAATGGGGCAAAATTTGGGGAACCCAAGGAAAACTTTACAATTATGGGGAAAAGGTATAATAAAACAGGCTATAAAAAAAGATATATATTCATGTGTATATTTATATATGTATGCATGTCTCCTTTTGTGCTCTAAGCGTGTGCAGTTTACACATATGTGCGTGTGTGTGTGCATAATCCAGCGAGGTATAACGGACCTGCAGAAGAATCACATGTCGTTAAAGGGAAGTTGTGATATCTCACAAGGTAAAGGGTCGTTAAAAAAATACCTGTGTTTTAAGGCATCTTCTGCGGTAATACGCTCATGTGAATTTAACCTTAAAAAAGACATTAATAAATCTATACAATCATCGTTGTCAATTTTAAATATATTTTTAAAATCCTTTTTATTTGATTTTGTAAATTCTGTGTATAAGGGAAGATAAAGAGCCTCGGGCCAATTGTTTTCATTTGGTGTGCCTAACAAAAAAAATATTTTCCCTAATTGATCAATTTCATTTTCTCCTGGAAATAAAGTCTTTTGTAATAAAAGTTCAGCAAATATACACCCAAAACTCCACATATCAACAGATGAATTATATTTATTACTTCCCATTAACAATTCAGGAGCTCTATACCATAACGTTACGACTTTACTAGTCATATTTAAAGATCTCTTATTATGTTGTTTATCTTTTGAGTACATATCTGAGTACATATCAAATGCATATTTGGAAGACAATCCAAAGTCTGCAATTTTTACTTCTCCTTTTTTATTTATAAATATATTTGCAGGGGACAAATCTCGATGCATAAAATAGTATTTATGTAACACATTGAGTCCATTTAAAATTTGTAAAAGAATACATTTCTTTTGGCTATCTGTTAATAATATTTTACGATTGATAATTTTAGCTAAATCGTAATCCATTATTTCCATCACTAAATTTATGTAATCTTTTTCACAGTATAAATCCAGGGCAGTCATAATATTCTTATGTTTTATTTCATTCATTATTTTTATTTCTCTTAGTAATACAAAGTTTATGCCACATTCATCAATGTAATTGCTTATTTTATTAATTTTCATTTTCTTAATTGCTACTTCTTTTTTCAACGTCGTGTCATAAGCCTTGTACACTTTTCCATACGAACCTTCTCCCAGAAAGTTCGGCTTGAATATATATCGCTCAGCAGAATTTGTTTCCATTACAAGTGGCAGCGTGCCTGGGTCATGACTTTTGTATTGGGAAGTTCAGGTTTCCTATAATCTTTAAGGAAGTTCATAAGGTGAAAGTTTACTGATAAAAGCTGTGTTTCACATAAAAATGAACACAGAAAAAGAAAGGATTTAAACATGATGACTCAATAAACACATAGAGCAAAAATGACAATACATTTATTCACACTTAATCGAGAAATTTAATTCTATTTTAGCCTTACTTTTATAATCACTTCATGTCGTTGCATGTACTATTCTGTTGCCAGAGCGTAAATTTTTAAAAGTACTCATTTTGTGCTTTGTGTTTTGCACTTAGTATTTTGCACATAGTATTTTGAACATAGTATTTTGAACATAGTATTTTGCACATAGTATTTTGCACTTAGTATTTTGCACATAATATTTTGCATTTTGTACTTTTTTTTTTTTTTTTTTAATTTCTCTTCAGATTTGTTTCTCATAAGGGAATGCATTTCTGCCACCATCATGCAATTTGTTATGTGGTATAATACTTAGAAAAAAAAAAAAAAAAGAAAAAAGTATGAACTCTATCCCATGATCCATGTTTGCATTAACAAAGTTTTCATTTTTCTTTTTAATTTCTTTTTCCTTGCTAGCATAATTGACAATTTTTTTTCCTAGCATCCTTGGTAAAATAATATAAAACGTTAAATCTTCCACTTTAAGGTGATGGTAATTCACGAGTGGGGTATTTATGTATATAACATTTGAGCATAACTACCCGTGCATATGCATATATATAAGTATTTTTACCTCATACCTTCTTTTTTTTTTTTTTTTAAATATTAAAGGTGTTAATCCTTCTTTATAGAGAGTATTTATATATAGAGATATGGGTGAGAGTATGTACCTTAACAAGGAGATTAAGAATGGTGAGAAACTGGATGTTAAAATGTTGGCTCTAATTGCATAAAGGGCATGGGAGAGTGTGGAACCAAAAAGTGGGAAAAAAAGAAAAAAAAAAAAAAAAAAGGCATAGCATATAGTGTAGCATAACATAAGCATACCAAACCACAACTGAGCATTAGTGTTAAAGTAGCAAAGCGGAACAATGTAAGGAAAATAATTTTTTCCTTTTTTTAGGAAATAATGTCAATAAGGATTACCCCGATTTAATTAAAAATATATTTGTTTTTGTGTAAATTTTTATTTAAAAAAGTCATGTGTCATTCTTGTTAGGAATGCCATATTTTTTTGCGTGTAATTTTAATAAAATCCATATACAAACTCCGTGTGTATAAAAAAAAAAAAAAAAAAAAGAGGGGTGAAAGAAAACAATGTATTTGTGGTACGTGCGTTGTAAATATTTATGTGTTACCAAACTTGTGGATGTCATACAAAAAGCATGAGTCAAAGTGTGCATGTATAACGAGAGACAGAACATAAAAAAAAAAAAAAAAAAACACCAACAGAATAACTTTAAAAATGGGACACAAAATAGAACACGTGGCCACTTATAATGAAACATAAAAAAAAAAAAAAAAAAAAAAAATTACGGCTATGTGAAGTGAATTTATTGAAAAATGGATAATCCGTTATCTTGAATAATTTTCCCATTTAAGGATCCTTTATCATTTTTTTGTTTCGCTTCCTTAAAATATCGTCTTTTCCTTTTTTTGTTTTTAATTTTAATCATGTATCTTTTGTAAGGTTGGCATACGTAACGGCAATCATACTTAATGCCTATGTTTCCTTTCTTTTCTCGCAACAAATTTCTACACAATATCAGATGCTTTACCATAATTTCCAGTGGGGAATACACGGGGACGTTCAAGCATATATCTTCAAAAAAAAAAAAAAAAAAAAAAAAAAATGGGAAATGAAAACGAGTGCGAAAAAAAGAAAAAAAAAGAGATGTCATAATAAAAGGCCATAAAAATGTAAAAATAACAAAATATCACAGTTCTTTCCGTGATATTACATATGCAAATATGCACACGGTCATAAAAATACTGGCTTCAAATACATACACAAAAATGAAACTCTCCTCGGATTGAGTGATGAGCTATATTATATATAAACTTAAAATATATTAAATGCACAAAATGGTGTGAAAAAAAAAAAAAAAAACAGATTCGCTCAAATTTGCTTAGAGTAACTAAAAATATGTACAAAAATTGCTTACCCAGTATTCCCTCATTGATCGAATTGAAAGTCAACAGATTCCTATTTTTTGAGAAGAACATGCGAACAAGTTTTTCCTTGTACGGTTTATGATATGCAATTAATGAAGTTGTGTCTAAAATACACTGACGAACGTTAACCCGTCGTGATTTGTTAAAATACGATAATTTTTCTCGTATCCATAAGAGAGCTAAATATAAATGATCTTTTTTAAATTTTAGGCCTTCATTATATGCAGGTTTATTTTTATAGATATAATGATATATCTGATCAAAATCTATATCATTAAATTGGTAATACTTTTCATTAAAATTAGAATCGTTACTATTACAGTCGGAGGTGGTGTTATCATCATTTGAGCTTGAAAATGTGTCCTTTTTTTTCTTTTTTTTATAACTTGTTATTGTTGGTTTCATTTTTCTACAATATTTTTTTCTAAAATTATTACTATACGGATTATCATCTTCAAAAAATTCATATTCTTTAGATAATCTATTATAATGTTTTTCATATTCTTGTTGCAAGTTATTTTTCTTAAAAAAGTCCTCATCATAATTCGATCGCATATTTTTATATATCATTCTTTCCATTTTTTTCTCTTTCTCATAATCATTATTTAGTTGTGAATTTCTGATGGAATTTTTTTCATCAACTCCTATTTCATTTGCTATTTTTTTTTCTTCTTTTCCTCTTAACATGTCTATTGTGACATCTACATCTCTATTATCACTTCTCTGTAACATGGGCTGTTCATAATTCTTATTAGTTTTTTCTTCTTTTCCAATAGATGGATGGCATGATTCATCATTTCTTTTGTCTAAAAATCCTTTCTTGGAATGATTTATCCATTCGTCATGGTTATGTCTAGGAAGATCGTCTCTATTTATATGATCTTTGCTATTATTATGACTACTAACACTATTGTAACTATCGTACTCACTATTTTCTGCATTACTATTTGTGCTCTTATCACTATTTCCATTATGCTGTTTCAATGATATTTTGTTATGGCTCATGTGGTTCCCTTTTAAGGTGTCCGCCATTATGCTAAGACCTTTACTTTTTTTCCTTTCTCCTCTTTTGTTTAACTTGTCTAATTTTTTCAATATGTTATTGTTACTATCTTTCTCATCATTGGAAGTGTCACAAAATAAGCTATCAGATGAACCAGAATCAGTTATAATGTTATCATAATAATGATCATCACTTAGGGTATTATAAGTTTTGTAGCTTGTTTCACTGAGGACCATATCATCATCATCTTCTTCTTCCATGTTGTGTGTTCTCATTTTTTTATATTTTCTTTTATTTAAAGAAATTCTTTTTATAAATCCCTTATTCGGTCTCAGTATTTCTATCAACTGTTGTGTATATAACATGGCAATGTTAAAACTTCCTCGATCATTTGTAAACAAATCTGAATATTTTTCTTCCAATATATTTAGTACATTTATAATATTTCCATTCATAATATTATTTCTTATTATATATCTTGTTTGCAAAGAGTTTATCATTTTATTTAACTTTTCATCCGATAAATACAAATCGGCAAAATATCTTGTGATATATTCCCTATCAATTGGGTAGCATTTTCCTTCTTTTTTATTTAATTTTTTATTATTTTCATTTTTAATTATACCTGATTTTTCTCTTAACAAAAGATGGATCTTTTTATTAATTTCATTTTCACCTTTTTTTGCTTCTTTTTTGCTGTTTAAAAAATTGGTTCCTAAAATGTTTAAATCATCTTTCACGCTCAAACTTCTTTTATTCCTCAGTCGACTTAATAATAACGAATTTGAGTCTTTTCTCACATTTATTAAATTACTTAAACTGCTTTTTCTCGATATCCACAATGCACTTTGTAAATTTGTCCCCGGGTAGTTATATGGGTTAAACTCGTAGCCCTTAATTATATTGGCATCTAAATTTCCATCTGTTCCCTTTTCACCCTCTCTCTCAGTGTTCTCCTTTTCTTGGACGTGAATATGTCGGTGAGAACCTTCGCCTGCAACGGTTGTAACAGATGGATGTGAAATATTCTGCAACTCTTGTTGTTGCTGTTGCTGTTGCTGTTGCTGCTGCTGCTGCAGGACCCCGGGGTTCTCTTCCCCCTTCTGTTCAACTTCAACACTCGGAGGCTTCTCCTCATTTACGTTCTTCTCAGTGTTCTTCTCTTCTTCTCTGTTATTATCCATTTCATAAGCTTCTAGTTTAGAGTCCGTTTTCCCATCTGCAGGTAAGGGGTTGACGTCATCCAATAATTTATCTTCAGCTATGATTTGATCATTTTTGTTTTCACCGCTTGTCTTGGTGTCATGGGATCTTATTTTATCACTCTGAGTTATATCTTCCCCTTTGTTTGTACCTTCTGCTTTTTCATCCTTATTGTGTTTCGCACTTATATCTAAGTGACTAATTTGTAATTTGTTTAATGTGTTTTTATTATCTTTAACATCTTCATCATTTGTACCTTTTGAACTCTTATTTTCTTCTCCTATTGTATTTTCCGTTTTATGAAAAATAACATTTTTCGATGACTCACTGCTGTAAGCACAAAATTTTGCTGAAAAATCAGCATCCTTCATATCGACTTCACTTTTTGCACAATCCTTTTCGTATCCCCCTTTCGATCTTGCTTCATCATTATTATTACTACTGCCTCTATTTTGTAAATGCTGAGGAGGTAGATCAGTATATTTTATTTCTGTTCCCCCTCGAGAGAGGGTATATTTTTCTTTATCAGCGTTATTTTTTGGATTTTCTTTTGTTTTCTTTTCTTCGACATTCGTCTCCTTCTCCGTCTCCTTCTCCGTCTCCTTCTCCGTCTTCTTCTCCGGCATCTTCTCCTTCCCCTTTGGTAAATCAGTCTTTCCTGAAAAATACTTATTCATTGCGTACTTTGTATGCGAGGAGTTACCAATGCTACTACCATTGTCGTCTACATTTCTATGGTTTTCTAAAAAGTTCATAAATGTTTTATATGTATTATAGTAACCACATTTAACCAAATGGGATTTGATGATATCAGCAAAAATGTCTTTTTGGATATATATGGATTTAATAATGTTCCTTTCATTTTCACATTCTTCAAATATGAAATTGTAAATGTCAAAATAAAAATTATTCAGGTGAAATTTAATTCTGTCACCTAGACTACTTAACCCAACGGTAGCATAATAATCATATTTCGAATTCACATTACATGCCTTTCCTAAAAATTTTCCATTCTTTGTAAAAAATGCACTATTATCAAAATAATTAATACCACAACCAATTATATCATATTTTGTATATCCATTGCTGTAATTTTCCAATTTTCCATCAACAAGTTTCTTACCGTCATCATTCTTATATCCAAAAGAATTATATTCTGCTCCTGGGTTTTTATTAATTGTATAATTTTTGCTTGTCATACCTATTACAATTTTGGAAAAATTTGTGCAGCTTAAAACTTCAACTTCAAAATAGTATATGCTACAATCTCTAAATGCACATTTATTTACTTGGACACATGCAATATCTGTATGTTTTCCCCATGCGCTATATGTTGCTGTTAGTTTGTCCTTACTGACGGATATGAAATTTGAAACATTCGCTGTATTTATACATACAGTATCTTTGAATAAATTGTTTAAATAGATGTAATGGTGCTTAAATTTTTTATTCTTTTTTTTCAGATATAATTTTTTTTTTTTCTTATAGTAATTATTATCATTTTCTCTCTCTTCCTCCTCTCTCGATTTCTCATCTTCGTCATTCTCAAATTCGCATTTATTTGTCTTCTTGATTCTTTTTTTTCTTTTCTTTTTCCTGCACTTGTGATATGTTTCTTCATCCGTTTTTTCATCCGTTTCTTCGCCCGATTCTTCGCCCGATTCTTCGCCCGATTCTTCGCCTGATTCTTCGCCTGATTCTTCGCCCGATTCTTCACCCGATTCTTCACCTCCAGGATCCTTATCTGCGTCATTGTCCGCTTCATCATCCTCGTCATCCGTTTTGTCATCCGATTCTTCATCCGATTCCTTATCCGTTTCTTCACCCGTTTCTTCATCCGTTTCTTCATCCGTCTCTTCACCCGATTCCTCATCTCCGTCATCTTCAGGATCCTCCTCACTCGCGTCCTTATCTGACTTTTCATTTGCATCTTCATCTGGATCATCTTCAGGCTCGTCATCCGTATCCTTATCCGGTTCATTCGCCTCTTCGTCCTTCTCCTCATCATCAGCACCATCCGTGTCATCAACATCGAATGCATCTTCTTCTCCCACTTCTTCATCTTCGTCATTATCGTCATTCTCATCCTCCTCTTCTTCCTCCTCTTCCTCATCATCATCTTCTTCTTCCTCATCTTCTTCCTCCTCCTCCTCCTCATCATCATCTTCTTCTTCTTCTTCCTCTTCTTCTTCTTCTTCCTCTTCTTCTTCTTCCTCCTCCTCATCATCATCGTCTGAGCTGGACTCTGAATCAGATTCCATGTTAGACTTTGATCCATTGTCATCATCTTTACCTGTTCTTCTCTTTCCTTGGTTTCTTTTTGGTTCATTTGTTTTTTTCTCACTTTCTTTTCTTCCTCTTCTTCTTGCATTAGTATGTGCACCTTTTTTACTAAAAGCTCTATTATTAGAGTTGTCTGACAAGAACAATGCCGATTTATGTGGGACGTAAAATGATCTACAGAAATTACACTCATGAAAGATACTGGGATGATATGCATAATTTGAAAGTAACATTAATGGTGGATATGTTACATAACAACGTTCACATTTTTTATGCGTCCTTCCATTTTGACAGGTTACTACAATCATATTTTTATAATTTTTTCCTTTTCTTTTCTTGTTCTTATTTTCTAACTGATGTTTTAGTATATCCCTTTTTCTCTTAATATCTCTACATGGATTTGTGCTTTTTCGTGAAAACGAATTTATCAACCTTTTCTTTATTTTGACATCTAACTCTTTTATAGATTCTCCATAACTTCGCTTCCTACCTGTGGGAGGTATTATCATACTTCTTCCTACAACATTTTTATTCTTCAAATTTTTTGTCTCGTTGTATTTATCTTCTTCCATTTTGATAAAAGGGAAGACTTTATATTTTTTTTTAATCCCTTCGTTTATTTCGTCCTCCTGTTCGCCGAGGTATAACAGGTTTTCATCCTTTCTGTTTTTACTTCTCAAGAACATGTACATTTCAGATATGGGAAATTTCAGCAAAACAGTTATAACAAATCTGATATTACAAATTACAAAATGGAGGAGGCACAAATAATAAAATATCATGTATACTGTCCGTTCAACTTCCTCAGATAAAAGGGTGTACAACACCATTTCAAATTTTTTCTCTTCTTTATGAACTCTCCATGCTCGTACAGATTTATCAAAAAGGCATGATGCGAAGGTTAAATGTTCATAATACGCATCATTTGATGAAACATCGATTAAGGGGAAATAATAATTCCCACATTTATATACACAATATGTACTAACCAGATTGTCTAATTTTTCGAAATAAATAATTGCAACTTCTGGGATTATGCTAATAGGTAGATTTTTACTGCTTGAAAGTGTACAGAATAAATTCTCTTGGTAATTTTCTGCTTCTTCTCCTTTGTTATGTACAATAGGATATTTTATGATTCGATTGATTTTTGCACGATATGAATTGGCTAGTAGTAAGTTAACATCATTTTCCTCAATTTTGAAACTGTAATTTTCACTTATGAACAATGAAAAATCAGGAGATGAAAAATTGGGAAATGATATATTATTGATAAAAAATTTCCAACTACTCAGTTTCTCCTCCTTTTTACTTTTTCTTTCAAAAAAAAGACATAAACTGTAATACAATTGTTTATTTTTCTTAGAATCATTTTTATTAAAATTTGAAACTTCTAACACCAACATTTTAGATGAACAGGAACACTGTTTCTGTGTACGTTTGTACAAGAACTTATTAAAAAAAAGATTCTCCATCTGGTGTTGTAATGAAAAATGTTGCATTGTCTCTTTCATCACGATCACATAATTCAAAGGGGTATTTTTTGGTATAAATACACTCAATAATATGAAAAAATCAGAGTTATTCTTTTCACTCTTCATTATATATATCTTAAATTTTCTCCATTTTATCATAAATAGTATACTCATTTCTGAAATATTATAAGTGCCCAAATTACTGTAGAATCTTTTACATTTACACATGTAGCTCATATCATATATATTATGATTAAGTGTATCTAGTTGTAGTACCATAGTATCCTTCTTCGACATATCATTTATGTTTTCCACGAAATTTTTGAATATCAATTGAATGCACAAATTTATTGATTGAGCAAAAAATAGCTTTAACATGTATAAAAAGTGTAAGTATTGTACTGGGCGTGAGATATTACATTTTTTTTTCTCTTTTTTATACTCTATATAGTGATAAAAAGGTCTATATGTTGAATGAATTAATTTAAATAAAAGAGAATTTGAATTGTGGTAACCATCCATTTTTCCATTTTTACCCAAACATGTTCTACAGAATGTGTCACATTCATTATTTGTTAATAAAATGTAATAGAAGAAACAAAAGAAATTTTTTAATTTGTTTATTTTTACATAAAATCTTTCGTTTTCTATTTTAAAACAAGGAAATGAATTTTCTCTAAAATATGTCATGAGGATTATACGCTTGTTACATATGTACAGATTCTTTATGCTTAAAAAAAATGTCTCTATTATTTTAAATTTTTTCTTATAATATTTTGATATAAGTACGAATAATCGTACACGATAAATTTTTCGATTTTGAGAGATTATTATTTTAGAATTTAAATAGAAATATTTTCTTTTGCATTTTAAAACACGTTCTGATAATCCACTAATGTATTCAATCGGAGAATTATATATGCACCAATGAATTTTGTATAATTTTATCTCTACGTTATTGTGCAGTAAAGACTTATTTGTATTTATATCGTTTAACGCATTTCTTTCGACCATCTTCCATTTTACATGACTATAGGGATCTTTTTTCTTGAGAAATGTTTTCACCTTCATATGTTTTTCACAAATGTTGTGAAAACTCTTATTTCTTCCATTTCCCACCCTCATAATATACTGTCGTCGATTCTTCTTTTCATAAAAAAATTCACATGATGTCCTTTTCACATGAGAACGAGAGGTGCAAAAGATAGCATGTTCATAATCTCCGTTCAGGGAACAGTTCCACGCCGGACCAACTAGGTATGTCTGGTCGTTTAGACATGTCTTATCAATTAGATAAGGAGGATCAACTAGGTATGTCTGATCGTTTAGACATGTCTGATTAATTAGATAAGACGGATCAACTAGATATGTAAGAGTTGTCCATTTATTTAATTTTCCCATGTTTGTGAAATAATCATCTAACGTGCTTCCATCATCATCATCATCATTATGTGTGTGCCATATGTCATGACATAAAGTCATTTTCGTTCATTTGTCACGAATTGGTAAAAAGAGCGTTTGATGATATGACATTCACAGGTGAAGGGAAGCAATTATTTAGAGTTATACACTTTTTGTAAGGTGTGGGAAAATGTAAATTTCTGGGGACGGAAAAAAACATAAATAAATGAATAACTAACTAAATAAATGAATAACTAACTAAATAAATGAATAACTAAATAAACGAATGGCTAACTAAATAAAAGAATGGTTAAATAAGTGGCACGATAAGGAACGATAACCAATTTAACAAGATGAAAAATACTGCATATTGTCTCCTACAGACAGAACAAAGACAATATGCTATTCTTGAGAAGGAAAAACACAGGAATTACATGCGACGAGAAAGTAGAAATAAGAAATGGGAAAACCATTATGATTTTCACTATACATATACATAAGCACATATATACATATACATATATATATATATATATATATATATATATATATACAAAGTTTTTTTGTGTGCTAATATTTTTACTTGGTCTATACTATGTCTGTTCATATGTGTTTGCTTCGATTTAATTTTTTTTACTTTAATGATATTCACCATAACGGAGATTAATTTTCACATAAATCATAAATAAAAATGTTCATATAACTACATGTTGAAAGAATAAAATATTATCCTTCTACTTGTGTTTTTGTTTCATTCTCATTCTTATTCTCATTTGATTTTTTTTTCTTTTTTTATCTCTTTATAAGCATACGTATGCATGTAAGAATATGTATATGTACAAGCCCATATATGCTTATACCTACCTGTACATGTAAAGCATTATGCATTCAAGAAATCAGAAATTCCTGCTGATTACACATATGCGATCATATGGTGTAACAATATGGTGTAACAATATGGTGTAACAATACGCTGTAATAATATGGTGTAACAATATGGAGTAACAATATGCTGTAATAATATGCCCTTTTTTCCTCTATAAAGAGCGTATAAAATGAAAAGAATCTATAAATGTGCTGTTTGTTATAATATTTCATACTATAACACACGAAAACACATTGCAACAAAGTCTTGAATATAGTAAACTGATCTTATTTCAAGAGACGAATAAAAATGCACACAAACGTTCAAAAATGCTTTACTTACATTTTGGTATATATCTAAAAAATCAATGGGAGGTGTAATGTGTACGCATATATTAGCACATATGTGTATACACATTTATTATTCTGAGTATCATCTATAGAAAACAAATATATACATGTATATGTAAATATATATATACATACATCGAAGCGTATAGAGTAAAAAAGAAGCATGACCTATGAAAATATAGAAGCTTACATGAATGATTTTCAGCCCTTCAAGTTAAGGAATTGTGTCCCTTGTGATGCAATGAAAATATGAGTAAAGGTAATGATAAAATATAAAATGACTGAGTTACAATTAAAACGAGTATAAATGGTGTGCATAAGTATGCATACATAACATGCATACGCAGCATGCATGCGTAACAAGCATAAATAGCATGCAAACATAACATGCATAAATAACATGCAAACATACATATTTAACCCAATCAATTCTTTTCCTTATAAAATGGAGGCTAGGAACGTAGCATCCACATGAATTAAATTTCATACATGCATGTGCACATTCAACTCAAAAGGGAGAACATAAAAAAGAAAAAAAAAAAACTTTACATAATCCAAATTTAGCTGAGTAATATACAATTTGGTAGGAAGCCTTCGAATGTTCAAGGCAATTATAAAACAAAATGTATGAGATGTAAAACATAAAGCTTAAAATGTAAAAGGAAAAATAAAAAATAAATGTAACTCATGTAACAAGTTCGTTTTCGTATACCTGTATATGAAACATTACATACAAATAGTGAAAAAAAAAAAAAATTTACACAAGGATTGTAAAGTACTTAAAATTTTATAAATCACAATGGAACAAATACAACATAAGGACGTGATGTCACATTTTCCTTGCACATATATGTAGGTAACATAAGAGCCAAGGCAAACGTTCATGAATTCATAGTAAGGTGTTCATATGTGAAATCATATGCACATATTATGTATATTTCTATACGTGTACGCACGGATAGAGAAGGTATGTTTTTTGTAGCAATTGTTAGTTACTTGAAATGTAGATAAAACGACTGTGCTAAGTAAAAAGGAAAATGCCTTACAAATAATAAAATGGAATTATCACATTCAACGAAACTATTTTCAACTACTTGTTCTTACACGCATGTGATTAAATTTTACTGTGCGAATTTTGTGTTCGGACATTATATCCATGAGTCCTTTTTTTTTTTTTCTCTTGCTTTTTAATTATGTGTGTATTTTTATTCTTTTTGCTGAAAATGAAAAAGAACTAATTTTTTTAAAATATTCTATGTGTGCAAAAGAAAGTAAAAATAAAAAGCATGTGTAAATAATCACACGTTTTGCTTTCAAGAAGTGGCCGTATCTTATGTAATATTGAATGGGTGAGTACGTGCGAATACACATATATATGTATATATATATATATGCCCTTGCATGCAATGTTACACATATGCGTACGCATACACTATGTGCATAAAAAATTTGAGTAATATGTATGCTTAAGTGTGAAAAACTCGATATAATGTATTCATAGGCATGCACAAATTGTAGCCACTAATGTGATAAGGAAAATGTGAACATAAATACGTACCCGTAAGAAATAAGCCAGCTCCTCTATAAAAAAAAGGCACCGAATATGTAAAAAAAAAAAAAAAAAAAAAAAAATTATTATTGGTAAAACAATATGGGATGGTATGGGCCATAGTGTTGCACTAAAAATAAATGTGTAAAAACAAGTGATAAATATATACTTTTTTTTCTTTTTTTTTTTTTTCCTGTGGAAAAGAATGGAAAAAGGAACAGATAATGTAAAGGGGAAAACATGATTCAGTTTCCACACTAATTTTGGATTTCATTTTTTTTTTTTTTTTTTTTTTTTTTTTTTACACATGATAAATAACCTGAACCTTGAGTTAATTTGAGAACATAATTGGTTAATTTTCGCATAAAAAAAAAAAATATATATATTTTTAAAGACTCTGCATGCAAAGCTTCCTGTGCATATGCCTACACATATGCGCATACATGTATAATACATGTTTTTCGCATGTACATTGTTGAAGTAATCAGGGAAACGCGTAAAATTAGCTCCATTACACAGAATGGATAAATGAATATAAGAAAAGAAAAATAAGAAGTATTATTTGAATTGCGTGTCAGATAAGTAGGAACTATCAGATATACAAAAATTTCTACGAAAGGTTCTCTTTACCATACTAATTTGGGTTAAATATCTATAAATTTTTTGTGTATACACTATTTTAAAAAAAGAAAATTGAAAAGGAAAAGACTGTGAAACAAAGAATATTATGTTCCTGAAAATTTTAAAAAGCAGAGTAACTGTTCCGCTTGAAGAGTCATCAAAGAAAATATATATTTTCTCACCTAGGACAATTAACTAAATTTTGCTATCAGTGCACAAAAATTTTGCCTTCTCCCGGATTGTTATACAGACATGTCTGCAATATATATATCTACATCGTGCTCCTAAAAACGTGCACATATAAGCATGGCATATGAGCACAGCATATATATATATATATATATCCACCCCTTATAAATACATGGCGAGGTATCCGAAAATCGTTTTGCTTTTTCTCCCGCCCCTTTGGCAATGTACGGTCCAATACATCTTTTAACAAATGTTTGTTAACAAACATGTGAAGGGAAAATGTGCAATAATGAAATGGTTAATAAGAAAGGTAAAAATAGAGGTAAAAATATGGGCAAAAATATGGGCAAAAATATGGGCAAAAATATGGGCAAAAATATGGGCAAAAATAGAAGAAAAAATCCCCAAAGTGGAATCGTTTACACTTATAAGTAAACAGAAAGGGATAAGATATTATTTCATAATAAAAATAAAAAAAAGACAAATCATAACGAAAGGATAAAATGATATGAATTAAAATTCAAAATGCAGAAAAAATTAAAACATGCCCCCCAAAATATGTGATTTATTTTGAGGAAAAAAGTGCAAAGTTAGAATAATGTGTTCATACGTTTTAAACTTTTGCGTATGTTCACTTTTTGGAAGTATGTTTCTCCCCGTTCCCAAGTGCTCTACTTCGTAAAATAGTTGATTGGAATTCTGTTTAGATTTACATATGTTTTATTATTTTTATTTTAAACATTATAGTTACTCCTTTTTTGTCCACGATAAGGTGTACGAGTATTAAAATTAGAAGATTTATCCGAATGACTTAAGCTAATAGAACTAGCATATTGAGACGAATATGCTAATGTTCTTTTTAAAGAAGTGTCATTACGTTTGCTAAAATCGCTACCTGAACCACAAGGGTTTTTATGCAATTTCCCCTTTTTTTTCTTTTTTTTGTGCATATCTTGCTTATATCCGCCACCTTTCTGTAACTTCTTCATATGGAACGAATTATTTTTATTAGCACCTTTTTGAGACATGGAAGAAATGCTACTTGTTTCGATTATGGAAGAGGAAGAAAAGGATGATGAAACGCATGTTTTCTCTAATTTTTTCGATTTGTTTTTGTTTCTGCGTATGTTTAACCGTTTCTTGAGTTTGATATTTTGCAAGGCAACTAAAAATGAGTGATAAATTTTAAGTACAACGGATAGAAATGCGAAAATAAATTTGATGAAAAATGGGATGAGTGGGATTAAGGCTGGTGCAAGGATAATTAAAATAACAATTATAAAAAACTTTCTGATTAATTCTTTTATTAATTTTGTATAATAATGAATGCATTTTTGAAAATTAAACAAGTAACAGAACACCTCAAAGGCACACTTGCATGTGTCATTAGTAGAATCACCTGCAGAATCAGAATCACTATCGTACTTTGTTACACTAGTTTCAGCTACTACTTCTTTCACAACATCATCTACTACATGAATCATTTCTTTTGACGTTAATACAAAATCCTCCTTGGAACATTCACGTCCATCTGCACCTTTAAGAACAGCTTTGCATGCCGTTTGAGTTTCTTTATTTATTAAAAATTGGATAATAAAATAAAAAGCATAATTTTTATTAGCATCAATAAACGCGTGTATTGGACTGATAGGGCTAATATGACTAGCTATTTTTCCTGTTTCCTTATCTGTACATATTACATGACAAGAAAAATTAGATCCAATATTTTTACTATTATTCCATGTATGAACAATTAGTACACAATCTTTGGATTCTGATTGATTAGATGAACACTTTTTTGGTGTAGTAATATGAGTAATAGTTGCATTTGATATGGGTCTTATTTCATACACTTCAAGTGCACTAGTTTCGAATTTAATTTCAACATCATGATTTCCATTAAATTTATATTCAATAAATTGGGTATGTGCAGCTGTTTTTTCATTATAAAAAACCTTATTATCTAAATCATTAGTATCCACTTTTTTATGACTATTATTAATTTTTTCTTTTAAATAATCTGGTAAGTCAGTATGTTTATATAACCTTGTCTGTGGTTCTGATGCATATACATTTTTAATTTTATATTTTGATGCACCATCTGTATCCATAGCTGCTTTATGTTCGTTGTAGTATCTACGTAGATTAGCTGAAATGCAATGTCCTGCAGTTTTACCACAGAAATTTCCATGAGCTTCTCTCCATTTATTTAAAGATACACCTAACTTATCACAAGTTTTTCCACTTAAATCGAAAAGATACTTAGGTAACATTAGGGCTTTTCTCAAACATGGATGAATAGTGTCACATATTCCATGATAATCACAACCTTTTAAGAGAGGAGAATCATCATTTAAACCACAATTTCTAGTGACATCGCTAGCTATCACATCTATATCATCAATAGGTGATGATGGAATCAGAATATAATCATTAGATAGATTAATTAAAGATTTTTTTCCATGAAATTCACTTCTCAAAAGTAACCATAAATCGAAGTAATCATCTCTAATTTCTGTTATCGTATCATTTAATTCATATTTCTTTTCTTTTGTAACCAAATCGTGCTTTTTGTTTAAAACACTTGTGACATCATCATATGAATATTCTTGCAAAGTTATATCAACATGTGTGTTAAATATTGGTGGATAATCAATATCATATACAGAATAGTGAGATAAATCCATAATAGCACAGTGCCTACTATAAACCAAGGCAGAATCAGAGAAAAACATATTGAAATAAATACATTTTAATTTAGACCTCTTTATATCTTTATTATCCCTAAATAAATTGTACGATTGACATGTGCATGCTTCCCCTTTCATATATTCAAGAAAATGAGGTGGGAAATTTCCAACCGTTTTATTTATATCTTCTATCTTACGAATATTGCATCTGTATGTATATTCCTGAATATTTCTCTCACTATACTTTTTAAATTTTTGGTTATTAAATACGTCTACTACTTCTCTATATTGAAATGGAATATCTTTCATATATTTGAGATAATAGGAAATTGTTACATAGTCTCTTCGAATAGTTAAAAAGTACCCTTTTCCATCCGACCTTAATATTTTCAACCTCAATACCTAGGAAAAATATTTGGTAATAGGTTCAATCCTTTTGTGAAGAAATGCCCATAAGACACACGACATGGGCTCTAAAAACTTATCATACTTCAATATTTGCACAAGTACATTTGCAAGATACAACCGGAATCATGCAACACTAATTTTTCAAATGAAGTGTGCACCCCATATATATGCATTGATCAGATGTGTACGAAGGATAAAACGCACACCCCTTGAAAAAAAAAAAAAAAAAAAAAAAAAAACACATTCACACACAGTACATGCGAGTATGTATGTGTATGCTTTTTCTGGTACTTACAGAATTGTTAGAAACATCTAATTCTCCAAAAGCTACTAGTCGACATGTGGAATCATCTGATGAAGATGTGCACACTTTCTTTTTAGCAAAGGAATGTACAAACTGGATGAGTGACAAATTCCTTTTTCGATTATTTGATTCGTATTGGATTAAAATTGTGTAGCACAAAAGAAGGGCGAAAATTTTAAATGCCTGCATGGTGTTCATTTTTTATGCTTTTTTCTTCTTCTCCTTCCTTTCCTTCTTCTTTTTGTTTTATTTCTTGCAGAAGATGGAGAAAAGATGAGGAATAACTTCTTTCTTTTCCCATGTGCACATCTTATATACACAATTATACATATCTATACACATGTATATATGCGTATGTGAATATATAGGGATAAATACATTTGAATTTTGACAATATCAAAACTTTATACCGATTATAAGTAGACGCATCATGCGTTTTTACTTATCCCAAAACTTCAACAGTGCTTAGCGCGATATGTGAAGTTAATGTTCGTAAGGAATTTTATCGAGTGTTTCTAATAACTTTTTTTTTTTTTTTTTTTTTTTTTTAACATTTTCTCCTTTCAATTTTTCATCATTCATCTATTCGTTTTTACATTTCCATCCTTACATTAACATTCTTACGTTGTCTCCTTTTTATATTTTCTCCAACACAAAATTTGTTATTTTCGCACGTCTTCATATAACTATGCTTAATAAAAAAAAAAAAAAAAAAAATACGCACTATTTTTACTACCCATGTTTATGCTTTTTTTTTCTTTTTCATATAATCGAGTGGGTAAACAAAATTATTAGTAGACACGATATGATAAGAGAAGATGGGGATTATTCGTAAGACTGAAGATGCTTATTTTATCATTAGTAAAAAGTTTTACCCTAAAACAGAGATGAAGAGAAGTTTCTTTTTTTCTTTTTTTTTTTTTAATCATACACATAGAATGTATAATGGGGATGCATTTTATCAAATGGGGGTTGGGGATTGAGAAACACTACATTAGTATCTTGTGCAAACATATTTTTTCCAATTGTTGTGTATTCAATTTGTTATTGCCACTATACTTGGTGAATGTAATGTATACATTTTATATTTACTGGGGTTATTCCCAAATTTTACTTTTCCAGAAAAATCAGGGTAAAAGACAAGAATTAAACAGCACAAAATGCTGAAGTTTAAAAAAAAAAAAAAATTGTCTTTAGTGATATACCTATTTTTTATTAGCTATTTAAATAGGATGATAGAATAATTAAAAATTCTTTTTGAAAAAAATAACACAAGTTTGAGATTGTTTTATGAGAAGGATACAATGGTTGTTTCCTTTTTCACTTATTTACTGGGAATGTCTATAAAAGAATTACCATAGTTTTTTTTTTTTTTTTTTTTTCTTCTCTTTTTTCTGAACTATAAATAGGTCAAAAACTAAAGAAATTAAAGCCAATTATAAATGACATAAAATACTTTCAAATTAAATAAAAAAAAAAAAAAAAAAAAAAAAAAAACATAATGATATTATGAACAAAGCACAATTAAAACCTGCTTACAGCAAGATTCCAAACACATATGTATCTGCTCTTGTGCACGAACATGTTCAAATGAGAACATCCCAGTAGATGTGAATTTGAAGGAATCATAATAAAAAAAAAAAGAAAAAAAAAAAAAAGAGAACATATCATTTTACTTATGTACATTCTCGTGTACATATCTATCCTAATATACACACCCATGGGTGTATCTACATATTTGTGTATCCTGCTCGTTATGAACACTAATGAGATTCACTTGTGAATACTTCATTAAATTGTTCGAGGGGGGTCAATCCACTCACCACACCCTTTACTAACATTTCAATTTATTTTTATGTTTCAAAAATGTTTTTGCATTACTCATCCAGGGTGATAGAATATAGAACAGAAGAATTTTAGAATAAATTATAGGAAATTCTGTTATTCCAGTTTCTTTCATGTTCCATGTTTTATCACATTGCACAGTTACATGTATTCTCCCTTTCTTGCTCATCACTTTTAAGGAATTATTTTTCCTTTTCTAAAAATAAAAAAAAAAAAAAAACAATTTTAACGTTTTATCTTCATACTTATAACCATGCACATTCAATCTGGAATTACAAAAAAAAAAAAAAAAAAAAAAAAAGAATGCTAGTATATTTTCCCTCAAAACATTGGTCTGTCTATGTTCAACTGGGGAATTCTCTCCTTAAATTTCTTTCGTTTTATGATATCACGTCCCAGGTCATATACTATGTAAATTAGACAAAAAAAAAAAAAAAAAGCCTTGAAATGAGAAATTTTCTTAAACATATCGAATCTTCTAGTTACGCCCTTAATTCATGTGATTTTCATTTGGTACATAATTAAAAAAGAGGTAATTTACACCTTCCTGTAAAATGATAAATGCATTTATAGGTATGAATTTTCCCTGATAAGAAAAAAATTGCTGAGTTGCCCTAATATCTAAGATAACTTCTAACAGACTTTGTAAGAAGGAAATATTCATAACATTTATAGTAGTAGTAATGATAATATTGGTCATAGTTGGATTATCATTGTAAATAATTAATTTATATTCTTTTAGTTCATCTCCATGTTCATATAATTTTGGACACAATTCTTCATGATGTTGAACTATATTTTTTGCTACTTTTTTGTATTCATAATACATATATTTATCTATGACACTTCTTGAATATTTTGTAATAAAATAATTTTGAAATATTTCTAATTTGCCATTATTTGCATTCTTTTTATTTGGTTTATTTAGCATGAACGCGTAAGGTGTTAGCCATGTTTCATTAATCATTCTTTCTGTTAATGTATCATCCACATAAGTAAAAAAAATTTCATAAATGTCTCTTTCATTAAATACAATATTGTTATATGGATGACTGTTCAATATGATATCATTTTTAGACGAAAAAAAGGTAGAAGTAGAGATTGTTGATAACTCTTTTGCATATTTATTCTTTTTTGAATATTGTTCGTGAGAAAATAAAATATGTTTTTCTATAAAATTGTGAATATTTGAAGCATTTTCTATGTACTTGATTAATTTTTTATTTTGTTTGATTCCATTAAATTGAAACACACTACACAAATCTTCTACATACATAATTAAGGAAATTTTTTGTAATAAGAAGATAAAATAATTCATATCTAATACGTATTTCTTCTTCAAGTTGGAGGAAAAATAAAGTAGCACATTATCTTCATCTAATTCTTCTTGGAATACCATATATTCATTAAAATTAATTTTCTTGAGTAAATGGTCTATATAAATTACATTGTGGCAATAATCCCCTGATTTCCACACATGCATATTTTTGAAAAAGTAAATTAAATATTTTACATTTATTACTTTTTTCTTATTACAATAATTCATTTCCCCAATTTTATTTTGCAATTTTGGGGATTTATCCAAACTGTTATTATTTTGATTTGTGTCTTTTTCGCCCATGTTGCATTGGGTATCGACACAGGACTTATCACCCTCATCTGCACTGGGATTTGCACTGGGATTTGCACTATGATTTGCACTGGGATTTGCACTATGATTTGCACTGGGATTTGGACTGGGATTTGCACTATGATTTGCACTATGATTTGCACTGGGATTTGCACTGTGATTTGCGTCTTGATCTGCATCGTCATTTGCATTATGATTTGCATTATCATCTGTATCTTGATCTGTATCGTGATCTGCATCGTGTCCTGCATCATGTCCTGCACTCTGATCTGCAGTGTGATCGTCACTGTCGTGAATATTTTTTCCAATCATAACTGGCTCCTCCTTCGTGAGCGTTTCTTTTTCTAAAAAGGAATTTTTCAAGTTTATGTCACCATTTTCCAATTTTTGTTCGTTCAACATTTTTTCATTATTTTCAATCAAATTCGTGTGAGAATTTTTTGCGTCATAAAAATCTTCATGATTTGGAGGACTTTTTAGAGGAACCCAATCTGAATTTTCCACAACTTTATTATTTAAAAGATGGTTGGCATTATTTGCATTTCCCTCTTTGGTATTTTTATTTACATGTCGCAATTTTGGTATAACAAAATTTCCTAGGTTGATTTTATTCTCATTCTGCATATTTTGTGATTTCAACATGGAAGAATTAACAGATTCTGAAATTTCCAAGTCATGATCATCTTTGCCTAAATTACTGTATGTTGGGAAAAATTGATTTCCAATTCGATAAGAGTTGATATGAAATATTTTTGATTTCATTTCTTCAATCATAATGTTTTTAACATCATTCATATTTTTTAGATTTACTAGAGAAGAATTATAGTAAACGTGAAGTACGTCTATATCTGGATATTTAAAATTATTCACCATGTTCTCTTTACATTGTTCATCCATACTGCTAGACTTAGAAGTATTGTTACTTTTACCTACAACTTCATTTTGAGATGTACAATCAGTATCATTACCACAGGACGTGTTGGAAGTTTTTAAAGTTGCAAAATATTTATTGTTGTGATAATAAGCAGTATTTTGTAAATTTTTTTCTTTTAACTCTTTCAACAAATTTGGAGATATCATATTTCCATTTTTTTTTATATATTTCAATTTTTCTTCAAGAAGCATTAACTTTTGTAGAAGATAACTTGGAGTGAATTTTTCTAAAAATTCAGAATTTTTAGTTTGAGTAAAATACCCTTTCAATTTCGATGTATATTGTTTACAATAGCTGATAATAATGTTCGTGTATGATTTACAGGGACATGTTAAAGGAATAGTGTATTCGTTTATATTTAGTATTTTTAGCAAAATTTCAAACTGAGTATTATTAAATTTATGTTCCTCATTCGTAGTCACAGTCATGCCATTTTTATGAAAATGGAATCTCATTTTTTCATACATTAGCATATCATTATTTACCAATTCGAAGACATCTGTTATTCCCATACAGTAAGATGCACACACTGATTGTGTAAATTTCTGAATAAACATAACAGTTTCTGTAATGTCAAATACTTTTAAATTTTCCATAACGTATAATAAATCACTGAAATTTTTTTTTATAGAATTTTCTCTGAAATCAAAAAAATTTACATATCCGTTTGTTCCATTTTGACCTACTTTAACAAACATTGTGTCTTTCACTTTTTCTTCTGTTGATTCATCTATTATATCACATTTTGTTTTCATTTTTTTACTTTTCATTTCTTTTTTTTTATATATAGGTCTACATTTGTTGCCTTGTGCAAGGCTAATCTTATTTTGTAATTCATTCTCCTTCTTTTTATTTGAGTCTATGTAGTCTGTAAGTTCTATAATTTTTTTGACTAATAAGTTTGCATCGCTTTTATTTATGTTCTTCTCGTCTTCTTCATACGATTTGTCTACTCCTCCCACTTCCATCACTTCTTCTACCTCCTCGATTACCTCTTCTTCTTCTGCATCATCTCCATGTTCATCCACTTTTTTATCTTTCAATTGATTATTCATTTCTAGCGATTCCTGTGTGTTAATGTCATCACCTTTTTCATTTTTTCCCTCCTTTTCCTTGTCTGGAATTTGGTTACCCAACCTGAACATGTAATAAGGGTTATAATATGTATATGAAAAATCGATACCATTCTTCCCCTTTCCACCTAATTTTATATTAGGTTCATCCATATCATCCATACTTTCTCCCTGGACTTTATTGTTATTCTCCTCATAATTGTGTTTGTTATTTAGATCTTTCCATTTGCAGGACATTGTGTCCTGAACATCCAACTCTTCATCATCATCATCTTCATCATCAACATCTTCATGATTATCAACATCTGCATGATGGTCAGCATCATCCTCGTCGACATTACCATGTGTGCCCTCATTTATGTCATATGTTTTTCCTTTTTTTTTTTTCCATTCACTTTTAGCCAATGTAGTAGCACCTTTCCCTTTTTCAACTTTTTCGCACAATTCCTTCATTAATTTTTCGTATACACTACATTCCCTCTCTTTTTGATGCTCATTCTGGATACCCTTTTTAACAACTTTTAGATTTTCCTTCTCACCATCATAGTAACTATTGTTATCATATATCTGTGGAAATTTATTCGTATCAAAGGGATGCATTCCATTAAATCCATAATCCTCCTTATAAAAAGGCAAAGGATTTTTTGCACATGGAGTATTGATATAATTTATACAGTTGGTGTAAAAATTTACATGGAATTTCCCAGTTGATTTATTAATTAATCTAATATTTTTCATTTCTAGTATATCCTTCATCTTTTTCCAGGTATATTTTCTTTTCTTTTCTTTTTTTTTTTCTTCTTCTTCATTGTAATTGTCATACTCTTCATGTTCCTCATTCTGTTTATTCCCATATTTGTCCCTGTACCTGTCACTGTACCTGTCACTGTACCTGTCACTGTACCTGTCACTGTACTCATAATCCATACCTCCATGGTAATCTTCCTTGCCACCATAGTTGTACTCGTGTGTATATTTAGATTTGGTATTATACTCAGGGCCCTGGTCATGTATGGTAGATTCATTAAACTTCGTTTCATCATAATATGAATTATTCTCTTCCTTAGTTTTGTCCTTTTGTTCAGGTTGCACATCATGAAACGTTTCACCCTCTTGATCTGGTTGTACCATTTCTGTCACCTTTTCATTAAGTTCAGGGTGAAGCAAATTGCTATGCATAATTAAATTAATTAAATTATGCCCCAATTCAAAAACATTGTTAAAATGTCCTCTTAATTCTTCTTTATTTAATTCATCTACGTCAACGTAAATCTCACTTAGAACACCAGACATGTGTATCACTCTTTTATCTTCGTCACTGAAAGTTGCATCAACACTATAAAATTTCAAAAACTCATCTAAGAATTTGTCGAATTTATCATTATCGGTTGGGTATAGTGTTATATTATTTATGCTTTCTAACAAATCATTTAAATCGTCCTCATCCTTATACTCTTTATTATCAACAAAGGTCTTTTTTAATAGGGATAACAAAGTGGCCCTTTTATTTTTATTGTCAATGATTGCCAGTGCATTTTTTTCACAGAAAAGGATAAAGGAGAATAAAATAGGAAGAAAGTAAATGCAAAATATTCGTAGCATAATTGATTATGATATGGGTGAAAAAAGTGTAAAGTGTGAGGATGAAACGACGCAATGAAGTCTTATAGACGTAATTTTCATTAATTTAATTCTAGCTAATTTTTTTCTTTTTTGTAACATATTATGGATTCTTCGTGTTTTCGGAGAAATAGTTAACTGCGTTACATTTCATTTATTTTGGTATTTTGTTATTTGGGTATTTTGTTATTTGGGTATTTTGTTATTTGGGTATTTTGTTATTTGGGTATTTTGTTATTTGGGTATTTTGTTATTTGGGTATTTTGTTATTTGGGTATTTTGTTATTTGAGTATTTTGTTATTTGTGTATTTTGTTATTTGTGTATTTTGTTATTTTGTTATTTTCCCATTTTGTTATTTGTGTATTTTGTTATTTTATTATTTTACTATTTTACTATTTTACTATTTTATTGTTTTACTATTTTATTGTTTTATTATTTTTCGTTTTCTCAAGTGCTCACTTTTTTTTCCTCAATATTTATTTAGAATATTTCTCATTTGAATTTTTTTTCGCCTATCTTACATGCTTAACACTTCATGGAACAAAAATGTGCAAAATCGTTCTTGTCCATTAAAAAAAAAACAAAACATTTATCTAAAAATAATTACCTTTTGATGTTAGACGACCGAAAATAAAAAAGTTTTAGAATTTTATTCTTTAGAACAAAATTGGAGAAAAAAAAAAAAAATATGCAATGTGTTGATCCGAGAAACAGAAAATATTATTTATTTATTATTTTTTTTTTTTTATTATCCGAGTGCTTGTCTGTGATTTCATCTGCCATTTGATATGCTCTCAGGTTTTTATTGTATCCTTTTTTTTTTTTTTTTTTTTTTTTTCTCTTATCATTCCACGTTTATTTACCAGGTGTGTGAGATCATTTGTACATTTGAAAGGAATTGAACTCCGTAAAAAAAAAAAAAAATTGTTCATTCATTTGAATCATCAAATTAAAAGTAAAAAGATAAATAAAATAAAATAAAATGAAATAACCCTTTTGTACATAGTAAGTTATAACCGAAACAGAAGACAATATATGTGAATGGATACTGTAGCGCAAGAAAGACTAAATTTTATATACTATATCAGTTCAAAATTCTATCAATTTCAGGAGATATGTACAAAATTGTCATTGCAAGTATTCTGTTTTTTAGTCTTTGATCTTTTTTTTTTTTTTTTTATCAATTTACAACGCCATACTGACACATTTTTATTTATTTATTTTTTTTTTTTTTGCTTTTAAGAATTCAAAACAATTCATTTCTCTTTTTTACCCTTTCCTTACTACTTAGTAAAAGTGAAATGTAAAAAAAAAAAAAAAAAATCTATTTGAGCATGGCAAAAATATGTATCAATTGAACTAAAAAATAAAATACATGCAGTAAAACCATAAAATATTCCAATGTGAGTACATAATTGTTTTTTTAAAAAGTGAGTATGTAAAGAAAACATTCCATGATAAATAAGGAATGAGAATAATTCAAAAAAAAAAAAAAAAAAAAAAGCCCCAAAATAGGCCATTCTACTGTTGTAAAGTTGATAAAACTGAAATTGTAAACTCGGGTGTGTTTTATTGTTGCAGATTTCTTCTTGTCATTGTAGTTCATTTGGTATGGTACATTAAAAATGAGATTATTAACTTGTTCTTTTTCACCAAGAAAAAGTTAAAAAAAAAGAATTTCAAACTGTCTTATGTCAACATTATTCATAAACGAATTAATGTGTACATGTGAATAAATATTTAATATATATAATGAAATATGAGCTCTTGCAAACACTTTCGTTGCAAAATGTGCTTCTGGATATTATCCTAGTCCCACTAGTTATCAACAGTGTAATGTAATTTTTAAGGTTTTCTTGCATTTTCCTGTACACTATATTTTTTTGTCTTTTCCCTCGGAAGAACATATAATGAAGGGAATTCACAAAAACTGCTTTTTTCAATTGACACTTTTCTAGGCACAACAGTAAGTTATATCCCTTTTCTTTCAACATAACGGTGTGTAACTAACTGTTCTTTTTTTTTAAGTTAGCAAAAAGAATAGAATTACACCAATTTATATTTTATCGATATACCATTTCGTTTAGGAATTATTTATTCTTTTTCACTTCATGGATCATCCTGAACTATTCGTGTGCAAAAAGGGAAAAAATATGCCTTGTAATTTTTTTTTTTTTTTTTTTTTTTTTTAGGTCTTGTATAGATTATTTACATTTTTGTTTTTGTTAATTTTATGTTATTCAATTTTTCTTTTTTATTTTATCATTTTCTTTCTTTATCCTCACACTAAGCATATCACAAAAGTGTAAAGATTAACACACTTTAAAAATAAATTTTGTCTTTCATAAGCCCAATAAGGGAATTTAGTGTATCATTTTTCCTAAGCAAAAATAAAAAAAAAAAAAAAAGTTCTTAAATAGCATCAAAGTGGTGTAATGCAAAATGCATAATTAAAACAATGTGACCATTTGGACATAAGAACAGTTTTTCATTCTTTTAAAACATGTTACAGATAGTATACGCATTTTTAACATTTCTATAAGACGATATCAATTCGTGCAAATGCACATAGAACATTCTGTTACATAAGTCTCATTATTCCCAAATTTTGTTACATAATAACACATGCCCATACTTTTTCCACCTTTTTTATAATATGATGACAAGGGTTTGTCTAGTAACGGGTGGCACTGGTTTGTTAGGAAACAGTTTAAGAGAAGTGATAAAAAATGAAAACAGTAATTTTGTAGAAGAGGAAAATGAAATAATTGTGAATTCGAGAGATAAAAATGTAATTAAGAAATATATCTTTTTAAGCTCAAAAATTTGTGATTTAAAAAATTTTGATGATACCCGCAAAATTTTTGAAAAACATGAAATTACTGATATAGTGCATTTTGCTGCATATGTAGGTGGTTTGTACGCGAATAAAAACAACAACCTGCAGTTCTTGGTTGATAATTTGGAAATCAATTTAAATATAGTTAAACTGTGTCACATGTATTCGGTATGAAAAAAGGAAAAAATGATTTTGCATGTGCATATATGCATTCACATGTATACATATATAGATATACATGGGGGAGAACAGCAAAAAAGGCCAAGGATGTGAGTCCCTTTAGGGCATGCAGTTTGGAACATATTGCCTATTTAAGCTGTCTTAAAAAGAGGAGGATAAATATATATGCATAAAACAGTTATCATCTGTATATAAACACACATAAACATTTAATGAAAGACTAAAGTAACTATACAATGATAGGAAGTTTCACTTCTAAAACAAAAAATAAATAAATGTCCTTTCTTCACGTTGATCTTATAGATTACCAGAGGAATATTCACACTATCCACTTGTGTTTTCCCAGAAAAGTGTAGTTTACCTTTGGTTGAAGAAAATATACATGAGGGGAGATGTCACTTAAGTAATGAAGGATATAGCGTATCGAAAAGAGTTTTGGAAGTATTGGTTAGGTTTTATAGAGAAAAATATAATTATGAGTGGATCTGTATAATACCTACAAATGTATACGGAAAATATGATAATTTTAATTTATCCAATGCTCACGTAATACCCTCTATTATTCATAAGATGTATTTAGCTAAAGGTAGTTTTATTTATTTATTTTTTTTTAAAAAGAAGCATTTACATCTCACTTAACATAGAGACACAGTATAACGCTACATATTTTTGTAATTATTTTTTTTTTTTTGTTTTTCATCCTTTCAGTGAACAACATAAACGTAAAACTTATGGGTGATGGGACAGCTGTCCGTCAATTTATATACAATAGAGACATAAGCAATATTTTATACTATATCCTCAATACGTATTACTCCAAATATTTAACAATTATTAAGGATGAAGTTTTCAGCATCATTTTTTCCACTAACCTTCCTTCGAATGGTACATATAATATGCGTTCCAAAAAAATATATATACATATATATACGTATGTATGTATATATATGTATATTTTTAAACATATTTTACACATAAAAACGCTGATCCTTTTGTCTTTTCATCAGAATTAACCATTAAGGGGCTGGCAGAAAAAATTAAACATTACCTAGAATTTAACAATGAAATATTGGTTCATATATATATATAAAAAAAAAAAAATTTCAACTAAAATAATACAACTTGAAACGTGTTAAATGAAAAAAAAAAAAAAAACGTAAATTTTTTTTTTTTTTTTTTTTTTAGTTCGACAAAACAAAGGACAACGGAATTCATCGAAAGGTTTCACCATAACATTAGATTGAATAATCTAGAAAGTTAATATATTTTCAATCTAAGTGAAGAATGAATTGATAAAATGAATTTATCTCCATACTAAAATTTACTCCTTTTTTTTTTTTTTTTTAGACCTCGAGCAACGATAAATTAATGAAAATATTGGATAATTCTTTTACTTTTACTGACATAAACCAGGGTTAAATAGATTGATAGAAAATAATAAAAAAAAAAAAAAAAATTATAATTTTGAAGAGTTGCTCAATTTGCACATGAAGTGCAATGAAAGTTCATTTTACGAAAATTCCCTCTTCTTAATACATTCAATGCATGTAATGTGTGATACATTGCAGGTTTGAAGGAAACTATCGAATGGTTTATTACAACATATGAGAATATAAGAAGATGATATTTATGAACTTAAAGAAATTTATACAATTGTTTAATATATATGCGTTTTATTATTTATTTTTTTTTAAAACAGTTTTATTGATGTTCACTATTTTAGCCATTTTGTCCATCTTTGCTCTGCTTTTACCATTTTTATCACTTTGTCTGTAATTGCTGAATAAATATAGAATTTTTATAAACCACAGAGAATGCGGAAATGGCAAAAATATTCCCCGCCCTTTCCCCTAAACAAATTTATGTCTCCCAGATTTATTTCAAAGGGAAGGAAAAAAAAAAAAAATGTATATATATGTATACATATATATAAATCTGATTATATACACTGCCTTTTTGATTCCATATACGATGAACAGCACACATTGTGAACTTTTATTAAAGAAAACAAAATATAAAAAACAGACAAGAGGCAGGTTGAAAGTGCGCGAAAATACAACTTGATTAAGGAAAAGGAGTTGACGCACAAATTCCATGTACCTATATATATATATATATATACACGAAGTTTATACTATGTGTAGTATATATTCATATGGGAAACCTGAACATATATTTTCCACTTCATGCTTAAAGTGATAATGAAGTGTAAAAAAAAAAAAAAAAAAAGGGATATTTCTTGATTTGCATATTTCACAAACAAAATTGTTATATATATGGACAGGGGGAGAAAATTCTATTTTCCTTTTTTAAATAAAACATGTTTGCCTTACAATGACCCAATTTGTTGCCATTAAACAATTTATATATATATTTACACATTAATGATATATATGTTTTTTTCAAATTTCATTTTTTCCATTTCGTTTTTAACACTATGTATTTTTCGTTGTTATCAGCATAAAATGTTCTTTTCACACTTTGAGTCTTGCATTATTTTTAAAAATTTCTTCACCAATAGTGAGTTTTGTTTTGCAGACATTTTTCTTTTTTTTTTCTTAGCACAATTGTGTATATAAAGAAGGGTAATTATAAAAGCTCTATGGGTATTTTTTTTTATTATTTAAACCTCTTCTATTCATTCTTTCTTCTTTCTCAAGTTTTTTACACATAACACATTTGTACGTCCCATGATCCTTTTCCCCATTTTTTCGTATAAAAAATTTAATTCTTAGGTAAATTGCATGGGAGAAAAAAAAAAAAAAAAAAAAAAAAATGGTGAAATAAAGGGAAAAGGTTGTTTTAGCATTTTAATGAAGCATAAGTGTAATGATGTTTTTTTTTTTTCTCTCTATAGCAAAATGGGGTTGGCATTTCTTTAAACACTTTAAAAATCAAAAAATAAAATAATAGGGGGGGAAAAAAAAAAAAAAAAAAAAAAAGTACAAATAAATTCATAAATCTCGAATCGCATTTATTTTTTATTTCTATTTATTATCATTATTTTTTTTTTTTTTTTACGTATATTAGCCCACAAATGGGATATTCCTTTATAAGAACAATGCGTGTATAGGTAAAAAAAAAAAAAAAAAAAAAAAGCCCCTGTAAAATATGTATTTTGCAAAATTGTATAAAATTATATAAATTGTTCGATGGAGTGTATATATTAAATAAAACATAAAGGCTTTTTTTTTTTTTTTTTTTTTTTTTCGTTTTTTTTCGTACGTTATGTAACTGTGTTTACAAGTATTACATTTTTTTAAAAATTTAATATACTTTTTATAGCACACATTTTTGATTGAATTTAATGCAACATTTTTTGTTATTTCGTATATACATATGGCAAGGTAACATTTTTTTATTTTATTTTCTCCATAATCTTGTTAAATTGAGTGAAAACATTGTCATTAATTGGCATAATGCCGTTTTAACTGGGTTTACATGTAAAAATTTAAACGTTTTTGTAACCATGTATATTTGATAATACATGAATATATATATATATATATATATATATATATATTTGCCCATGAATTAGCATGTGCATTTATACAATGAAAAAAGATCCCACTAGAACCAGGGTCATTTTGATTAACCACGTCTCCCATATCCATGGATAGACTATATATACAGATGTATGTTTGTGGATAATGTATGTATATATTTATTAATTCGTTTTTTATCAAATTAGCTTTGATATTCATGCAGCTGTTAGATCCTCTATACCTATTCTGCTAATCTCAATGTGTGCAATGGTGAAAGCGTGTTGTCATACTTGCGTGCAGCAATTTGATTTAAGTCAACATTGACAACGGATAGATGGACTTATCATTGTATCCCATTTGTTTAATGCACACCACCCACACGTATGTACATATATATATAGGTATATCTATGCTTTACATGCACACGTAGATATATCTCAGTGCACACACGTGTCAATATATTTTGTTTTTATTTTGAATGTTTTAAACAATTGCATCCTTTTTAACTTTTTTTTTTTTTTTTTTATGGCTTCAAAATGGAAGACAAAACTTATTTAACATTTCATAAAAGAAAGAAAAAAAGAGTGAATGGAAAAATAAGTAGAGAAAAAATTAATAAGAAAAATTTTTTAAAAAATGAAAAATATGTAAGAATTTCAGCAATAAATAAAAGTACATGTAAAAAAACATTTCTGAATACTTTATTTAAAAGTTTTGTTAAGCCATACAATGAAAAAAATACGGCATTTTACTCCATTCTTTGTGTAATTAATAATATCTACAAATGTCATTACTTTTCAAAGCACCGTTGTTTCATATGCAAGTCACTGCAAGAAAGGATAGCACCCGAATTGCAAGTAGAAAGTACATATTGTAATAGTACCGATGGAGAAGATAGTGCTTCTACTACTGAATCTACTACCATCGCGTCAAGTATCGCATCTACCATCGCTTCTACCATCATTCCATACGACATATACTGCAACTTGCACAAGATAAACTTTGTTGAATCGGGCAAAACAAAAAGAATCAGAAGCAGCGGGAAAATGGAAGGGAATCGACGAAGGCATGAAACCAAATTGAACCGTTGTGCACGGGAAAAATGTTCAACTGGAGATGACAAGCAAAATTCCCAGACACAACTGAATATTGGGGATATATTGGACAAAATAAAAAAGAAAACAATAAATGAGGCAAATACGGTTAGTGAGGCAAATACCGTTAGTGAGGCAAATACGGTTAGTGAGGCAAATACGGTTAGTGAGGCAAATACCGTTAGTGAGGCAAATACGGTCAGTGGGGCTAATGAGGTCAGTGGGGCTAATGAAGTTGATGAAACCAAAAATGAGGGTGAAAGTGAAGCCCCCAATGAAGGTAATTGCAAAGATGGAGCGTGGGGAGGGAAAGATGCACATGGGGTAATTTCTCAAGAAAGCATAAATATGTTACAAAGAGAATCTGTAAAATCAAATATAATAAATAACAAAACAAGATTAAGTGTAAGTGTGATAAAGAAAAACATTTCTGTGAGTGACAAGAAAGTTTTACCAATTGGAGGACCGATTCAACATTTCGTAAGCACAAAATTAAATCTTACAAACGTGCATAATTACTACTTTTTATCACATGGAAAGGTAAACTTTGAAGATTTATACAACTTTGATATATTTGAAAAAATAAATATATATGACAAAATATTATTAGATCTAAGTCAAAATGAAATTCACCCCAGTGTATTAAGAACAGGAATATATTTTAACAAACATTTTATCACTACACACAATGATAGAAATGTGGATTTGTTGATAGCATTGAAATCTTTTATTAAGGATTATTCTCTACCACCATATGAGCCAATTAACAAACATATGAAAATTATAATAGATAAAGAAATAAATTATATTATTATGTGTAAAAAGCACAGTATAAGTATGGGAGAAATAATTAGGTGGTTTAAGAATATTATAACAGAGCATATTGGAAAGAGTACACTAGAAGAAACGAAAGAAATTATTACAAACAATATTAATAATTTTATTAGAACAAAAATTGTTATTCCTTCTATAAATATATCAAACTACGTAGCAGAGCATATAATTGATCATAATGATATTTTATTAATATATACTTTTGATTATGATATATATTTGTCCATTGTTAAGGCAAAAAAGAGTGGAAAAAATTTTGAAATTGTTTTAGTAGATTCAGAACCGTATAAAAATTCTTATGATATTAAATTGTATACCAAATTGGGAATAACTGTTACGTATACATTAATTGGTGCCTTATTTTATAACATCAAAAAATGTACGAAAGTTTTATTAGGTATTGATGCAATTATAAATAATAGCATTTATGCTTATGTCGGGACAAGTATCATATGCATGATATCTCATATTAATAATATCCATGTTTATATAGCATGTGAAACGTATAAAATTAGTAACAAAATTATAATCGATAGTTATAGCTTGAATAATATAAATAATAATTTGCACATTTATGATTATGTATACATGCATCACTATGAAAACCACCGTTATCAAAGGCATTTTTGTCAGCTTTCCCAGAGTCATAAGAATACGCAGCGCCATGCTTATAATAAAGCCCAACAGCGTGCTCATAATAATATGCAACAATATGGTCATAATAATATGCAACAATATGGTCATAATAATATGCAACAATATGGTCATAATAATATGCAGCAATATGGTCATAATAATATGCAGCAATATGGTCTTAATAATAATACACGTCAGCAGCAACATCTTCTTAACTCAAGTTCATCTAGGAGTGTTACAAAAAAGAACGAATGCATGGATCATCGGATAATATTTAATAAAAAATTAAATACGTTTCTAGAATCATATGGAAGTATAAATTTAAAATCCATTCTTTTTAATAATATTAAATTTAGCACGAAAAGTAGAAATGCTTCCAAACCCATTATCAAATATTACACAGATGCAGAGAAAGAAAAAGTAAATATCTTTACATTCCCAGGCAATAAATTTAACCCTATTGGAGAAAAAATCGAGCCACCAAAATTATCAACGAATATTAGTTATAACCAGAATCTTCATGAAAACAAAACTAAAATAAAGTATGAACATAGAGAACAACAGAATAATAATAATGAAAACACAGATGATGATCTTTTAAAAACAAAAAATAACCAAATATTGAATACTCAGAATAGTGCACTTAAAAATATAAACGTGGCGTACAATGAAAATGATGACATTGTAGCTTTTGTTCAAAATTATGATGAACAAAAAAGAGAAACATTTATTTTAGAGAAAAAACTTTACCAAGAAGAAAAGGTTGTAAGTAGCACTAGTCTGATGGACATGGATAAAATTGGTCCAGGGAAAGATGTAAAAATAATCAGTGCTTCTAGCTTACTCACCTCCCGAAGCAGCAGCATCAGCAAAGTCGTGTCAACAAAAGGAATATTGAAACATTCAGAAAGAACAACATCGAATGAAAAGGTAAATGAAAACATAAATCCCTTTTTAAATCATAAACAAAATTGTGGAAATATCTCAAATGAAAGTAAAAATGTCATTAAAAAAAATAAAGTATTTTTTAATTTAAAAAGTGATAAGAATAGCTATTCTTTTAGTTATAACAACCATTCGGGGACACCTGATAATGGTGTAAATGCACAAATAGAATCATATGAAAATGAAGAAGAAAACACTTGCTGTAATGCTACTTGTGATTCCATTTGCACGGCAATTGGAAATATTAATATAAAAAATATATGCACAGATAGGCATAACCAAACCAACCTTTTTACCTCAGTCATGTCACACATAAACAAAATTAATTCAAACACCGACAAGTCTTTTTATGTTGCCAATATATGTAATGATGTTACCCCACTTAAGTACATTACCTATATTGTCACTGAGGCAGGTTTATACACGAGCGAAAACAAAAACTCGTTAAAAATGTTCGTGCAAAACAGTCTCTAGCTCCGTTTGTGCATATTATATGCGTATTGGAGTGTGCGCATGTTTTCATACATATGATTGTGTGTCCTTCCAACTTTTTTTTTAGTATCCCGCAGGCGTCCCTATTTTTAATATATACATTGATACACATGCATACACATGCATACACATACATACACATACATACACATACATACACATACATGCATGCACCTTTTTTTTTTTTTTTATGAGAAAAATGAATTCAAAAAAAGCAAGGTGTTATTTTTCACTTACCATTTTTCTCATAAAAACGAAAACTGATATGCATCCAATAAACGATTTCATTTTGAATAAACAATGAATGGTTCTCCCTCCCTTTTCTTGTTGTAAAATAAAAGCGCATGTATACTTTTATATATTTCAGTTAAGTCCGTGCGTAATATATAATATATGCATCTATATACAATGTAGGAAAAGAAAAAATTTTCAATAAGAGGTGGTCATCTCCATTTAACAGTTTTTAACGCGGTTAATATATCTGTTTCTTGCAGAATTTATATTCAGTATACATGAGATAAAAGGGTAGAGGTGATTAAAATGGTGAATTGAATGCATATATACGTATATTACCCCAAGTGCATGAGGTTTGCATCTGGTTTGGACAGAGTGCTTGTTTGTAACGTTATTTCAAATGATATGTTTCATCAATTTTGTAGACATGCACATCTCCATGATGTAAAATGGATTCAACTTTACTGTGTATGAGACAAATCAGAGGAGAAAGTATAATTAATAATAGGTGTATTTTTTTTTAAGGTAAAAAATTTCAAATAATATTACCAGGTGGAGTATCTCATCAGGAGTAAAAACGAAATATACAATAGTTATAAAAATACAAAAAAAAAAAAAAACTTTTTTTTTTTTTTTTTTTTTTTGTTTCCCTTTATCCATTTCTTCTTGCGCTCTCAATTTCAATCCTTTTTTTATTTTACTTTTTTCCCTTGGGCATAAATTTCAAAATGTCCACATTAATCTAAGATTAACACTTAGAATAGAAAATAAAGAGACTCGAGAAATGTCGCCTTTTTGTGCGAAAAAAATTTAAACTGGAATAGAATGTTAAGTAATAATAATACCATAGAACGTTTTTTTTTTTTAAAACATCGCATGGAAGCAGGGTTAAAAAAATAGAAAAAAAAAAGCGTATAATATATATATATATATACATATATATATATATATACACGCACAACTCACACCCGAACATGTCTCAGAACAGCTCTAAAGGTAGACAAAACGGGAAAAATGAGAATAAATTTAGAACAAAAAATAATTAAACAAAACATTGAGGAAAATGTTAATTAATTATATGTTTATATAAAAATTAGGAAAGTGGTATGCAAACGAAATCAGAAAAAAGTCTAAACAAAAGCAAAAAAAACAAAGCGGTTAACATAAAAAATAAAGACCAAAGCGGTTAACATAAAAAATAAAGACCAAAGCGGTTAACATAACAAATAAAGAGCAAAGCGGTTAAACATAAAAAATAAAGAGCAAAAGAGATTAAACATAAAAAAAACACAAGCGTTTTAGCAAGCCGAGAAGGGAACTTCCCTAACCTTTTTTCTTTTTTTTTTTTTATTGCTATTCATTCTACTGAAAATAAAGAATAAGGGTGTATATGTATGTATGTATATATATATATATATATATATATATATATATATATATATATATATATTCGTGCATGTGTGAAACATTTTGATAAATTTGTTTTAATTCTTTAACTTTATACATATGGTAGAGCTCACTAAATGTTTTGCTCAAAACCGTGTACAACTCATTTTTCTTAAAACACGTATATATGTGCATATATATGGTACACATGTATGTGTATCTGTGCATACTTCCACATATTAGCACATGTCTAAGAATATACATATATTCACAAACAATTTTGGAAGCATTGTCCACAGTCCACCCCCTCAGCTTTCAATATCTCTTCTGTAATTTGTAATTTTGCTTTTGTCCCTTCTCGTAGTTTTCTTTGTTTTTTTATCTCTTACATCAGAAGATGGAATGGCCAATGCAAAGACAGAAAAAATCACGAAAGCTCCTATGTAGTAATATATGTATTTCCTAAAATGATCTAGCATTCTATTAAAAAAGGATGTATTATTCATTCCATGCCCTGGTGGGGAATTACTGTACATTGGTGGTACCCCTGAAATTTTTCTTCTCTGGTCTTCATGAGGCTGAGGATTGTTACCTTTGTGTAGACTTTCCTTAATATTAAGTTCGACAACACTTCTTAACAGTTTCATAAAATCTTTTTTAATATCATCAGGGATGTGTATCTCTTCGTTTGTTCTCCTGCAAAATATGGGATATGTGTTAATGTAAAATAAGAGCTTAAAAAAAAAAAAAAAAAAAATTATAGCTGGAAGAAAAGGGGAAAAGATACGACAGTACTAAAGCGCGGCTTAAGCTTTGCCTATAAGTGTAGACATATATATAGACACAAATAAGTAAATAAATAAATAAATAAATAGATAAATATATATATATATATATATATATATATACATATGTGCATGTATGCATGCATGCATACATATTAATATCGTGGTGGGCACTTGGTTCCTGTCGTTTCGGTGCGAACGCGCTTAAAGCTGGGATTACATTTTGAGTTGCATTAACTAAAGTAGGACCTAGGACATGATTTTGTTCAATGTTATTTAAATTTTGTATGCCGGCTTTTCCTTCTGGAATATTATGTGCATTGTGGTTCTTGTTACCTGCCTGATTATTCTGAGGTTTATTATTACTTGCTTCATGAATTTTTTCCCCCTCGTCATTGTTGTGCTTATTATCATTGCTGTTCTTGTGACCACCTTCTTTGCTAAGATCCTTGTTATTTCCTGCAGTGTTAACTTCGTGATGCTCCGGATGTTTGTAGTCATCGTTTACGTGAGCTTTTATTTCGTTTTTATTTTTATCATGATTTTTTTCATTTCCATTTTCTTGTTTGTTATTTTCCTTTTTTTTCTGTTTCTTTTTTCTCATTTCTGTATCCTGTTCTTCGTCTTCCTCCTGTTCTCCAAACTCATCCTCATCTTCTTCAAAATCTTCTTCATCGTCATCAGTGTTCCTTTTCGTTTTTTTTTTCTTTCCTTTATTTTCTTCTCCTTTTTCCCCTTCCTTTAAATTTCCTTTACTTTTGGAATTAGGTTTGAGTTTTTCATTCTCTTCCTCATCCTCTCCTTCGTCCCCTTCTTTTTCATCATCTCCCCCTTCATCATCTTCCCCTTCCTCCTCTTCTGCTTTGTCATCATCATAATCTTCCTCATCACCATTACTTTCTTTTTTACTATTATCATTTTTTTTCTTCTCCTTATTTTTTTCTTCCTTGTCGTTTTTTTCCGTTTCTTCATTTTTTAACTTCCCATCATCTTTTTCCTTATCGCTCTTTTTCTCATTCTCCTCTTTATTGTCCTTTTCTGTGTGAGGTGTGCTATCACTTGTTTCTTTTTCCGACAAAAAAGAAAAACCTAGTGATATGAAAAATAATGAGGGGGAAAAAAAAAAAAAAAGAAAGAAATTTTCTAAAATATGCAAATCTGAGTTTTAAGCTGTCACAATCTGCTTTGGTGGAGAAACATGGAAATGTTTTTTTTTTTTTTTTTTTCGTTTTTTTTTTATTTCTGCACTTAATTTTATTACATTTTCACTTTCTACATATGTAAAGTATTCTTCACACATAAATAATATCTCCTAATGTTCTTTTCAAAAAATATACCTCCACTTGTAAAGTCCCTTAAACCGCCGTGCATTTTTTTTTTTTTTTTTTTTTTTTTTTTTTTGGTTCTTTCATTTTGTTACCTGTAAAATCACTTAAGTCACGCTTATCATATTTGCGAGTCTTTTTCCTTGATATTTTGGATGGTTGATGATTTCTCAGAATGTAATTCTAATAAACGTAAAAGAGGAAAGGAAAAAGTAGAAGGTAGAATTTCAAAAAGGATGTGAATAGATAAACAAATATGTGGTAACACAGATCTAAGTGTGTACTACACAAGCAGTAACATATGGCATAATCTTATACACACCCCATTTTGCCATTTTTTAACAACTCTAATGTCTACAATGATGGAATGTAGAATGTACTCTACAAAATAAAAGACGAAATGTGAATATTTTCACTTGGGGGGAATACAACTCGTGTTTAAAAATGCATAGAAAAAATGCGTAATTTAATGCTCATAAAAGAACAAGGGATTTTTTTTTTTTTTTTTTTTTTTTCCTTTTCTAAAATATGAATTAGGCAGAATAAACATCAGCAAAACAAGATAAATGATTACTGCTAATTTTTTTCGTACGTTTGAATTCGTTTGAGAGTTTGTGAAGGAACTAACATAGTACAGAATAGCCAAATAAAATATTCTCATTTTTTTTTTTTTTTTTTTTTTTTTTTTTTTTTAAGGGGATGTTTTTTTTATCTTTCATTTTTGAAAATTTTTTTTATAATCATCTTTTTTTTTTTTATATAGAATCATTTAAATTTTTTTTTTTTTTTTTTTTTTTTTTTTTTTTTTTTTTTTTGGGTGTATTTTTCATTAAAACAAAAACCGACAAAAGGGAAAAAATAGAACTAAAGTAAAGATAGGAAATAGACAGAAAGAAGAAGGGAAAAACAATTTTATATGACACATAAACTTGTACACACGTATGCATAATATACATACATGGTAAAATTGTGCCATTCGATGTTTGTGATTGGTTTTCCATGCAATTCAGACTAAGAAAATGTTTGCAATATTTAATGTAAATATTTAAATTGTTGTTCCCAATACTATGTTTTATGAAGATATACCTGTGTATACTTCTCCATGCACATATCTGCATGAACGACTTTTAAAGATAGAGTATTTAGGTGTTATAAAGGGGGAAACGCTTTACGCAAAAATGACAGGTTATATATGTGTTCATCTGAATAAGTATATGGACACGTAAATGTTTTTGCATGTACACGTATATGCTTGTATACATGTATACATATATACATATATGTGTACGTGTGGGTGTATATGTATACATACATAATACCCCATGCGTGTTACGAAAAAAAAAAAAAAAAAAAAAAACAGAAACAGAAAAAGAAAATGAAAAAGAAAAAGGAAAAGAAAAAGAAACACAGCATGTCATTTGCCTACGTTTAAATACATGCCTGTTTTTAAAAGCTGCACAAGTCAAATGAATTAAAAAAAATTAGCTACACCCCTTATTTTCGTTAGTTTTTATTAAATGGAAAAGTTACATACATACACATACACGGACTACAAAGCATTTAATGACATAATGAGTGAACAGCGTATATAAAAGATCAAACTGTAAAAATAAATGGTGCCATTTTTATTTTTTCTTCCATTGAAATATTTTTTTTATTAACAAAACTGTCTTGGTAAAATAGTGATGTGCTTCTATCCATTCCACAATATAATCGTAGCAGTACATGTCGCCATTGTACCTTAAAAAGGGGAAATTTGGAAAAAATGATTGGGTTAAAATACAGAGAAAAAAAAAAAAAAAAATAAAATAAAAAAATAAAACCAAACAAAAATAAAAATAAAAAGATGATATATACGGTGGATGAAATATGTACGTCCATTTTTATACACTGGAGACATCAGAACATGTAAATGAGAAAGATTAATTCTACTTGCATATTTATACAAATGTGCAAAGTAGGAATTACATATTTTACTACAAATTATTGACATATGAAATTGTAAAAATAAATACACAACTTTCTAACATGGAAATTCCATCCATAACAACATATAGTAACGTTTCAAATGTTCATTTTGAAAATGTCATTCAGGAAGTGATTTTCAGTATTATTGCTATTATGCACTGTATTTTGTGTTTTTATTTTTCTCTTTACCTGAAGGCGTTACTTATTTTAACATCTTTACTTGAACTCAAAACTTTATAAAGTAAAGAGTTGTATTTCTTCCTATGAACGGATGAAACATACAGCATTACAGGCAAGGTGGTGATGTTTAAAGAATTACACAAGCCCTTGGCGTTGTCAATGTTAAAAATGTAGAAATCTATTTTTATTTTATTTTCTGTTATAATTCTCTCAACTTCTCTAAAAACCGTTATCAGGTTGCTGCACATGTAAGGGGAGGTAAAAAAAAAAAGGGGAGCGGGGGGAGGGAGGTTAATGAAAGGGCGAATTAAAAGACTATATGCATGAATGCATGCGTATGTATGTGTGTTTGTGCTTGTGTGAACACGTCTGGGCATGCTCGAGGGGACATTCTTGCTTCACTTGTGGGGTCAAACACACTATTATGTTAGAGACGTATGTTTTCAAAGAATATATATGTATCCCCTTTTGTTCAAAGGGTGTGCGAAGCAACAGTGGGTATTAGGGCTGGGGTGAGTGATGGATGAAAATATATAATCGGGTTCATACAATCCCCTTTTCCACGTTCAAATCTCAAAGAGTACTTCGAATCAGTGTCCCATTTTGCATAGACATAAAGAACAAAATCATTGTTAGTCTTCAAATATAAGAAGTCTTGAAAATAATATGTATTTTTAAAATTTGTCCTATTCTCTAGAGAATATATTTTTTTTTTTTTGTCATTTTTTTCTATCATTAACATTCGATAAAATTCATGATAACTCAATTCTTTGACTTCGCAAATTACATTTTTTAAAAGAACAATTAAAAAAAAAAAAAAGAAAGTTTTCATTTTATAAAAAAGGGAAGAAGGATATTTCCACATATACCAAGCTACATATTACTCATTTGTGTATGTATTTTTTTTTTTTTTTTTTTTTTAAAACACTACTGCGCCAATTTAATATTTTACGAATTCTTGTTTGAAGACATTCGATTAAAACAAAATTAGTAGTTTTATATATATATATATGGCTAGGCTTGACAAAAATGGGGGGGAAAAAAAAAAAAAAAAATTGCATAATATTTGAGAATACATATGCACATATATAGGTATGTAATCTATCCTGGTAGTAACATAAGAATAAATAAACAAAGGAACAGAATAAAATAACCATACTTTTTCTTACTAATGTAAGATGATATGTCATGAAGTGGGGAAGAAATAAATAAAAATAAATAAAACAACACAAAACAGAATTTATCGTCACAGTAAAATGAAGAAAATTATACAATGATATCATTTCACAATTGTAAACTTTAAATACACCCAATTTTTATGAGGACAAGTTCGAATGCATTACAGGGAGTAAATGAAGAACACGTAGATGAAAAAAAAAAAAAAAAAAAAGCATGTACATAAGCATAAAGTTATCATGTGACATAGGGTTATGAGGATGTATTTTTCTGTTAAAAATGGAAACAAAAAAAATATCCTTTTTTTTGCAGTTTCATTTTGGCTCCTTATACATATGTAGAATACATGTACAAAAACAAGGTGCGCATTCATATAACATGTGTTGTGATTTTTACATACCTTTTTGTGTGTGCACTCATTCTTGCTAAATTTTCAAAAATTCAGAAAAAAAATAACCCACCAATTATTTCAAAAATGAATAAATGTGGTGCATTTTTTTTTTTTTTTTTTTTTTGCAAGAGCTCGTTTATATGAGATCTAACTCAATATAAAACATGGATTTGTTTTTAAAAATGTTTAAATTTAATTCACTCATTCTTGATATAAGGGATTTCCTTTTTTCTAAATTATCTTTTATAAAACTCAGGAAAGTAATTTTTGTCTGAATTATTCTCAGGAGTTGTAATTTTTTCATATATTTCATGGAATTTTTATCTTCTTCACTGAATTCTAACTTGAAAAGATTTTTTAATTTTTCCTTATCATTTTCGTTTTCTTTCAGGCTTGCTATTATACCATTGTATATTTTTAGTTCTAAGTCTTCATGGAATCCTTTGCACAGAAGTAAAAAATGGTTTAAAATTTTTATAGATAAAGAACCATTAAATATGAAATTTTCCGTAAGGTTATTTTTTGATCCTGTAGTTACACCTACTGGTTCACCACCGTTTGCACTTGTTCCATTCTCGTCCAGTATTTCCAACTCTTCCTTTGCATCGATCTCATATAATACTTCCATTTTAACATGTTTACCTTTGTTAATTGGCTGTTTAAGAAAGGGCCCTTTCTCAGAGTCATCCATCCGTATCTTTATTTTCTTTTCGTCTATTTGGATGTTGGACTTGCTATTAGCTCCTTGATCTTTTTTTTCATTTGTTGTATTTTCCGAATTACTGGAAGAAGCTTCCTTTCTTTTTCCACAGGTGGTACCACTATAATTATTAGCATCAGAATTTTTTTTAGTATTCCTTTTTGTAGTTATTTTAAATGATACGTCTGAGTCGGAAGTTGAGTTACTACTTGAGCTGTCATCAATTGTGATATATTTTTTATCCGATTTGTTATTCAAAATTTTCTTTTTTTCATCTTGGTAATTAATTCCTAATTTGTTCCTTGTTTGCACAGTACGGCTTCTTAAAATTGAGCGATAATTTTTCCTTGTTTCATCGGAAGTAAAACTTCTGTCCTCTTGGTCTTCCTCCGAACTATCATCCTTCATGTATTTTCTTTTTGTTTGCACATTTTTTCTTACTACTTTTGTTTTACTTCCATTATTTTTTTCATATCCAGTTTGATTGGATTTATTCTTTTCTTCTTCTCCCATGTGTTCATTATTTTTTTTTACTAGATTATTGGACTTGCAGGAAGATTGTGTTTTGGAGTTTTCACTTAAACGAATGCTTGTCTCATCTAGTAACAATTCCATCGATTTATCTGTGTTTCCATTAGGTTGATTTTCCTTAACATCATTACAATGTTCTTTTTTTCGTGTGTTATCTACTCGCATGGATTCTGTGTTATTCTTATGATTGAATATTTTCTCAAAAAAGTAAAAGTTATTTTGGTTTAAGCTTTTAAATGCTATGACATATAATGTACTAAAAAATATTTTAAAGAAGTGTGGTAGATTTTTTTCATTATAGAATATTCGAAAGAGTAAAAAGTTTAATTGTGTATAATAATTCCTAATTGTTTTTTTTTTTATATAATAATTTATGAAATTCGGATAAGTTATATAATTTTCCTCCTGAACATGTGTTGGTTTGTTAATACTGTTATTATCCATTAGTAGGAGAAGAATTACAGTTGTTCTAATTATGTATAGCAAGACAGAATGATTTGTAACATCTCTTGGTAATCTTATATTATTTGTTTTACTTTCTTTTTTTACATAATTATACACACCAGTTAATCTGAAAAATTTCTTTACAGATGATATCATTTTTTTTAAAATGTAATTTTTATTTTCGTTCTTTTCGTTTAAAATAATGTATATTATTTTGTAAAAGGTTATATTTTCATATTTACAGTTAAAGAGAAAAAATAGGCAGCTTATCATAATAGAAAAATTATCACTTTTTAATATATAATCATTACAACTTAAATTTTTTAAAAAGAAAAATTTGTATTCATCTGAATTCATCTTATTTCCATTTTTTTTCGTAAAATAGTTCTTAATTTCACAATTTGCTAAGAATTCAAATAAATCCATTAACTGATCCTTCAAGCATTTTATATCATTCAGTTTATTATCTTCAAATATAGCATTTTCATTGTTGCTATTTTTTATGTGTTTTATATACATATTTGCTTCTTTTATTGAAAATGTATTATAAATTCTTTTAAAAATTTTTAAACAAAAATATTTTAAATACCTCTCATAGTATGCATTTTGATGGCCCTTCGAGTACAAAAGGCATATCAACTTATTTGTAATTTTGTGGTAATTATCAATATTCAATTTTATGCAACGGTTGTATAAGTCGCTCTTATGATTGTTTTTGTTTTTCTGTGTAAATATAAAATACAATATTATTAGATTGATATAAAGGGAGGATACGTTTAAATTGTTCATAAGTTTAGGTTCAAAAAAATCCACTGTGAAATGTTTTCTGTTCGACAGGATATGCGATAGATAACTTGGGGTGCATATCCCAGCATTTGTCTTTGGTTTATTTATAATTGAGTTCTCATTCTTCATCACTTCGGTGAGACACGGGTCCTTGCTTGTCTTTCGTTCCTTCTCAATTTGTGCTTGCCCATGACTTGTTATTTCCTCATCCGTTTTGTCTGCCCCGTTGACTGACTTTTTGACTGCCTTTTTGTCTGCCTTTTGGACTGCCTTTTTGTCTGCCTTTTTGTCTGACTCTTTTTCTGCCTCCTTGACTGCCTCCTTGACTGCCTTTTTTCCCATTTCTCCTCTCTCCACTTCTCCCACTTCGAATTGGGTCATGTCCATTTTTTTTCCATTTAAGACCTCCAAGCTGTACGTGTAAACTTCTTCCAATTTTTCTCTATCAAGGATACACTTCAGACAGGAGAATATAATTCGTTTATTGGAGTAATCGGAAAATAAAATGTCGTATATTATAAATTTAAAATTATAATGCAAGTTATTTGCTTTCAAAATATTTTGTAGCAATTTTAAAAATATATAAAAAATGTTCTGATGTAATTTAATTTTTTCTTCTGCCCAAACGAGGGTGCCAATTGCCCCTTCATGTTCACAGCTTACAGATTCGATATTTTTTTCATTTCCTTCCTTCAACTCCGAGCTATTCACTTTTATAACATCTTTATCTGTCCTCAGGCTGTAATACTTTACTCTATTTTCAAATTTTTTTGCATTCTTGTCATACACCTCGTTGGTACTGTTATAACTATTACTACTACTGTTATTATTATTACTACTGCTGTTATTATTATTACTACTGCTGTTATCATTTTTGTTGTTGTTGCTCCGGCTACTTCCCCTGCTACTTCTGCTTCCACTGTATCTACCACTGCCACTACTGTTACTGTGGGTTTTTACCTGTTCTACTATTTTCAACTTTTTTAACTTGTTTAACGCAAGTTTTAAAATGTAAAAAATGGATACTAAATACTTTTCTATCTTTACATCTTTCGCAAATGTGTGTAACAAAATAAAGGAAATGTTTAAAAAAATTTTGTGCCTGGAAAATTTCTTTTCTTTTTCTTCTATCACTAATTTTATATTCTGTATGATGAAAAAATAAAAATCATCAAATAGGAATACTAAGCTGGCGTTAAAAATGGGATACAAAATGTTCATTCTTATATTTCCAAGCTCTTTTATAATTTCCAAGTTGCTTTTTAAAATTTTGCTGTACACATTATCCTTATTGTTTAGGAACAAGTCGTTGATAACTTCATCGATTTCTTTCTTTCTGTTAAAGAACGAATTTAATTTTTTCACAAACTTAAGTTTTTCGTCCCTACTTCCATTAATGTTGTTCACTATCATGTTACTTTCCCCATCTATTCCCTCTACATTTTTCATATCCTCTGCATTTTTGCACCTTTTATCGCTATGGTTACTACTAATACTGTGCTTCTTCAATTTGGGTGTCTCCTTAATTTCCAGACTTACATTAAAATCCGAGACACAGTATTCATCCAGCGTGTTTCTCGTATTCCCCTCGAAATATTTTAAAGTCCAATAATTTTTTTGAAAAAAATTAATTATATTATTTTTTTCTCTCTCTTCAGTGCTTGCATTAGGGATATTATTTCCTTCTGCATCTTCTACATTATCCCCTATCAAGTCGTGCGAACTATTATTTTTGCTGCCTGATGGATAATCTTTTTTTTCAGAGATATCCTCATCACTTGATTTGTTGTTCTCGCTGTTGTCCCGTTTCAAGTGCGCTCTGTTTTTGCTCTTTTCTTCTTTTTCTTTTTCTATCTCTTTTTCTTTTTGTTTCTTCCTTTGTTCCGTCTTATTTTGCCCCGTTTTCATTTGCGCATATTTGTTCTGCGTGCGGGTTGGGTCATATTCGCTTTCATCATCGGTGCAAGTGCCATTTTGGTAATCATAACTGCTGCTATCAGAATCTTTGTCTCGATTTCCCTTCAAATCACTAACAACCTCCGAATTGGAAATGTCGTGGAGAGCGTTATCTCCTGCTTCGATACACTCTACTGACTTCCTCAAGAGGTTGTTATAATTCTGAATTTTTAATTTTAGAAAACATTCCAAGTGATGACTTACTTTACGTTTGGTTGTTATGAGAGTTGTTAAGAAGTTGAGAAAATTGTACTTCAGCGAGTAAAGTAGAAAATATAGTTGATAAATAACATAAAATAAATCCTTCTGCAAAAAAGTTTTTTCATACAAATTTTTGAAAAGATATTTTTTGATAAATGAAAAAGAAAGCATTGCTCGTTCATTGAATATTTTTTCTTTAAAATTTTCCATAATTTTATCAAATAATTCTATATAAAGAAATAAGAATGGTCTTAAAATATTCTTACAAATTTCAAAAGATTCATCCTTTAAATTCATCTCATTTTCATAAATAGTGTTAATTATTTTGTTAAAAATATTATCATATATGTGAAAGTACATATTAGTTGCGCGACAAAAATTTTCCGTACTACTTCTACTGATGATGTCATATAATTTTTTAATAAATGAACATATATATTTGTCTATATGTATATTATCAGATACAAAAGAAAGATACTCATGTCTCATTATCATTTCAATTCCATTTCTCTTCTCCTTCTTATCACTATTATTACTTTGAAGATTAGAAAAATGATTTATAGGCAAATTGTTAAATGTTGCGTGGTTGTATATCACATGTTGATTTTCCATGTTGTATATAAGGGAAAATACCATTCTTATATGCATAACATATTTTGCTACAATATGATGTTTTTTTGAATAATATTTCACAAAATTAGTTAAAATCATGTCTCTTATATTTCCATCTTCAGTACTAATAAGAATAAAAAAAAAAGACGAAATAAATAATTCCTGAATTTCATCATTTTCCTGCAATAACTTTAGCATATGTATATAATGTTCATAATTGTTTTCATATTGTAAATTCTGAAATGTTATAATATTTATTAGTAATTCGAAATAGAATAGGTAATCAGTAACGTATGTGTTTCTGTTTATCAATTCAACTTCATGGTTTAATAATTTTTTTTTTTTTTTTACCTCTGTATTATTTGTTTTGATTAAATCGTTTATAGTGTTTGTCAACATTCCATCTACAACATTATGCATTTTATTTTTGTAAATTAAAAATAAAAATAAAAATAATTCCTTATAAATACTTTCCTTACTATGGTTAGTATAATAACTCTCAATAAATTTTTCTATTAAATAAAAACTGATATTGTCAAAACAAGACTTGAAATAAGTATACATATAGAAGCAACTAAGCTCTTTCTCTAAGCAGTCCATTTCTGCAAATTCTGGATTTGTCTTAGACTCATCATCCTTGTGATTTTCTATATTTTTTAATATTGTGCCCTTTTTCTTTCCACTTTGTGGTTTCTTTGTAATTATCTCTTCCGTTTTTTTCTTGGAAATTCTACTTATTGTTTGATCTATTTTTCCTTTCTCCTTTTCTTTCACATATTCTTCCCCCACATTCGATAAAAGACGAATGTTGTTGCAATTGGCATATGTGGTATTAATCATTATATCAGAAAAATATTCCTTAATTTCTTTTTCATCATTTTCATCAAGTAAGAAAACATCATCCCAATTAAATTTGTTATTATTAATGAGTAGAATTTCTCCATTTATTTTTCTCTGAACTATGTTAAGTAGGAACTGGAATTTGTCATCTTTGTATTCCCTAGGTCTTTTATAACTTTTGTTTTGATAATGGTATATATTGTATAACGATCGATATATGGAGAAAAAAGAATATTTATTAATAAAATTGATTAAATTTTTTAATAAAAAATTTAGAATTTGTTTTTCATATTTTATAATATTTTTTAAAAATATTCTTCTACAACATTCACATATATTCTCAATAAATTCCTTTTTATTAATTTTTTTACATTTTTCTTCATTTATGAAATATTCATATAAAAAAAAAGATTTTTGTAAAAATTCTATAACTTCATCATTTACCAGATAATCATCTAATTTTTCTTTACAAAAAAAATTTAAAATAATTAAATTTTCCTCATTGTAAATATTCTTTTCTTTAAAGAATGACAACGCTGTGCTCTTTAAGCTTTTGTTGTCTATTCCATTTTTTAGGTTTGTCGTTTCTTTACCCTTAATTGTGCTTAGCCATTTTTTTTTTTTTTCTTCTATGTCAGTGTTGGGGGAAATTGATCTTATGTTTCCACTCGTGTTTTTCATATTACTAAGCTGTCTCGTCCGTTAATATACTTTTTTCTTTTGCCGTCTGATCGTCTCGTCGTTTTGTCGTTTTGTCGCTCTTTTGTGAATGAGTTTAGAAGATATTACTTACATGCGCTATGTTGTTATGTGTAAGAGGACTCATGTGCATAGGCATGTTCACATATGCTTGTATTCATCCATAAACACATATTCTTGCAAAAAGAGCAATCGATCATGCGTTGTGCCAAGTACATACGATAAGATGAACATGTGATATTCTTGAAAATGTAGTGAATACTGTGCTTCATGCAATTGTGTACGCAATTTGGGGAATCCTGCCGAACAGTGTGTGCACATTCATCTGTTGCAAAATTTGGGTACACACTTTTTGGTTGGTTGGAAGCAGAAAAAAAAAATATGACAAAAAAAAAAAAAAATAAAATAAAATAATAATAAAATAGAAAAATAAAATAAAAGTATAAAATAAAAAAATTAAAAAATAAAAGTAAAATGTATGCAAATTTATCCTTAAAGTAAAACTACGAATTCACAGTAATTGGTCAATTTAAAAAAATGTTAAATATTACACATGTTTAAATATCCCACTGGGGACAGAAGAAGAAAAAAAAAAAAATTCAAGCGGAGCCGCTTTTTCTCACAATATTCACCCTTGAAGGGGTGCCACACTTGGTGGCGTAATTCGTGGAAAATTTATTCTCGATAAAAATTCTCTGAAAAATAAAAGCCACTTGTCAATGAAAACATGTATGCTAAGGTAGGAGGAATGATCAGAAGAAATAATGACAAGTTTCACAACACCTTTTTTTTTTTTTGTGTCAGAATTATGGCATCTTAACTGCTTAATTTATTTTCAATCTATTTTTCATTACATGCTATCCTTCCGATTCGATCAATTAAAGAATTGTTCCTTAAATTGTTCCTCAACTTGTTCCTTAAATTGTTCCTTAAATTGTGCCTTAAATTGTTCCCTAAATTGTGCCTTAAATTGTGCCTTAAATTGTGGCCTAAATTGTTCCACACCTTATATTCTGAAAATCGTTCAAGAATAAAAAATCAAATTAAAAAATGTTTCATACGCCCCGGCTAGTCCATGAATTGGTGCAAATGATTTTTTGGTGTTCATGTGTCTGCATGTACATACGCGTTAACACATTATCATACACAAACTTGCGAGCACATAAATATAACTACAACTACATTTATATTTAATATCTATACTCGTGTGCATATTCTTTCGCCAGGATTAAATACATGATATTTTCAGTTGTGAGTGAAAAGTGGACTTATTTCTAAAGGATTAAACATCCAACAATGAGATTTGCATAAATGTATGCACACATTCTTATACCATATATATTTAACAACCAATAAATGTATAGGGCAGAGACAATTATTTTTTCATCGAATCAAATTAAAACATTTAAAATTTCTATTCAGGGATTTGTTCGTATAAGCAACACATTCTTTACGGTTCGTGATGAAAATGGTTTTGTGTGTAACTATACTAAAAAAAAAAAAAAAAAAAAAAAAAAAAAAAAAAAAAAAAAAAAAAAAAAAAAAAAAAAAAAAAAAAAAAAAAAAAAAAAAAAAAAAAAAAAAAAAAAAAAAAAAAAAAAAAAAAAAAATAAAAAAAAAAAATAAAAAAAAAAAAAAAAAAAAAAAAAATAAAAAAACAAAAAAAAAAAAAAAAAAAAAAAAAATAAAACAAAAAAAAAAAAAAAAAAAAACAAAAATAAAAAAAAAAAATTAATACATTTTTCTCGCATATACTTGCTTTTGTATACGATCATGTATATACACAGAAGGAAGCATGGAACAAGATACACAATTATATAATGTGCTTTTCCATACATTTCTGTCTATGACAAAAGTGTGATTTATAAAATTCACAGTAAATCGAATTGAAATAAAAAAATGAAAAAAAAAAAAAAAAAAAAAAAAAAAACATAAGGTGTTAAAGAAAAAATACACATGGACAAGAGCAAAGTATGTCAATATGCCCATTTATATATACATATATATATATATATATATATATATATGTATATATATAAAGGGGCACAGACGCACATAATTAAAAATTGGACAAAAAACAGATTGAAGGACATAACAAATATCCGCTTCATGAACACAAAATGTAATTAAAAACTAAACATTATTTAAAAAAGGAGAAGAAAAGGAAAGGGTGGTATGACAAAACAATCTTGAAATGTTAAAACTCAGATTTTTTTTTTTCTTTCTGTTCCATGTGTGATCCTGTATAAATATCAGTGACGCACGCAAGCGTTAACAAAAATGTACACACACACATGCACTTATATATATATATATATATATATATATATAAGTGCATGTGTGTATGCACGTATGTATACATAACTTCATAATCATCAGCTGCCGTTGGTACCAATTTTTAGATTAACCAAAATGCCTGACCCTTTGATGTCCTTCAAGTATTTGTCGCATAGAGGAACAAATCGGATGCTATGAAAAATGGAACACAAATAAAATAAAAAAATAAAATAAATGAATTGACTGATAAAATGTAATAAGGAAATGGTTTATGATGGGAACCTCTCGTATAACTCGTAACTATGGGTGAAAATTTTCACCCCATATATATATATATATATATATATATATATATATATGTGTATATATTATGTTCTCTTTGCATAATGCTTGTTTTACCCTTCTCTTAGACATTTCACAGGAAAGCAGGCACATGCAATGAGTTCGCTTTTTACTGTATCCTGCATATAAAGATTAAAAAAAAAAAAAAAAAAGGGATAAAAAAAAGTTGAAATTACATGATTTAATTAATAATGGACAATTCCCTATCACAAGAGTTATAATATCACTCTGTAAGCAAACAATTTCGTAAGCATATAGTTTAGATATAACTATGTAAATTTTTTTTTTTTTTTTTTTTTTTTTGTTATCTTACATATGTTTTTAGCTCAAATACAATGAGGGCCAGTGAGGGGTATAATATTTTCATCTCAAAATTGGATGGTTTTGGCCAACTATAAGAAAGGAAGGAAAAATAAACAAAGATTGTAAACTTATGGCATATATATCCAAAACATGTACTAACGTCGTTCATTTTCACAGAGTATAATATGCCTATATTATATATAATCGTATGTATATGTTCACATATTCATGCAATCTGTTCTATCGTTCTGATTCACATAAAAAACGAATATCGAAAAAGCTGGGTATAATTTTGTATATGAACTTGGCACAGACGCATGGGGTAAAAAAAATCTTACCAATAATTAAGATCATAAAAATTGACTTTGGCTATCTCGGTTTTAAAATAATATTTTTGCTCATTGTAACCATGTATAGATATAGTAACGTACAAATAGAAGAATAAGTTATTTGCTTTTTTTAATTCCTCAAACGTTTGATAAAAACTCTTATTTTTTGATTTAGATGAATTGTTCTTATTCGAATCAGTAGTAGTATTATTTGATGTAGTTGCATTACTACTGCAGCTATTAAAACTACTACTGTGGGATAAAGAAGAACATAATAGGAAGGACTTATATTCAGATAACATGTCTTCATATTTTTCTTCCACATTCAAACATTTATTATGAATATGATTAACATCATTATCATTATCGTTAAATTTTTTCATAAGAAATTCATGACTTATGTATTTTTTCTTTTTATTATCATCTGATTGTACATCCGAAAAAAAGAACTTTTTTTTTTCCTTTTCTAATTTTTGTAATTCTTTAAAATTTTTCATCTTTTTGTTAATTTTCTTATGTGTTTGAATACGTTGAATCATATCCATTTTGAATAATTTTTTTTTTAATTTTTTTTCTTGATACTTATTTTTTATTGAAAATAATAAGTTAATTTGATGCAAAGATAATATTTGCAGATTGAGGTGTAAAATATTGTAGTCATTTTTTTCATTAAACCTTAACAATTCAGGCTTTAAGATATAACCTGAATGCTTTCCTCCATTCTCTAAAAACCTTCCTTTATTTAATAGCATACTCAAGCCATTATACTGATAATTTAATGCCACAAATTGAATTCCTGCGCTCCAGAATATAAGCGGATTAAAGTTTGTAGATGCTAATCTTGTGCCTGATGGATATACACGTGTTAATGTTTTCTGGTTGTACTTTATTATTTCCTCTTCATTCTTTTTAATCAACTTGATAAATTTGTTTTCACTAATTGAACATATTTCGTTGTAAGTTCTATTTTCACAAAAATTCTGAAATGGATATCCTTTTAAGCAAGAATATTCATTTAATATATTATTACTTTTTAAGCTTTGATTTTCCACATGATTTTTTTGCACCGTCTTTTTTTCTCCCTCCTTATCATTTTTCTTTTCTCTTTTTTGTGTATCAACAAGAAGAGAATCATCCTTTTCCTCCATATATTCTTTATTTACACCATTCTGACGAATCTTACGCATGTCATTATATTCGCTACTGCTGATATTCTTTTTTCCTTTTTTATGTTTTGAGAATTTACTGCTTTTTACCACTTGGGGATTATCACGAGTATTGGTAGTAGGATCTTCTCCTCGTTGATCTTTCTCAACAACATCAGAATCATTACACAGTCTACTAATGGAAATGCTTCGTTTTTTCCTTTCCTGTATGTACCCCTTCTTCTGGATGCTTTTTATTGTGTAATTGTCATCTTGTTTTTCAACGTCTTCATCCTTACTACCGCTGACATCACTGCCAACATCTTTATGATGTATATCTTGCAAGATCTCCAAACGATTATCATCATCATAACCAAAGTTATCATAACTGGAGACTTCATCATCACAACCAGAGTTATCATAACCAGAGCCTTCATTATTATTATGATTCTGTTCTTCCGTTTCATCATATGGATCATCTTCAACTATGTCGGATATATACCCCAACTCGTCATACATGACACTTTGCAATCCCTCAAAAATAAAATAAAATCCAGAGTTTTCGTTATTATCAAAATGTTTATATTTGACTAAGAATTTGTTCATGCAATTGTTTGGTGTAATATTATTAATTTCGTCTCTGCTCTTGGGTATATACAACTGATTCCCTAAGATATATATTAAAATTTTAGCAATTAAATTTTTGTGCTTATTTTTACAATGAATTTCTAGTGATAATATAATGGGGAATGGGGAGGTCGTAAATCCGAACATTTTGCATGCAATGAGAGTGTCACAAAAAAGGATAGAAGAAGTTAATTTATATCCATAAAAACCATGATACACCACAATATTCTTATTAAAATAGTAACAATCGAACTCTACACATCTACATCCATCTATTAAAATGTAAATATATTGTTCAATATTGCTTGAGCTAAAAATTTGTTTTCTCCCAAGGTAAGTATTATGACTACTATTAATCCAGTAATTACAAAGGGGTAGGTTCATATTTTGATATACCTTGGAATATTCAGGGCACATGACACTATTATCTTTTGATAATAAAAAATACACCAATCCTATTTGTGTTAAATAATGTTTGTCCTCATTAATTATTACAAACGGGATATTATACTTTTTTATTGTGTTTAGTAATTTGTATATAACTATCGCTCTTATATAATATGACTTATTTTCCATATTTCCATCTTTCCATGAGATATTCCTTTTTTTTTCATCATCATCATTATCATCTTCTTCTCTCTTATTCCCCATGCTTTCTATATTCTTTTCATCTTCATGGTTATTCTTGTCTACTTTGTTATGAAAATGCCTTCTGCAGCTATCCCCTCTATCCATGTTCTCATTAATATGTGTATTACTGTTATCGTGATACTTGCAGTTGACATTTTTACTTCCATAATTCTCACTAAAATCATCGTTGTAATAAGGCCCATCACTTCTAACACATGTACAAACATTATTTTTCTCTGTCTGCGTGTTATTAAAACTTAATTTACTTCTTAATATGTTCAAGATGGTGATATAATCTTCATCATTGTACATAAAATTGTCTGACAAGAGAAAAGCATTATGTAAATTGTTCATATTGAAATGAATGTCATTTTCACTTACATTATCCTTATCCATATTCTTCATAAAGGTGCCTTCCCATTCATAATTATCAAAATTATGCCTCCTCGAATTAACTGGTGTAATGTCTGCTCCTTTTTCATATGTATCTATAGAATTTCTTGTGTGTTCAATTTTTCTGTCTCTTTTGTTTTTTCCCTTCATCTGATGAGTATTACATTCAGAGTTAACTTCCACATTTTTTACATTTTCATTACCTCTTTTCATATAATCCATTTGGCTATTAGACACTTTTTCGTCATATACCTCATCCACACATGTTCCTACATTACCTGATGTAAATGACTTATTTAAGGTCTTACCAGGGGATTTTAATATATGAACTTCTTTTCTACAGATCTGTAGTGATGCCAATCCTTCGTTAATAAACAATCTGTGAGTCATTTCATGAGCACTGAATATTCGCTCCTCACATTTCCCTTCACATTGAACATCAATCAAGAATTCAATAAAATTTCTGTTACCTATATAACTGCAATTTTTATCCTTATACATATTAAAATGTATGGTAATATGATTATTTGAAAAAATATGTTCTAAAATTTTGGTAAATCCTAAATAGTTTACAGTTCCTTTATTCTTATAAATAGAAAAGTAATGATATAATATTTTCATATTTAGATATATATTCAGACTTCTCAAAATAATATATAACTGAGATAATGTCAAAGCGTTAATGTCTTTTAACCCTGATATGATATAATTATCATATAATTTCTTACTTTCATATATAAATGGTTTCATTTTTTTTTTACCTGACCCTTTGTTAACTAACTTGTATTGATAATACATCAAACCAAAAAGCCACATCTTCCATCTTTGTATATCCAGAAATGTGATTCTTAAATTTCTGTGTATACTTATAATTTCGATGGACAAATTTTTTTCTTCTTCTTTTTTTTTAAAAAAGGATGATTCCGACCCGTCTAATATTTCTATTATATCCCATATGTATAAAGATGGGTTTTTATTTTCTTTTAACTTTTTCTTCTTAGAATTCCATCGTATACAATAATTGTTTACATCTAAGTAAATAAATTTTAACGTCTTTTTTTGAAATATATTATTACTATTCCATTTATATACATATTCTCCTTCTTTCATTTTTTCTATGCACACAGGTAGGTATGCATGTGTCAATACATTTTTTATATCAAATCCTAACTTAGAGTCTATGCCATCTCCATTTTTTTTAGTACAATCTTTTTCCTTCTTACGCATGCTCAGCTCGCATATTTTTACATTGTCAGAGTCATCATTTCTACCCAACCCTATGTCCTCCGATAGTAAGCTTATTGCATCATCGTTTTTTTGTGTTTCTTCGTTGCATGGGTTTACAGGTGTATTCTCACTAATGTTCATGAGGCACAAACTGGGGTAGGTGGATATTTTTTTCTATCCGTCTGTCTATATATAATGCGTTTTACCTAATGTGAAATTTGTAACCCATACATTTATGCACATGACAAATGAGATATTCTTTCCCTTTTCTGTATTGCACTATAAACTAATAAGTTATCTGGTTCAATAAAAGTGCAAACTGACAACTCCGCTTGATCTTGCTCTTGATCTTGCACTTTTTTTTTTTTTTTTTTTTTTTTCCTAATATTTAAAAATGACCATAAAAATAGCTGTAATGTAAGTACTTTCCTATCCCTGTTCCAGTTATGTGAATTACTTGGCACAAACATAAGACGGTGTACATTAAAATAAAAAAAAAAAGAAATTGAAGTTGAAACTGAAACTAGGCATGGAAATGAAGAAAATTAAAGCTCCTATTCCCCAAGATGTTAAAAATACATAGATGTATTTTTATAAGTATATATGATATATACACAACAGCTCATTTCTACTTTAACAAAATAATAGGAGGGGCATATAAAATGTGCACTAAATATAATACGTGGGAAAAAAAAGGAAAGAGCCACAAATGGGGTTAAAAAAAAAAAAAAAAAAAAAAAAAAAAGATAAAATAAAATGAAATAAAATAAAGGAGAATAAAGAAAAACAAAAAAAACAAAAAAAAAAAATGTTTCAAGGCATGGTCAAAATATCACAGTCGTAACCTTATATCAAAACGCGTGAGATAGAAAATTGATAGAGTTTATTTTCATGGCCTTTGCACATGTATTCCTTTTCGTATATAGGAACATATGTAAATATATGTATAAGCAATATATGCGTATCCTCTTGCTTACATATAAGCATGTGCACAATCAAAGTTCTTGATTCAGACCAACGTGCCTGTGTTATGTGAGGACATGTAAGTATACATTTATGTGTATATATTGTCCTTACAAAAATAATATAAAAACATTTTCCCTTAATATTAAAAAAAAAAAAAAAATAGAAAAAAAAAAAAAGATATATATATGTATATACGTATGTATATATACGCATGAATAATAAATGAATAAATAAATGAAAGCTAGTTGTGAATAAAAAAAATAACAAAAAATAAAATTAAGTGAAATGATTAAGTTATATGCTTAGTTTTTTTCTTAAAATTAAGACAAATTTGAACACAGGCATGAATGACAAACAAAAAATTCCAATATAAATAAGCTTAGAATGAGAAAATTACAAACACAACGAGGAGTTATGAATATCATGTATTCGAAAATAGTTCTCTCATAGGGTAGTAGCAGAAAATAAAACGACGACGCGCATACGTATGTATTTACTGTACGTATAAACAGAGTAGGAATATATTTATTTTGTAATAAATTCAATGTATGAAATGTGTGCCAATGTGCAGAGACTGTGTAAAAAAAGAAAAAAAAAAAAAAAAAAAAAAAAAAAAAACATTAACATTAACATTAACATTAACAATAATAATGTGGTGGAATAGTGAAATTGTTGATTAATGAAACGGCAAAATAGTAAATTTAATATAACAGAATTTCTCACTAATTGAAATTGGCTATATTCTTTGCTTAATAACATTTTTTTTTTAATTTAATTACGTTCTATAATTTTTATCATGGATAAGACACATGCTGCAGGAATGAAAATCAAACAGGCTAACAGAAATAATAAGAACGATAAGAAGCATCAGCTACAATTGACGTAACTGCAATGATAGACAAAAAAAATTCACTGCACAACAAACATAAAAATGGGTTAAAATTTATCATCATATTTTAATGCATTTTCAACTTTAGGTTTTTATTTCATTTTCATACTGCAGAATGTTATATATCTAATACAGGCTTCCTTTTCTAATATTAACTACTAAAGCGGTCATAAAAAAAAAAAAAAAAAAAAAAAAATACGGGTATAAAAAGTAACGTAAATTTCTTTACATAATTCGTATGTATATGAGCATACATGTATAACTCAATACTTATAAATATATATGCATGTGTATTGTTACGCACAGGTTCATGAATATGTACATGTACATGTACACAGCCACAGAGGTATTTATTTTACTTGTAGGTTCATTTTCTCCTCTTTAATACCCCCATCCCTGTGTGTGTGAATTGCTATGCAGTTTACAAAAATAAATGGCTTTTTACCAGTTTATTGATTTTTGTGCAACATTATGAAAAAATATTTATATATCTATATTCATGTACGCATATATGTACATGTAATATACACATGTATATGCATGTATGAGGAATTGACATCTTTTCACAGTGAGACCAAATACATATGTACGGTTCACAAACAGATAATTCATTCAATAATTGCATAATGCATAAAAATAAAATACATATTATGCATTAGGAAGAACAGGAAATGGTGATCGCTTATTTTTTATTTTTTTTTTTTTTTCTTTTTTCTTCAAAAGCTACATGTAAAAACTTCCATTTATTAACAGCTTAAAGTAAGTTTCTCCTTTTCTCTCTTGGCCTTTTTTTTTTTAAGCGGTCAATAAAAATTCGTACTTATTTATTTACATGTAAATATAATACGTTCCACCAAAAGAGAATAAAAAACTATTAATTCTCCTTTAACATTTATTATATATAATCATATGTAAATAATATTTTTCCCCCCATGCCAGATGTTTGTTAAATATGTCCGAAAAAAAAAAAAAAATGGTAAATTTGCCATTAAAAAAAAAGATTTAAGCAAAAAAGGAAGAAATAGTAGGCGCGTAGAAAAATTAAAAGGTTAAAAAAAAAAAAAAAAAAAAAAAAACGGGCCTAAAGTATTTTCTTTTATCTTAATATTTTTTCCTATAAATATAAGCTTTTTATGCATATGGTATATATATATATATATATATATATATAGTTAGGGTTCAAGAAATATACAACAAATATATATTTTTCCAGCATGTTATAATAAATATACCAAATATCCCATATTTTGTTTTCCTTTTTGCTTGACATAAAAATTGTATAGAAGTGAAAAATCATAAATATTTATTATTCCACAGCATATAAAAATGAAGAGTTAGCACAGGTGAGTGCAGTATGACATTTTTGTGTTCATATTTTATATAGTGTAATATGAATATATATGTACGCATCACCTTTTTAAACACCTAAGTTACACTTCTTATATATATATATATATACTACAATATGTTCTACGGCCTTTATAACGGGTAGAATGAAAAAAGAACGGATTTGCAAAGGAAATAAATATAAAATAACGATTTTGTTGTACTTTTAGTATACAAAAATAATGGTATAAAATTATGTATATGAAATAAAAACAGGTAAAAACAAATGTTGTTTTATGCATTTGTCTATGAAACATAGTTGAATGAGTATTACAACTATTTGATAAATTTTTTGTAACAACATAGTACAGAAGTATATAGCAGCAACTTTTTTTTTTTTTTTTTTTTTTTTTTTTCATAAATTTATATATACTTTACTAATTAAAAAGAAAAGTTGTATTAAATAAAATATCTCTTTATTTATATGCGTTTTTCTTATTCGTATCCAATGTTTATACTTCTTCCCTAAAGGGGGTATGTGCAAATGGCAAAAAGGTAAACTTACATGACACACAATGACGTATATTTGTTGCAAACTTTTCAATATTGCTGATTGTAGTTTCACATCAATGCATAAGCATTTGTACCTCTACACCTGGCAAGCATATTTTCTCGTGTCAAGATAAATATGCAAATGGTACTGGAGAAGGTATATTAACCAATGAAAAGAGAATACAAAATGTGTGAAAAAAAGTTAAGGAAGAAAAACGTAGTGCAAAATGAATAAAATTAAAAATTAATGTACACATATGTATATTTAGGTAACCACCAGCATGTACTATATATATCACACACACACATCCAGAAAAAAAAAAAAAAACAATATTGATAAAATTTTTGCGAACGAAATTTTTCTCATGTCTCAGTTTGTAACAACTTTAAAAATATAACGAGAATACTTATATGAACACAATTGTCAAGTGAGTATATAAGATAGATTTTGTTCGCATAACACATCAATGATCAAGAACAGGTTTACGCTGTCGTTTTCTTCCATTTTTAAAAATTTATCTATTGCATATTTTAATCTGCAACTAATTTAGGTCTTGCATTTTGTTATCACACTTCATCGTATGAAATAAATTTATTCTTATTTTTTATTTATTTATAAACACATGTATTTATGACGAGGCAGAGAGGGCTTTTTTTCTTTTGCAAAAAGGTACACATCGGTTTGTAATATTAAGAAAAAAAAAAGGACTTCCTTCTTTACCTTTTTCTACATGATCACAAAATATGTGCACATTACGCGAATTTCCATTCAGCTAATCTGTCCCAAAAGAAATGTGGCTATTATAATAAGGGACATATTTCTTTGCTCGTTTCTGAAAGATAATTAATTGAAAGGCGTTCCCAAGCACGTACCTCATGGTTATACAACAGATACATACATATACATATATATGCATATATTTTTTTTTTTTTTTTTTGCCTCCCAAATTTTTAACATCATCTTTTGGGAACGAGCAGCTTACTTTTTCCCCTCTTTACTTGACATATTTTAACATATTTATTCATATCAACGAAAATGTATAAATAAATTAAAAAAAAAAAAAAAAAAAAAAATAGAAAATTTCCTGTCTTTTAAATACAGACAAAACTAACATGTTTCTCTTTACACCTTTTTGCCTTTTTATGATTCCATTTCCCCAACCCCCCCTAAGTTTATATTGATTTTTTAATTTGTCATTTTTAAGCCATTCATAAAATAAGTATGGAGTAAAAATTTCTTTATTATGTTAATGTCCCTTCATTTGCTTCCTCATCCTGTTCCCTCATTCTTTTTTTTTTTTTTTTTTTTTTTTGTGTGTGCACTGATGTTTTATTTTATATAGCTTTTTCCAAAATGTAGATATATAAAGAGTAATGGAAAATTAGCAGATATATGTATGTGTACAAATTAGAAAAAGAACACATTTTTGCAAAGGGTAAATCTATCTGTTAACAACAATCTAAAAAGTGTACTTTCTTTTTTTTTCTTTTCCTTTTGGAAATATTAAATTATATCTACAAAACTAAAATATAGATGTAAAAAGAACGGTAATAAAAATTCCTCTAATTTTCAATCTTACACATCACAGTGGAAGAAATGGAAAAGTAACACAAACGAATACATATCTTTTGTTTACCCATTTTGAGAGATAACCATATGTTGTGTAAAGTGTAGCAATATTAAAAAGGAAAAAAAAAAAAAAACAAAAAAGAAGAAAAAACATTTCTTACTATTTTGTTAAGTATTTACAACGCTTTTTTTTTTTTTTTTTTTTTTTTTTTTTTATTTATTAAAAAAGAAATAAATTTTTTTTTTGTTTGGTTAAAATTATAAAAAAAAAAAAAAAAAAAAATTTAAAAAAAAAAAAAAAAAAAATAAATAAGATATATATATAAATAAAAAAATAAATAAAAAAAAGTAAATAAATTTATTTATTTAAAAATAAAAAAAAAAAATAATGGATAAAAAAAAAAAAAAAAAAAAAAAAAAAAAAAAAAAATTATTTTTTTTTTATTTTTTTAAGTTTTTAAAATTTTTTTTTTTTTTTTTTTTTTTTTTTTTTGATTCATTAAAAAGGAAGTAAATGTTTTCTGTGCTTGGTTAAAATTATAAAAAAAAAAAAAAAAAATATTTAGAAAATACACATATACATATATATATATATATATATATATATATATATATATATATATATATATATAAATCTTCTTATTTAAACATGTATAACATGACTTATGTGTTAAGTAGAAGAAATGAACAAAGAAAATACAGAAAAGCTAATCAGCATAATCAATTTGCTAGACAAAATATCCGAAAGCAATGATGTCAAGAACCCCAATTATAATAAACTTAAAAGTTTTTTTTCAAGTGAATTATCAAAGACATTCGATAGTTTAGAAAATCATAAATCTCTCTTTCCGTTAAATTATGAAAATGATGCGTCTGATTCAAATACCAACAAAATAATTAACGAAATTAAAAAAACAAAAAGTCTTTTCTATTTCAACAAATCATGTTCCAGTGAAAAGGAAAAACCGGAATGTCTGAACAATGAATGCCTTGTAATGAGAAAGGGGGGAAGTTTGGAAAATCTTATCGAAAATGATCTTTGTGTTGAGGGTCATATGAAGAAGGAGCAGCATATGGAATCGAAGCATAGTATTCCTCAAGCATGTGTACATACTCATGAACAACATTCCAGAAAGGAAGACTTAATCGAAATTGTAAATAAAAGATATACACATTTCGATGATACTCGGGCAGAAAGAAAAGACGCATCGGAATTTATGGAGACGAATGCTTTTGTGATAAAGACTAATCACATTGCCAAAATAAATATGATACATTCTTTTGATACTGGAGAATTTTCATTTGTTAAAGGATATACAAGTAGCTTCAAATATAAAAGGGACTCACATAATATATCGAGAGAATATTTTAGTGACACTGAATTATTATCATATAACAATTCTAGTAAAAAAAAAAAAAATCTGCTAGAAATGTTAAGGAAGAAAAATGGGACAAAAAAATATACGACAAAACTGAACATGGATTCTATGGAAAATTCAACATTCACTGCTCCATTGAAGAAGCACGAAAATGTTCTCAAAGAAATTGATGCAGGTTGGCTTGAGCCCAAGCGTGCGTATACCCCTGTGCACATAGGTGTATGTACGAGTACGTGTGTGTATGTAGGGGTGTATGTCTAGATGCATATACACACAAGCATATATATATATATATATATATATATATATATATATACATGCACACACGTATTTGCATATTTAAAAAGAAATTTATATACAACCCCCTTTGTCTGCATTTACCAGGTGAGTTCTTGGATAACAAGGACCTCGCACAATTGCTCGAAAAAATTATAGAACATTTGAAGTTCAACCTCAGGGAAACTATAAGTAGATACGTAAAGGAGGTATGTCAGCTCTCCGTCTTTTCAAAACTATCGAATTGCCACATGTTTGTCACTTGCATGATAATTTATTGCCACATGTTTGTCAACTGATTTCGACTCGATTGCCATTTTCTCCTCCACGCGTAGATAAACAAACTAAACAAAAAAAACGGAAACTTAAGCATCAAACTGGAGACAGCCGTTGAGAATAACGACGAACAGGTAATAAGGAGTTACAGTTAAACATATACACCTACACACATATGTGAAGTGAATTTAAAAAAGAAAAAAAAACAAAACAAAACGGGACATTATGCTCTTAACAAATTTTTTTTTTTTTTTTTTTTTTTTTTTTTTATAGGCCCAAGAAATAAGAGACTTGAATAAAAGGATAAACCAAATAAAAGAGGAGAAAACGGAGATGAACAAACTCATTGAAAGTTACGAATTTGAAATGCATATGTCAAAGGTTTAAGTGACAAAACAAAAGAAAATACACATATGTGTATATACTTGTATATACTCCTACACATGGACATGCATATATTTACGTACGCCTGAATAAGAACATACATCCTTTACACCCTCTCCACATACCTAATTATTACTCATATTTTTTCCTTCTCAAGAAATTTAAAAATGAACGAGAAAATGATGGAAAAATAAAGAATGCCCTTGAACAGGAAATAAAGAATTTGAAGAGAGAATTAAACATGGCAAATTCGTTAAATGACAAAATAAATAATGAAAATCATCTTTTACAGGAAAGGATCAAAAATAAAATTGATAAGCTTAGACAACAAAAAGGAAAAGTAATAAAAAACACTTAAAAAAAAAAAAAAAAAAAGGCAGAAAATGAGTGAGTGCCACAAGATTCCGAAAGTAATCTTATGAGATTTTCCCCCTTGTGCTCTACCATACGCACTTTCCAATATATATGTATATGTATATATGCCCACACGAATAACTATGTGCTGATTTGACTCTCCCCATTTTCCACGGTTTAGCTAAAAATTGCCAACAATTTAATTTTAGAAAAGAGTGACCTCCTCACACAACTACAACTTCCGACGACTGTTCATATACCTTCCGTAAAAATAGGGGTAAAAAAAAAAAAAAAAAATATACACACAAACGTACATGCATATGAAAATACACACGTATACAGAATTACGGTGTACTATGATTTGTACATAAAGTAAATAAAGACAGATAGGGAAATACATTTTTTTGAAAATTTGAGTGAAAACTTGTATGAGTACTAAATCGACCAAATTCCGGAAAAATAAAATTTTCCTTCCCCATTTTTCACCCATTTTCCACCCAATTTCAAATGCTTAGAAAAAATACATAGCACGAAAAAGAACAGTTCCTTACCAGGGGATAAAGGAAGTTGTTGGCAGGTACACCAATGAAACATAAAGACAAAAGTTACACATGAATGAATGACGAATATGAAATAACAAAATAGAGAAATGTACAAATCGTCATCAAAATGTAGAACTGAACACATGTTTTTTTACTATCTCAGCATGTGAACACTTGAACACCTCCTTATTTTAACACCTAATTACTTTTTGCACCAAACAGACATCAGAGTGACACAATTTTAGATAACTACATGAGGATTAAAAATAAATTATTTGAAAGTAATGAGAAGTGCTATTTTTTATCAAAAACGAACCTGGAATTATTTAAAGGATTAAAAAAAAAAAAAAAAAAAATTCATACATTAAATAAGCAGGTTTCTTACCTGAAATATTTTATGAAAGAAAGGGAAAAAATAAATCAGTTCAAGAAGTACAAATTAAATGTATAGATTATAATAAAGACATATTAAAATGTTTGTTCATAAATACGTTTACTAAACGTACACAGAGAACATGTATCCAGCTCGCACTATAGATTGGTGTTTTTATTCCTTCAGTACCATTTTTACAATTAACATTTTTTTTTTTTTTTTTTTTTTTTTTCTTAATAAAACAGGAAGATAGCACCGATACTATTGATCATATGGACATCAATAAAAGTCATATTCCATGTGTTGATGAATGCAAACCAAAAGTAATAGATGAAAGTAATTCATTTGTAAACATATGTAATGATTTTGACATAAGCAAATTTAACTATAATGTACAAGTAGGGGAAACACAAAGCTTAGAAAAAGTTATACACAATATAACTAATGAATATAATTTGATAAAGAAAAAATACGAATTGCTATACAAAAAATATTTAAAATTATTAGAAATGGAGTCGAATAAAAACAAAGATTTTGCATTTATACGACAAAAGACTGAAGAGACAGCACAAACTAAATGTGGTGTAATTCATTCTTTTTATTTGAAAAAAGGAGAAAATAATTTAAAAAAAAAGTATCATGGGGATATCAAATTAATAAATTATATCAAAGCAAAGGTCATTGATCGAAATAATCTGAATGTTAAGAAGTTTAGAAATTATAAGGGTAATAAGGAGATAAACATGAAAAAAAAAAGTGTGAAATAAAAAGGGAGAAATAGAGGGAGAAAAATGGAGAAAGAAAAAAGAGAGAAAAAAAAAAAAAAAAAAAAAAAAAAACACACATTTTTGCTCTACATTTCTCTCCTAGTTAGCTATCAACATGCATAATACACTGCACATATATAATAGATAACTGAACGTATTATATTGTAGGAAGAATAAATTTACTACTTCCCCATCCCCTACATATCTAAAACTCTCAAACTCTGCGTATGTGCATATTTATGCAAAAATAATATCAGCACTGAGGCACACATTTATATTTATTTAATTTTATATGATTAACTTTTTCAGAAGAAGGTGTAAATTACAGTGATGTTCAGTTCTACGTCTCGAACGAAATTTTAAAGAGTATGGATGTAAAGGATATTGTGAACATTCGGTACATTTACTCCTATGGAGAGGCCCCTGGTATGTGTCCATTATCACGCACATCTGTGTTACCGTTTAATATGTTTGCTTTTCGATGCGTCTACACCCAAGGGAAGCTTGCTTTATTTATTTATTTATTTTGTTAGTTAATTATTTAGTTATTTTACTTTTTAAATATTTTTCCTTTTACCAAAAAGGTAGATACGTAAGAATCTCATAACTCCTTCAACCCCCCCCCCCTTTACCCCCTGTCTATACGATACCCTTTTTTAGTAGCTAACCCTTGGTCTCAAAATGGAAGCGTACCCAAGTACCATATCTGCAGATGCTAAAAACGTCAGTAAATTGCCATGTCTAGTATTTTACTTTGTTTTAAAAAAGGAAAAGAAAGAGTAAGGTTTTAACATTTTTATGCTGTCATTTTTGGATGTACTGAAAGTAATCTGGAGATATCTTTTAATTTAAATCAAGTAACTTTTTTTCATTTTTTAAGATATAGTGTATATACAAACGTAATTTTGTATATCCATAGTGCTATGATATTTACGCATAGGATAACACGTATTATGGAGAGTAAATAATTTCAGGGAAAAGATCACAATTTCGAAACCTCATGACATTTTGTAGTATATTATATGTTAGGTAAGTTATTACTATAACAATTTTTTTTACAATATGTGACTAGCCATTTGGCAGATATATTTAATGAATTCGCGCTCAAATTGGTAATACAGAAAAATATGAACAACATGTATATAATTTTTGGATAATTGAATATGATATGATTGTGAGACCATGCGAGGGTCTTGAATTTGCTTCTATAGGTTAGGCATGTACATATACATATGTGTATATATATATATATATATATATATATATACTTATATGTGCTTTATACCTTTGACCTTAATTCTCAAGTAACACCCTCATCACCCCCATCACACATACACGTGCACACATAAACTTACACACACACACATGCATATTGCACCAAAACGTAATGTAAATAATATGTGAGAATATGTATATATGCACATTAATATGATTACATTATATGCACACGTGCAAGCGCATGAAACAACTATAGCACCTTGCGGTGTACAATTTCTGTGTTATAAAAAAATATGCAGGTTTTATCTCAGCCAAGAGACCCAACAATATATTTTTCATTTTAAGGTCACTAAAGTGATATAAATTTGTATGTATTTATAGATTTTTTTTTTTTTTTTTTTTTTTTTCAGCAAAATTCCTCCTTTCCCCCCTTTTAAATGGAACAGCTCCTATATAGTAAAACGCGGGGCATAATAGGAAATGTAAAATTTTGTGTCGTCATTAATCATTTTATGTTGCCTTAATTTTTAACATTATTTTTATTTTATCTTACTTTTTGCTTTGTTTTTCTCTTACGTTGTTTTTATTTGTAAATATATATACATACATACATATATATATATATGTACATATATATGTGTTTTTTTTTTTTTTATTTTTTTTTTTGCATACCTATTCAGGGCGATTATTTGTCCCTTGCGTTCCTTAGGTCATTTTTTTTTTTTTTTTTTTTTTTTTTTGCCATTAATTGGAACATTCACTAATGTGGCTACCCAATAATTTTACGCCTCCAGATTTGAGCATTGGTTCTCGTATGCACTCTTTCATTTTTTCCGTCGGTTGCTCATAAATTAACCATTAATTAACCCATTAATTAACCCATTAATTAACCCATTAGTTCTTTCATTTCCCCCCTCCCCCTCTTCGTTATTCCAATGTCAGTTTTGGAGTGACAGGGAAAGGTGCACAAACTTTTAGCTATGTTATACATTTCCTTGAAAAAATTAGAAAAAAAATGCATGATAGAAAAAAATATTATGCATGATGAGATAAACGTGACGAGTCACGTGTACCTGTGAAACTACATCTACATAACTGCATAATACTCGAGGATCTCTGAAACATCATAAGGCTTACATGTGCGCAAAGGAGCATATGCACGTATGTACATATATATATATATATATATATATATATACATGTGCATATATACATGTACCACATTTGCAAGGGTTGCATGTACATAGCAGCTTGTAACGGATAGAGGCACCAAAGGAAGAGATAACTAAAGTGTAACAATGAAAATATACAGTAGGAGCATTCAGGTTTTATTCCCCATTTTTACTGCTCTTCTGCTTATTTTTAAGTATGAATTGGTTAGAGGGGTACACGAAACGAAGGGATATCCATTTGTACACCTTGTGGATAGTAATAATGTGCATATAGGAACAAATAATTATGTGGCTAAGGGTAATTTAATAAATATATTGTACCTCTATAAAGAAATAACATTTGAGGGAGATAATTTGACAATAGATAATTTAGTAGATATAGAAGATGAAACAAGAATAGAGAGATTAATAAAAGAAAAGATTGAATTTATCAGTAAATATGTGAACACACGGCAGATAATTAAATATCATGGGGTTATCTACTTGTATGAAATAGTGCACGCGAAAAATTTTTATTTTTTATTACATTTTATTTTAAAAAACAGTAGTAATTGTGTGGTCATAATAGTGCCAGAACATCTGCAAATAGACAAGGAGGAATATTTTCGAATTAACAAAATCACCCATGCTGGGGAATTGAAGAAGAATGATCACATTAACGATGAAGTTCTAGAAAAGAGAATTTTATTCATTCAAGGGTTATTACTAAATTTTAAACTAAAGCAACCCATATATTTTATAAAAAATAATAAAGAGATAGAACATATTTATGAAAATTACAAGGGCAATTTTGGCCTCTTTGATTTAACCAGAAATATAAGTATTGTGCCAGTGTCAAAAAATCATCATAGGAATAAAATAGCTTCAAAAAATATTTTCTATTTTTTAAGTAAAGATAATATTAACATCCATTCTATATTTAATAAAAAAGAAAATAATGAAACTTTTCTTTTTACAAAAAGAAAAACAATTATAATAGCAGTAGATTACAATGTCTTTAGTGTTATAAGTTCTCACCCCTCGCATAGTACATCAACAAATTCACACATTATTGTAATGATGGAATTAATAAAATTATTTTCCAATGTGTATGAAAAGGAAGATGTAAATTATAACATGCTATTTTTATTTACCAATTACTATTTTGGTATTGATAATTTTCTTGATTCTGTCAATGTTATATTTAAAGAAAATATCGATTTTGTAATGTGCTTAGACAATTTAAATGATGCAAGTTTTTATATTCATCAAAGTGACAAGGTACAACCGGATCATTTGTTACGTTTTTATGATTTATTAAAAGGAGTAATGAAAAATAACCATGGAAAAGAAATACAAACTACAACTGAAAAAATAAAAATTTATAATCAGCATTTACCAAAACTGCATGAATATTTTGAATTAAAAAATGTACACACTTTTACGTTAAGTACAAAAGGAAAAACTTCCACTTTTCTTAGCAAAACACCCATGATAGAACAAAAGATAAAAGCAGACAATGTATCGAAAAATACCAAAAGCATATTTGAGGTTATTTACCTTTATTTAAAAAATTTCAAGGAAGAAAATATAGATGAAAAAGAGATATATAATAATATTCTCATATATACCAATCAAATGATGAGAAACGACAATCTTTCCCGTTTAAATGAAAGTCTCAACAAATTTATTAAATTTTTTGTGTACCAAGATGAAATAGAAAAATTTGTTAATCACATAAAAATAACTATAAATTCACATGTAGTGACTGACTCGAAATTTCTCATAACAGATTATAAAATACCTAACCATAAAAAACAAAAATATTTTTATCAAAAAAATGTCATTATTACCTTTTCCATGGCCATATCATACATTTTTCATTATTTGCATTTTCTTATGGTTGCCTTATTTTTAGCTCTTTTTTACATTCTTGTAAATTTCTACGCCGTCCCATCTTTTTACAAAACTAAGGCGAAGACTACCTAAGGGCATAGTTTTCTCATTTCCTTAATTATGGTACTCAACCCTGTGGTTGTGTGGTCGTACGGTAACAATTCTGCCTTTTTTTTTTTTTTTTTTTTGAGTCATTTATTTGCTTATTTTTTTGCTCCTATTTGCCCCTTTTTTGCGTCTTTTATTTGCTTCCTTTTTTGCGTCATTTATTTGTTCCTTTTTTGCGTCATTTAATTGTTCCTTTTTTGCGTCTTTTATTTGTTCCTTTTTTGTTATTTTGAATAATTCAAACGATTAAAGAAAAACATTTCAACCATTAATTTAAACGCACAACTTGAAAAACTAATTTTTTTGTGTGCTTTGTTCATTGGTATATAAAAAGAGTCCCCATAGGAAAACGTGGAGTTCGAAACAGAAAAGCGGGAAAAAAATAAAAACAGATAAGTAAAAGAGGTAAATAAAAAGAGATAAATAAAAATGGGCAAATAAAAACAGATAAAAGATTGAAGGAAAAAACAAACTAGACAAATATTCGGGGCACTGGCAAAAAAAAAAAAAAAAAAAAAAAAAAAAAATCTACAAACCTATGTTATCATTACACTTCTAAAAAGGAATGTATTAACATTTATGACCTATCTCTACAACGTTAATTTCAGAAGCAAATTATCCCCCTCCCCTCCACACTGTATATTTACCTTCTAAGGGATGATCAAATGGAAACATGTTAAGAAGTATACAAAGTGCACAAATGTATATATCTGTTCTTGTAAAACGCATAGTTTTAAATATATATCATCATTTGCAAATGAGAATATTTATGATTTTTTTTTTTTTTGTGTGTCTTACATTATTTGAAAAAAAGTTTATGGAATAAAAAGTTATGTGTAAACAGATTTTCAAAATAATTTATACCCACTCCTTCTACCCCCCTATATATACCCAAACTAAAAAGGAAATAGGAAATTATCATATATATATTTATAATATATGTATAACATTAGGTACATACCACAGAATAGTTATATATACTGATAGAGATATAATGAAAACTATTTTTAACAAACCCTTTCATGTGTACTCAAGCACACAAATGAATTTAAATCTTTTGCATGGAAAAATGCAAAAATGTGCAAGGATTAGAAGAGATCGGGGATGATCAAAAAAAAAAAAAAAAAAAGAAAAAAAAAAAAAAAAAAAAAAAAAAAAAAAAAGAAAAAAAAAAAAAAAAAAAAAATTAAAAAAAAAACCCAAAAAAACAAAAATTGAAAATGTTTTTCATTAAAAAAGAAAAACAAAAAAAAAAAAAAAAAAAAAAAAAAAAAAAAAAATATGCATACTACCGTTATGAACATATAACTGTGCATACATATATTATAATTACGGGAATGAACAAAAAAGGATTTTATTTTTCATTAAAAATAAATTATATGGGCGGAAGCATAAAACAACTGATTATCCATAATACTTATAGGGGGTAAGTAAGTGGTGGGGTAAAGGGTTGCACAAAAATGGAAATTTCCTTTAAAGACAAAATGGTAAAAATAAATAAAAACATAATTAAGACCCCTCTACAGGTGTGCACATATATATATATATATATATATATATATATATATATATAGCTATGTGGGATGAAACTCCATTGTTTTATTTAAAAAAATAATGGAAAATGTTGTGAATAGTTAATTTGTTGCTTCTAAACTTCGCTCACTTCTGAACACCCTTAACTTCCATTTTTGGTACCTTACAGAAAGCATGATCTATCACCGAACGCTCGAAAATATGCAGACATTATATTTTTTCCCTCAGGCCTCTCTTCACACTCAGTTCTGCATATTTATGCTTAAATTCAAGTAACATGTGCATGTACCAACACATTTCTAACTCCAGCGTATGCTAATACTTGTGTTCCAAAGTAAAACAGATATGTTGTTTTTTACGTTTCTTTAGACATATGAACGGAATAAATAATAGGGATTCGATCAGATACTTCACTCCATAGAGTTTTATTAAAATTCTATCTATCTAACAAAATAGTCATGCGAATGTGAATATATATATATATATATATATATATATATATATATATATATATATATATATATATATGTACATATATATGTACATTTTGTTCCTTTTTTTTTTTTTTTTTCGTATATTCAAATATGTACAATTAGATACACTCATAAATATTTTCATCATGGCATATTTTTTGTTCTGTGTCTGCGTGCACGTATGGGAAGTCGCAAAATATTTCTGGATACGTATACTAATTTATGCAATAATTTTTTTTTCTTTCTTTTTCGTAAGGTTGCTCTAAATATTGAGTGCAAAAAAATTTACGTATATATTGAACATTGTTATATACTTCGTATTCATTAAAATGTTTGTTTCTATCTTTTTATTAGTCTTTCTCTTTTCCTATTCTTTTCTTCTTCTTCATCTTCTTCATATGCTTCACACATTGGTCTTCATATTCTCCCTTTTCTTTTATGTACGACCTATCAATGTGAACCGTGGCTTTCAAAATTCATGGAAGACAATCCATCGACACTCACAATATTTGATAAATTTGAATTTATGGAACAAGTTTTTACTAAACTATCATTCGAAATTGCGAGAGTTTTATCTTTTGTCTTTGGTTCATATTTTTGCTTAAAAGTGCGTTCTTCTTTTTTGGTTGTACTTACATAATGTCTTACACAAATCATTTTTTTTCTCAAGGTCTTATAACTTAAATTAAAATTGACATAATTATATTTTTCATGTTTCGCCACATCATCTTCATAATTTTGTTTTTTCTGTTTTCCGTACTGCGGTTGTTTGGTTATTTGTTGTTCATCTTTATTCACGTTCATATTTATGTTTATGCCATTATTATTCCTTAATAGTAAATTTTTCGTACTAACGGATGGATTTTCATTATTATTATACTGATTATTATTATTTTTATTTAGTAATCTCTTTGAGTTATTGAAAAGATTATATCTTAAATTCATGTTTGCTACGCTGGATTTTCTTAACATATCATACTTTTTTTGCACTTTTATAATTTCAAAATCTTCATCATTTGTTCCTTTGGTATCGTATGAACAAAAAAAATGTTTAATTCCGTATACTACTTTAATACATTTTATATTAACTTTATTCAAATCAATACGAAAATTTTTTACTTTTTCCTCATCACAATGTGATGTTAAATGATTGTTTGGCTTACTCCTTCTCTTTCGTTTTATAATTACTTTTGGTTCCTTTTGATTATTTTTTGTTCTTCTTATTCTTCTCCTTACAATGTTAAAATCGTTTACTAATGCATTTGGTAGGAGATCATTTTTATTCTCAGCATGGTCTGGTTGAACAACTCCTCTACCTTCTATATATATATTACTATTTTTTCTAAGCACTTTTGTATTATCTTCATTATTCGAATGGTTAATAATATCTCTCACTACATTTTCACTTTCAATAATACTATTCTTCTCAGGGATATGGATACCTGTAGAATTGTTCACATGAATTTGTTCTTCCTTTATTACAACACTGTCTGTGCATTTTTGCAGTTGGTGATTCTCTAGATTTTCCTTCATTTGTAGACTTGTTTTTTGATTTTTTCGGGGTTTTCCTCTTCCTCTTTTTTTGACTCCATCATCTTTTTCGACATGATTTATTCCATTGGTGTGTGCCGATTGGGCTACATTTCCATTCACTATTGATCTAGGCTTTCTCCCGAGTTTTCCAAAATAAAAAGATTTTAAATAATTTTTGATATTCATTAAAATTTCTTCTTCCCCTTTTAAGGTATAAAAAAATTTATAATATTTTTTAAAATATTTTACCTTAAATATGTTAAAATGTTCAAATCTGCAAATAGAATATCTGCCTCTTCTAATCAATTTAAATATATTTAGTGCACAATATATATTTAATGCTGTTACAATATATTGCTTAACACTTTCATAATGTTTTTCATATTTCTCTTTTACGAAATCTAGTATTTCAGAAACTGTTACTCCTTGATTTAGTATGTCATTTTTTTCTTCTAATCTTTTATCAATATCTTCCACTGTGTCATCATAATGTGTCTGTGTTAAGACAGACATAACACTTTCCCTTGGAGATTTATTTTTCAAGCTGTTGCTTCTGGCACGGCTGATACCATCTTTGCATTGTTCACGATTTCCACAATGGGTATAATTATCTTGATGTTGATCTACGGATCTCTCAGTGGCGAGGTTAGGATTAGGAGCATATCTTAGGTCTCCCTTACCACTGCTACATTTGTTTTTATTATGATGATGATTATGCTGCTGCTGCTGATGATGATGATGATGGGAGGTGCGGTTTGAATGATCGTTATTACTGTTGATATTTTTCCCTGAATGTGTTTCGATACTAGTATGAACAATGCTACTTAAGCAATTATTTCCGGCATTTTTACCCACTTGGTAATTATTGCCACTTCGAATATCTCTACGTTTATTGTAACAGTCCCCAATATGTCTTTTTTCTCTATCTTTATGTAGGGTGTAAATATTGTTATCATTTAAATTAACCTTCAGCAATGCAAACATTGCAATTTTGATTATTTCAAATATGATATGTTTTTTCATGTTTTTTAAAAAAATATACTTCTCTTGTTGATCATCTACAAGTTTAAATTTAACAGTTGATCCCATGTATCTCCACGTGGTATTCGTTTTGTATGTTAAATATTCACATACTCTATCAATTTTAATATTACCATTTCGTAAGCGTACATTTGAATGAAACAAATGCATGTTTTGGTTCATGTTAAAATCTTTTTTTTTTCTTCTTCTCCCTTTTGTACGTACTTTTGGTACATCTACTATTTTATTATCTACTACATTTTCATTTTTGTGTAAAATAAAATCCTCATTTTTTCCTTTTTCTACACTTTCTTGTTCGCATATATTCGTGTCTTTAATTTTTTTTCTATTATATCTTCTCTTAGTTCTTTCTTCTACATTTACTGAGTTGGTACTTTTATTAATTACATTTAACGCATTTTGAGGTTTTCTTCCTCTCTTTCTACCCCTTCTTTTTCCTTTAGGTTTATTTAACGATTCATCAAAATATTCAAAATCATAACTTCGAGGTTTCCTGTTTTTTCTCAAGTTATGATGGCATATTCTCTTTTCTTCATTATTTATTTCATCTGTGTTGTTCATTGTTTGTCTTCCCTCGATTTCGCAACTTTTGTCATACGATTCGTACGGATTCTGTTATACATGCACCTGTCTACATACGTGCAGTGGTGCATACAAAAACATATATGCTTACACACTTTTACCGCTGTGTAACACGGTGTTTATAAGAATCTGTACGTATTTATCAATACGTTTCGATATGGGTATATTTTGATAAGTACTTTTTTTTTTTTTTTTTTTTTTTTTTTTTACATACCTCGTCAACTCTGGAAATTTTTTTTTTTAAAAATACCTACTCCAACTTATACAACAAATGTTCACAGTCATCAACTCATGTACATATGAATGTATGGTTTATACTCTAATATAGTATGCGTTACAATAGAAATATAAAAAAAAAAAAAAAAAGGGGGCCAAACCCTAATAATATTTGTGTTACTTAAAAATAAACGTATTATCAAAGCATGCGCTTTAGGACGCCTCGATTATCATTATTTCCAAGAATATGTATATATAACATATCTTCATACGGCATGTGAAAATTGTTCTACAATTATATTTGAAGTATTAAAATGTTGATTTAAAGATTTTTATGCTAGTTCACACATAGGTTAAATAAAATGTGGAAAAAAAAAAAAAAAAAAAAAAAAGGTGAGTAGACAAAAATAATAAACAGCTATATTTTCATACAATTATTAAAATGTAGTACTCTATTTTTACGGTAAAAATTAGAAAATTGAAAATGTCAAAAAATAATAACAGTTTCACGCTTGTCTGAAACCATGGCATTTTTTGTGTATATTAATATGTGTGTGTATTTACCATGTATAGGAAAGTTAACGCATGAAAATTAAAAGCATTTATATACACTATTATGGCGCACTGGGGATTACATGAACAATTGAGTAAATGCTCATATATATATATGTACCAGTGTGCATAAATATGTGTATATGTGTACAAATATGTACAAAAGTTTACACAACACATACAAAATAAGTGCACGAAAATACGTATACAGCAGTCCATGCATACACATTTCACGTGTGCATATTTGCATGGTTAATATATGCTCACGCATATCTGGTATTTCCAGTTCATAGTACCCATTATCACATTCATATGCCATCTGTATATATAAAATTTTTTTTTTTAACATATCATTAGATATCATATATGAATTATTCTTATTCCTATTATTTTTTCCTCGAATGAACATATTTTCAGAAATAATTTTTCTGAATAAAACAAATTTCAAAAAATAAATGGGGAAACAAACAAAAAGGAATGGTAAAGGTAAAAAAAAAAAAAAAAATTAAATAAAATAATAAAATATAATGATAGCTATTAAAACCATAACTATTATATGATGAAGATATAGTAAAAAAAAAAAAAAAAAAAAAAAAAAAAAAAAAATTAACAATAGACGTAAAAAATTCTAACTCATTCCATGTGAGGAAAATGCCAACTGAAAGCTCAAGGTGGGGGAAGAGAAAGAAGAAAAAAAAAAAAAAAAAAAAATATTTTGCAAAATTTTATATAATTACATATATGTTGCGAAAAAAAAAAAAAAATACTTTTACTTTCTTTTCCTCATTAACAGCATTCACTTTTAATGATACACTTATACTGTTGTACAAAAATAACGTTCAAAATACATATTTCTGTATATGTATTTTGTAGAATAACTCTTAATTCCATGTCTTTTCTCATGTGGATATTTTTATAAAAAATAGGGTAATTTTTTTCTTTTTTTTTTTTTTGTGTGGGGGGGTGGGGAGTCAAGAGAGGAATGAAACATATAAACACACAAGTATGAAAATATGTATCATGTGTATACATGTATAAACAGAATATACCTTATCAGGATAATGACGTTAGAGTCTTATATAACATTTATAAATGGTGTCTCTTTTACTTCAATTAAAAGTTGTATATTTAATTTTTTTTTTTTTTTTTTTTTTTTTTTTTTTGTGAAGTTTTAATGTTTTCATTATAACATGCAGCAAAATGTGGAAATTTAATGTGATAGAAGTTTTCTTCATTTAGGAATGTGGTGGATATAAAAAAAAAAAAAAAAACCTACATAATTGAAAATAACAACATTATGTGTATTCCTCACTCAATTAAAATGTTGTTATATAAACAAACAATCCTATAATGTGCAGCATATTCTGCCTTCTTTACATTAAGATGCATGCAAATAATTCATTTTAACATATGTATACGTGTAGAGTACGTATACATCTTCAGTTGGAACATATACATATATATATATTTATATACATTTTAGGTAATAAATATGTGTCAAATATATATATAGCAAGAAATATCATGCGGGACGTAAGGTTATGTATAAACACATTGTATACAAACAATGCATCTTTGGGTGGAAGTGATGTGAGCACATGTGCCTCTCGCCCCATCAGCACGTGTAAAAGAGTTTACATCTTATAAATGTAAATGTTTATGCAAATGTTAACATACATGTTTTGCTATATGCAGTTAATATGTCGCCTTCAGGGGGGAAGGAGAATTATATTTTTTTTACAGATATAGCTATTTAAAACCTGCTTCAATTGTACATATACTATTAAAAATGGAAGTTATGTTTATTTCTTACTCTTGTATAGCAGTTATATATATATATATATATATATATATTTATTTATTTATTTAATAAGATTAGCTAAACTGTTTTTCTTCTTTCTTCACGTTTTAAAATTCTGTTCCATTTTCAGGGGCTAATAAAAAAAAAAAAAAAAAAAAAAAAAAAAAAAGAGAGAGAGAGAAAAAAAAAAAAGTTATATGAAATTTAATAAATATAATAAATATAATTTAAAGTAAACGTACAAATGCCTAACTAAATAAATTATATATATTTTTAAAAGAAAAGCGAAATATTTTCAATTTTTAACCCAAAAACTTTTCCAAGAGTGGGGAGGCTTGTAAATTTCGTTTTATGTTATATCTGTTGCTCGATCCCTTTTAACATGGCAGGCAAAGGGTTCACGTTGTATTATGTATGTACATATATATATATATAAATATATACAGCATATTTTTTGTGTGCCATTAGCACAACGTGGGGTCATATATAATTACACGCATATAATATGCATTTGCTCACATGGATTTAATCATTATACATATTAAATGCCATTTTTAAGCGCAACATAAATGTTTTTTCATTTGAAGATAGAAATGTTACTGCAAAAGTAAAAATCACCATCGCCTTGGAATAGAGGCCAAGCTGTGACGAGCATAATTTAAAAAGGGCAGTGATATATTTGTTCTAGCTTTTCACTTTATATTTGTGTTATATATATAGAATACTACATGTGACAATAAAAAAAAAAAAAAAAATAATTCATTGGAGAAAGAAGGCCTAATTTTACTAGAAGAGTCAAAAGAGCAAGTAATTTTGTCACAACAAATGAAATAAAAAATAATATAATAAGCCATATACACATATACATTGTGCACATGCTTGCAAAAACTTCATGGGTTTAAAAAAGCAAAGGGATTTCACCTTAATCTTTATAAAAACATACATACCAAAAGATGAGTACGAATAATCGGGGGATACCTTAAATAAATAAATAAATAAATATATATATATATATATATATATATATATATATATATATATATATATATATGTACACATTTACTGAATTGCCCCAATGATAGGGCTAACACAATCAAAAAGTACGGTAGTTCCTCTGTAGGAGATATGCGCTCGTCGCAGGCATCACTAAGGGAACAATGTTCATTTGTGTTTATGTACACAACGTGGATGTTACAATAACATACACGTAAACTATTTAGAGTCCATAAAAATTTTGCCTTAGGAATTACAAAATATTTACTTCAACATGAATATGAAATGTATTTGGACTAAAACAAGTGAATAAAAAATAAATGTATCTCGCAGCAAAAGTTCTCCCCCAATTCAGAAACTTCAAATGACCGCTATGTTTTGGGGAATATATAGCACAGGACATGTACAGCAGGAACGTCCACATATAGGCAAACCCTTTTTCAAGTAAATATTTATGCATAATGATATACATATATGCATGCCTGTAAGCTTTTATTCATGTGCGCTACATATGCTTAACAGATTGATATATGTAAATAGTGAATAGTTTTGAAAACAAATGCAAGGTCAGGTGTGATTTTACCTGATAAGCTTTTTATTTACTCTCTAAAATGAAAAAAAAAAAAAAATGTGTATATAAAAAGGTTGCAAAAAAAAAAAAAAAAAAAAAGAAAATGTCGTATGATTAAACAAGGTGGAAAAAAAAAAAAAACACTTTCTTTTTTTCTTTTTCGTTCAATTACGTCTGTTTATAAATGTGCTCGTAACAATCAGTCATTTCTGGTTATGAAGGAAGGGAGTGTTATATTACTCCTTTCATAACCATATATTTTTAAAATATGAAGTATAAAACATATAGAATTTTATCTTTTTTTTTTTTTTTTTTTTTTTTTTTTTTCGCTACATAAGTTAATTTGTATATCTGTGTATGCATTTTTATTATTTTACTATAACACCTTTTTCTGCATTATTAATAATACATTCTCACCCCTACCATCCACCTCTTAATATATTCACGTTAATTCATTTATTTTTAAATTTTTAAAAGGCTTGATGACTATGTTTTTGTATAAAATCAGATAAGCAAAAAAAAAAAAAAAAAAAAAAAAAAGTAATCAAAATGTTTATATTAACACAAAGGGTTCTAAAAGGTTAGGTATACACTACATAGGGATACGTACAAACATGTAGGAATGATATACGTGCAAAATTTAGAATTTACGAATTCTATATTTAATTTCAGTCCTCATTAATTTTCGTCAAATTGAAAATTGGGAGAATTATATTCCTCTTTTTAAAAGTTTCATGCTGAAATTATTCATCCTAAAAGATGCAAATATACCTTTATCAAGGTGTAATCTATTCGAAATAAAGAACAACTACAACAGAGATGTAGCCAGCTACTTTGTGTATGTTTATGTGTATATGTTTTTTTTTTTTTTTTCTTTTTTTTATTCGCATAAACAGAAGATTCATTGATGTATGAAACAATCGAGAAGGTAAAAAAAACAAAAAAAAAAAAAAAAAAAAAGCGATGAATGGAAGCAGCGTTGGCGAGCAATAAGAATATATATATATACATGGTTCACTTGAATTGACAAAAAAATGGACGAAAAAAACAATATTCATAAATTATATGCATACGTGCAGAATGCACCGTGAACACATGAAAATATAGGGAAAAAAAAAAAAAAAAAAAAAGTGAGAAAAAATAAACTATCTTAACAAATTGAAATTGTTTTATAATAAAACATCATAACACAAAAATATCTCACACGTTAATGTTGTGTTCATGAGTTTTGTTTCTCTAGCACTTTTTTTTATTTGCAGTAGCAGATTTAATAAACTTATTTTAAATTCTCAGGATTCAAGTAGAATAATTTTATAACCTGCTGAGAACTTTTCTTTTTCTATGTTGCTTAAAAAAAGAAAAAGTAACACTGCAGGTTTATTTTTAAAAGAATGTCAAAAGTAGTTTGTTAAGGAAAAGTAAATAAATAAAGCAAAGCAAGCGTACCATTATAAATGAACCCTAAGAGAGCAAGAAAAAAAAAAAAAAAAAAAAAAAAAAACATCCGAGAAATTTCCAGAAATACTTCTGCTTATAAAACGCTGAAATTTTTTAAATAAAAAAAAAAAAAAGCATGAACAAAGAGGAAATGAGAATAAAAACACACTTTTAATTTATTATTATAATATAACCCTTTTAAGCTATGCCTTAAGGTTTTTCTAACCTCCTTTATTCTGTTTTTTTCTCGTTTTTCTTTTTCTCTATTTCTTTTTTTCTTCCGTTTTTACTGCTTGTCTGAGCACCAAACAGATGTCGATGATTACAAATGTCGAAATTGAAAAAAAGTTCTTTGACTTTTATGAGGGGGATAAAAATGTTTTTTATTCAAAGGAATATGAAGTTTTTTTAAGCTTGTGTAACAATAATGTACATTGCTTTAAGATAAATGAAGGTAGTAATAATAAAAGCTGCTTCAATATATACAGTGCCAAATACCCCACATGCATACTAGAGTCTTGCGTAGATATTGATGACATAAATGAGGTTTATCATAAGAAATACATGAACAAACATTGCGTATCTTTATTCAGTTCTATAAGACTTTTTTACAATTCTGACAAAAATGTGTTCCTGTCAACGGATGACAACAAGATACATCATTATGTTCTGCATCTGAATGATATAGAAACAAAGGGGAATCAGGAACACACAGCGTATCAAAATGAAAAAAATGAAGACATACATGATATGGATGAAAAAAGAAACGATGTTTATTTATATGATGAAACAGAAGAGGAAGACAAAAATGAATACTCATATAGTTACAATTGGGTTCATTTAAAAGAAAAGAAAATATGGAAATCTCAGAACATTGTGATAACATGTTTTAGTTACTCTAAGGAGGGGTATAAAAAATTAATAGTTGGATACATAAATGGTATGATTAATGTTTATAATTTATCTACCTATAAGTTACAATTTTCCTACAGAATACACAATAGTAGAATTACCAACTTGAGAATGTATAGACATTTTATTATCAGTTCCGATGTAACCAAAAATGTTTTTATTTATGACATTGCAAAGGGTGAAAAAGTTGCATCTTGTGAGGATCACATGAGTGGAATTATTGACTTTCTCTTCTTAGCTGTCCAAGGTGGGTCTACCAATCAGAATAAGAATGAGAAGTGTAATGAAATTGAAGATGCAATTGAGAAGTGTAATGAAATTGAAGAGGCAGTTGAGAAGTGTAATGAAATTGAAGATGCAATTGAGAAGTGTAATGAAATTGAAGATGCAGTTGAGAAGTGTAATGAAATTGAAGATGTAGTTGAGAAGTGTAGGGAAGTGGAAGATGCAGTTGAGAAGTGTAAGGAAGTGGAAGAACCGCTGGATAAGTGCAACTCTGAGGAAGGGGAGTGTAGCAGAGATGATGACGAAAAATTGATAGGATTTATAACGATTGGTAATGACAAAATTATGAACGTATGGGATCTAAGTCTATTAAATGCAGAGGACGAAGAAGCCTTTAACGATGTGAAGAATGAATACAATAATAAAAAGAAAAATAAAAAAAGGAGAAACAATAGCGTAGTTATATTAAGTCCAATAAAGCAAATATACCTAACAAACGATATAAACCACGCATTAGTAATTCCGTCCAATATTTTTAAAAGTAAAAAAAGTAAATTAATAATAAAAGATGAAAATATCAAATGGCTAATACTTACCCATGATAATGAAGGAAATTTCATTTTTTATAATCCATTAAATGGAGAAATAATTTACAAATTTAAGGAAAATAGAATACTAATTAATGAGAGTAATATAAATAAATTTTTCTTGTTAAAATATAAATTACATGTATTTAGGGAAGACAGTTCTTTATTAATTTATGACTTAAGAAATTTCAATATAATAAAAAACTATGCGTGCAAAATTGAGGGTATATTTGAAATGCTTGTCTTCAATCCAAGCTCTAAGGATGAAAGGCAAAATGATGACATACCAAGTGGTGAAGAAGAATTGGTATTGGAAGATAGTAGCTCTTTCAATGATCTAAACCAAAACAATTTTGTAGTCCTAACAGGAGATAATATAATTCGAATTTTAAATTTCCAGGAAAATTTAATTAAACAAACTTTATTAATAGGACATGAAGATGTTGTTTCTTGTATTAAAGTGAATGAAGAAAATTGCCTCCTGTTTAGTGGATCCAATGATAAAAATATATTCGTGTGGAATTTAAAAAATAACAATTGTATATACATATTGAAAGATAATTTATATACCATCAATTCAATTGATGTGAATGTGAAGAAATTCCCTAAAATTGTACTTGTAAGTGTATGTGAGGATAGTAGTTTGAAGCTATGGAATTTTATGATAAACGTAGACTATATCAAAAAAGGGAATGAACATAAAAAAAAAAGAAAATTGGATGATTTTTTTTCAGATAAGGAAATTATTCAAAGTAATTTTACCATTTATCCGCATAAAGTTACCATAAACAACGTTGCCATATCGCACAATTCGAAGGTAAGAATGAGAACGACTTTGTACTGTTAACCAACCCGAGTAGTTTCCCCTACATATGTCCAGTTTGTCTCCTGCAATTATTACGTTATTATTGCACTAGCATCGTAAATGGGCTTGGGGGCAACAACAAATAGAAGAAATAAGAAAAATAAATAAAAATAGGCAAAAAAATGAGGAAAAAATGAGGAAAAAATAAGCAAAAATGGGTATATCGTTGGGCAAAAAATGGGCATAATGTTGGGCAAAAAATGGGCATAATGTTGGGCAAAAAATGGGCATAGCGTTGGCCAAAAAATAGGCATAGTGTTGGCCAAAAAAAAAAAAATTTAAACAAACGTTACACATCTTTGCATACAATGGCGTGTACCCCTGCACGTCCACTTCACACATACGGCACATGTCTCCCCATTCCATCTCTTCAGATTGTTGCTACCTGTAGCAAGGACAAAACGATAAAACTGTTCGAGACCCTAAATTTGAAACTGATAAAAATGCTCGAAGGGCATAAAAAACCCGTGCAGAATATTTTATTCTCCAAAACTGACCACATTTTATATAGTAATTCATACGATAGCGTAAGATTATGGAGCCTGACAAATTTTGAGTGTTTGAAAAGTATACAAAGTCTCGATTTCAATATAACAAAAATATTAATTCTTAATGATAATTGCATGGTTAATTCGTATAGCAATGGCAACATAAGTTTAGTGAATATAAAAAACTGTGAAAAAATATCAACCGTAAATTATCACAAGGACAAAATCTTTTGCTTACAGAATTGTAGAAATAATAGTCTCGTATCTGCATCTGTAAATGGAGAACTGATATTTTTAAAAAACATAAGCGCAAAAGTATGCACAGATAATATGTTTGAAAAACGAAAAAATATTTTTTATGAAAATTATTTAGAAAATTTATTGAATGAAAATAAAATAAATGAATCCTTGCTCATGTGTTTGAAGCTTAATAAAAAATTTAAATTTAAAACTATTATAGAAAAGTATCTAAATTATTACACCTTTTCTATTTTGCATCTTTTGAAAAAGTTTGAACATGAGTATGGTATTAAAAGAATAATCCAAAGCGATGCCTATAACCACATTTCCGTTTCTTCAAAGAACGACACAAAATATCACAAAGATGAAACCAATATCACAAAGGATGGAACCGATACCACAAAGGATAAATCGAACAATGAGGAAAATGAAAAAGATGGCAATCATGTAAATTCCTCAAATGCCAAAATAAATAAGACGACCTCACTTGATGATGGTGCTATTCTTGGAAGTATTCATAATTATTTAGATAATTCAGATATTCTAGAAAATTATATTTACTTGGAACTAGCGAAAATGTCATCAAACAAGTCCAACGATTTTGTTAAATGTGAAAGGGACGTGTCTCTACATAATGGAGGAGAATATACCCTCGAGAACAAAAAATATGAGGAAAATCATAACGCAGATGGAAATAATGAAAATGACTACCGTGAAGCTGATAAAGACAAATACAACGATGATGATAATTTTGTGTTGTTTTTAAAAAAAATGAAAGAAAAAAACGAAAACTCGTACTTCTTATACCTTAACAAATTAATGGAATTCATAGCCTTCTTCATTGTGAATCACAGATTTGCTTACATATCCAATTTTCTGCTGAACAGTGTTATAAATTATATTGATTATTCAGACATTTGTAAAATTAATGACTACCAGCGGTTTTTCGAAATATACAACAGTTACGCTCCAAGGCATAAGAACAGGTACCTGCAGTCTCTGCAAAAGTCTAAGTGCTTTGAACTAATTAACATCAATTATTATAAGGGGGATATTAAAATGATGGGTTGAGTGGGCAAGTAGCGGAAATGATAAAAAAAGAAGAAATAGAACAGAATAAAGCAGAATAGAACAAAACAGCACAAAATAGAGCAGAATAGAACAAAACAGCACAAAATAGAACAGAATAGAACAAAACAGCACAAAATAGAACAGAATAGAGTAGAATAGAACAAAACAGCACAAAATAGAATAGAATAGAACAAAACAGCACAAAATAGAATAGAATAGAACAAAATAAAATAAAACAATAGCAGTAGCCATAGCAACAAATAAATAACTTTGCTTTTATGGCATTTTGTTGATTATATTAAAAGGGAAGGAAAAGGGAAAGAGAAAAGGCATATATTTTCTCAACTTCTTGGCTTCTCTCGTTTTACTCCTGTGCAATAAACATCAATGAACATTACAAGACCTCTTTTTTTTTTTTTTTTTTTTTTTTTTTTTCGCATTGCAGAACTATTCTTAGTAGAATATTTTGGATACATTTATTTATTTGCTTTACCACTTATAATTAGGCCCGTATTTTTGTGTCTCATTTTTTTTGTATAATTACACGTTATGTGCACAACTTGAAGTAATGCACTTGTCATATTTTGTTTTTCCTTGCGGAAAAATGAAACAGTTTTATTTACGTTTTTATGTATGCTTACGTTTTTATTTTTATTTGAAAATTTTTACTTGAATTATTTCCCCAGTTAGTTTAAACAACAAGCGGATAATTAAAAAAGAGACAAAAAAAAAAAAATCAAATAAAAAAGTTCAGAGGAAACGGAAAACAGCGCGACGTTGGCTCCGAGGAGTTTGTGGCAACATGGACGCACGAATAAAGCACAAATTTTATTACAACTTTTTAACTATAAAAAAATTTTAAAATAAATCTCTGTGATAAACTAATAAATGTATTAACCAATAAAAAGGAGAATTTAAATACCCCTTTGGTCGTGATGTAGCTCATACATCCAAGTGTAAACATTGCAGGCATACCGACACAGCAACAAAAATATAATAGTACGAGTAACTGTTGCAATTCAGATTTAAGGTTCTTAATTGTGTTTCTAAAACAATTTTTATTACATAAAAAAAATTCCTTGTTGTCTATACAAATACTGCTCATATCGATGTTTTCAAATTGGAATAATTCTTTTATTATTACTAAAATGTCTTTGCTGGTTTTATCTTTGAAATTAAAAGTTTTTCTTAGTGGTAATATGTTTAAAAACTCTTCTTCATGGGATCTGTTCCTCCTCTTAGCGAGTTCATTTTTGGAGGGGATGCCCTTCACTCTGTCAGATCTGCTCTTTTGGCCCATTTGGCCCGCTAGACCCGCTAGACCGGCTTGACTCATTTTTTCCAATTTGTGCAGCTCCTCCTTTAAGTACTTCCTCTCACCGAATCCCCCAAGGGATCTTTCGTTCCCTATGACACCAATGTTGGTATTGTTTAAGCGACCGGTTATCAAAGGGTGCAATGGAATATTAGTTTCTAAACTTCTCAATGTTGCATTTTCCGTTGATGTGTTGAAATTTAAGTGGTCTTGATAATTAGCATCATTTCTTTGGATATTCAAGTAGGATGAAACATTAGCATGTCCTCTTTTAGAAACATTTTTATTATTGCTACCTGTGTGATTGTGAAGATTATTTTGATTAGGATTGAATGTTCTATTGCTTTGAGTAGTTGTTGTTAGACTTGGGTTGACGGTTGTGTCACGTTGATTGATCTCTGAGAATCTTCGAGTAGAAATTGCCTTATAGACTAAACGATCAAGGGTTCGTTGAAGGGTTCTCAAAATGGACAACTTTTTTGACAAATTATTATCACAGGAAACGTTTTTCTTTGTTATATACTTATAATTAAAAAATTTATAATTTATGTTCATTAATAAATTATAATAAAAGGAATAATATGTATAAGTGGAACGTATATTAAGTTGATATTTTTCTTTCAATGTTAACATAAAAATTCTATTTTTATAGTAAAATAAATTAGAACAACTTGAACAACGTATTAATCTATGTTCACATGATTCTTCATGAAATTTTATTTTGTTTTTTTTATCATAATATTCACATCCTAACACATAATTGTTACATCTTCTATATTTACAATATTTTAAATGTCTCTTATGATTTTTTATTTTCAATTCATCATTACATAAATTGCACCTTATTCTTATTTCTTCATATTCACTTTTTCTTTTCCCTACACAGGGGAGAAGTTAAACGTAGGACAAGAAAAATTTTCGAAATGGAAGCAAAGCTAGCTCAAGGTTAAAATCTTCAAATATTTTGCACATGCATATCGTTGTTAAGTTGAAGAAATATATTTAAAAATATAACTCAAGAAAAAAAGAAAAAAAAAAAATGGGAAACAATTTCGTGCACATGTAATTCGTATGACCACAATGATAGCACACGCAATCACTGTTATGCTATAAGCAAAAAAAAAAAAAAAAATAAAATAAAAAAAAAATACAAATTTTTGGTACCTGTTATTCTTTTCAATTCATTATTTTTAATTGCTTGTTTACAAATTGGACATTTTCTCTTATGTAAGAGTGAATAATACAAACATTTGTAGCAACTGAGTAAAGGGAAGAGTGTGGTAAGGAAATATGGATTTTCATATGTCACTCTCTTTGTGTGCGCATGGAAAGAATGTGGAAAAAAAAGAAAAGGAGGAAACATAGGAGAGAATGGCTATAGGCATACAATTTGTATATACACAATAAAGCTATATAATTGCGAATATATGAATGCATGTGCTTCGCTAACCATATGTGATTACACAGAGTCACTACTGGGTTGTGACATATATCTAGGCACACTGAGCATATAAAATCTACCAGAAAAAAAAAAAAAAAAAAAAAAAAAAAGTTTGGTAAATTTAAAAATGTTACATATGTTAAAACGTGTACAGTGGACATGTAGAATTGTTAGCACACATTCTCAGGACATTTTTTAGACAGGTGAAATTATGTTTCAAAGTTTATATTATATCCCTCTCACTCGTTCACTCGCTCGCTCTCTTTCTTTTTTTTAAAGTTTACTTTCATAAATCTCTTTTTTTTCTGTGCAATTTGTCCGCAAAAACGGGGAACCAATGTGAAAAAGGGACAGTACACTCATGTTTTATTTTATTTTTTATTTACAAAAAATTGTGTTCATATGAAATAATCTTTTTATTTTACTCTATTTTTACACAATGTTAATGCGTTTATTTTGCAAATCAAAAGAGGAAAAAAAAACAAATTTTATAAAATGACGTAACATTAGTGTTGAGCAACAGATGAACTATAATTCATTATGCATACAGAATGTGAGATGGGAAAAAAAAAGAAAAAATTGCACAATCAATAAAAAAAGTAAAATTCACTCTACTTCACTACATTATGAAAAAATGGACATTTCTGTGAAATTATATATCTTAAGTTCATATGCTGATTTAAGTGTACATTTGTCGGATATGCGCTTGTGAAATATACATGTTGCGAAATGTAAAGACAAGGAATAAATTAAACCATTGGAATACAAAAAAAAAAAAAAAAAAAAAAAAAAATTTAATTTAAAAAAAAGAAAAATGCATGTTACTAATAATTGTTTGGAAATTTTGACAATCCATGAAAATTAATTTACGTTTTCTATATTTTGTTTGTTCATGGACATACATGTGGGTTTACACAAATATGACTACAGGGCAGGTGCTATAAACATATGGGGGAATAAATATAAAAAAGAGTACAACATATAAACATAATTATTTTAAAAATACGACAAGCATTATAAACTTCTCCACAATTTTAGTGTGAATTCTCAAATGGCATGTTCTGCTTGAGCGTATTTTTAATTTCACCTAAAGCTTAATTTACTCTATATTGTATCTTATATAAGAACTTTTATAATTAATGTGCCAAAATGAATATCTCATCTCCTTTGTGTTTTTTTTTTTTTTTTTTTCTTCTTTTTTTTATGGAAAAAAGTACCACGCAGGTAATGTATACGAGTTGTTTTCTTGGTTAACTTGTTATCTGTGCTTAATATAATACGTACGTAGGGGGAAATGTAAATATATATATATATATATATATATGTATGAATACATATGCTTGTATGAGTAATGTTCATGCCATATGCACATGCTTATGTGAGTACACGTAAATAAGAGATTAACTTCTAGAAAAAAAGTAGTACATGTCTATTCTATTAAAGCATAAAAAAAAAAAAAAAATAGACCGTTTAAGTGGGGAAAATTTTTTTTTTTCTACCTTTTGGTTGTGAAGATATATATACACTTGTAAATATAGAAAGGGTGGTATATATACCACATATATCACATTCTTTTGGCGTTTTTTTATTTTTGATTGACATTTTTTGTAATATTTTTGAATAAGCAATAACTTAAAAGTTAAAATGTGGAACACTTTTGGCTTATTTTAGTCATTAGTTTTTCCAGATCTTTTACTTCTTTCACCTTTTTATTTTTTTCACCCTTGCATTTTCCCCCCCCCCCCCATTGCCTCACGCACATTTCGGAGACTTCATTACGGAATGTATAAAAATTACAAAAAAACATTACCCGTAACAGCCCTAATTAACATTTGGGTAACGTTTGTAAACCATTATGCATATCCCTTACTCTACTTATTTTATGGATTACCCCCTTTGCTTATATAAAATATCAAGCTACATATGGGGGTTTCGTTCATCATATGGAAATATATATGTATATATATATGCATGTATTTATATATATACATATATTTATACATAATATATACAATTATTAAATATATATGAGTGCATTTTGCTTACAAGCATTCCACTTCATTTTTTAATGTAATTGTGTTCACTTCTTGTGGTTATTTTTACTTCTTTTTCAATGATTTTTTTTTTTTTTTTTTTTTTTTTTTTTTTTTTTTTTTTTTTTTTTTTTAATTATTTTTTTTTTTTTTTTTTTTTTTTTTTTTTTTTTTTTTTTTTTTTTTTTTTAAAAATTTTTTTTTTTTTTTTTTTTTTTTTTTTTTTTTTTGTTTTGCATTGTTAAATAAGAAGAGCCACATTACAAATGAATATATATGTTTGATAAGTTTACTAACTTCATCTTTTCCCTCGAAGATCCTCGATTGGTGTATTTATATTAAAAACATGTGTTTATATGAAAAGGCTCTTATGCATACCCCTTTTTATACTTGTTCTTTTTTATTCATATTAGCTTTTTACGCGTGTTTAATGTTACATTCATATATGTACTAGGCCTATTTTTAGTTCTTAGATTCTATTGCTACCTCTTTCTCCTTTGATACACAAACTTACCATACACATATATACCTTTTTTTTTCTTCATCATATTTCAATTTTTTGTAAAATAAAAAAAAAAAATAAAAAAAATGGTATCATTAAGATTAGATAATAATAGATATATAGCATTTAATCAAGATTATGGATGCTTATGTATGGCCAATGAAAAGGGCTTTAAAATTTACAATACAAACCCTTTTACGCAAACATATAGTAGAGGTAACCTTTTTTTTTTTTTTTTCTTTTCCCCACAAATGAACCATTTCGCCTGCATGTGCATATATATATATATATACCTACATACATACATTCATTCATTTATTTATTTATTTTTTTAGACCTAACGGATAGAAACAAGAATGGGTTGTACTTAGCAGAAATGCTATACCGATGTAACATCCTGGCCATAATAGGGAACAAAAATGATAAAAAAGGAAAATGGGCAAAAAATGTTTTAATAATTTGGGATGATAGACAAATGAGAGAAATAGCAAAATTAACATTTTCTTCAAATATCATTGGAGTAAAACTGTTAAGAGAAATAATTGTTGTCATACTAGAATATAAATTATGCATATACAGGTTGAAGGATATTATATTATTAGAAACTTTGAATACATCAAAAAATGCATCTGGTTTATGCTGTCTATCCAATATTGATAAAAATATTATTATAGCATATTTATCACCTATAAAAGGTAGAGTCAATATACATATCTTTGAAATAAATTCAAGTGAAAATATTCATGAAGAATTACCATATATAAATTTTAAGACAAATTTAAGTATATATGCCCATGATAATTCAGTAGCTTGTATTAATTTAAGTAATGATGGAAAATTATTAGTTACTTCATCTACAAAAGGAACTATTATTCGATTATTTAATACTTTTGATGGTACCTTGTTAAATGAATTTAGAAGAGGTACGAAAAATGCTAAAATATTATCATTAAATATTAGTGAAGATAATAATTGGCTATGTTTAACATCCAGTACAAACACAGTACATGTATTTTCTATATATAAAAAAAAAAGAGCAGTGCGAAAAGTTGATATAATATGTAAAGGGAAAAATTTATCTTCTCCTGCTTTATTAAATTATGAAAAAGAATCCAAAAATAAAAAATCAAGTTTAAAATGTTTATTACCATGTCATCCTTATTTAAATAGTGAATGGAGTTTTGCTACCTACAAAATACCAGGAAAAAAAATTTCCTCAATATGTGCCTTTGTCAACGATCAAAATTGCATTATTGTTATATGTTCGAATGGAATCATATATAAGTTACGTTTTAACGAACATGTTGGAGGAGACATGTTTAAAATTTCCTCCCACAGTTTTGATTAATTTTTACTCCTATCTATTAGGACTCTGGGAAAGAGAACCAGAAGGAGGAGAAATGTTTAGAGCGATTTGAAGGGGGTTGTAACAATTTGAAACGATGAGTATATGCCTGTCATCCTGCTTGTTTATCCCTGATATGTATTTTTCCATCTGCTTGTACTCAGGAGAATATATATATATGTATATGTGTGTGTGTGTGTGTGTGTGTGGGGGGGGAGTAGCATATTTTACCCACAAATTAGGGCAAATTTTTTTTTTTTTTTTTTTTAATTTGTAATTAAGCATAAAAAGAAGATTATATGCCGCATATATATAGGCACGAGAACACACATATGTGCTTGTCCAGTGCCCATGCGGATTCATATATATATATATATATATATATATTTTTTTTTTTTGATTAGTAGTAAAGGATCTCTCTTGTTGGCATATATATGTATGATGTATAATTACGAGGAATGTCGCTTTGAACGTCATTTACCCTCCCCCCCCAGCGTCCCACAGTTACAAACATGCTTGTGTATATACATATACGTAGGTAGATATATACGTACATATATGTACATGTACATACACACATTGTGGCATATATTCCGCGTCCCTATGTTAGTAAATTGTCGTTTGCGTTCCCACTAAAATATATTTCATGGGATACTTATTTACTTTGTTTTTACAATGTCTTATTATGAAAAAAAAAAAAAAAAAAAAAAAAGTATTCAATGGAATATTTCTTTTGCACACACACATACACAGTATATCTACAGTGGGTGTATGAATATGTGCACGTTCATTTTGTGGCTTCATTCCATCATGCATGCATTCACTAAATTTTTAAATCCTCAATCCGTATTTTTTTTTTTTTTTTTTTTTGCTGATTTTTCATTTTATTTAATATATAATATATACCCTCCCCCTTTCATCTGTGTTGAAATGTTTTGCACAGAATATAAATTTTATGTTGTTAAATTGGGGCGTGGCACATGCGCTTAAATCTTTTCAATTCAGTGTAATATACACACATGTGCAACGGGATACAGGCAGAGCACACGGATGTATGTATACATACATATATATATGTATATATATTTATTACACCTACATGGGTTTATATTTATCTATTAATTTACGCCATAAAGTAGTTTTATTGCATGTGTTGCCGCTGACAATTTTTAAATCTTGTTTTTTAAGGAACATTTCCCCCTTTTTTTTTTTTTTTTTTTTGCCTCCACTATTTTTTTTTTTTTTTTCTCCACCTACTACTTCCTATTTTCTATTCATTGGAAATACATTTCAACAAACTTGAAACTTTTTTTTTATTTTCCGAATTAAAAACGATTTTCTCATAAAGTACTTCAATGTATAACTGCTTTACTATTTCATCATTTAATGAATGGGACTTTAAATTTTTGTAAATGCGAAGCATATTATCTGGATCATACTTATTCAGTAGAAATATAGCATAATTAAATACTTTATTAAATAATTTTTTGTAATGAAAATAAAATTTCCCAAGTTGTTCGCTGTTATATGTTTGATACATGGAATGTTTATCAAAGTTTATTAGGAATATATTGTTTACATTCATTTGAAATTCCTTTAGTAGCAAGTTGAAAATGTCTTCTGGGCTTCTTACAGCACAATCCATTTTATCATTCAATTTTATGTAATTTGAGTGGGTAAAATTGAGATTATTTATGCAGTTTGTTTCTTCATATAAATTTTTCAAATTTTCCAACTGGATATCACAATTGAACAACTTGTCCGCATTTTTGGGGACACGCTTATTGTCCTCTTCATGTGTACTATTAAAATGGATAAAGGAATTTTCTGTCTGATCTATTTCTTGCATTAAATGTGTCTTACTCAATTGATTCGTCTGGTCAATTTCTACCCTTCTCGTTTTTCCCATTGAAGCTTCTAGGTCATGTCTTTCACCATTTTTTACTAACCGATTGAAGAAGATACTATATTTCGTTAATATTTTCGGATTTTTTTTACATTTTTCTTTAAATAAAAATATATTGAACAAAATAAAAAAATGTAGCATAATGTGCTTATATCCTATCAAGCAGTATACAAAATTGACCATGTCACAATTAACTCTGGAATTAATTAAACTTAATATATATATATTTACATATTCAATTAAATAGTTATTAAAATATGTATTCATTGAAAGTCCAATTGTATAAGGAATGGTAAGAAATTCTTTAGAATCTATTTTGAAAAATGTATTTAAATATTTTTTCCTTAATTTTTTAATTCTATTGCTTGCATAGTTATATTTCTGCTTTTCCTCTAATATACTATCATTATGTAGAAGTTTTGGATTCGTCTTTATCTTTTCTATTTCTTCAATAATCCTGTTGGTAATTTTTTCTAATAAGTTTACATCATATTTTTTGAATTTCCCCAAAAAAAAAAAAAGAAGCTTTAAATGGTAAAAGTCAAAAATATGTGTATGCTCATTGAAATATGATAGCACTTTATTTAGTAAAAAATTGAACATATCATTTAGTTTGTAAAAACTGTTTATATAATCAACTATCAAATTTTCTTGTTCTTCTTCTGTGTGAAGAACACTCTTAACATTTCCATCTCCTCCATCGTTTAAGTAACCAAATTGACCCGTTTCTACATCACTTGCAATTTCATGATTACCTTCATTGGATGGATAAATACACAATGTATCATTTTTACAACTTTGTTGGATTCTGTTTTTGTCTTTTGTTACAATGGCTTTGTCTAGAACAAGGTTTTTTTTTAAAATTGTAAAATTTTCATCACCTACTTGTACTTTATTTTTTTCAACTCCCTTGAGAGCATATTCCTGTTTCCTTTTTAATAAGGCATATAAAAGAATGTCTACATTTTCTATATTTTTATATTTTACAATGTAGTTATAAATGTATGTTTGTATTTTTCCATTATGTGTGTTACTAGAGGAAGGGTTATTTTTCCCATACTCATTTAGGAACCTCTGTACGATTCGAAGATTAACAATGGCTTGGCAATCATTTATAATGGTCTGGATATTAGAATTGCAAATATTCTGAAAATGATATAAATACTTTGTAATGTTTATTAATTCCTTGAAGTCACAATGCACATAACCACTAATTTTGGTGAAGTTTATAGTGTTATTTATTAAAATACTAAAAAGGGTACAAAAGACATCAATTTTTATATAATTGAGTTTATATAGACAACGATATATATCATGTATCAAGGATGATGTTAAAAGAGTTTTATTTTTTGGAATTTCATTTAACAAATTGTTTAAATATATGTACTTATTTTTATTTATTTCACTGTTATTATATTCTTCATGGAGAAGTCCATTTTTTTTGGTGAATTTTTTTATTTCCTGAACAAATTGTGGAACTTGATTATATTTTACACTTTTTTTGTCAAAATTGTTATTATTTTTTGTTAAATTAATTTTTTCTTTTCTTAAATAAGAAGGGATTCTTTTTCTCACAATTAGTGAGGAGTTTACTTTTTTTCTTATAGGACTTAATTTCATATTTCTTCCTTATATTCCCTTAAAAAGAGGATGAAAGAAAAAAAAAAAAAAAAAAAAAAAAAAGTATGATGGGCAAAAATAAGCCATTTTTGTGTGACTCTAAATTTAAATAAACATAACTGATCATTTATGTGGCTCCATAAATTTAAATAAACACAACTGATCATTTATGTGGATCTAAATTTAAATAAACACAACTGATCATTTATGTGGATCTAAATTTAAATAAACACAGTTGATCATTTATGTGCCTTTTCTTTTTTTTTTTTTTTTTTTCCCTTCCCCTTCTATGCCTTATATAATTTATACCATTTTATAAGAGTATAATTTTTTTTTTCACGTTGCCATGTTTGTTATGAAAAATTGAGAAAATAAAACTTCTTTAATATTTTTTGGTCGTATATTATTTTCAAATATTCATAAGGTTATTTTGGGGTGTGCTGATTGAGAAGATTTTTATTTTATTTTGTAAGTTGGTTATGCTTATTTTAGCAGAAAAGTGTGCAAATGGTATGTTGAGGGATACATATATAATTACACATCCTATGTATCTTATCGGTGCATAAGTGCAGATATAGGCTCACCTATATCCGAAGAAAAAACTACACTAACACGTAAAAAATGAGGAGTAAAATGGAACAAACAAATTGGAATGCAAGTATATATATACATACATATGTATATTACATGTATAGGTGCGCATATAAAGTTTGATATATACACAATAATACAAAGCGCTCAGGTGTTCTGGATTCTTGGCCATGACAAAGAAAAGGGAACTATTCTTCTTTCTCATTTTGGATTTTAATAAGCACATATATAGCTTTATCGCAATGTTGCAAACATATGCATACACATGTGAGTGCCGTATGCACATATTTATACCTATATATATATATATATGTATACACATACAACAAATATTCACAAATCCCAACGGCCTGATCTGATCAAACGGTATAACCACGATACATGTCCATGAACGTGTGTTACACGGCTTGTACTAGGGAAAAAAAAAAAAAAAAAAAAAAAAAAAAAAAAAAAAAACGAAATGCAAGCTAGCGATAAAAGTAACGATGATGTCGTGAGGAGAATGCTAATACTAGTGTTCACACAAATTTTAGCATACATACGGATATAAAAACTGTTCTAGTTTATTAAACGTGGTACAAATATGGACACAAAATTATCACGCAATCTTAGTACACAATCTCAGACGGGAGAAGCTTATTTTTTTCATCCTATTTTTGTCCTATTTTTCATTTTTTTTTTTTTTTTTTTTTTCCCTTCTTCATATTCAATGACATCCCAGAAATTTCTGTGAACTTTGTTCCACATGTTCATGTCATAATATTTCGTGTCGGCACTTCTGCAAAAGGGGGAATATGAAGAGTGGAGAAAAATGATTTCTCATGCCCTAGTGGAATGAAGCTGAATTAACATGTACACTGTACAGGCATATAAATAACACAAATTTTGATACAATAAAATTATACACCATCCTCTCTCTCCACCTTATATAATGAATACACATGCAAATTTCATTTGTTGTGAGGGAGAGAGTAAAAGTAATTCATTTTGAATGTTGTCCTACGTCCAAGTGTATAAGGCTCTTTCAATCCACATCAAATTTGTTATCTTCGCATTTTTCCAATTTTCATTTTTTACAAAATTATTTACTGTTAATATGTGAGTATAGTTCTCATTGTTTATGCTTCCTCCTAATTTCAAAATATAATCCATGAAATCGCTTCTTTGTATCTCATCTGTCAGTTGTGAAACGTTGAAGATGCAATCTACAGGGGAAGTTTACAAAAGGAAAAAGTATTTGTAAACAGATATGTATTCCAGCGCACGTGCAAGTGAACAGGGCAAAAATATTTTTGTGTAAAGACAATCGACATGACCATTAACTGGTAAAATTGTTCGGGGGTAAAAAAAAAAAAAAAAAAAAAATTCACACATAGACACATATACACACACATGCACAAATGCATATATTATGTATCACCGAAACAGGCGCGCGTCCCACCCCAGAATTCATTAGAACAGTTCGCTTCACATATATAAGGATAAAGATAAGAGAAAATAAAAATGGAACAGAACTCTTCTTCTGCCTTCCACCCCTTACCTTTTAAAGCCTGCTTGCGGAATTCAATTAATATGGTTCTAATTATCGGATAACGCAAAAAGTAGTTGTATATCTGATCCTCTTGATTATTTTCATCCGTTTTATTCATTTTGAAATGTTCAAAAATGTTATAAAAAATGTGATGTATTTCATCCAATATGGTAGTCAAATAATGTAACTGCTTATCATTGTCTTCAAAATTTAATTCACTCAGATTTTTCGGTATAAAAAAACTTTCATAGTATTCATTTTGATGTGTTTTGCCCTTACTGTCATTATTCAATTTATTATTACTTAAAGGTGTCGAATCGACATCATTTGTGTCTTCATATTCTTTGACATTTCCTAGGGTAATATTTTTTTTTTTCTGGAAATTCTGAACATGAGTTAATTTTTTTATCTTTTCTTTCTTAATTTTCTTTTCTACTTTTTTTAAGTTATGCCACACAGTGTTGTTCATCTTTTCAAATTCATTTTCCCCTTCCCATTTCCCATCCTCTTCCATTTGCGTTTCTCCGTCACTTTCTTTTTTGCAATCATTTTTTTCATCCTTCGTTCGATTCTCTCCACTGTCGATCTCATTCGAGTTCATATTAGTGTCGACATCGAGATGTCCATCACTTTCGATATGTGCATCCTCATGAAGCCCTCCTTCTTCTCCTCTCCCCCTTGTGAATCTCTCCCCCTTAAAGTAGTTACGCAGGAACCGAACGACATAATTATCATATTTCCTAAAGTTCCTTTCAGAAATAAATTTGTAAATAATTTCATCTTCAAAAGGTACGAATCGTTCTGAAGTTGTTAAGCAAGCTAAATTATCAAAACTGTTGGAAGAGTATTCTTCATCCCTTCCCAATGTGTACTTGTATTGTATCGTTTTATTTTTCATTTCTAAATTATTAATTTTATTATTATTTTTTTTTTTTTTTTTCTTTTTATCGATATCTTTACTAATTTTTACACCCATGTTAGCAAAACTGTCGGTGCCACTAAATGTTTTGTTCATATTATCTTCACAATTTGTGGCTCTGGAAAATTGGCAATCCACTGAATTTATACCAATAGAATAAGTGCTATTTTGATCAGATTGCATATATCCTGATTGATTATATAGATGAGATACATACATATTATTATTCATATGTATATTGTTTTCACTATTTTCTTTATAAACATCTGAATTGAGAAAAAAATCATGTTCATTTTGTGTAAAACCTTTCTGATTTATATTCGGATTCGATGATGACACGTTCATAAAATTGGAATTACTAATATTTTCACATGTATCATCATTTTGATATAGATTTGGAAAATGATCATTATTAATGTTTCCATGCAGGTTATCATTCCCAATAAGTGCATTAGAACACTGATCATTATTGCACCGTTGAAATAATTCTCCCTTCCCATTAGAAGAATTATATGTGTCATCAAAAAGTTTCAAATTGTTATTTACATTTAATTCGTATGAATTATAGTCCAACTTAGGTTTTGCCTCCTCCACGATAGCACTGTCTTCGTTATCCGTTTCGAATTCTTTGTCTAAATCTATGAAGTTGCCTTCAATAGATTCATCCAATTCGATATCGCTGCTACTATCTGTTTCATTATTTATGGAATTGTCGCCTCGTAAAATTATGCAATCTTCTTCTTCTTCTTCATCATCATCATCACCCTTTAAGGGAGTATTTTCAACTTCAAAATCAGTTTCATCAATTTTAATGCAGCTGTTATGTGATATTGCAGCATTTGTATCTATTTTTATGCCTGTATCCTCCCCTTGTTTTAAATCCCCATTCAATTCTCCTTCTTTTGAAAAATTTACATTTCCAATCCTATTCTCACCTTGTTGAGTAATCTGATATGCAGTTCCTGCTGCCATAAAACGGTTGCTTGGATCATTCCAAATTGAGCTTTCATTGTACAACAGATTATTAATAGAATTCATTTTCATTGCTTCATATTCATTACATTTGAAATTAATGAAGCCATAAAGATTAGAGGAAAAATTTAAATACGATTGCGCGAGAGCAAAAAATTTTGTTAAAAAATAAGGTTTTCTTTTTATATCCTCTAAAAAATTAATTTCTGGAAAATAATTATAGCCATGTACTTTAATACATGAACTACTTTCTTTCCACATGTAATCACTATCATCAATACATATAGAAATACTACGATACGTTGGTAAAATTCGATTCAAATGTTTTAAGCCATTAACACTGTCTTTTCTAGAAAACACTCGATTACCAAAAAATTTTTTAAGCGGATCCAATAAGAACAAGCATGATTTTGCATGTTCTAAAGTCCCCATTGTATATAAATATATTTCGTATTTTTTATTCATATTTTGTAAAAATTGAATTACTCCAGGTCTTAATTTATAATATATTGTATAAGACCCTTTGTCATATTTTACATTTGTTTTCAATACTGATAATTCTAATTTATCAATTTTCTTTTTTATATTTTCATCTTTTAAATTTTCATAATGTATAAATTTTCCATTATACTTTAATAAATTTATTGTATTCATCTTTGCTAAAAAATCACAATAATTTTCATAACTCGATTTTATATCTTCATTCTTGTACATATATTCCATATTATTATTATTTCTTTTGCAGAAAATGGAGTATAGTTCATCTTGGTTCATTATGAAATGCTCATCATTTTTGTAATCCCTCAGGTATTCTTCTCCTTTTTCCTTCTCTTCTGCGTTATGCTTGTTTCTGTGCTTTTCTGACACCCCTAGAGTGATTCCACTCCCAGGTGTTTCATCACAATGGTTCTCTTTTCCATCCTGTAAATAATCATCATCAGTATCATCATCACCACCATCACGTGTGTCAACACCACTTGCAACACCAAACATACTGTCACTTCTCACCTCAACATTATCCTCCTTCTTTCCGTTTGTCCCATTGCTCGCAGACGAATTGTAACTTTCTTCAAAATTGAAATTATTAAAGTTGTAATTGGGCACACATGAATCACTAGACTGATACGCACAAGGATTGCATGAATGGCCAATTTCATTTTCCATCTCCTCGTTAATATCTGTCGTTATGTTTATAATATCATTATTCATATTTATAGCTAACACAAAAAATGAAGCATGGAGTAGGGTGTTATCAAGATCTAGAACAAGACAAAGTTTTTTATTTTTAATTATGTTACTAATTCTTTCTTTTTCTAAATCAGCAGCCTTATCTGAGTTTATGTACAATTCTTTTTCATTTGTTAAAAAACCAGGAGATAGAAAATATTTCTGTTCTTTTTTATTTTTATTAATTTCTTCCTGATTTAAGAAACAGTTAGTACACAAACCTGAAAATATTACCTCATGATTACATCTTTCATCACTAATTTCACATAATAATTCATTAGGACTGTTAATATATATATATTCGTCAATATCTGAATTGGAGTTTTGTTTTATAATATGGATTCTTCCATGAATTTTACTTCGTAATGGAAAATAACTATTTTTTTTTTTTATGTCATAATTATTTTTATTATTCAAAATTAAATTAATCACATTATTTTTTTCATACATCGATTTCTTTTCATTCTCCTTCAAATCCTTATTGTTTATATCGTACCTTTCATTACTATTCTTAGCTATTTCTTCCATTTTTGTAGGATTCCTTTGACTAATTAAAGAATTGTTTATATTCTTATCCATTCCATCAGTTGTGTCATTTGTTTTTCCACTTGTAACTTTGCATAAATTAATAACAGAATTTTCAGAGATTTTATCATTTTCATCTATCAATATGTTTTCATTTTCTTCATCTTTTCTGATTTGTCCGCATGTCTGCTTATGCATTTCCTCATTTTTCAAATGAATGTTATTACTACTTTCATCAGAATCGATTTTATTTTCTTTGATCATGTCACTATCACTAATACATGTCTTTATAGGGAATTTCTTTCCATTGAAATTTTCTTTTCCATTTTGATGAATGTCGAGGGTTTCGTTCGTTGTCTCAATGACAAAAGCAATTATTTGATTGGCACTAACAATAGAATTATTATCTACAGCCCATTTTAATTTACATGGCAACGCTATATTTTCTGGTAAATATATTCTTTCCTTATCCATTAAAAATTAAATCAAATGGAAATTCTTTTATCTTTTAATTAAAAGAATAAAAAAAAAGGAGAAGGAAAAGATAAGATAAGGTACGAGAATATAATAGAAGTTAACAAAAAAAGAAGGGATATATAGAGAGAAAACCAAAAAAAAAAAAAAAAGAAACAAAATCTATATTGACAAAATTATGTAAAACAATTTCATAGTTGTTAAAATTCAAATTTAGAGGACTTGTGGAAAAATTGAGAACCTTTAAAATTAATTCTCTAAATCGGCATATTGTACGTATGTATGAATGTAAGTATGTACATCCACATGTGTATAAAATGGTTGCATTCTTGTCAAAGAGTTAATACACGCAAAAAAAAAAAAAAAAAAAAAAAGGGATAGAAGAAAACATTGAGACAGAAATGGAGTAAACGACGGAATTCTTATTTCTCGTTCGCTGATTGGGGCATAAGTCCAAGTTTTCATCAAAATTTTCTTATATTATAACAATATGGAAGAAATGATAAATGGGAGAGGGAGAGTTTAATTATATATACAAAATGTTACATTTGTAAATGCCCCTTCTCCTTTTTGTTCAAATTTCGTATATATTTTAAGCAGGCTTCTCTTTCTTTATTTCTCTCTTTTCTTATTTATTCTTCCTTTATTTATTTGTTTCTTCCCTTGTATATTTTATTTCTTCCTTCCTCCCTTTGTTTATTTTTTTTTTTTTTTTTTTTTTTTTTTTTTTTTTCTTTTAAATTTTTTTTTTTTTTTTTTTTTTTTAAAAATTTTTTTATTTTTTTAAAATTTTTTTTTTTTTTTTTTTTTTTTTTTTTTTTTTTTTTTTTTTTTTTTTTTTTTTTTTTTTTTTTTTTTTTTTTTTTTTTTTTTTTTTTTTTTTTTTTTTTTTTTTTTTTTTTTTTTTTTTTTTTTTTTTTTTTTTTTTTTTTTTTTTTTTTTTTTTTTTTTTTTTTTTTTTTTATTTGCAATTATTCATATAAAATGGAAATTATAATTTTGAGAACTCTATAGTTCAACATTACAAGGCTAAGAAATTTTGTGGTAGCTTTGTCAAAATTTATAAAAAAGTTTTTTTAAAAAAAAAAAAAAAAAACTACCATAAATTCTGCTGCCTTCTGTTTTATACATGTATTTTCCCTTTCATTAATGTATCATTGGATGAATGCTAATTTAGTGCTCATTCTTTACTTATTTTAACTTGTTGCTAATCCGGTTTTATTTTTATTATATTTTTTTTTTCCCCTTATTTTTGAAAATATCAACTCTTTCAATTATGTAGTTATTTGTTTCACTTTTTTAAAAATATTCGTGAATATTTACCCGTTGTTTGTTATTCCAAAAAAATTGTCTTTGTGTTTCTACCCATGTTAAATCATTTTCAAACATAAATAAAAAGTGTAGTATGCTCTAATTGGGATACTCTACTTGGCACGGCCTTATTAACTGTAAACCATTATGTTCGCTGTGTTCTGCATGTGTGTATATGTATATGTGTGTTTTTTTTATGTATAAAAACCTTCCATGGGGACAGACAGAGCTAAAAAGCAGAACATTGTGTTCTTATTTGTCATTCTCCCTTTAGATGTTAATCAGAGTAAAAAATTTGATTATCAGTGAGTAAAAAGAACAAATATTTTTTTATTTATTCCATTTATTTAACTATTATTTTGTTATATATATTTTTTTTAATTATGTTTTCGATCACTTCGCTGAGTTGCGCGATCAGCATTTAATCTCCTAAAAATTAGGGGGAAAAAAAAATAAAAAATAATAAAACGAACGAAAAATAGTTTTTTGTGATAATAACTGGATGAAATCCGCTTTTACAACTTTTTTACATTTCAATTTAAAGAAAAATTAGGGGAACAAAAACCAGCTTATAAAGTGGTGTTCCTACTTTTTTAGAACTTTAATTTTATTTTTTTTATAATTTATTAACAAAAACAAACTGTTTGTTCGTTTTTCAACTGATTGTCGTCTCTATTTTCTACTTTTTCCTCAAGGTGTCATATATGAAATAAATTTTGATAAACATTTGTGAAGTATGTGGGAAAAGAGTATTAAATGCAGGTTAAGAATAAATGCATACTTGAATACCCTAAATTTAATCTTTTTTTTTTTTTTTTTTTTTTTTTTTCTAAAAACACAAGTGATTGAATAACGCACATGTTGATAGACCTTGTTCGTTAATAAACAGGAGAAGGGAATTGAATAAGAGGTGTAGATCTTTTTATACCCCCTGTATATATGTCTACTATAAAAACCTATTTTAGGGAATACATAGAATATATGTTTTTAAAAATGAAAAAGAAAGAGTAAAATGGTATAATGGAAAGGTAGTGCGAAAAAGGTCTTCAGATTTTTATATTTTTACGTCTACATTTTGTCATTCACTCATTCACGTTTTACTTTATTTTATTGGGAAAAAATGACTATTTGGTTAATGGGTATTTAAAAACAGTTCGGGAGAATTTTTTCATTAATATAGACGTATCATTTAAAGGACTTTTTTTTTTTTTTTTCTACATTTATACACACATCGTAATCTAAATAGTATTTGATATTTTTTCTTTCCCTTTTTTTTTTTTTTTTTAGCTTAGTATAATACTATACATTTCACTTATAATTTATGATTTTATTTTACTTTTTTTTTTTTTTTTTGTATAGTTCATGAACTTTGAGGTGATGTTTCTTTAGAAGTAAAGGAGAGCAAATTTAAAGAAGCATATATTATGTAAGCAATACATCAATACATGTCTTTGAATGCGTGGGGAGGGGTTTAATGAATACATAGCACACACTTCTACCAATCTTCGCGCAATTTCATCATACGAAAAAGAAAAATATACATGTTTATTCACAAAAAGATGGAGCCAATTGATTCGTAACAAAAAAAAAATATATATTTTCTATAGCGTTAACTTTTTTTTTTCTTTTTTCGAATCATTGTGCTTTTCCCCGTATGATATGATATAAGTGTTTCCATTTTGAATACATAGAATGAGAGAAAAGTGCCTTTTTATACACACATTTAACATTATATAAGTATGAACTCATGTGTGAATTCTCCTTTAAGCAAATCATTATAAATGTTGCCCTTGCCCATATTCTTTATGTGATGACTTTTTTTTTTTTTTTTTTTTTTTTTTTTTTCACTTATTTTTTTTTTTTTTTTTTTTTTTTTTTTTTTTTTTTTTTTTTTTTTTTTCTCACTTATAGGTGAGAAATAAAGATATCAATCTCCCTCTAAATTTTGTGCATTAATTCAACCCCAAAACGTAATTTACATTTTTTCATATTTATTTGTAATTCTTATGGTTTGCCGTTGAGAATTTGAGAAAAAAAAAAAAAAAAAAAAAAAAAAAAAAAGAGGGGAAGGTATATCTATAGAATCTACATCTCTATACTTAAGCATTATCTCAGTTTTTACAAAACATCCCGAAGAAGCATACACGAAGTGACCCACATAATCTGTCGGTAAAAAAAAGTATATGATATATATATCCCCTTTTTTTTTTTTTTTTTTTACACACACAATGGAAAAAGAAGAGTATGATAAAATACTAGTATTGAACTTCGGTTCTCAATACTTTCACTTAATTGTTAAACGCTTAAATAACGTGAAAATATTTAGCGAGACAAGAGATTATGGTATTGAACTGAAGGAAGTAGAAGATTTAAAAGTAAAGGGAGTAATTCTCTCAGGAGGCCCATATTCAGTAACTGAAAAAAATGCTCCTCACTTGAAAAAGGAAGTTCTGGATTATTTTTTGAAAAATAAAATTCCTATATTTGCTATATGTTATGGTATGCAAGAAATAGCTATACAAATGAATGGAGAAGTGAAGAAATCTAAAAATTCAGAATATGGTTGTACTGACGTTAATATATTAACAAGCAAGGATTCAAATAACGAGAAATATAAAAAGTACAGACTAATCGATGAGGATGATAATAATAAATGTATTTTATTTGATAACATAAGAAATGCAGAAAAAAGTACCGTATGGATGAATCACACAGATGAAGTATCAAAAATTCCCGAGAATTTCTATCTAGTAAATTCAAGTGATGATTGTCTAATATGTGCAATATATAACAAAGAATATAACATATATGGTGTTCAATATCATCCAGAAGTATACGAATCTGTAGATGGGGATCAGATGTTTTTTAATTTTGCATATAAGATTTGTAAATGTATGAAAAAGTTCGATCCAATTAGATATCATGAAATTGAATTTAATAAAATAAAAAAATATGCAAATGATCATTATGTAATTGCAGCTATGTCCGGAGGAATTGATAGCACAGTTGCTGCTGCTTTTACTCATAAAATATTTAAAGAAAGATTTTATGGAATTTTTATAGATAATGGATTATTACGAAAAAATGAAGGAGAGAAAGTATACACATTTTTAAAAAAGTTATTCCCAGATATGAACATAACAAAAATTGATGCTTCAGATAACTTTTTAAATAATTTAAAAGGTATTACAGATCCTGAAAAAAAAAGAAAAATTATTGGAAAATTGTTTATTGAAGAATTTGAAAAGGCTGTAAAAAATATAAACATTGATATTGATAAGACATATTTGCTACAAGGTACTTTATATCCTGATATTATCGAAAGTAAATGTTCAAAAAAATTATCAGATACTATTAAAACCCATCATAATGTAGGTGGATTACCAGAAAATCTAAAATTCAAATTATTCGAACCTTTTAAATATTTATTTAAAGATGATGTGAAAAAATTATCACAAGAATTAAAATTACCAGAGGAAATAACTAATAGACACCCATTCCCAGGACCTGGGTTAGCTATCCGTGTAATCGGAGAAATTGATAAACATAAATTAGACATTTTACGAGAAGTAGATGACATATTTATAAATGATTTAAAGTTTTACAATTTATACAATGATATTAGTCAAGCTTTTGCTGTACTATTACCTACCAAATCTGTAGGTGTAAGTGGTGATGCACGATCATATGATTATGTATGCTCACTTAGGGCAGTTAAGACTTCATCTTTCATGACTGCAAATTGGTACAAAATCCCATACGATATTTTGGAAAAAATATCAACGCATATACTTAGTGAAGTTAAAGGAGTTAACAGAATTCTGTACGACATTTCGTCCAAACCCCCAGCAACTATTGAATTTGAGTGAGTTCTCATAGGGGAGGCAAATTGCATTAGTAGAAATTTTGAACAAAAATTCGGGCAAAAAATTCGGTAAAAATTCGGCAAAAATTCGGCAAAAATTCGGCAAAAATTGGAACAAAAATTGGAACAAAAATTCGTACATAAACACTTTTGGGCTTACGCTTTTATCGCTACCTCATTCATATCATTAGTTAATTGTTTTTTGCCTTTGCCGGATAGTAGACATACCCCACTTCTTTCTCGCAGTAGACATTTGTGTTTCATATGTGTGCGCATATTGTTTTCTATGTGTGTGTTTTTTTTTTTTTTCTTTTTTTTTTTTTTTTTCTTTTTTTCACATGTGTTCATATTTTTGTCATATTTACTTGTAAATGCATTCTCTTTTTTATTTTAATTTTTTTCTAAGACGTCGTTTTATTTTTCTCTTCCCCTTCTTTGTATCAATCACGAATAACCATTCGTTTTCTTCCCCTCCCCTCAACCGTGGCATTTGTCCATCTACCTTTTTATTCTCTCCATTTAACCACATCAATTGTAGCAACATTAACAGTAAGGGCTTAATTGCACTCATTGAAAATGTATGCAGAAAAAAAAAAAAAAAAAATTCTGCATTCTGTTGTTACAACTAAAAATGTAGTGCTTCAACAGATTAAAAGTTCTTGTAACAACATTTTCATGAAAACACTACGTAATCAGAATACTATTTAATTGTAAAGGAACGAACGTAAATACACATACGTGCATATGTTTTATAAACATTTACAACTATTTTTTTTTATTTATACTTTATACTTGGACATTCTCTTTATACATAAGGGAAACATTTTTATAAAAATGCATTTGTATACGAATTTTGCCTTGTTTCATCTACACCATCAAACGATAATAAAGAAAAGATAGCATTTTAAAATAGTTATTTTAAACTTAATTATAAACCAAGACAACATTGGAGTTGCTAAAAGTGTACATATAATTGACGTATTGCTTTCTTTTCAAAATATAGATTTTTTTTTTTTTTTTATGTTGTGAGAAAAAATTTTTCATGAACGTTTAGCTATTTATCGTCATTCTGTGTGTATTTCTACATATCTGCATATCCACCATTTTATATTTTATTTTATTTTATTTTGTTTTATATTTTTTGAACAAATTTTAAATAAGCAGCATAAATTCACAGCGGGCCTACACACAATGAGCACAAATTGGGAAACAAACAAATTAATTATTTTCTTTATTAACACAAAATAGAGTAGAGCATTTTTTGGGAGATTTTTTTATAAAACCATGTGTTCAGGTTTTTACGGATAAGTCACAAAATCAGTTAAATAAACCTCATTATTTTTCCATTTCGACAATTATATTTGCATATATGCAATTATATACATATACTTACTTTTGTCAAAATTAAGTACAAAAAAAAAAAAAAAAAAGCATAAAATGAAGGTAATACATAATGAAAAACTTGCGACTAGCATTGAGTTGTGGAACCTATTTGTAAAACCAAAATATTTAGTAGACGAAACAGAAGAAGCGCTAGCTACATATGATGAAGAAAAATTAAAACACTTGTTTTTGAAAAGACTAAATTTTGGTACAGCTGGTCTAAGGGGAAAAATGGGATTTGGATTTAATGCAATGAATGTTGTGACTATTATGCAAACAACACAAGGTTTATGTACGTATTTAATTAATACATATGGTATAAATGAGTGTAAAAATAGAGGTATAATTTTTGGTTTTGATGGAAGATATCATTCTGAATCTTTTGCACATGTGGCTGCTTCTGTATGTTTATCAAAAGGATTTCGAGTTTATTTATTTGGACAAACTGTTGCTACACCTATTTTATGCTATTCCAATTTTAAAAAAAATTGTGTGTGTGGTGTTATGGTTACAGCTTCTCATAACCCCAAGTTAGATAATGGGTACAAAGTATATGCTGCAAATGGAGCACAAATTATTCCTCCTGTCGATAAAAATATTTCTGAATGTATATTAAATAATTTAAAACCATGGAATGATGTTTATGATTATTTAAATGAAAATTTTTATCTAAAAGACACTTCTCTTGTGGAAGACATTTACTACGAAATATATGATGCCTTTATGTCCGATATGAAAAAAGAATTTAATTTTAATTGTCATAGAAATTCACGCACAAAACTTGTTATAGTATATTCTCCTATGCATGGAATTGGTAGAAAATTTGTTCAAGGCATTATGCATATAGTTGGATATAATAATTTACTTACAGTACCTCAACAGGCCTTACCAGATGCTGATTTTTCTACTGTAGCTTTTCCAAATCCTGAAGAAAAAGGAGCCCTTGATTTATCGATACAACTAGCTGATGTGGTGAGTAGTCCCATAGTAGTTGCAAATGATCCAGATGCAGATAGATTTGCATGTGCAGAAAAATATAATAACAAATGGAAGATATTTTCTGGAGACGAATTAGGAATAATATTTGCATACCATATAATGAAACAAAATGAAAAAAAAAGTATAGACAAATCAAAACATGTATTTTTATGTACAGTTGTATGTTCGAGAATGTTAAAGAAATTATGTGATATGTATGGATATATGTACGATGAAACACTAACAGGTTTTAAATGGCTAATAAATAAGGCTATAGAATATGAACAAAAATATTATACTACACTGTACTGTTATGAAGAAGCTTTAGGACATGCACTGACTCAACATGTAAGAGATAAATGTGGTATATCTGCTTTGGCATATTGGATTGAAATAGCAGTTTATTTATATGAAAATGGATTAACATTTCATGATTATTTAGAAAATATTAGAAAAGAAATTGGTTATTTTGTAAGCAATAATGGATATTACATAGTTCTAGATCCCAATGATATTGTAAATATATTCAATGAATTCAGATGTAATGGTTTATACAAAACGTGCTTGGGTTCATATAAAATTACTCATATAAGAGATTTAACTACTGGATTTGATTCAACAACAAGTGACAAAAAATCTCTAATTCTACCTACGCCAGATTCCCAAAATATTACAATTCATTTTGAAAATACAGCCATCCTTACAATAAGAGCCAGTGGAACAGAACCCAAAGTAAAATGGTATAGTGAAATTTCTAGAGGCACTTATGAAGATGCTAAGAATGAGATTGATAAATTAATAAATGAAGTTATGCCATTGTTTATGCAACCGGATAAATACAATATTAAAAAATGCTAAAGTAGGAAAACCTGTTTGCAGCACGCGCATATTTGTCGGCTACACTTATGCACCTTACAAAAAATGGGTAGCAACTTGTCGGTTAAGTTGTTTTTCAAAAAAAAGAAAATATATACATGTATGTACAGATGTATGTTTGCATGTACAGATGTATGTTATTGCATGTACATATGTATGTTTTCATGTACATATGTATGTTTTCATGTACATATGTATATTTGCATGTACAAATGTTAAATGAAATAAATGAGAAATCAAGAACAACAAATCATAATTTAAAGATGCACATTTGGAGAAGTTAGAATTCTAATCACATACAACTGCTTCTTTTCCAAATTGGTTTTTCTTTTCTGCTCTGTTTCATTTTGCTAAAATTGGCTTATTCGGCTACGCCACTCATCAGTTGCAAATAATGTACGGATGAATTTACAAAAATTATAAAACTAAAATATGCAACCACAAATGTTCAAGGCATAGGCTTAAAAAAAATAGCAGGTTTTCATAAACGAATGACGTATGGATGATCTGAATTCATAAAACATTTAGACATACAATGTGACTTAATGCAACCATAAAAAATACTGGATGCAGTGAGTAAAGTTTTACAAAAAAAAAAAAAAAAAAAAAAAAAAAATTAAATTAACTCTTAATATATATACCTCGTAAAACAATTTATAATTTTTTTTTTTTTTTTTTTTCTTAATATTTTATTACTAATTTGGACATATAACACCCTTCAAACAGCACATTCATTGCTAATAGTAGTTTGTTGCTTAATCATTAAATGACTGTTCTTACTTAAGCATTTCGCTATTTCATCCATTTATTGCTATTTTTTTTTATTCATTCATTTGTTTATTCATTTGTTTATTCATTTGTTTGTTCATTTGTTTATTCATTTGTTTATTCATTTGTTTATTCATTTGTTTATTCATTTGTTTATTCATTTGTTTGTTCATTTGTTTATTCATTTGTTTATTCATTTTTTTCTTCATTTTTTTCTTCATTTTTTTCTTCATTTTTTTCTTCATTTTTTTATTCATTTAATTATTATTTTATTTTTTTTTCGTGTTAAAAACTGAGCAACATGATAGATGAGACACCACAAAAATAGATAAAAGCTCTTACACATTCGAAAAAAAGGTGAAATAAGTTTTGCGCGAATGTGGCGTAAATTAACCTAAATGAGATATCTATCATCATTTCATAGTTCCTTTTTATCCAGATGTTCTACTGTGTGTTCAGTGTGCCATGCTACCCCTTTTACAATAACAAGGTTTGGCATATCCATGTCTTTATATGTACACATTTGTGCTTAAGCACTATTATCGCTTTTTTTTTTTTTTTTCTCTTTACATGGTTATCAGTATACAAATTTATGCTAGAGATGGGACACAGGAAAAAAAAAAAAAAAAAAGAAGCGTTGCTATTATTTTACCATTTGGAAGTAAAATAAGGCATTCAAAATATGATCAAAATGTTATAAGAAAAAGAATATAGAGAAATGTGGCTTTGTTATTCTTATATGTTCACAATTTTCAATTTGTTGAAATTATATAATGGTATATAAAAAGTGTCGAATGCATAAAATTATATGAACACTTTTTTATATCATTAAATTAGTAATTTTAGAAACAGGTATATTTTTCTTGCTACATGCATTCCTCTACATAAGCAAAAAAAAAAAAAAAAGAGTTAGCTTAAGTGTAGGAAGAGTATAAAAAAAAAAAAAAAAAATACATATTCACATATATAATGTATGTATTTCCTTAAAAGGGCTGAGAACTATTCAAATGTTTTTCGCCATATTATAGATGCTAAAGAGTCAATACACTTTTGCTACATAGGATTTTTTCAGGAGTGTGATAAAAAGGCACATATATCTAATAAAATTTATGCATGTGTATATATAAAATGCCCCTCCTCCTGCTTATGAATAAAGGAGAATAAAAAATAATTAATCTGTGCTCATTAAACAATTTGAGTATTTTACATACATTATTGCGGTTTTTTCTCTTTAAAAAAAAAAAAAAAAAAAAAAAACATCTCTTTTTCCTTTTCTTACATTTTTTAAAGGACCTTTAAAAAAAAAAAAAAAAAAAAAACGCACGAGTATTAGCTGAGATAAATCCATTTGTACATTTCAATTTAAGTAAAAAAATATAATTTTTTTTTTTTTATCAAACTTAGAGAATACAAACAAATACCCATACGACGTTTTTTATCAAATTATTTAGAAGAATTTATTAATTTTCTCTTCAAAAAAAGAGAAAACTTTTCAAACACTTTATATTATATATGAAATATTAACTATAGTATCAACACACAGGCGTTTCTTTTTTTTACCACTATTCTGAACTGAGAGAAAAAAAAAAAAAAAAAAAGAAATAGAAGAAAATGAAAATCCCAAATAAGTAATTTAAAAAAATAAAAATAAAATAATGAGAATATTATTATACTTTCGCTATACTCATAACTTAAGTTTATTTTTTTTTATGTTTTTTTTTTTTTTCATCCCTACATTGTATGTGTAAAAGTGGGAGAAAAGCGATACATGTTAGATTAGAGCCAGTGCTGTAGATTAGATATGAATATGTTTTCAAAAACTTCCATTTGTCTATTCTTACACATTCTAAACAAGAGTGTATGAGAATATCTTTTGCACCTTAGAAGGAGGCATCCTTTCTTACACTATATTTACAGTTTTCATCTTTCACCATCTATCTCTCCAAAGAAAAGAAAAAAAAAAAAAAATGTTAATAACTTTTTCCTTATAGCCCTGGAGCAGGCGAAAATGCCCAAGAGCCAATTTACATAAAGGATGATGACGGATATGACATAGACACATTTCTAATACCTGTTCACTATAAAGTAACATAAAAAACATGGAACAAGAAAATTGAGAAATAATTTTGAGAGAAAGTTCGCAAAAAGTGGGGTGCACCTAACTGTTCGCGTGTTGTGTTAAATTTTTTTTGTTTTCACCATCTTCTATCGTCCAAATGTTTTAACGTTTCGTCATTCCTCGTGCATATACATATATATATATATATATAGAGAGAGAGAGAGAGAGAGGGAAAGCTCTTTGTGCATGCATGTGTGTGCACCTGAACGCGATTGAATTCATCCACACATGCACATACCCAAAACAACACCAAACCCACTTTACTTCCTGTACAATATCTGCAGAATTACATCACGAAAGTGTTAATACCTAATGGAGTTTTAAAGAACAGGATAGAAAAATTAGCATTCGACATTAAAAGAGTGTATAGGAATGAAGAATTTCATGTGATATGTTTGTTAAAAGGATCAAGAGGATTCTTTAGTGCTCTGTTGAAATACTTGAATAGGATTCATAATTACAGTTCAACTGAATCACCAAAGCATTTATATGTAGAACATTATGTACGTGTTAAGTCATACTGTAATGATCAGTCATTAGACAGAATTGAAATTGTTAGTGAAGATTTATCATGCTTAAAAGATAAACATGTTTTAATTGTTGAAGATATTATTGATACTGGAAAAACCTTGTCCAAATTTTGTGAATATTTAAAAAAATTTGAAGTGAAAACAATTGCTATTACGTGCTTATTTATTAAAAGAACTCCATTGTGGAATGGGTTTAAAGCTGATTTTGTTGGATTTTCCATACCCGATGCATTTGTCGTTGGGTACAGCCTTGATTATAATGAAAAATTCAGAGACCTTGAACATTTGTGCTTAGTTAATGACGAAGGGATAAAAAAATTTAGAGCAACTCCCAATCCTTGATAAAAACATTTAAAGGGAAGGCACTGTCAGCACTAATGTATAAGGTTTTGGTTTGACTTTTCATAGAAATTGGCATGATTGTACAGCCAGGACATCTGTGAATTTGTCAGCGTTTACATATGCTGCCCTTTTCATCTGCTGGCTTTCACACCTGCTGGCTTTCACACCTGCTGGCTTTTACACCTGCTGGCTTTTACACCTGCTGGCTTTTACATCTGCGAGTTTTGACATTTACAGATTTGTAACGCTGAGCTTTTTTACAAACACACATTGGCCTTTTTATGGATAAATTTATGTCTTCTCTTGGCTTGACACATTATACCATATTTAAAAGGCAGAAGTTCACATGTACATAACGTAGACAGATTTAACCGTAACGCTGTTGTACCTGACAATTCAAAAATATAATGTAAAAAATTGCATTTTTTTTTTTTTTTTTCTATTCCCCTTTTTAAAATATCACATATCATACAAATGACAGAAATAGATTATCTTTATTATTACAAATTTATTAAAAAGAGATAATAAAAAAAAAAAAAAAAAAAAAAAAAATTGTGCTTCAAAAGAAAGAGCACTGTAAAATATAGTGTTAAAAAAAAAAAAAAGAGGAACTTCTTCAACTTTAAATTTCCTAATCTTTTATAGAACGTAATTTCGCATATTACATTTCACACATATTGTGTAATGTGACGAAAGGGGTATATACGTCATTCCTTAATAATTTTGATAGTTGAAAATGTGTAAACAAAACCTCAGCATTATATGAGAGTTCCAATTATGCTCCCGTAGAAACATACACATACATAGCCATCTATACATATATATATATTTATATATTTATATACTTTACACATATGTATATCTACATGTTGGACATTCGCAACAAGGTAATAAATGTAAACAAATTAGCAAGCGGGACGGTTTCCTCATTTGTGTAAACATTTTGAATATAAAAGAAAAAAAGGAGAAGAAAAAAAACACCTTTTTCTATGCATAAACCAATTGAACATTGTTTCCTGTATATACCACCCTTTAAAACCTTCACATTATGACCTACGAGGATCCTTTAAGAAAAAAAAAAAAAAAAAAAAATTCCTAAGAATAAGAATGATTTATGCTGAAAGTGCATACATTAAAGATTTCTTAAGTGCCTATCATTGCATAAATAGGATGGGAAACGTGAATATATATATTCCTCCCCTTCCAGCTTGTTTTGGAAAATTTTTAATTTATTTTTTTTCATTTTATTTTGTTATGTTTTTTTTTTTTTTTTGGTTTCATTTTATTTTGTTATGTTTTTTTTTTTTTTTTTTTTTTTTTTTTTTTTTTTTTTTTTTTTTTTTTTTTTTTTTTTTTTTTTTTTTTTTTTTTTTTTTTTTTTTTTTTTTTTTTTTTTTTTTTTTTTTTTTTTTTTTTTTGTTTCATTTAATTTTATTCTGTTTTATTTTATTTTTGCTTTACCTTTTCAGCCTGTTTCAATGAGAAAGTAAAATTAGGAAAAGTGTGAATTGCGTTATATGAAATGCAAAAAAATATGCAAACGGAGTGAACTACGCAAGTTTTACATAAAAAAAAAAAAAAAGAACAAAAAATGGGAAGAAAATAAGATAATTTATGTGCTCAATTCAGATTTACGTTTGCAATAATTCGATATATTTTAATGTATGGAAAAAAATACACAACTCTTCAACTTATCCCCATTTTCCCTTAAACGATTACTCATAACGTGTAACTGAATTGTATTGCATGTGTTATTATCATTCATGATCAATCCTCTAAACGCATACATATGCGCACAGATACATATACACACACGTACACACGCAAATAGATACACATGCATACACTGATATTCCTGCTTATTTATGCCCTTTATTAAATTCCCGAAGAATTACTTTTTTTTGAGACCTCCTCAAAGTGAAGAAATTCATTTCCTTTTGCTGAAATTTATTACAATTCACACCTTACCAAATAACACTAAACCATTGTGATAGCACAGTTACGAAGCACAAACTTGTTAAGCATTGACAGGTATCACATAGAGTATACCATTCCTCCATAACGAGCATATACATACGTATACACAGATATACACACATATATGCACACATATATGCACATGTGTACGCGTGAAGAAAGAAGATTCATATGATGTATTAAGAAGGTACATAAGTATGCAAGAAGAGAAAAATGTCACTACACAAGGAAATTTGTAAATACATTGCAAGATCAAGCTCAAAACCTTTGCACAAATTGGAGTTTGAACCAACCAAGCGGAAAGCAGGTGCATTATCTCAGATTTTTAGAAAAGTCTTCTTTCCTTATTATTTCAAATTTATTCGGGCACCTTATGAAAGGTGGCAATTCTGTGCTATGACAAAATTTTTGAGAGAACATGGTAAGATGAAAAAAGTGTTAAATTGTACGGCATTGTAGCTAAGAACGTGTTTTTGTCATTACACGTCAGCATCAGTGTGTCTTTACATGTATGTATTCGTGCTTTGATAATCAGTTTCCACGGTTTGCAACGCAATAAGCAGAAAATAGTTCCAATGGCCAAAGTTTCTTGTCTCTACAGGGGAAAAATAACAGATTTGTTACACACTGCATGGAAATAATTGAAATATTTAAGATTTGTAATAATAACAGTATATTTTATTTTAATTTTTTTATTTTAATTTTTTTATTTTATTTTTTCTTTTTTTCATCCGCGCTGCACCTTCAGGATTAATGTACGACGACATGTATAGTGATAAAGACCCCGTGATCGAAAGAGCAATATCTTTACTACCAAAAGACATCCAAATAAAACGATACAGGAGAATGTTAAGAGGAACACATATAAATTTTCTAAGACTTTATTTACATCCATCAGAACAGAATTATGACCCATACATTCCCTACCTGGCCCCATATATTGAAGAGGCCAAATTTCAACTGCAAGAAGAAGAAGAATTATTAGGTTATCATCCATATGATAGAAGGTTATTTACTGGTGGTACTACAGGTTTTGGTGATTTAGAACCAGGTATGCATTTTCTCGTATCAATTCCAAATCTTTATGGGGCGGCCATACCACACACTTTAAAGAAGAAGTAGAAGAAGATGGAGGGTGCATAAGTCAAATCCAGTTTCTGTTTTAGTTTCTGTTTTTTTGTTTGTAAATTATCAAATGATCTATTTGTTAAATTGGGCTATATAGACGAATCCACCCATGGGACGTATTATATTATACACACTTGTTTTGTGAAACCCCTCACTTATTTGCAAACATTTATTATATATTATTTTTTCGAGGGGTTATGTATATTTTACACAATTAACTGCAAACATATATTTGGACGTAAAGACATGCATGCAAAAACAAATACGTTTTTTCGTAAGTTTGAAAATACCTGCAAGCGCCTTACGAATGTCATCACGTGTAAGGGAGCCTTTAAACTGCTATTTTATTTCATTATAATTCATTTTATTTTATTTCACCTTATTTTATTTCCCAATATTTTATTTCCCCATATTTTATTTCCCCATATTTTATTTCCCCATATTTTATTTCCCCATATTTTATTTCCCCATATTTTATTTCACCATATTTTATTTCCCCATATTTTATTTCCCCATATTTTATTTCCCCATATTTTATTTCCCCATATTTTATTTCCCCATATTTTATTTCCCCATATTTTATTTCCCCATATTTTATTTCACCATATTTTATTTCCTTTTCCTTTTTTTTTTCTTTAAATTTACATTACTTTTTTTTTTTTTTTCACAAATTAAAAACTTTTTAAACAAATCGAAAGGGGGAGGTACCTATGTATAGTATTAAATCATTGTCTTATAACAAAGGAAAAGCAACATATGTATGTATATATATATATATATTTATAAGGACACTATAGATGTTTTTTTTTTTTTTTTTTTTTTTTTATATAAACATGAGCTTAAATTCTAGATTCACTTATTAAAACGGGGAAACATCCAAATATGTGTTATTTCCCAAACGGACACAAAAAAAAAGAAAAAAAAAAAAAAAAAAAAATATCATTGGCTAGGGATAATGACAAAAAGGAGTTCCAAAATTATGTGTAAGGGACAAGAGTGTGGTTTAAAAATACGTATGCGGATGCTTTGTAAAGTTGGGAAATCATTGTTAGATCAATGTGTGTATACCTAAAAGTGGATCATTTACATGTGTGTAGATTGAAAAAATTACTAAAAAAAAAAAAGTCTAAGAAGCTAAAAAAAAAAAAGCCTTAATAACACAAATCTTACTCCTCTTTTCTGTCTTCTTTCATCTTTGATAGGATAATTATTTTTCCTGAACATATACCAACTTGTTCATCTTTGAATTCAAAATAATCATAGTCATAGTTAGTTTTTCAAGGGAAAAAAAAATATTTTGACATTCCGTACTGATATCCTTTATGTACACATTTTTTGACTCCACTTTTATATACTGAGATGACAATTTAGATTCTGGGATAAATTCCACAATTTTCATGACATGCGAACATGCGATTTTTAGAAAATTCGATGCCTTTTCCTGTTAAGCAAAATAGGGATATTTTTGAACATGTGAAGATATGGGGGAATCATTTGGATGGATGAATGGATAGGATAGACACGTCAAATAACACTCTCCTGAAACGGTGCACATGTGAATGCATGGAACTGCTACATTTCGAGAAAACAAAACTTATCCACGTAGAACAAGTCCTGTCATTTCTTTTTTGTTGTTCAATTCTTTTGTGTCGTTCGTTGACTCTATGCCACAAATTGTTGAACAACTATTCATGTTCTCTATGCAACAACATGGATTGGATATTAAAATATCACCACTCAATTTTGCAATAAACAAATATAACACATCCTCAATGGGACTTATTTTATAGGAAAGCATACATCTCTCCACTATCTATTTCTTTATATTCAATTATTATCATTTGTCTAGCGAAGAAGTGAACTTACAAGTGAATTATTTGTTGATAGAATTTCATTAGTTAATGTTTTATATGAAGGGATAAAATGGCCATCTTTATCATGTGTACCATATTCTAATAAATTTTCTTTATTAATTTTTTCTTCTGGTTGTACAGGTCCTCTCTTCTGCGTATTATCTTCTTCATTTTTTTTTTCATTTGAATTATTCTGATCATTTTTTCTTTCATTTGAATTATTTTGATCATTCTTTTTTTCACTTGCATTGTTTTCTTCATTTTTTTTTTCATTTGCATTGTTTTCTTCATTTTTTTTTTCTTTTTGATTATTATTCTCTTCTCCTTCTTTTTCCTTCTTCGAGTTGTTATCATTATCGTTTGTACTTTTCTCATCATTTTCCTTCTGCAACATTAGAAAACTGTAATGATTCAGGTCACCATTATTTAATCTGTTATCTTTCATTGGATTGCCATTTCTTTTTCTCTTAGAATATTCAAATTTTGAGGCTTTGGCGTTTTCAGTCCATATTTTGAAGGTACAAATAAGGAAAAGTAAAAGCAGTTTATTCATCGTCCTCCCAGTTTATCTGTAAAATGGTGTTTTTTTTTTTTTTTTATATCTACAATGTATATGTGCTAAAATGTACACATATCTATGTGGTAGTATTTCTGTCTTCATGCATAGCACACATTATATGTGTATGCAAGTAGATATGCACGTTCATATGTACATACAATTTTGTGTGCTATTTTTTTTTTTTTTTTTCTCAGTTTGTACTTATCACTTAACCTATATAATTTTATATGAACCTTTTATCTGATTTCAAAAGGTGCACTTTTTGCAATTCTTATTCACCTCTATTTCTGTTTTTCGTTAGGTTTAAATACTTCATCAATTTGTTCTGTGAATAATTTTTTATGTAGAACTAAATTTTTGCGTTTCACTCTTGTTTGTCTTTTTTTTTTTTTTTTTTTTTTTTTAGAAAGTTACATCTTAAAGAATGCTTCCTAATTTTATTTCATTTCATTTCATTTTATTTTATTTATTTTTTTCATTATTCAATTTTGCACGACTTTTGTGTCTTTATTTTTATTTTGTAATTTTAACACACCATAGTGGGTAGGCAACAAAGCTACGCATAATTATTTTATTTTTTTTATTCGTTTGTTTGGATGTTCATTTGTTTGGATGTTCATTTGTTTGGATGTTCATTTGTTTGGTTGTTCACCTGTTTGGTTGTTCATTTGTTTAGTTGTCCATTTGTTTAGTTGTCCATTTGTTCAGTTGTTTCATTGTACGTGCATGTGTGTATATGTACATATATATTTTTTTCTTTTTGCATAATTTAACGTAATGATAACTAGACAACCTTTTCATTTAATCGGCTATATTTATAGTATGCACTTAAAGAAAAAAAAAAAAAAAAAAATACGTGAACCTTTTAGAGTGAAAAGAAACTGTTCCATTGCGATGAATATTTTTATTTAAAATTTAGTTTAGTTTAGTTTAGTTCAGTTCAGTTCAGTTCAGTTTAAGTTTAATTTTATTTTATTTTATTTTATTTTTTTTTTTTTTTTTTGCGAATGCTTGATATTTTCTAATTACGCTCATTCCATTAATTAATGCTGTAAGTCGGTGCATCCTTTTTATTTTCATATATTATGAGAAGAGTATGCTATCATGTTACTTACTATACAGTTGTATAATCTATCATTATGCACATGAGGTAAAAGCAAGAATGAATTCATTCGATATAATGCAACAATGAAATGAGGAAATGGTGGGGGTAAATCTTATGAGTGAAAGGAAGGGCCAAAGTGACACGAATGATCTATCAATTGCACGTTGAATGAAATTGATTAACATTTTCTATACACCGTGGCAGAAAAAAAAAAAAAAAAATAAAAATAAAATTCCTTTTTCTTGATATCTTAAAATCGACTTACGTTTAATTAGAATTAAATTCTGGAGAAAGTGGATTCATTATTTGCACATTTTTATTTACATGTATAAATGTGCATCCTCATTGTTAAGAAAGGGTTGCTTCAAAATGAAAAGTGAGCAGTAGAAGGGACGCTAAAATGAAAGAGCGAAAAGTGGAATTTACGAAGAAATGAAAGAGTGAAAAGTAGAAGAATCTAACAATTGTTTTCCATTTCAGTAAACTTTTCAGTTGAGCAAATTCAGAATAAATTCACCATCCAACTAGCATAATTTTTTTTTTTTTTTTTTTGTGAATATATGGCAAAAAAAAACAAAGTACATCCCCTAATGTAGATAAGTTAAATTAGGCATAAATACCCCTCGATGTTGTAAGCTTAAGGTACACATATTTTTCACACTGATTTGAGTGTGTGCAAGTAGCATAAGCGACATAAAGCGCATAAGCCAAATCTAAAAGTGCAATTTTGTTAAAACTAAAAAAAAAGGAGGGGGTAAAAAAAAAAAAAAAAAGCCATAACCAGGTCTGTGTGTGTATGTGTAGAGAGGAAGAAATGAGGTGTAAATCCTATGAGTAAATTCCTGTACACATATACATACATTGGGAGACACGCAAATGGTTTGCATATATGAAAACTCGGTGTGCATATTTTGAGCAAGATGAGTTACATGAATAACTTTCAGAGAGTTCTGTACGCATCTCGATTTATGCGTGTATTTGGAAAATTCAAACGAGCACAATTAAGAGAAAAACCACAAAGAAAAATAGGTCCGTTCAGTAATCCTGTAAAAAGACTAGTGAGATTAAAAGAGAAAGAGAAATTATTTTGCGAATTGGGAATGCCTCGAGTAATTCCAAGAGCAAAAGTAGATGTAAAAGAGAAGATATTAGAAGCAATAAAAGCACCAAAAGTAAGCAAAGAAGTTTTAGATAGAAGATTAGAATTTTTATTGTCAAATGAAAGTGTATATCAGCAGTTATATAACAAAATGTATAATGGTATTACTCCATACCAATGTGAATTGTACATGTGGGAAAGACAAATGAGAGATCTACGAAAAATTTACAGAGCACAATATTTGCATAAGTTAAGTGAAGTTACTAAAGAAGAACGAGAAAAACAAATTAAATTGATGATACAAACAAGGGAAGATAAAAGAAAACGACGAGAAATTATTAGAAATAGAATATTAGAAGATAAAAAAAGAAAAGCCATATTAAAAGATCGTTTATCTTTGGAAAAAAAAGTTACCCAATCTATTTTATTTAAAAGACAATCCAATAGAAAAAAAAGTAATATCTATTGGCTAGCCAAATTACAAAGGAAAAGTGAATACATAGATGCAGATGATTTTAAAAAAAAAATGGACCAAAACATTGGAACTGATGGAAATAATGTTCAAGCAGAAAATAACATTCATTGTCATAACATAGATGAAGATCGCTTATTCAATCGTAATATTTCCACTAGTGCATTACATAAAGATTTAGGGTATGAAGTACGAGATGAAAAAAGCGATAGTAGTAAAATTTTTATGGTTGATAAGGTTTATAGAAAGTTATTAGAAGAATCATTTGAATTCTTAGAAGAAGATGCAGACCAATATGAGCAAACAGACATACAGGAAAATGAAGAAAATATCAGTCATAAGGATAGAGCTCATATTTTTTATTCCTCTTTTACTGATGATGAAAAACTTAAACTACTTGATGATAAAATAGAAATTCTTACAAAAAAAATTGAAGAAAAATCATTTGCTAAAGGTTTAGAAAATAATAACATAATGTTTTACATTCAGCTCAAAGATAAGTTAGAGGCATCAAAACAGGCCTTCTTAGAAACGACCTACTTGAAAAAAGTGAAAAAATCCGATTAACTAGCGAGAGACCCTTATCTCCCTGTTCCACTTGTAACACTATACATGCTCTTCACCAATTGCTTCTTCTTAGATATCTGATTTATCCATTTTCTCACCCTGAAACAGCTGAACCTTCCAATATATAACAGATATGGGGATACCTATTAAAATGGGCACATCTCAGCTCAACCTGCTTATTACTTTACCACCTATCCCATGTTTTCGGATTAAGGTTTAAATTTCCCCCCAAATTTATACTCCTTTTGTGTGTTTCATATATATTTCACACCGCTATTTTTATACGAAGCTATAACGTTTATTTTATTTTCCTATTTTTTTTTTTTTTTTTTTTTTTTAAGTAAAAATATGTATATACATCTCCTTTTTTTTGGGGGGGTGAGGGAGGGAAACATATTTCTAGCCTTTTTTTATCTGAATTTAAGAAAAATTATTCTTTGGTTTGTAGAAAATTTTGTTTAAAATTTACTCTACCTATTTCAAGTGAGGAGTGTATTATCATCTAAATTGTCTTCCTTAGGTTATCAGATTTAGTTGCCCGATTGAATGCAAGCAATATTGTATATATTATTGGGTGTACCACATCTCATATTAAAAATTTAAAATTGTAGGGAGTTTATACCAAATCTGATCTGGTCTGGTCTTATCGGAAAGGGTTTGGAAAAATTCGAAATGCACACGCTTTTCCAATAATTAAAAAAAGAAGGGTTATTTTTATTATGCCCATTTTACATAAAAAAAAGGAATAAAAAAAATTCTTTAAAATCTTCCCGCTTAATTTAAAAACTGATATAAATGCAAAATTTGTGAACCATAAATACATGCATATAAGTGTGGTCCATTTTTTTTTTTTTTTTTTTTTTGCACATATATTCACACAACCACAAAAAAAAAAAAAAAAAAAAAAAAAAAAAGCAAGAAAATAAATAAGGAAAAAAAGCGTAATTTATAACACTTAAATATGCTGTTAGATATATAAAAACTCATGAAACCAATTTTTATAAGAAGCAAAAAAAAAAAAAAAAGCATAATAACGATAAAAATAAAATGAAAATAACAAACTATCATGAATTACGACTTTGTCAGAAATTAAAAGTGTAGAATGACAATTAAAAAATAAAGAATGATTTTATTTATAAAAATGTGCCGTTACGCCTATGCTAGCTATAGTAGCTTAAAAAAGGAAAAAAAAAAAAAAAAAATGGGACTGATATATATATATATATATGTGCTTGTTAAAAGGGCGATTCAGGCACATGCAGAAAAGCACAAAAAACTTGGGGATGAAATGTGGGCTAGCACATTTGAAAGATGGCAAGATATGTGTACCTGCGTAAAAATATACCCACGTACATAGGAGGGTAAATTTACAAAAAAAATGAAAAAATAAAACAAAATAAAATAAAAAAGTGGACACATATTGCTTATTACATATGTGTGCACGTACTGTGTTAATCGTAAAAAATGAAGTAAAACAAATTGCATAAAAATTTCCACATACTGGACAAAATATATCTCTATTTTTTTTTTTTTTTTTTACCCCTTTTCGTATTTATTAAATCTATCAAATTAACATGAACCGAGCCTGAGCCAATGGATAAAACTTCCTCCTTCTTTTTCCCCATATCTAATTTAATATTCTCAGCATCACATTTTTGTGTTGCTATTTCTAGAAAACTTCTTTTAGGAGTATGTTCGTTATTTTTATTGGTTGCATTCATCAATCCGACATTTTTCCATTTTACGTTTCCTTCCTTTTCTGTCTTACCCTTTTGTTCACCTATGACAAGTTTCCCCTTTACATTATCCGTAATTGCCTTATTTGTAATTGCCTTATTTGTAATTGCCTTATTTGTAATTGCCTTATTTGTAATTGCCTTATTTGTAATTGCATTGTCTGTAATTGCATTGTCTGTAATTGCATTGTCTACATGAGCTTCGCATGCTGCAGAGTAGTCTTGTTTTACCATTGTATCATGCAATTCTCCATGAAGATATTTTTCTTCACCCATGGGGTTTGCTAATCTTCATATGGTTGAGTCATAAAAAAAAAAAGAAGAAAAATCAATAATCCAATGTATGGGTTATTTAAAACTCCGTTAAGTCGGAAAATAACGACGGTTCATTCATATTTGCTCATGTGTGTGAATGTGTGTACATATATACAAATATGCATACATATATACATACAAATATATATACAAATATATATAAAAATATATATACAAATATATATAAAAATATATATACAAATATATATACAAATATATACAAATATATAATCGTAGCACAGGGCGCGCGATATAAGCAAAGGAAGTATAAGCATAACTGTGCATGCATTTATACAAACAGGAAAACAAAAGGAATGTAAAATTCTCCCACATTTTCCCACTCCTATATAAACAACTATACCTTAACATGTTAGAACTTATATTGATTGTATCACTTTGTATATTTATTGTATTTTGGGGTAAATTCCAGTAACGTTTTTCCTTTCTATCCATTTCTTCATCCTACAAAGATAAAATAAAGGCATGGGTTATAGTAAAATGGGAGATTTTAAAATGTAATAAACATTTTTTTTTTTCTTTCCCCTTTTCATTTTGTTGGAGTTATTTTTCTCCTCTTGTGTTAATTCACATTTTCTATCTTTTATTTAATTTCGTTTTATTCTTTTTCATTTTAATTTATTACGGCTAGCATTTTAAAATATTTTTCCTCCTTGATTTTTTTTCTCATAATTGAATGGTGCTTTTTCTTTCTATCAGATATTTCCTTCTAAATTGTGTACGTATGATTGAAATAAAAATTGAGGGAGGAAAAAAAAAAAAAAAAAATGAAAAATATATTATAGGAAAATAGGAAAAAGGGGAAAATTGAAAAAAATGTTAAAACAGAAAAAAGTAGACAATTTTCACATTTGATTATTTGTTTAAACTTACTGAAAAATGAGCTTTGGTTCTTTCCGATAAAATATCATCTGTCCCAAAAGAAAAGAAAAATATGTATATGTACATATGTACGAAAATATGTGGAAAAAAAAAAAAAAAAAAAAAAAAAAAATATACATTTACATTTTTACAACACATGTGTGATAAACCAAATGAACCTTTCTCACTAACCTATATCCAAGGAAACAAACAAAACCTTGACACCTAGAGGTAGATGAAATAAAATAGAATACCTAATAGGAATAAAAAGAAGAAGAAGAAGAAAAAGAAAAATAAATAAAAAGGGGATAGTAAGCAAAAAGAAATATGTTGTTAATTTTTTTTTTTTTTTTTTTATTTCATCATTTTATTGTTTCCTTTTTTAGTACCTTTTTCTGGTTTTTTCATCCAATTCGAAGGATTCAATAAAGGTAATTTGCTTGTTGCACAGGAATTTTGGCATTCTATTCATGTCATTATCGCATTCAAAAAAAAGTAAACTAAAGGGGGAAGGGGATATAGGTGTAAGAGTACAGAAAAATATCGAGCATTTAAAAAAAGGTATTATGTGTGATAATATATGTAAAAATACAGGACTTATCCAGCTACAAAATATACATATATCTATAGAACGAATTCACAATTTATGCATTTTCACGTTGTTAATCTAATTTACTTTAAAATAAATGGGTCTAGGTATATACATTGTCCATCTATGCATTGATAAAAATATATTTCTGTCAAGGGAGGGGGGGAAAAAAAAAAAAAAATTTACATAACTTAAATATAAATGGATGGTAATACGTCCCGTATCTATCTCTTTATGTATATATATATATATATATATCTTTTTTTTCTATGAGTTTTCTATATTTATTTATATTTTTCCCCTTTTTTTTTTCACGAACTATCTCTAAATACTTAAAATCGGTCGAACCTTCATTATTGCTCTTGTGGGAGTGAAGTGGGAATTTTTCACCTGCCGTGAAATTTTCCTTCGTCGTGTACTTTTGACTCTTTGATAATTCCTCCTCGAGTCTCATTTCTTTTTTTATTTGCTCAATACTGTCCTATAAGAAATAATGACAATGCGTAGAGGATAAATGCAACAATGGTTATATATCCAAATGAGGATCCCAGTTTTGTCTTGTCTTTGTGGTCTCTGTAAACGTTGTGAATGTTGACGTTTTTTTTTTTTTCTTTTTTTTTTTTTTTTTTTTTTTTTTTTTTTTTTTTTCCGTTTTCTCAACATATAGTTGCAATGTGTAAATTCAGATACAGTATTTTTATCTCGTTTTATGTAAGTGCTTACATATACATCATGTGCAAGGTTGTCATACATATAAAAAGAATCAAAAGTTTTTTCATCAATGTTGAGCTCTGGGTTAAATTTTTCAATGGGGATGTTTAAATATTGAGAGATTTTTAGTTTAATATCTGATATGGCTTTTTCAATAACATTTTGATCTGATGCATGCATATGCATTTTTTTATTGGTTAAAATGAAATTAAAAATAGTTAAATCTTTTATCCATATTGCGAGTGGATTATATATATAGAAAAGTTTGGCAAATTGAATACCTAAATTTAAATTTAATTTTAAAATTTTGTTTGAATGATTTTGGCTAAAAGTAGTTAAATTTTTGTTCATGTAATCTATATTAACAACGTACTTATAATCAACCATTTTACTATTTTTGACAAAATTTTTATTCGTTATTTTAAAGCTGTTATTGAAATATAATCTATCTGACTTTAAATTTATTTTTTTATTTTCTGTATATAGTAGACACATATTTATACTATCATTAATATTATAATTTTTTACATAATGAAATTTTACTAATCTTAAATCATTTTCATTTATTATTTCAAAACAGATGGGACATTTTTTCCATATTCTTTTTTCTTCATCAATAAAATATTTCAGAATACAAAAAAAACAAAATATGTGTCTACACTTTGTAATTCTTGGAGATATTATATTATCTTCTAGACATATTGGACAAGACAATGGGGTATTGTCAAATATTATATAATCTACTTTTTCTATTTGTTCCCATTTTATATTATCATCTATGTTTTGGGTTAAATAATTTTTATCTTTTACATAATACCTAAAATTACAATTTACATATTGATTTTTATTTCTTTTCACAAATGGAACGCTGCTTTTATTTTTGTTAAATACAGGAACTGTCCTTGTCGGTTTATATCGGTTATAGTGCACTATATAATTTAAGTTGGTTACTTTTTTATTTCTTTTTCCCCTATCGTTAGACAGTTGTTTTTCCACATTCGAAATTTCTGTGTAATGATAAGATTCCTTACAATTGGATTGGACACAGTTCAGGGTATCACAATTTTGGGGTTTACCATCTTGGAGACTTTCATTTTGATCTCCACATTTCTCAACACATTCTTTTCCACCCTCTTGGTTCATACGTTGGAAAGTTGTTATAATCTCCTTTTTCTTACTATCAGCATTCCTTAACTGTTCAAAATTGACGAATATTTCTTTTGTATAAGGCTCCAAATTATTACTTACATCACTACTACAACTGCTACTAAAACCATTATAATCATCTTTAGTAAGAAATGAATTTTTTTTTTTTTTTGTCATTAGTCTTTAACATGGAAAAATGCATATCCGCTTTGCTTTTTTTTTGTTCATAAAATATTTTCCTTGATAATTAATTGGTGGATGTACTTGATGACTTTTTTTTTTCATAAAATTAATCCTAGTGCTCTTGTTTTGGAATAATAAACTCTATGCAAGTATATTTTGTTGCGACGAATTTGTTACACGAAATTTCAAATTTATAGTCTCAACTTTCATCGTGGATTTTTTTTTTTTTTTTTTTTTGCAAGTGTCTTAGAACATCGAGGGTGTGTACTCTTTCTTATTTTACATGTGCTTGTTTTATGTTTTCTGAATTTTATAGATATGCTTTGGTGTGTCTTAGTTGGGGATAACTTAAAAATTTAGGTCTTGATGTTCTTCATCCAACACGTCTTTGAGATTCCTTCTCATTTCTATATTTAGTCCTTTCTCTTCAATGCAGTTTGAAAAAATGTCAATCAAATCAGTTTCATCGAAGGGGGGAGGGGATGGTGTTTATTTTCTTGAGCCACAAACACAAATTTAATTATGTATGTTTTCATTACTTTGAAATGGACAAAAAAAAAAAAAAAAATAAAATAAAATTGCATAAATTTTATTCCCTCTTTTTTTCTTTTTTTTTTGTCCATTTCAGCTAAAACAAAGACATAAAAATTGACATAAAAGAAAGGAAGTAAGCATGTTGTTCAAATGGAGATATATGTGTAATTGTTGCCAAGCTGTGTTTTGGAAAAAAAAAAAAAAAAAAGGTGCATAAAAAATGTTGTCAAATTGTGGGATATGAAAAAGTGTTGTAATTTTGTTTCCAAAATGTGTAAAATGGTTCGTGTTAAAAAAAAATAAGCGGTCAGGATGGAGCAAAATGTACAAGTTATAAATCACTAAATAAGCCCTTAATAGAAGACAAAAAAAAAATATATATATATATATATATATTTATCTACTTTATATTTTTCTTTTCGTTAAAACAGTTTTTCAATCACTTTGTCACAAGTTGATACATTTTGTGCTATATTTTTTAGAATTTCCCTTTTCTTCTTTTTTTTTTTTTTTTACAACATTTTGCTCATGTGGCATGTCCAGCGTAAGGTATGATAAAAAAGAAACACCCAAGGGATAGGGGTGAAAAAATATGTTATAATGAAAAATGACAGGGAAGGGTAGGAATGCATGACAAAAAGGTAGTATAAAAATGGCCAAAAAGGATAAAACAAAAAAAAAGGGAAATAAAAAAAAATGGGTGAAAATGCATCGAAAGGGAGATGACAAATTGAGATAATGTGTAATATGACGAAATGATGAATATAGTTTATATATATATGTATGTGTGTATATATACGTGTTTGTATATGTGTTTGTATGCACGCATTTGTATTTATTTTTTAAAAAATTTTCTCAGCATATCAACATATGAGAAACTTTTTCGCTTTTTTTTCGAACGGGATTTTGGGCTTTTGAAGAAAAAAAGGGATGAAGGATTTTTTCCCAAATCCCCCACAGTTGTGCAGTAGGAGAAATATTATTGAGGAGAGCCTTCTGGTGAATAAAAAAGTCCAGAGAGTAAAAAAAAAAAAAAAATAACAGAGAAAAGTAAAAAAAAAAAAACAAAAAGAAAGTACGACAAAGTATGAATGCTTTGGGAATATTTTCATCACATATGAGGTATGTGTATAGTTCATTAAAATTAAAAATTGAAGTTGGGATAATGTTTTCTAAATGTGAAATCCACCAAATGAGTATTTATCCCTTGTATTTTTCAGTACATTGAACAAATAATTAAGGCTTAAATGCGTGTTTTTTTTTTTTTTTTTTTTTTTTTTTTTTTTGTTTTTGTTTTCTTTTCCCCTTTTTTTCCTCACATGATGTGAAAAAAAAAAAAAGTAAAAAAATAAAATGCTGCTATTTCTTCAAAATGGCACAATGTGACATTTTCAACTGATACGAAGTCCCAAAACATGATTAAGATTATACTATCCTACTTGGCAGTTATTATCACTCTCATTTGTTATGTGCATGATGCAAAGATATATGACAATTCACCTCGTAGGAATACCAAAAGGTATGTACTTTTTATTAAAAAAAATTTTAAACACAAGCAAAAGTATCATTTAAATGCAAAGAAATTTATAAATTTCAAGGAAATTCAGTTACAGCGAATAAAAGAGTATAGAGAACGTAGTGGACCAGACAAAAATAATATAAACTATAATATAAAGGATGCATATAATTATCATGAAGATTTGTAAGTTTTTTTTCTTTTTTTATTTTCTCACCCCTTTTTTTTTTTTTGTCATGTAAAAGGGGAGGAGAATAAAAAAATTTAAATGTTCATCTCGTGGCATATATTACATACAACCTACATGTGTGTATGTGGACATAAGTGTGACGTATACTTGTGTATGAATATGAGGCCCCACGTGTGCATATTTTTATCTTTCTCTTTTAAAAGACTATTTGTTAGGAACGAAGTCTTCCCAACTTTAGCTAAAATAGAAAATGAGAAATTAAAAAAGAGGGAAAAATATCGAGAACTATTTAGAAACATCAACGATTACAACACGAATTTTAGCAGGCAGGTAGGTTTAGTGAAAAAAAATATCACCTCTGTATTTGTACAAAACATGGGAGACAACACGCGGGGGCCCACACAAGTCACTAATTTTGTATATGCATATCATAGTTATTGCACTCTTATCTCTTATTATTTTGCTCATTTCTTTCAAACTGTGATTAAATATATCCATTAATTTAATTTTTCCCTTTTCTTTCAGAGTTTTATGCAATTCCTCATAGACATATATAACATCTTTTTAAAAATAGATGAAATATTTTTAATATACAAGGAGGATTTTTCTCTCCTTACATATGCTGGGCCTATGTTACTAACGAACCATCTTTATGATGACCTTATTTATCTAACATCCGTCGTTCAGGTATTACTTTTCATTTTTTTTTTTTTTTTTCTTAAACTTGTACGTTCCGTTCAGAAAAAATTATATATAATCGTTGCACACATATTTGCATACAAACAATTTAGCATAAGCCTTTGTATAAATTTTGGCACGCGGATGAGTGTTCCAGATCTCTTGTGTGAAATGTCTAACGAACTGTTCTGTCTCTTTACACTGCCCTTCTCAATACATTTACACATGTGAACATACACTTTTACACGATTACACTTTTACATGTCTTTTTACCTGCATGCAGAACTGTGAAGATATAACAGTTAGTCAATATGGGAGAGAATACATTTCACACCTGGAAGAATTATCTCAAAAGAATAAATTAAGTAACAACAAAATGAAAAAAAAATAAGCAAAAATTAGGCAAAATGTGAACATAAAAAAGTACGCTTAAATAACCACGAATGGGATGATATTTAAGCGTAATTCCTTCGTTTTTTTTTTTTTTTTTTTTCCTCGAATAATTTTTGTATATGCCAGAATATGAGGGCAAATGTATACAAAAAAAAAAAAAAAAAAAAAAAAAAAAAAATAATAAATACACATGTTAATAGAGAAAATACTTTCTAAGCTACAACGTGTGTACACAAACTCATTCTGAAAAAGTTTCTGACCCATTTTTTTATGTAATTATAAATTATTCTTTAACAGAGTTTTTAGCGCATGCCTACATTTTTTACAAGAGTTTTCACCTGAACAAGGAGCATTTACTAAATAGTATATGTAAATATTTAAATATTATTAAAAAGTTAAAATCGTCCAAGTACGTCCCAGACGTTTCGAATTTCGAGGTATAAAAGAAAATACGAATGCACGACTCCCCAAAGTGTTCGTTAAAATGTTTAGCATGGGAAAATACAGCATTTTGTATACATAATACGCTTAGGAAATATATATGTTGATATAAATCTTCAGCGTATGAAAATATGTTAGTACATTTTTGAGTATGCATGATATGAGTTTGCTATTATATAAATACTTGTAACGAAGATAGGCGAGAGAAAAATGTAGAATGCTTTCTAAAGAAAGCAGGGAATTTCAGCATACATTAGCGTACAAAAAATGTTGTATATGTACATATATGCATGTATATATACAACATTTTTGTGCTGCCGTTTTATTTTAATGAGTCCACTATTTTAATTACAAGAGGGCTATAATTAACTTACACAATAGTTCATTTACGTTTGTAAACTCGGGTTTTCTAACATAAACGAACGCGTTTCGTTCTTTCCCCCTTTTTTTTTTTTTTTTTTTTTTTTTTTTGTCTTTTCAGTTTTGCCTAAATAAGATGAGCAGGAAGTGGAACAGATGGGATAAGGATAATTTTTTGGCCAGTTTACATGACGCAACTGATAAAATGATGATATTGACAAAACATTTTCAACAAATAAAAGAGTAACGATTGAATTCATTTTGTAGTTTACTCTGCTTTGCTTCTCATTTTATCGTTCCACTTTGTTATTATTTTATTTATTACTCCCTTTTTTGAAGTATTTACCTGTTCACAACTTTTTAGTAAATTTTTTTTTCATTTTTATTATTATTTTTTTTTTCATTATTATTATTATTTTTTTTTTTTTCATTTTTATTATTATTTTTTTTTTTCATTATTATTATTATTTTTTTTTTTACATTTTTATTATTATTATTTTTTTTCCATTTTTAGTTTGTCTTATACACACGCATGCATTTTAGTGAAAAACTACGCACAAATTCCCATTAACTTTCAAATTAAAACAAAAGAAATGATATAGTTTTCATTTCCTTATCGTTCATCCAAAAAAAAATTTATGATATACAGAAAAAAAAGGCCTACTTTTTATTAACGCATTCTTTCTAATCGTCTATTTTTTTTTGTTTTTGCTATAAGATTTTTACACATGGTAAGCAAAATAATTAAATAAGTTCTACGTTTAAGGAATTGAATTCAAAAGGGGTTAAAAAGGATAGCAAAAAAAAAAAAAAAAAAAAAAAAAAAACAAAAGGAGGAAAGAAATAAAAAAGAAAAACATGACAATGTTTAATAATTTCATATTTATCATTCCTTGCACAGTCAGTCTTACCAAAGGGTGGTCTTTGGTTTTTTTTTTAAAAAAAAATAGTCTAAACTGTGTCTTTTCATTTTGTAATGTTCGAAATGTGCAATTGGCGTATGCATGTTTACAAACGCGACATACCTACAAGTACAACATTCGATCTAGTTGAAAAAGTGTAAAATTTGTAAAGCGTACTTTTAGAAGAAGGCGCTCAATATAAGATGACATGTGCAAATGAGCTCAACATATGATACATATATATATATATATATATATATATATATATATATATATATATATATATAATATGTATACATCACTGTAAGATATCTGACATGTTTATTAAACCCCTTGCGGTGTACACACTTTTGACACGGCTAATATTATATGAATTTGATTATTTAAAAAGCAGTTAGACAGCACCCTAGGGGATGGGCATATATTTCTCACTGAAACACTTTCCTAGCTGGATGGTATATATTAAATTAATAATTTAAAGAGTTTAGGGGATCTAGGATGCTCTGGGTGCACCCGTTATAAAATGTTCAATATCAAAATAGTCATCTTTTTAAAAATATGTTCGAGTTTAAAATTTGTTTTAATACATGAAATTATATTTATAAATTATGTGCATCTTTAATTTAAATGTTAAAAATTAAAACAATACAATAAATGAATTTGCAAAAACTGGAGTATACAAAATTTATATTTATATGCAATTGTATGAAGGATTCCATACATATAACTTTACATATTCAGAAAAGTGCGTCTATTGACTTTCTGTGTTTTTTTTTTTTTTTTCATTTTTTTTATTTTTTAATTTTTTCATTTTTTAATTTTCTAATTTTTTTCATTTTTTTTATTTTTTCATTTTTTCATTTTTTAATTTTCTAATTTTTTTCATTTTTTTATTTTTTAATTTTTTTATTTTTTTATTTTTTTATTTTTTTATTTTTTAATTAATTTTACTTTAACTCATTTTTGCACTTTCCTTTATTGCAAAATTGTCTAACATGCATTAATACAATATACATGGTATTACTTTAAATGAGTGCACATACACGTTTTAAACTTTTAAAAGCATACACTCATGCAAAGGGGGAGAAAATAGGTACATGCTAGCATATATCAATACATTTGTGATAACATACATATGATGCCTATTTGCGCATATATTTTTGCACATATAAATACAAAGACATGTTGAAAAAAAAAAAAAAAAAAAAAAAAAAAAAGGAAGGCTGAGGTAAGGGGAGATAAACGAACGTTGGAAAACTCTTTTTTTTTTTTTTTTTTTTTTTTTTTTTTTTTTTTTTACCAATCACCTTTCCCCGCACTCCTCTGAGGATATAACCTTCATGAACCTATTAATCTATTGCTTTTCTGCTGATGTAATTTCAGCTGCTTGATTCTCGTCTTGCCTCTTGGTATTCGCTTGATTTATGGCTTTTTTGGTTTTCTTTGATTGAATATTTGTCACGTCGTGAAGACTTGGAAATGCCTTTTCATCATTTGTGTTGATGTATACTCCATTCCTGGGTGAACCTGATCGATAGCTGGGCTTGCCTGATGATCTAGTGCTTTTGTATGGTGATCTTCTATTTCCTGAAACAGAATGACTTGAATTTTTGTAGCGGTCATTTTGATAAGAATTATGATGACTATTTTCTTCCTTACTTCTATTTAAAATTTTTAGAATTTCTTTCTTCGCTGCATCGACAGTTTTCTGAGTACCCTGAATGAAAACCTTTTTGCTATCTTTGTCAATATGTATTTTTTTGGCAAATGTTTCTTCTTGAATTTTATTAATTGTTCTACCTTTTTTTCCTATAATACTTCCTATATGTTCAGTATCAACAACCATTTCTACAGTGATGTATGAATTATTCGGAGTGTATTTTTCTTCATTATCATTTGATTGTAGTAGATTTTCTAATACTTCTTTTGCTAAGTATATATTTTCTTCATGTCCATATATCTGAGCTATATGACTATTTTTATTTATCTGAATACTTGTGGAAGTATCTTTTTCAATTTCTTTAATCTTCTGTGCTTTTGCTGAGAGGAGAAGTGCAATTACTTTTTCGTTAATTTCTACTTCTACACATTTTCTTTTTTCTAATAATTCATCAATTAATTTTATGGCATTATCTATATCATTCTTATTACCACTAATATTTAATTCTTTATAATTTGGTTTATTAAATATTTTTACTTCAGCACCAGTTTGTTCCTTAATATAATTTCTATAATTTGCATTGAATAGGTATGCTTCTTCTTCGCTTACTTTTTTTTTTACTGATTTGTTTGATATAACATTTTTCGCATAATCTAATATTTCTAATCCTTTTTTAATGTTTTCTCCTTTTCCAACTAGACTAATACCATTATCATGACGTATGACAAATAAGTTTAAGTTCATTTTAATATCATTTAATTCGTATGCACATTTTTTATACAAGGAAAATATTTCCCTTTCCTCAAATTCTACAAATTTCGATTCTAAATTTTTAATAATTTCATTTAATTGTTCTTCAGCTTCTTCTATATCACTTGTTTTGCTTCCTTTAATAGTAGCAGATGCTTCAAATGTTTTAGAATCATAATTCATTCTTATAAATGTATTTGTTTTTACTTCTATGGCTTTTAATAACCCCTTGTTAAATCCTCTTCCTAAAACAGAATCTAATTTAATCTCTTTGGAAATATTTTTTGTATTTGCATTTTGTTCATTATTTGCTTTTTCAATCAGTTCTTTCAAATTTTCTATATCTTTTTTCATACCACAATAGTAAAGTGTGTCATTATCTATGTGAAGCAATACATTTGTCTCTGTTTCCATTTTTTTAAAACTACCATCATACATATTTAGCATAGTTTTAAAAGTTCTGTTGGTCAAATGTAAGGAATTTTTTTCTGTTAAATCAATATTTTTTAAATGAGTTATAAAATTTTCTATATCCTCTTTACAACCGGATATGAGTAAAGAAACTTTATTTTCAAAGTTGTTATTGTTATTTACTTTGTCTACATATACTACATATTTGCCTTGTATTTTACTGATAAAATTGAAAGGTTTAATTAATTGGGTATACTTATCATTTGGCATTACAAATTCTTTGCTAATAATATCTGCTTCCGTGACAGTAACATTATGTTTTTCCTTTTTATACTTTATAATTTTATCCACAAATCTTAATTTTTTTTCTTGTACTTTAATTTGAGTTAAGCTTTTTAAATTTTCCTTCACTTTTTCTTCACATGCTTTTTTTAATGTTATTAATCTGTTCTGGAAATTTTTAAAGTTTTCATAATTTTTAGTTATAGTTAATTGTTCCTCTAAATAATTTATATACGTGTTTACTTCTTCCATTTCTTCTAAATTTTTAGGATTTATTTTTTTTTTTTTTAATTTAGCTTCTTTACACTTATTTTCTACATCAGCTGATGACAATTTCAAATTCGTTGGCCTTGGTGTTTGTGCATTAACCTTCGAAATTGACGTATTTATTGCACTAATTAAATTTTCAAATTCATTTTTTCTTTTAACTTCTGCTTCCATTTTATCATTAAAATTTTTGCTATTATCTTGTTTGTTTAATTTTTGAAACTTCTTGTTTAAATCATTTTCTATTTTTTTCCTTTCATCATCTTTTAATTTTAGTTCCTTTTTCATATCTTTTTTGGGTTCTTCCTTTTCTTCCTCCTTTTGACTCTCTTCCTTCTTCTTTGGTTCATCTTTCTTCTTTGGTTCTTCTTTCTTTTTTAGTTCATCTTTCTTCTTTGGTTCATCTTTCTTCTTTGGTTCATCTTTCTTCTTTGGTTCATCTTTCTTCTTTGGTTCATCTTTCCTTTTTTGTTCACCTTTTTTTTTCGTCTCTTCCTTATTCTTTGGCTCATCTTTCTTCTTAGAATTTTTTTCCTTTCCTTGTTGTGTTGGACTTTCAATCACTTTCTCCTCCTCCTCTTCCGAATCTTCATTTGTCTTAACAGCTGATGAATTCATTTTTTTGCCATTTTTATTAGCTTTCTTTTTCTTCTGCGCAGCATTGTTTTGTTCAAGATTTTTATTGTTAACATCAGTGACATTGCTTTCCTTTAAATTAATGCTTTTATTATTCTCTACATTATTTTCTTTCTTTTTGTTTACATTTCCATTAAGTTGTACATTTGTCGTTTCTTCATTACCTTTTTTCGCTCCAGCTTTCTTATTGTTCTTCTCACTCTTCTCACTCTTCTCACTCTTGTCATTCTTCTCAATCTTTTCAATCTTTTCGTTCTTTTCAGTCTTTTCGTTCTTCTTGTTCTTGGTACCCTTTTCAACTTGTTTCGACGCTGTTGATTTTTTATCCGTGGGAGAATTTTCTTTTACATTATTTTCATTCGTTCGCTTTTCTTCCATAACTGCTGCAGCGGCAGCTTTGGCCTTCTTACCCATTCTCGTGATGAAATTCATCCTATATATTTGGGTTTAAAAATAGGGAAAAATATATACAAAAATAAAAGATGGACATCTATACATCTGGACACATAAAAAGAGGGCACTTAACGAACGTAGTCCCAGCTTCCTACAAGCGTTTTGGCTAGTACAATGGGCTCACTTTGTTAAGACGCGGGAAAAACTCAGATAAACACATACATATACGTGTACATATATTATTTATTTCATTTATTTTACTCGCCCTTTTGTTATTTCATTTATTTTACTCGCCTTTTTATTATTTTATTTATTTTACTCGCCGCTTTATTATTTTATTTCTTTTTCTTTTTTTTCTTTTTTTTTCGTTTTTCAAAATTACTTGACAAATTTTCTCTCCCTTTATTTGTGTTAATGAGGATTTGGATACTTTAGCTCCTTCCTACTTGAGTATTTTTCAATGTTGCAATAAGAGAAAAATACAGTTTGGGCTTTTTTCCTTTAATATTTCTGTCAAATTGCCTCTACGTATATAAATGAACAAATATTCTAATGTAATACACACCTTTTCTTTGAATTTTTATAAATATATCTTTTTGTTTGCTTGCTAGACCTTTTCTGAAGTCGTTAGGTGTTACACGTATGCTCAACGTGTATATATATATATATATATAGGTATATATACATACATGCACATGTACTCTTTTAAATAGTTGAGCTGACGCTTAACGGTTCTTTCAAAAAATTAATTTAAATTTCGAATTTTTCAAAAGCGATGTGGCGAATATTGTGTGATATATTTTGGGCTTTTCTTTTTTCTCTTTTCTATTTTCTCTTTTTTTATTTTTGCTTTTTTTTTTTTTTTTTTCTTTTCTTATTTTTCTTTCCTTATTTTTGATTTTTTTTTTTTTTTTTCGCTTTATATTTCACAAAGGATTGGTATAATAATAAACATACACACAACACATAGAGAAAATAACTCTTTTCAAATTTTATTTTTTCTCTTTTCTATTTTCTCTTTTTTTATTTTTGCTTTTTTTTTTTTTTTTTTTTTTTTTTTTTTTTTTTCCTTTTTTTTTTTTTTTTTTTTTTTTTTTTTTTTTTTTTTTTTTTTTCTTTTCTTATTTTTCTTTCCTTATTTTTGATTTTTTTTTTTTTTATTCGCTTTATATTTCACAAAGGATTGGTATAATAATAAACATACACACAACACATAGAGAAAATAACTCTTTTCAAAAGAAAATGAAAAACAGCAATGAACATGAATTAGCTATAACAGCTAATGAAGATGTGGGGTGGAGTAGAGTGGTTTTCTCAATTTACATATTCATTTTTGTTGCTCCTTTTCTATATACAAATTTTTCCATAATAATAAAATGTATATTATGAAAATATATATACATACAACGTGATTATCTAACATATAACTATTCGTTTAATGGTTTAACATTTTTGATACAAAGATGAATACTGTGAAAATGCGTTCATATATTATATATACATATATATTTATATATATATATATATATATATATTGCATATGTTCAAATGTTTATAATGTTTACAAATATATATATATATTTATTAAAAAAAATAAATAAATAAAATAAATTTAAGAAAAAAAAATTACGTAAATAAAAATAACAAAAAGAAACGAGCAAAAACAGTTAATAATTGGCAATATTGTATTTAACAAATAGAGTAATTTTCTTTTTGCTACTACTCCCCATTTATTTTATATTTCCAACGCTTTCTTCCCCACTTTTATGGTTTTTCTCATTTGTTCTTTTTACATTTATATATATGTATGCAAATATATATACGCACATAAATTAAGTACATGTATTTCCATACGTGTCATATATGTGCATAAGTAGTTGAAGTGTATAAATATATTTACATATTCATATTTACATATTCATAGTTATATATTCATATTTATATATACATATTTATATATACATAATGCATATGTAAGTACACAAAGTGCATGCGCTCTGTTTCCAGTTGGATGATTTGTTTTACATTCATTTCATGTTCTACTCCAATTTATGCAAACATTGCATTACGTGGCGTATAATGCATACTGTTATATTTTCATTTATATACTACGCCCTTGGGATAACTTTTTGACATCGCCTCTATATATATGTATTTATAATATGTTACATATGCATTAACCTAAGTATGTATATATATTTATTGTATGATTGATACACGCAACAAAAGTTTCACAAAAGTGACAATAAAAATAAAAAATTTTCTTAATTAAAATATTTTCTTTTAAAAAAATCTTTGTTCATTTAAAAACAAGTAAATAGCAAAAACTATATATGTATGTATATCCTTAAGCATTGTATCAAATTGTTTTTTCATATTTTTTTTTCTTTTTTTTTCCTTTTTCATAAATAACAATATGTATACAATTTTACATATATATATTTTTATATATATATATGTATGTAGCATATTTGGTGAAAGAAAGCTTGTGAACAAATGATATGATTATGTACTTATCTCTTTGTACATACGTATTTTTTTTAGAAGTATAACTGAAAAAAAATAAAATAATGTAATAATAAATGATGTAATAATAAACAATGTAATAATAAATAATGTAATAATAAATGATGTAATAATAAATAATGTAATAATAAACACAATGTAATAATAAATAATGTAATAATAAACAATGTAATAATAAAATTATTTAATTATTAAATTTTGTGTATGAATTGATATCATATGTATAAATGTAAAAAATATAAAAGGTAACAATATCTTTATTACATTTACATGCTATACGATAGTGTTAAATAAAATAAAATAAATGCGTCGTATTCGTATGCATATATTTCGAGTGGGGGACACGTGAATATAAAAAAATTTAAAAACAAGAAGGGTGTAAGCATTCTGAGATTCATCTTTATGTTGCCCAATAAAATATAATATGTATGGATGGTAAAATATGTGTTTTGTTTTATTTATATGTTTTTTGTATATATCTTGAAGCACTTTTTATTCTTTTTTCCTAGTTCAATCTTTGCATATAATAATGCAAGTACATATGGTACTTACTGCCGGCACATACATACGATAAATACATATGATATATGCATATGACCATTCATATATGTACTCATACATATATATATATATATATATATATATATATGTACTCATGGTTTCACTTTTTTGAACTCATTTTCTTCATAATATAAGTATACAAAATAATTACAACTCACCTTTTTTTTTTTATATCTGTTGTTGTGTATCATATCTAATATAATGCACACATATGATTATATGGGGACGTATTTGCACAATATGCGTTTTAAATAAATCCAGATTTGTTTATATACCATACAAGTATGTAAGCTTTATTATGTGTGTTTATAAATTCACATACTTGGGTAGTCCTTTTATGTGTACACAATTACATGTTTGCAAATTTGCATGAGCACTTTGTTTTTTCAAGCTTTTATTGTAAGAGGTTCCATGATTTTTTACATTATGCATATATATGTATTTATTATGCATATTTATGTATTTATTATGCATATAAATGTATTTATTATGCATATATATGTATTTATTATGTGTTTATATATATAGCTGAATATGCCTCCCTTCTGCTATTGTAATAATGCAAAAGTTGAAAAAACAAAGGAAGAAAAAAAAGTCTCCTCATGAGATTAAAATATATGGATAATATTTTTGCATACATGTTTTTCCTTAAGTGGTTCTTGTGGAAATAAATATATATATATATAATTATGTGTCGTTATTACATATTCGGATTTATTGTATGCACCCATTGCCAATTCGCATCGTTCGCACGCAAATGTAATATTGCATACATGTATTATGTATAAATGTTTATATATTCATACACAACACATGTACTAAATATATGAAACAATTGAATAATGAGCACTTTTACCACATGGATTCATTATTCTCTAATTCGATTATGCAACCAGCACAAAATTATCAATTGAGGTTTAGTGGCTTATATCGTATAATTAAAAAAGTATCGATTGTTCTGTCTTCCTATTTAATTTTATTCCTTTCTTCACATAAACTTAATTTTTAATTTTTTTTTCTTCTTTTTTTTTTTTTTTTTTTTCTCATCCCTTGTTACTAAAAGATTTACGTGCGCCGGTTGTTGCATATTTATTTACACAACACTCTCCAAACTGTATTGTAAAATATGAAAAAAAAAAAAAAAATGTCGTACATTTTTATTATGAAAATTTGTAACAGATGTTGGGAGAAGAACAACCATGTTTTATATATAATGATGTTACATTTATTTTATTTTATTCTTTTTTTTTTTTTTTTTTTTTTTTTTTACCTTTGCGGATTAAAGGAAAAAAAAGGATAAAAGAAATTATAGTAAGAAAAATAAATATTTATCTTTCTCCCCCGTGTCACATACACATTGTTATTGGTTATTTCTACATTTTACTTCAAAATATGAAAATTAATAAAAATAAAATAGAACAAAATAACGCTGTGTGTTCGTTACAATTTACGATAATATTGTTGGACAGCCTTAATGATCGTGTAATTCAGTAGAGAATAAAAGTGGTGTTAATGGAGTTAACAAAATGGAAAAAAAAAAAAAAAAAAAAAAGAGAACTAGTGAGAAATATGTCAACACTTTTGGCACAAGCGAACTACACACACACAAGGTGCTAAATAAATATATTTTCCTCCTTTTCATTTATTTCTTCAAATTTTAACAATGTCAAAAGGTAAGAACCGCGTTGAGTGGAGACACAACTGAATTATTTTAGAATTACAATTTTACAAACCTTGTCTTTTGGGACATCAACACGTGTATATATATATATATATATATATATATATATATATATATATATATATATATACATACATATATGTACTTTTTTATGTTGTAGTGCAAAATGCATAATCATTCAAGTAGATAGATATACACTTCCTTCACTCATGAACACTGCAAACAATTTTTTCATTTTATATACACACGGAACATGCGGCTGCTTATGCTATCGTATCCATATGTATTTCCAAAAAAAAAAAACATTTGGAGAATGTTAAAATAAATAAGGCCTCCAGCATAATTAAAAATAATGCTAGAAGGTTTTTTGCAAGTTAACCACTATGCTTGTATAAATTAAAAAAAAAAATTCATTTTTTTCTCTCAACCTTTTTAAATGTATTGAACTTGAACTTACCATTTTTGCTATTTTATGCACGTTTTCATAATCAACGCTTTACACAAAAAATATAAAATTATCACGTTACTCGTCATAACATGGTAGTTGAAAATGTTTTAAGTTCTAAATGAAAATTTTCATTTTAAGGTCTGCTTTACTCACATATGGCAATGCAGACTTTTACACAAAAGGTCTAAAGTTTGCACAGTAAGGATATTGACAGGAGAACAATCTTAAATATACCAGAAATTGTGATATATGTGTTTACATGCATAACATATGTTATATGCATGCGGCAAAACCCGTTTAATATTTATTCGTTCTTTTGAATTGTTTTGAAAAAGGGTTAATTTTCATATATCCCCGTTAAATTTGAAAGAAACTTTTTAATCTTATCGAGCAAGGTGAATCATTTAAAAAGCGTGTTCCACAATTTACCCCTGTCGTAGTGAGTTTACAATAGCTATGTGAAATTTTGTGTAAACAGTTGAATTATCCGAAATGATGCACAAGATATATATATATATATGCATATTTATACATATATCTGCATGCATATATTTATTTATTCACACTTTATTAAATGAATAATGGTCATTTCTGAAAATTAAAAAAGGTTCGACATTTTTGAAAAGCTGGGGTTAATTGCTTATAAAAAAAGAAATGACATTTCTTCGAAAAAAATTGACTTTTTTTTTTTTTTTTTTTTTTTGTTTCTTTTAATCTATGAGAATTATTAACGAAAAGTACACTGTAGCAATTAAAAATTATTGTTCAGCAAACATAACATTTGTGTTTCACATACAAAAAGTTGTGAAAAGACAATATTTAATAAAAAAAAAAAAAAAAAAAAATAATAAATATATAAAAAGGAAAAGGGATAAGAACTTAAAAAAATAAAAAAAACGAGTGAATGAGATTAAAAGGGGGATGGGGTGGGTGGGGAGAAATCAGTACATTTTATTGATAAGTCATTTCATGCAGAAAATATTACTTGTTCACATGATGTATTTATATATAAATATATATTTTCGAGAAACTAAAAATCGGAATAGGTACATATACATATGCATGCGCATACGCAAAAATATATGTATATGCTTGTATAAAACCATGCTTTTCCTAGTAACAACTTTCACACGTCCATACTTTCACAGTTGTCTAAATATATGTATATATATGTATACATATGTACATGTATATATATATATATATATATATATATATATATATATATATTTTAATATGTGTCTCTTCCGATTTAGGAACTGCGAATATAAAAATGCAGAAGCATGGAGACATTTAGAGGACAATTACAAATGCCATTTTCTACATTGGTCGTTTTTTTTTTTTTTTTTTTTTTTACATCATGAGATTATTATTGGTAGTTAATAATTTTGAGCTATCGCTGAGTGTCTACATCCGAGTGGATGTTATTTCTCTTGTGCTAATCCGATGCATAGTCATTCATGTTTTCAAACAAATAATTAGCTGCCATTTCTTCGTCCTTGTCACATGCAATAAAAGCTTCTAACACTAGATGTTTGGGAAAGCCAAGAGATTCTAATTTTTTAATGCTCTCCATTTCATTTTCATTTAATGAAGTAATGGGGATATTAAAATTATCATTATTTGGATCGGTAATATATTGATTACCTTGATCATCGAATGCATCACTTGTTACTATATCATTTTCTAAATTATATGTGTTATCATTACTATAATTTTGAATTGCTCTTATAAATTCCTCCTGATTCTCTCTTATGAACTCTAAAAATGAAGGGTCTGTTCTTCCAATCATTTCTAATATTTCTGGAAGACGTTGTGGATTTGATAAAGCTACATCTTGTATAATATTAAAAAATGGAGAACTTCTGAATAATTCAGGATTATCTCCTAAAGACTGTCTAGAATTATCTGTTCGTGAATTATAGTTATTTAAAAGATTTGATAAGTTAGATGCATTTTCGTTATTTATTCCTCTTTGGTGCAAATTATCATTTACCTCATTTGATTCATTCGTTCCGTTCGTTCCGTTCGTTCCATTTATTTCGCTTATTTCGCTGATTTCCTTCATTTCTCCGATTTCCTTCATTTCTCCAACTTCCTTTATTTCATTTCCATCTGGAAATCCATTAGTTAAATAATCAATGGCCCTGTTTGGATTGTTATATGCTAGCATCATAGCTTTTCTTACAATTTCCCTTTCAAATCCCATAACACAAATATTGTCTATGGTTTCTTTTAACTTGTCTCCTGTGACTAAGGTTGATTCAGCATTATTTATATTTTTAAACTCATTACTTTCATTTAGTGTATTTTCATTTTTATTTGAAGCAAAATTTTCCTTCTCATTATTGGCATGTAAGGATGTGTTTTCTTTATTTTTTAAAACATTTGCTGATGAGCATTCATTTGTCTGATTACCCTTATTCGAATTAAATATTTTTTTACCTCCCATAACTATGACAATATCATTTTCTTTTAATATATCTACTACTTTATTTTCATCTTTTAATATATTTCCACTAAAAATAAGTTTCTGCTTATCACATATCATTTCGGGTAATACCACTTCTATTTTTTTCTTCAAATCCAAAATGCTGTCGTCACTATCAACACTAATTTCTTCTTCGTTGTTTTGCAGAGTTCTTACTTTTATTTTCATTTTTTTATTTTGTTGATTTGTTTTATTTTTTCGGTTTATTTTATGGGTTTATTTTTTCGATTTATTTTATTTTGTCAATTTATTTTATTTTATTTGTTTTGTGTTATTTGTTCGTTTTGTGCTATTTATTTGCTCTCTTTTTTTTGTTTTGTTTTATTTATTTTATCTTATTCAGTTCGACCGGTTTCCCACTTTAGCTGATGGTGAGATTTCACTAAGGATTCATCCTTTGACAAAATCACAGACGAATGTACATAAAATTAACTGTAACTGAGCTCAGATGTATATATGTGTACGTGTATTAATTGTTGAGAAAACAAACATTCATCCTTATGTGAACAAGTTTTCAGTATTTTTTTTTTTTTTTTTTTCTTCTTTTTTTTAACACATAAATGTGTCGATAAGTTTGTAATACATTCAAACTATTTAAAATACAAGATTAAAAGAATATGAAAAAAAAAGTGCAAAATGTGAAAATATAAACAAAGGTGTAAAAATTGCAATTGTACGTGCCTATGTCCCGCACATGTTTATCTATTTTTCTTTTTTTTTTCTTTTTTTTTTTTTTATGTTTATGCCTGAGAGTTAATCGCACCTTTTCTCAATAATGAGGGAGACTATATAATTGTTCGCGAAATTGTTGAAAACATTTCTTTTTATTCAAATAAGAGCAGACTTGTTAAACTGAGTGGATGCAAAGTTGTATATATGAGTCGGTTTATGTACACTGTATAAATGTGTATATTGTACTTTTGCATATATGCATATGTATACATATATGCATATATATACATATATATATATATATATATATGTTTTTTCTTTTTTTACACTTGATGTTTTGCTAATTTTTTCTTTACTCATTTCATCCCTGAAAAAGTAAAGAAAAAGGGTATATTGCATAAACCGCCTCTTCACACTGAAACACTGCTTAATTTGTTATGCTTGTTGTTGGTTATTTTTTTTTTTTTTTTTTTTTTTTTCTCTCTCTTTTTGTAATTATTAAATTTGTGAAGGAACCAAAATAAATAAAGGTGAAGAGTTTTCAACGCTGCAAAGCTTTTATTTTGTTATGTTATTTTTCTCTAATATTTTACCAACTATGTTGCCTATTATGTTGTTGCACTAATATTTTGCTCTATTATGTAGCTGTACTATTTTGCTACATTATTTTGTTTTATTTCATTACTTTATTTTATATTTTTTATAGTGACCATATGTTTTAAAACACACTCAGAAAAAAAAAACAAAATATGAGTGTTAAAAATAAATAAAAGGTATAAGGAATGGAGATATATTTGTATATATATCATTTATTGAAGCGTTTACTAGAAGAATATATGTTACTGCGTTCTATATGCGGGTGGGGGAGGAGAGGGGGCAGAACATGGGGATTTGAATTTATATAATTCTAATCATATTTACTTTCCTTTCTTTCTTTCTTTCTTTCTTTCTTTTTTTCTTTTTTTTTTTTTTTTTTTTTTGACGAATGTGAAATGAGAAACACAAACTTTAATATCACCTGGGCATAAATGAAATGACAAACACATTTCTGAATAACACATTCTATTCTAGTTGTGTTTGTGTATATTGTTTTGCATTCACACTGCTATAAAAAAAAAAAAAAAAAAAAAATGACGTCCTTTTTAGAAAAAAAAAGGGGGAAAGAAAAAAAAAAAAGTGTTCTCTACTTTTTTTTTTTTTACTATTTGAACAAAAGAAGAGGAAAATCTTTACATTAAAAATATATCACTTTACATTAGCATTTTCTTATTTTCCTCTTCTCACCTTTTTGTTATAACACTGCTTATGATTTTCGAAGGCATAATTGGTTATTTTACACAAGTACATTAGCCCACATGGTATATGTATGAAAGCGCATGTAAATACATGTGTAATATATGAATTATGCTTATATGGCATATATTTCCTTTCAGCTTCCTTTAATTTTGTTATGACTATGGAAAAAACTTCATGATTTCTCCATATCATGCCCATTGGGAAAAAAACCCTCTCTTTTTTTTTTTCTTTTTTTTTTTTTTTTTCTTAAAACAATACAAACATTTTTTATTTTCACCTTTTAAATAATAATTCGAGATTAACAGACTATTTTAATTAAAAAGAGAAAAAGTTCCCCTTTTCATATTATCCTATTGTTGAAAATATATTTAATGAATACTGAGATTTTTTTTTTTTTTCCATCTTTTAATAGAGGATTATTTAAAAAAATTAGAATAAAATAAATAATAACAGTACATCATGTATTTATAGTATGCAATTTTCAAATGTCTGATGCAGCACTTTGCATTTAATCATTTGATTAGTTTGATTCTTTGTTATACATTACAAAGCTAACACGAAAGGTGGAATAGTGCAAAAAGAAAAAAAAAAAAAAAAAAAAAAAAAAAAAGTTTAAATTTATTGAGTCCGCTTTCTTTCAGGCATTCTTTTAATTCCATTTATTTGCAACCATCTTCATGAATCTATTTTTTACATTTGAATTCGGTTCATCATTTCATGTTTAACTGTCATTTCGAAGACTCGCTCTACAAACGAGTAAGCGGATTTGTTTTTTCTGCCATTTACTTATACATGTAGACACATTCCTGAAACGAATGCCATAGAGGCACATACATGGAGAACCCATGTAAATATAAACACATGTTCAGGTACGTGCACAGATATTTGCATAATATGTATACACATATATATACATTTACACACACGCAAAAACACATACACACATGTGTGGATATAATACGCCATCTCGTATACACAAGTGAAAACTAATCCAATGAGATACAAGAAAAAAGGTTTCTATCAATGCGCATTTTTAAGAATATTCTCAAAGAAAGTGCAAATGTGAACACAGTCAACAACTGTTTTTTTAAAAGATCCCAGCTCAAAGTATACCACAACACTTCATACAAATATAAGAGTGAAAACACAATCACAAATGACAGAGAAATTAAGATAAAGAATATGAATTCATCTGTTCTTTGTATTTTCTCCAATATGTTACTAAAGGAAAATATTAAAAATGACTTTATTTGGAAAAAAATCGAACGGAGGTCTTACGAAATAATGGATAAATTTGAAGTTGGTGATATCGCTTCCTTCTTATTTTGTTTGAGCAAAATTCGATATGAAACAAATTTATATGAAAGTTTTATTCCAATTATAAAAAGAAAATGTGAATATTTTAATACGTCCAATTTAGCCATGCTAATATCAACATATTCAAAAAGAAAAAAGGAAGACCTAATCATATTGTTAAAAGAAGAATTAAAAAAAAAAGTTCATACTATTTATAATGTAGTAGAGATATGTATGATTTTAAATGCATTGGTCAAATGTAAAATTTATGATGAAAATTTATTTATCAAGCTTAGTAACATAATTGTTGAAAATATAATTCATAATCATGTCCACGTTAGGGATATATGTGTAATTACCTACTGTTATGCATGCATATCATATAAGAACATGAATTTTTTCAAAATTTTATCACAAAAAATTGCTCTTCTCATGGATGATGTAAATTTAGTGGATATATGCAGAATATTGTATTCATATATCAGAATAAATAAAAACTTTTATCACATATTAAAACTGTCTGTGTATAAATTAGGGAGCGTTATTGAAAAAAGTACTGTTAGTGATGTTATTAACTGTGTTCATTTTTTACCCATATTAAAAGAAGCTGTTGAAGCGCATAATGATGTTACAAGCAATAGAAATGATTTTATTCATGTAGACAAAGAGTTTAACTATAACATTGATTATATAAACTTGCTTAATTATGTAATAAACATTTTTAATGAAAAACTTATTAGTTATGTAAATTTGTTGAGCGCGAATCAAATAAGCAACCTTTTTTACATATATTCAAGATATAATTTATTTATAAGTTTTTCCAAAATGAACATTTTTATTTCTCAAATATGGAATGTGAAATTGACAATTGAATTAAAAATTTATGTTTTGTATTCATTAGTAATACTTTTAAAAAATTATGAAAGCAACAACAATGGTCTATATAATTTTGATATGTTGGACATAAATAAAATTTTTATTCAAGAAAGCCGTGAAAATTTCGTGGACCAAAAATATAAAAAAAATAGTACCAAATTCTCAAATAAGTATGATTATAACGAAATGAAGAACAGCCTCCTATATTGTTTAAAACAATGGGAAGATGACATTAATTTGTTTATAAACAACTATGACTCCTGTTCCATTCAAGACATAATAAAAATTTTAAATATTTTTTTAATTTTAAGTCATACACGTAATTCAATCATCTTTAATATCAGAAATTATATAATAATCAATTATAAAAATATAAATGAACATAATGCGTACACGTTGATGTTCTATTTTCAAAAGTTAAATGTCATAAATGATGATGAGGACTTTACACAAATTCTGAGGAGTAAAATTAAGTCGTTGAAATGATTCACTCGAGGACGAATAAATTAAGACATGCATGAAAATTGCAAGTAGACAACAAAAAAAAAAAAAAAAAAAAGAAGGAAAAAAAAAAAAAAAAAAAAGAAGGAAAAAAAAAAAAAAAAAAAGAAGGAAAAAAAAAGAAAAAAAAGAAGGAAAAAAAGGAAAAAAAAAAAAGCTACCTCATTTTACACTTTTTATACAAATATAGCTGATGTTAACACAATTAAGCATAAGTATAAACATAAGCTTATGTTTTTTTTTTTTTTTGCCTGAACAAGTCATGCATTTTGAGCAAATAAAATTGTTGTAAAATGAATAAATGACAAATTCCGTTTGCAATATTTTATTTTTTGTGTTGTATTTTGTAAAAAATTATATAAAAAAAAAAAGAAAAAAAAAAAAGGGAAAGAAGAAAGGAAAAAAAAAAAAACTACCTCATTTTACACTTTTTATACAAATATACCTCGTGTTAACACAATTAAGCATAAGTATAAACATAAGCTTATGTTTTTTTTTTTTTTTGCCTGAACAAGTCATATATTTTGAGCAAATAAAATGTCTGTAAAACGAATAAATGACAAATTCCGTTTGCAATATTTTATTTTGTGTTTCATTTTGTAATAAAATTCTGTAAAATAAAATAAATAAATAATTAATTAATTAAATAAATAACCTATATACGCACAAAACCTCGCGCAAACGTCTTGCTCAAAAACATAATTTACTTTTTTAACGCAAAATTGATTGAAAATGTCGTGCATAGGAAAAATGGACAGATGTTGCTGTTTCCCACTAGCAGGGGGATGCATTGCAGCCATTATGATTCACACGGGATTTTGTGTATCAGCAATATTTTCCCACACTGCTGAATATCGAATGTTGTCAATAATTTGTAATGCTTTGTTAGCTTGTTTGTTAATTTTTGGGTTGGTAATCAAGAATTTTATTATATTTTACGTTGTTGCTGTTTTTGTATCCTTTCTTGTGGGAACCTATATTGTAGCATTTGTGTTTATCTTCATTTCCTTTTTTGTGAGAGATGGGATCCCTTTAGAAGGTAAAATTTTTACTGCAGTTATTATTTTTCTTATGATATTTATATCAGCTTTTTTCCTTAATATTTATATTTCAATGAGTAAAGTTTTGAAAGCTGGAGGAACAGGATGGGAATTCAAGAATTATTTGGAGTTAGAATCTGAGAAACCCAAGGAAAAGAAGGAAGTGAAAAAGGAAGAACCTCGTCCCAATATTGATTACAAAGCATAATTATTATCACACAAGATAAAAGAGAGAATAGTATGCTGATGAAGACACAAGTAAAGAGAACAAGTATATACGATCTGCTAACAAGACATTATATCATGCCCTCTACAAAAAATAATACTTAGTGTAACAGAATAATATATATGTGTACTTTATGACCCAGTATTCAATGGATATTTATGGAAAAGACAGGCTAAAGAAATGAAAAAAGCAAAAAACGCACATGCAGAAACGGTATAAGAAAACTTGGCTAAGGGAATATATAAACAAAAATATATCAAGATAATAGGTAAATTTTGTCAAATCTTATAAATCACTATTTTTCCATCTAATCATCATATAAATAAACGTTGCATGGTAATTGCTACATATTTTTTTTTCCTTTTGCCCACTATGTAACCTGTTTCATTATTTGTGCTTTTTGCGCTTTTATTTATTTTTTCCATATGATCGATCCTCATTTTACTTCCTTTTATTTTTATTTTTATATGAGGTATAATAGGATCCATTAGTCATACTGTTTTTAGTTTTACAAAAATTAGAAATTAAAATCCTCTTCATAGTTCTATCAGCACATTTTATTAATATTAACTGAAAAATTATAATTAAATTTACATTAAACAATTTACGTTAAACAATTTACGTTAAACAATTTACGTTGAACCATTTATGTTGAACCATTTATGTTGAAACATTTATGTTAATCCATTTATGTTAAACCATTTATGTTAAACCATTTATGTTAAACCATTTATGTTAAACCCATTTATGTTAAACCCATTTATGTTAAACCCATTTATGTTAAACCCATTTATGTTAAAGAAATAAACATATAGTGATAAACATGCTTTTTTTTTTGAATTCTGGAAAACAGCAAAAATAGAGGAAAAACGTTGATCAAGTATGTGTAAGCAACTTTGTTTTATTAATGTTACCATAGGACATCATCAAGGGTGGATGGGGATAATATATTTTATTTTTTTTTTAAAATAATTTGGGTAGCTTTTTTGCTTTAGGAGATTTTTTTAATTACTATAATTAATATATTTAAAAAAAAGGGTGAGGAAACATATACTATGAAGAAAAAAAACTAATCAATTATCTTAAAAGTAAATGAGTGTTCTTCTCTGCGAAAATTTACTAACCAGACAATGTCGATTTGTTTTAAATTCATAAGGACGGTTAAATATTTTCCTTATTTAACAATACCCATAAGCATTGGTGAAAGGAAGTATTTGTCAATTCAATAAGCTCACTTATAACAACGTTTTTCCGTGTTACTTTTAGGTTTTTCCCCATTTTTATGAATGATTACATATATATGTGTACATCAGAATCTTTGAACAATGTATTATTTTTCTTTTTGTTAACTATTCGATTTAAAGCTGAAATGTGATAGGGCATATTTCACCATAGATATGTATAGAACATGAGATTGTGGATTTCCAAATGTGAGACACACCTTGAAAAAGTGCTATTTATAAATCTATAATTCTTTTTTAAATTCTTTAGCAATGTAGTGAATGGCATATTTATTCATCATACTTGCAGCAGTTTAATAATGTTAGCATAGAATTTAAGCTTAAAATGTGACTTCTCTTTATGTCATTTTAAAAAAGATAAACATTTTATTTTATTGCAAGGTTTCATTTTTACTATTACACTTCCATATTGCAAATGTTTAACATGGAATGAAAATAATAATGTGAAGATCCTTTCGCAAATTCTATATGAAATATAAAAAAAAAAAAAAAAAATTTCACATATTCCACAAGTATATTGCATTACATCACATATAATTTAATTAACAAACTTTATTTATAAATAAATTTATTCGTATTTTTTCTCTTAGTCATTTTTTTCACACTTGACATTTGATCATGTGTTGTTTTCACTCAATGCTATACCAGTGTTACGTGATACATATATTAATTGAAAAGTAACAGAAAAAAAAAAAAAAAAAAAAAAAAAAAAAATTAAAAATAAAAGGGAATAAGTGGCAATCCCCAAGTATTAATCGATTAGCAGTAACATTTGATTTTACTAAAATAATAGAACGGGGGAAGTACTTACAAGTGTGCATATATAGGCACATATATAATGCACATATTTAATAGCATGTATGTGTTACATAAGCACACATAACTTTCTCCAATCAGATGACACAAAAAAAAAAAAAAAAAAAAAAAAAAAAACTTTCATGTACATGACATTGCACAATGCACTATCATCACAAGCTTTTCCTTTTCTTCATTAACAATTTTGATATATATCTTATCAAGGCTTAGGTTGAATTGATGAAAAATCACAAGTATTTTATCATAACAAATGTCACAAATAAAACCCTGTGAGGAATGCATCCTATATCGTACCTATTCGAAACAGAAAGGGAAGAAATATTAGTTTATTGTTACATATTCGCGTTAACCTTAAAAAAAAAAAAAAAAAGGAGAAAATATAGCATACCATTCGATATCTCGTTCTCACGTTTCTAAAACAAATTAAGAACAAAAGGGTCATACGGTATTAACACAACTTCGAAATAGCGGCAGTATAAAAGTGTAATTTTTTATTATATTATATACACATATACATATATATATATATATATATATATATATATTACACTTTTTATTATACTTATACAACCTTCAACCGATTCCACAAAAAATATAAAAAAGGGGAAAATGATAGAAAGTGAAGTAAGTTTAATGAACGAAATTGACAATTTAATAAATGACATAGAAGAAGAAAAAGTAAACAATGAAGAATTAGAATTCTGCGTAGCACCAGTAAGTGTGCCAAGGAATTTTATAAAAGATGCAAAGACAAAGGGCAACAAACTTTTTGATTTTCATAAAGGTACAACCACATTAGCTTTTAAATTTAAGGATGGAATAATAGTTGCAGTAGACTCAAGAGCTTCAATGGGCTCCTTTATATCTTCACAAAACGTTGAAAAAATCATCGAAATAAATAAAAATATATTAGGGACAATGGCAGGAGGAGCAGCTGATTGTTTATATTGGGAAAAGTATCTTGGAAAAATTATTAAAGTACACGAATTGAGAAATAATGAGAAAATATCTGTCCGAGCAGCAAGTACTATATTGAGTAACATACTATATCAATATAAAGGCTACGGATTATGTTGTGGAATAATTCTAAGTGGTTATGACCATACAGGTTTTAACATGTTCTATATTGATGATGAAGGGAAAAAAGTGGAAGGAAATTTATTTAGTTGTGGAAGTGGTAGCACATATGCATATTCCGTTTTAGACTCAGCTTATGATTATAATTTGAATCTAGAACAAGCTGTGGAGCTAGCCAGAAATGCAATTTACCACGCCACTTTCAGGGATGGGGGTTCCGGTGGCAAGGTCAGGGTCTTCTACATACACAAAAATGGATACGACAAAATTATTGAAGGCCAAGATGTTTTCGAATTACATTACCATTACACAAATCCAGCACAGAACGAACAACATGTGATGTAGTTTGGGAATGCTCCCATCTTTCTGTGCACAAATAAATAGAAACTATCGGATGAATATACGCATATATATATACATATATTTTATATTTATGGGGGAGGGGTGTATTCATTGAGGATACTTCCCATTTCAACGAAGAGTTACGTCATATTCCATACCCATTTGTTTGATTTTTTTTTTTTTTTTTACCCATTTTTACACCTATGTTCTCTCTCCCTGCACGTTCAGGCTAAAATGAACAATATATTTTAAAAAAAAAAAAAAAAATTTTTAATAGTAGGAGCTTCTCCATTTTTTGTGCATATATATATATATATATATATTTAAGAACTCATTCAAAATAATTTAAAACTAAAAAAAAAAAAAATTATTACTTAAATTTTTACAAAAAAATGAAACTGCGTTTTGCTGGGGAGGAAATTAAAAATGTAAAACAGTGTCACTTGAGGATGTAGCACGCAGAACATTGAGGTATTTATTTAAAAAAAACAAAGTAGAAATGGCACAATAAAAAGAGAAGAATAGAAAGAGAAAAGTAGAAAGTGTAAAATAGAAATTGCAAAGTAGAAAGAGCAAACCAAAGGGGAAAGACAAATGAAAGGAACAAACATAAACGTGGACACAGTTGTATAAAATCGTATAAAAAGGTGTTATGATCAAATGGACGATATGACCCCTTCAGATAGCTATACACATTTCAACGATAAAACCTTATGTAGGATTGATATATATATATATATATTTTTTTTTTTTTTTTTTTTTTTGTATAATAAGCCGCATTTACGGCTATTTGGATAGCACGTTAGGAAAACTTATGCATATTTGTTACCGTCCTAATTGAACATATCTGATATATTTATCTGCTTCCCTATGGTTATATCTAAATATATTCCTTTATTTTAATCATCAGAATATTTTTCAAAATATAACTTGTAAACACAGAAAATATGGAATAACAAAGGTAATTGTTGTCATTAGATATAAATATGTGATATGCTATAATGTTACAAATAATTGTATACACATTTAGGTATATATTAATGTAATTATAATTAAATACATTGAGGATGAAATATATGAGTAAGGGATAATTGCTCAATACAAAAAGCATAAAAAGATAATTATACTTTACCATAGTTATATGGATTTTATATTTTCTTTGTTGATATATCTTCAGTATATAGGTAAAAACACATAAAAAGAGAAAATATAAAATATAATTAATAGTTACAGATATTAATTTTTTAAATGAAAAAGACGAATTACATATTTTTAAAATATATTTTTCATTGTCTAAATCTGAAAACAAAAGTTTTGAATACATGCTAATTTGTTTAATTTTAAACTTGTCTTGCTTTTTATTTTGCTTTTTTGTAATATCCTCCACATTCTTGTAAAATGTAAAATTTATCTTTTTGAACAAATTTTTACATATCCCATCAAGCTCATCAATTGGGTAAAAACAATTTCTATAATCACAGGTATAACATTTGTTTGAAAAGATAAATTCTTTACTTGTGTCTGGGCAATAATCAATGGAATTTTTTTTCTTTATAAATACGTGTGAATTACTTTTAAAATAATTTTTTTTTTTTTTCTCCATTTTATAAAAAAATATATTACGTAAAAACTTCATAACATATTGAAAATTATGTGTTTCTTTTTCTCTCGCCTCTAGAACTATTTTATAATCATCAATGTTGTAATACACAAGAACATTTATAATTTGAAATAGATTATTATATTCTTCAGAATTTTTAAGGGTAATAATATCATTTTTTAACAATTGATTATTCTTTTTTAATTTAAAAATCGATTCATATTTCACTATCTTCCTTACAAACTCGACTACTCTATTTTTTCCACTCCCAATCGTTTGTAAATTTTCCCAAATGTTTTCCTTTTCATTTAAATTATTCCATTTGTCAGTCTGTATATTTTCCAATTTGTTTTTCTGCTTTTTGTCCATTTCCCCCTTTTCCCCATAGATCTGTTTGTTCAGTTTCCACTTTTCCATCTCATTAGGACTATTCGCATATTTTGTGTTGTTGTGCAGAAATATATCAATTAATTGCTTGTCGTAATCCTCTGTATGATTATATTTTCTGTTCAAAATGCAAACATTGTGATCCCTGTATCTGTTATGAAATATGCACGTCAATAGTTTGTCTTTATGTATATTAACTAAATTGGGGATATGGGAATTGCTAAATATGTTATATAGTCCATATAATTTATGTTTATCATCATATTTATACATAAACAATGTGTAGGAAGAGCAGTTGTAACGCATTATCGAATTATTTTCTGTGCTTGTTTCAAAATTGCTATTCATTAAAAATATATCTGATAAGGTACTTTTTTCATTATATTCACTTTCAAAATTTGGGTGTAAATAAGCATTTATTATCAAAAATAATATTATCATCTTTAAGAAAAAAGCGTGAATAAATTTCTCATGATATTGAAGTCTATTAAATATTATATGTCTATAAATTTCAGGCTTTAAGAATAAAATGTTCATAAAAATTAAGAAAGTATTTTTCTCCATATATTCATCACATATTTTATTACATCGGTTACAATCGTTCAGCTTTATGTTCGTCTTGTTATACACAGTATACAAGCTGGAGTTACACCTTCCACATTTTATGCATATCATTTTCCCTACAATTTTATAAAAGTTCAATTTTATTAATTAGGATATTCCTCTCTCTAAGCATTTGGGCCCGAGCGCAAGCTTCCCTTGGAGGTACCTGTTCCTAAGTACGCTTATAAGCCTAAGCACGCGCACACATACAAACACGGGCATATGAAAATATGTATATACGAAAACATGCATATATGAAAACATGAATATATGAAAACATGCATATCTCACGTTTGTTATATATTTTGCCAAAACCTGAAAAATAGAAAAAAAAAAATTAAGGGGAAAATTACACATGCTAATGAAGTAATTAAAATCATCCAAATTGTGCACGGGTATTGGACACTTTCCTAGATTTATACTTTGCTCTGCACGTAGGAAGGAGAGAAAAAAGTGCAAGCATTTGTGGGTCCTTTTTTAGTCGCTAAAAATAATATATATACCAGTGTGTTGTCCTGTGTGTGTGCGTGTGTTTAATTTATACCTGATTATTTAATTATTTCATATTAGTGACTTTGTAATATTTTCGCAATTCTCGCTCATACATACCAAGTGAATTGCCATATTTTAAAATAAAAGTTGTAAATTCCACCCTATGCTATATGCCACACAAAATGAATTCGATCATATCAACCATTTTTCACCTTTTCCCAAAAGTTTGGAAGTTTTCTAGCTTCACGCAGAACTGAACTATCAACATGGTGTAGCACATTACAGTCTGTTTTTGTAGTATGTAACTAGTTTGTACATATATATATATATATATATATATGTTTTTTTTTTTTTTCTTCAATTAAACCAATTTACAAAAAAAAAAAAAAAAAAAAAAAAGAGAGAGAGAGAGAGAGAGAGAGAGAGAGAGAGAGAGTGTGGAATCCTTTTTATACAATAATTACATTTACACGTCAAAACGAACGCGATAAGGAAAAACATTTTTTTTTATAACATTTGGTATAAAAGTTTTATCATAAGATATATGGACATGTGTGTATATACAAAATGTACGTAAGCAAAACACGTATAAACAATGCATGTATGAGATATATAATATATATACATGCACATTGGAAGAAACTTAAAAAAAAAACAATACAGCCATAGCTAAGCAAAATGTTTTAAATAATTCAATAGGATGTTTAAAAAACGAGACATCCTTAAAAAGTAAAGCTCGACTAGGTATTTTTCTGCACAGGTCCATACATATATAAACATATGTACTTATATACATTTTATCTATTTTTTCGGTATAAGTAATTCATAAAAAACAACAAAAATAGGAAGAATAGGATAAGGTAAAACATGTATTTATTGCCCTACAGAAAAAAAAAAAAAAAAAAAAAAATATGATCATATAAACCTTTTTAGGTAATCTGGAATGAAGCATTTATTTCGAACTGTTTTCACACTATTTTTTAATATTTCTCGAATCATTTTCGAGTTTTTCTCTTTCTACCTTTGTCTTTATAATATTTTTCACGCGTCTATACACTCCTGTCAATTTTTTATTCACATTTTCCATCCTGTCCGACTAAAAGGAAATTACAACAAATGGAGAATTTCACAAATTATTCTCTTTTTTCATGAATAACAAGAAATATGAAGTAGAAAAAATTCAGCTATATTTATGCAGTATTGTATGAGCAAAATGTTGTCTGTTTTATTTTACAAGATTGTCTAGGAGAGAATTAGATGTCCTGACTTCATCTCTCAGGTTGGAACCAAGCTGTAAATTATTTCGATTAAATGGAAGGAGAAAAAGTATAATAAAATAAAATAAGAAAAAAAAAATACTTATTTAAGTGCCACACTGAGGGATAATTCAAGTGCTTTATATGTATGGCTAATTCATGTACAGTACATCCTTTGAGTATACGTTTTTTATACTTCTTTTATAAGCACATAATTGTACTATGTTAACATTTATGTTGGGTTTAATTAAAAGTTATTTGTCTTACCAGTTTGAGCGTCTGAACCTTTTTTTCTAAATCAAGTATGTAATTGTCATTTTCCTCAAGGTAAATATTTATATTCTCATTGTACAGATCATTTTTATTGTTACCCTTTTTTTTTTTTTTTCTCGAATTAAAATCCATATTAAATAAATGTTTTAAAGACGATCATTCTATCGTTTCATTGGCATAAAGTAGGGGCTATAAATGTATTACATACCCACTTTTATCTGCTTCTTCTTCCTCTTCTTCTTCTTCTTTTTTTAAAATGGCAAAAATTGAAGATAATGTAACAAAACAAAGTGCAGTTACTATTGGTCGTAGGAAGCTTTCTCAGGAGACTTTTTTTTTTTTTTTTTTTTACAATTTTATTAAGCCTTATCTGATGTAAAAATGAATGCTGTTATTTTCGTCCTTCCTTCCTTCTTTTTTTTTTTTTTTTTTTTTTTTTTTTCCCATCCATCTACCTCTTTTTCGGTTAATTTCTTCAATCTTTCTTGATTACGTTTAACTGTGTCTGATACCCAAAATTGCTAAGTCTTCAATTTAGAATTACAACATAAATCTTTGCCTATGGAATGCCCTTGACAAGTTTTCGAATGTGTGGAAAGCAATCTAACGAAAATCTTTTGCTGTATAAACGCATATGTTTAAAAAAAGAGATATACGCAAAGTCTGCGTGTAATGTAAAAAGTATGGGCAAATGTTGTACAGATAAATATGAACAGATAAATATGAACAGATAAATATGAACAGATAAATATGAACAGATAAATATGAATAGATAAATATGAACGGATAAATGTGAACAGAAAAATGAACAGATGAGTGATTACGTTAAATTACAAATTGACGCGAAAATAAAAAAAAAAAAAAAAAAAATACATACAAACCAAATATATACAAAATACATCAAAAATACATAAAAAATATATATATAAAGTACAAACAAAATACATACAAAATAACCACGACTAAACACGCAAACACGAGTGATAATGTAAAATTTTGAAAAATAAACAAATTTTATTTCATTAATGCAAATTTAATTTCGCCTCCCTCCCCCATTTACATAAATATGTAATGTCCGTTAATTTTCGACATAACAGAAAAAAAAAAATAAATAACAACAAAAAGATAACTTTTCTTATTAGTTTCAACTAATATATCCTTTCTCGTCATTTCTGTTTCTGTTTTAATTTTTTTTTTTTTTTTTTTTTTTTTTTTTTCTCTGCTTTGTTTTTTTTTTTTTTTTTTACAATTTCATTTTTCTGTAAATTCGTACAGCTAGCAACCACACCGTGATATACGAATTTTTTCTATAATTAAATTGTCAAAAAAAAAAAGGCCAAAGTTATATTTAACACACATCCTACAGAATAATGTATACACATGCACAGAAATATATTTGAATATATTCATACAAGTTATAAAACAGTGGCATGAAGTTTTCTTCTTTTTATTGAATATTCTGTTGCACAAACTTTTTTTTTTTTTTTTTTTTTTTTGCACATTCACCACATAATGTACATCTTAATTAAAAACAAGGAATAAATGAAGAATACCTTTGAAAACAAAAAATGGATGATTAGATAAATATTTCAAAACATGGTATAACACGTTCTACATTCAAAGTATTCGAAGAAAATGTGAGAACATGCATTTTTGAAGTCTTTCTTGCCCAATAACATTTGCTTATGCATGAAGTTGTTTGTAAAACTTATCACCAACAAGTAGTATTAATTTTCCTATATCTCACATGTAAGTGACAGTATATATATATATGAACGATTGTTCATCTGTTTGAGGATACACCATTTGACAGCTAACAGGAAATAGAAGATATTGTGTGAATGAGACACAAATTTCACTTGGAAAAATTAGAGAAAAATATCCAAAACAGAAATAAAAAAAAAAAAAAAAAAAAAAAAGATGATTGAACAATCGAGAGAGGTAAATGTAGACGCGGATGAAGATGAATCTGGTGAATATGGAAAAGATGTATCAGATAAATTAGAAGAATCGAATGAAGGGGAGAAAGTACGTACTAGTGCTACAAGAAAACGTAAAAATTACAAAGAGTTATATGGAGGATATAACGAATGGAAAAATAATAAAATTGACTTTTCTTATTATATAAATATGGAATCAACAATTATAGAACTGCTACTAGATAACAACCTAGAATCTTTTCAAAATGCAGGGAAGTTGTTGTTTGTTGTTTTGTCTGGATTATCAAAAAGATTGTTATATTTAAAAAGAATACTAAATTTAGTAAATTTATTTTTTTATAAAGGAGGGAAGAAATTTTATCATAGTTACATGCATTTGAAAATACTTTTATTTATTTTTAAAAATATTAGATTAAATTGTATGGATGCACGTTTGCACATTTTTAATCTTTTAATGTCTAATAATAATTTAAAACAGTTAGAAAAATATAAATATATCTACACACCTAAAGGTCCCTTTTTTACCTATGTTGATCATTTATATTATCATATCAAAGATTTTATTATTCTAATCAGGAATCTTTTAATCCAAATTTCAGTAGAGAAACAATATTTAGAAGTTAACCAATCGAACAAATCGAAAGAAGAACTCTTAAATGAATTAAAATCAAATAAAAAAATAGCAATGTATAAAGAAACTGATGAAGAAATGTTGATTCATTTTTTTAAATTATTTAATTATGAATATTCAAAATCATTAGAAAAGTCACTAAAACATTTAATAGAACAATGTACCAGGGTTAACTTACCCATACATAGTATATATTTAGATATTTATATTTTATACAATATAAAAAATATAGTAAAACTTTTAGTTGTTATAGATCAACTTATTTGTTCCCTTTATCCGTACTATTACTTTTATGAATTAAAATTGAAACTTTTGCTTTTTCATATTTATAACTGTCAACCAGACCTTATTCTCCAAGCTCCGGTACCACAAGACGTGGCCCCTGATCCGGTAGCACTTAGGAAGGAGCAGATGGGTTCAGAATTGCAGAAAAAGGACACAGACTTGCAAGAGGTCGCATTGAATACTTCATCTTGTGCAATAAATCAAAGTAATGCCATTTTTTTAATTAGAAATGTGAACGTATTTAAACCTGAAGAAGGCAGCACGCTCCTATATGATGAATCCTCTGTTGGTAATGCAAATTATCAGTTGAACAAAAATGATGAGAGAGAACTAAAAAGATTACTAAATCTGAGGAAAAAGGAGAAAGAAAAAACGAATGAATATCTTAATAGCCTATATAGTAGTGACTCGAATAAGAGTGATAATACGGATTTAAGTGAGCATGCAGTTCAGAAAAAGTATTTGGGTGATAAGCAACTGTCCGATGAAGAGGATGATAATGAAAAAGATTTATATTTGGATGAATTTATGAATTTATACATTAATTGCACAGAGGGAATGGTTCACAGTTTACCTTCTCTTAGTGAATTACATGATATCCATCCATTAAAAGAATTGAATGAAAAAATTAGAAGCAAAAGAATTCAAAGGAATATAAAAGATATTGACTTTCCCATACTGGAAGATGCAAAGATGAATGATATAAAGAGTGTAGACATCAGTGTAATGGAACATGAGAAGGATCTAATTGAAGGAAATGAATTAGAAAATAACTTGAGTACAAAAGCAAATGAAGAAATTGTAAACGATGATATAAATACAACAAAAAAGGAACAAAAAAAAGAAAAATTATCAAATCTTCCCAATATTGAAAATATTCATAAAAATACATATAACGATATTACATACAATAAAAATGTTGTTGTTAATGTTGCTAAAAGTTTAATGCATTCATCAAATTATGATCCAATATTTATAAAACTTTTTTACATTTATTTATTACCTATCATTTCCTTTGAAAAAAGAATCGAAATATTTTTAACATATTCCTATTCAAGTTACAAAATTATGAAACCATTAATTTTTATCATCTTTTATAATAACTATAAATCAACCCATATTCTTAGCCTCCTCACACAACATTTTAGGGAGAATACCTACTTTTTTCAAAAGTATAAAAATACTTATTTCAATGGACTTTCCCTAAGAAACATACCCAAGAGTTATTTTATCTTTTCCTTCCTTCTTTCTGTTTTCTTCTATGATCACAAAGTTGAATCCCTCCTCTATATCTTCAAGTTGTTTTCCAAGTAAGACAGCAGTATACAGAAAATTTCTCTTTCCCCAACCCCCCATCTTACCTATTACAAACAGTCTTTTATTCTTTTGTGTTCAATTAGACTTACTCATTGATGAGTATATATTTAAATAGCAATTTTAAGTTTGCATATCCGATTCACCTGAGTATCTACTGGCATCGATTCGAATTCACATGCCCATTGTGCACATTTCTGGTTCATTATTTTCCATCTCACCCAGCATCACATCACTTTTTTTTTTTCCTCCCCTTTCCTTATAGCTACGATAGAGACATAATTAATGACCAAATGCACGATATAAAGTATAAGAAAATATATAAGAATGTGGTATTAGAAAATGACGAAAAATATATGGAACAGAAAAAGAGCATAAACATAATACTTATAAAATTTGTTGAAATATACAAGGAAAAATTTGGCACAAATCTTTGCAATTATTTTGATTTTTATAGAATATTTTTTGTGCTCTTTGCTTCTTGTGTTAATATGGAATAGGCATGTCAAGAGGTTGAGTATTTCGCTTACGTAGCTATCCAGATTAGCGGTTTCTAGTATTATATTGCCTTTTTGCAAGAGCATTTTAGGCAATACATATACATATATATATATATACATATATATATATATATATATATATATATATATATATATATATATATATATATATAGATGCGTACACACATACATGTATCTATATCTATGTATGCATGCGTGTGTGCAACATTCGTTTTGTCATTTCATCTTACCAGTGTGTATCAGAAAAATGAGAACTTGGAGCGAAATTGCGAAGGAACTACACGTGCAGGTGTCTTATTAACTTTCCCAAAGATTTGTTGAGAACATTTGCGTTTTTTTTTTTTTTTTTTTTTTTTTTTTGTTTTACATCCATATCAGATGCATTCACAATTTGTTTAATCTTTTCCTTTTACACCCCATATATTTAATTTCCCTGAATATCTTTTAACACAATTTGGTATGCATATAAGAAAATCATAAAGTGTAATCTTATATAATATCAATAAAAAATATGGTCATGTCTTGAATGACAAAATGGATTTAATTCAATTTGGGGGGGGGGGGGGGATAGATAGAACTATTAATTTTTTTCTTAAAAAAAATTATTGCACATAGTGTTCTTTTGGACGCTCTTTTCCAATTGTACACATTGTTTACGTAATCTTGTTGATAAATTATTCAAGATTTTTTTTTTTTTTTTTTTTTTTTAACCCTGTTTGCAATCTTTCTTCATATATGGTGCACAAGTTAAGTATTCCATTTGACTATACTTGTTGAACTTTTTGTGTTTCTATTTTTTCTAAAGAGTCACTAATTTTCATGTCTTGCTTGGTTAGCATGCATATATTTGCAATAATAACAATAGTATGGCGAAAATAGTGTGACTTTAATTATCCTATATGTTATTCTGTTCTATGTCAATTTTTTTTTTTCATATAAATTACTTCCCTGAATTGAGGTATAAAAAGTTACTGCTAAGTTAAGCATCAGCCTCTTCTACACCCATCAATAAATATGCAATTTTAAACGTATGGCGTTGTATTCACTTAGTGCATAAGAGAACATGCGCATGTATATATTTTTTTTTAATTGTTTACTCAGAAAAAATTGCTAATGCCAAGTAGTAAAATTTTAAGTGCGCATAAATTTGCAGATAAATTGCACGATTATTTTGCTTTACGTTGCTTCACTCTGCTTTGCTTTATTTTATTTTTTTTGGACAAGTGGAAATTTTCTTGTCGCGCTTTTATAGCATTTACATTTAAAAGGCAGTTTTACTATAATTAAAAAACTTGTGTGTGATGTTTTAATATAAGTATACACACGAATAGGTATAAACAAGCATAAGCATAATTACAACACATTTGAACGCATTTTTTTTTTTTTTTTTTTTTCTTCTTTTTCTTGAGGTCATACTTATAAGAATAAGGATAAAAAAAAAAAAAAAAAAAAGAAAGGCAAGTGTGAATGGGAAAAATTCCTGCCCAGAATGTTACAACGAAAAGGGGAAATTACTATAGTCCACATCATCGTTCTTGAACTTTTGTAGCATTTTTTTTTTTTTTTTCTTTTTTTTATATAAAACATATTTGAAGCAAAGTTAAAAACCCAAATGAAAATAAAAATTAATATCCTACTCATAAGCATGATTATGCACATAGTAAAAGGATTAATCAAAATCATAGCCAGAATATAGCCCTCTATAAAAAATTATTTAAAATTCTGTCTTTCCAGGAAAGAGGGATATTATATGCACATACCATTCTTAAATACACTTTGCACATACCAAACAAATGTCAAATGAATATTACACACCATTTTAATGCAAATATGGGAAAAAAAAAATATAATAAATTAAACAAAAAAAGAAAAAAAAAAAAAAAAAAAAAGACTGCCCTTTCCATTCTTCGTTCTTTTGTACTCATAAGATTATATATCAATTCTTATGAATAAATTTAGTATAGAATTTTTTCCTTATCTTGCTTGTTTACATACACAAGTATTTTTTTTCACTACTTTTTCCTAAATGGAAAGTAAAAATGTTAAGGGCGGGAAGAATGTGAAAAAAGAAGAAAAAAAAAAAAAAAAAAAGGAGTAGCCAGTAAGTCCTAAAGAAATAATGCACATTTCTTTTTTTTTTTTTTCACGTTAAACAAAAAAAAAAAAAAAAAAAAAAAATATAAGGAATTACATAAATTTCTAATTACACAAATAGTAGTGGTGAATGAGAATTTTAAATAGCCACTCTTATTTTTTTTTTTTTTTTTTTTCTATTATATGTAATTTAGGAAAATAATAAGAAATAAGAGGAAAATAAAAAGATTAAGAAAAAAAAAAAAAAAAAAAAAATATATATAATTAAAAAAAGATCAGACATTCTTATACCCATTTTGTGAAACATGCTTAAAAGCAATGGATAATTTCGTTTGTAAATTTTGCATCCTATGATTAGTTTTACATATATATTGTGTGTTTAATTAAAAATATAAAGTGTGTGTAATATATATATATATATATCTATCTATCACTAATTATTATTCTCGTTTCTGCTCGGTTACTTAATTATTTTGGCCATAATTAAAATATATTTCTAGTGGAAAAAGAAATACTAGGGGTATCACGTAATTATCCTTTTATGTAATAAACCTTTGCTTTTTTTTTTCTTTTTTTTTTTTTTTTTTTCTTCTTCTTTCTCTCTCTCTTTCTCCCTCTCTCCCTGCCTCTTATTTTTTTTTTTTTTTTTTTAATATATGTGATAATTCCTCCTAGGAAAATTGTACCCTAAGGGAAGAAAAAAAAAAAAAAAGTGTATATTTACACAAACACACACACATATATACAAACATATGTTTACAACCATTTACACCTAATTCAAAGCAAAATTAAAATTGTTGTTTCTACACAAATTACACATTTGAAAGAAACACTTAAGCAGAAAAATGGGGAATATTGTGTCTTGTTGTTCCCTAGAAGAAAATCAAAAATATTTAAATGATGATGAAATATTGGAAAGTAATAATACCTAGAATTATATTCAATTTTGAGGGAAAAAAATGAACCCCTCTCCATAGCATGTTTCATCGGAAATTTGAAGCGAACAAATATATATGTATATTTTGTGTACAAACTTGTGCATGTATATATGTGCACATTTTTTATTTTGTATGTGCAATTTATGCATTATTCCTTTTTTTTTTTTTTTTTTTTTTCGCTCCTTTTACTAGCGTTTTCTAATGATGAGACAAACGAATTTAAAAAGCGACTAAAGAACAACATTCAAATAGTTGTTTTACTACAAGTAAATAAATTACATGTTTTAGTTGGATTACCCATAAAAGTGTTGTATAGCTGTTTATTTGTTTTCGTTTTTATTTTTTTTTTTTTTTTTTTCCTCATTTTTGTGTGTACAAAGTGTGTGCAATTTTTTTTTTTTTTTTTTTTTTTCGAAAATGTAATACAATGTTTTGTAAACACCCTAATAAGAAGCCTTTCAATCTTCTTAACCATAGTCACATGGGTTTACCCATATAGCATTACACATATATACGGTTACACGCATAAGTACGTACATACATATATAGAAATATACTTTTTTTTTTTTTTTTTTTTTTTTTTTCCCCCCTTTTTTGTTATATAGGATGGTACAAAATTACCGTGTAACTTACAAGCGAATTTCAATGAAAAAACCTTATGCATATCTTGCCATCAGAAAGTAATTAATTTTAGCCCATTTGTTTTTCATGTTTTATCCTATGTTGATAATCATTTAATCGTCCTTTTTTTATAATGCGTGACCTATGCTTATGCTCACATATGCATGTGTGTTTGTTCATACATTAGCACAATAAGAGCAACAAAAGGTTCATATATGTGAAAAAAAATGGGCAAGCTTATAAGACCGTTCTATGTAAACACATCGTCATCCTTTTACACTATAAACATTTCTACAGGTGAGAATGATAAACTTTAGCGACATTCGATCTTTGTTATATGGAGAAGAACAATTGAAGCGTGTAGAAACTCAAGCAAATTTGATAAATGACAACTGTTGTCTTGCTTTACATTTAGACGACAGTGGCAATTGTATCCCTATAAAATTTGGAAATATAAAAGAAAAAAATATATTTATCTTTATTATGAGGGAATACAAGAAAAATTCATAACTTTATGAATTAATGCTTTTAAATCAGTTACATTTAGCACCTTCCCTTTTGGCAAATTTATGAGAAGTATTTCCGAATTCAGATACTCACCATTTCTTTGACGTTTTTTTTTTTTTTTTTTTTGCATTTAACGTGTTCACATTTCATGTTCTCATTTCACTTCACCACTTTCACCAATAATTCCTGTTTTTTACCCGAATGCTATGGTTTCGACATACATGCATGGGTAAGCAAAACGATGCATATATATGTATATATACATATATATACACAAATACGTACACTCGTTATGTATATGCGTGTGTGTATCTCTTAAAGAAGACATGAATTTCCGCAGCAATTTTTCGATAGTTTTTGCACAAAATTTTCGATGATTTTCTTTAATTTTCAAGGAAGAGTTTTGCTTTCCCCCCCCCCTCCTCTCTTATTGATCAATAGCCTTTTTTTTTTTTTTTTTTTTTTTTCTTGAAATATTTTTAAATAAAACTGATTTGAAATTTTTTGGTCAGTTTATTTTTTTGTTTTCTGCAAATGATGAAAATATAAGCTTCGACGAATTATATTTTCATACAACCGACTATTTTTTTTTTTTTTTTTTTTTTTGCATAAGTGAATAATTAATGTTTAAAATGGTGATATATGTCTTTACAAAAAAATAATAAAATAATAGCAATAGTAGCGACAATAGTTATAACAATAGTAATAACAATATTAGTAATAAAATAAAACTGCGAAACGCATGGCGGAAAACAAACAAGACAAAATCGGTGTGGCAGAAATAGCACACTTGAGAAAAAGGACAAATGGGAAAAAGCACCAAAATAGTCAAAGTATGAACGAGTGAAATGGACAAATGCGGTGGGGAAAAAAGTTTATGAAAATGAAAAAAAATGGTACATTGGTAAAAGTGGAAGATGTCGAAAAAATTAAATTCTCATCGTTTATAATTTTTACAACTCTCAATGGTTGTAAAAAAAAAAAAAATTCTTTTCAGTATAGCAACTCGACGCTGATGGTTAATTTGAGACATTTTTCATTGAAGTATGCTTTAATCTGTGCAGGAAAAAAAAAAAAAAAAAAAATACATTTTTTGATAAGATGTTCAGTATGAGCACATGCGAATGAAAAGCAAAAGTGCACATGTACATGTGTAAGCAAAAATTGGCACGGGATGAGGGGCCATACGTTATCACTTAATTTTTGCTTGAAGTTTAAAGTCATGCATTCGTCGGGTCTGTCAAAAAAAACGGGGAAAAAATTTATGTTGTATGTATGTATGTATGCATGCATGACGTGAGAGATCGCAAGGCAGGTACAACTGCTTTGAAAGTTTGTTGTGCACAGAATTACTTGGTAGAAACGTATATCTCTATAGTGTTGTTTTTTTTCAAAATTTCCAAATCATTGTAAGAAATACTATTGAACGTTAAGATGATGTGAAGGTATCTGTTTTGAAAAAAAAGAAAAAAAAAAAGTAATAATAAAATAAATAAATATATAATGTGTCTTGCCTGATAAGAAAAGGTGGGATGAAAAGGAAAGATTTATACCTCAGCGTTTATTTATTTATTTGCATATTTATTTATTTACATATTTATTTATTTACATATTTATTTATTTACATATTTATTTATTTACATATTTATTTACTTATATATTTACTTGTTTATTTACTTGTTTATTTACTTGTTTATTTACTTATTTATTTTTTTTTTCTTTTCAAATTTGTCCATTTTTCCCTTTTTCCTGTATTTTTCTCATTTTAACCTGTCAATAACTGTGTAGTGATACGATTTCACCTGTCTTGGAATGTTGCGCTCTTCACATCTGTCAACTTTCCCTGTTTTGGTCGTTTTAACTGATTGTATGTCATTCATTATATCAATAGATGAATCGTGTATTTTTATTTCATTTTGTTCTTCCTCTCTTTTATTATTACTATTGATCTGTTTTTCATTTACTATGTTGTAAAATTTTATATCATTTTCATCCATCGGTTCAATGTTCCCTTGGCCTAATTCACTGTCTACACAATGAGAATTTAAAAAATGTTTAGTTTTAGGTGTATATCCTAAATCTTTATATTGAAAAAATTTTGTATTTATACTTATATCACTTCTAAGTATTTTTTCTGTGTTATTTAATGTTTCTAATATTTTATACAAAATTTTATTTTTAAAATAAGTATTATGGAAATGTTTATATATTGTAGAATGAATAACTGCTTCTGCATACATATCTCTTGAACTTTCCCCTTTGATTTTACAGGTACTTATAAAAATGTAATCATAATTTATTTCATCTAAATTGTTAATAAAATCCTTCGGCAGAATGGGCTCTTTCATCTTACTACTGTAATATACATAAATAAAATAATCACATAATTTTTCTTTAAATTCATTGGACTTTGTTTTGATAGAAACTTTTTCCACATCTGTCACGATGCAGAAGCAGAACTTGGGTTTTATTACTTTATGTTCATTTATTTTTTTCATATGTTTATTCATGAATTTTTCATACGCCTAAATGTGGGATTCAAGAAAAAAAAAAAAAAAAAAAAAAGAAAAAAAAGAAAAAAAAGAAAAAAAAGGTAATTTATTATTTATTGTATGTTCTTGCTTATGCTCTGAATATTGTCTTTTCAAAGGAGTATACTTTTGCATTCCTAACTGAAAAAACTATTACATACTACGGAGCTAAAAGAGACATTGTTATCACATCAACATTTCTGTTGCCTCAGAATTTTTCTGTGACTGTATTGCTTCACCTGCTTATCATTTTTGTGCAAATCGTTTAGGGCGTCCCAAATGCATTCAGCATTTTTCAGATCCATTTTGCGAGAGAAAAAAAAAATGTTCTTATTTTCCAAGGTGTGCTATGCTATGGCGATTCCCTTGTAAAATTAAGTACATCCTAGAGTAATTTATGGAATGGTCAAAATGTAAGCATGTATATGTGTGTATATGTTCATGTATGTATGTATGTTTTTTTTTTTTTTTTTTTTTTTTTTTTTCCATCAAACAAGGAGGGGAAAATTACAAACTAGCTGAGTAACGCATTGTTTATGTATCCCCCCTCAAGACTTGCTATAATGACTTTGTAATAATTCCTCCAATTGTCTATTTTAGATGAATGCTTGGAAAAAAAAAAAAAAAAAAAACTTGTCTTTATTTTTACTTACCTCGTGGAGAACAATTCCACGATGCGAAAGAGACATGAATGTGAATTGAATTCAACTGAGTGCAGCGAAATGAATAGAGAGAACTCACGTAGTGGAAAAATGATTTACTATTTGGCTTCTCAACTTAAGAAGGAAAAAGGAGTTTTAAAATTTTATCAATTCTTTTTTTTTTTTTAAATTGATATATATATATATATATATATATATATATATATATATATATATATATATAACGGTGACGCATTCGTATGTATGATAAAAAGGCATATAACATAAATGATCTGTTTAATCCGTTTCGAAGTTTTAATTAGGCAACACTGTTTAAAAAAAAAAGAGGCAAAATATTTAGAAAAAAAAAAAAAAAAAAAAGTACTATTATGCGCAGAAAGGTGAATAGGTTAACAAAAGTTCCATTTATTTAGTTAAAATAGGATAGAAATAGGGAAAAGAAAAAAGGGAGGAGAAACATTTTTTATTTTATAATTATTTAACATCTTTTTCCCCCCCGCTTCTACACATTCGAGAAAGTTTATATAGAAATCCACATTTGTGAAAATAAAACGACGCACACTAACGTATCCACAATGAAGGGAAAAGTGTGCCAAGAAAAATAAATTTTTTTAAAAGAGGAAGAGCATCCACAGCATTAGAACCTCGCGAGTAAAATTTATTTCAAAGCCTGAGGCAGATTTGTCATAAGTGGGGGGAATACTAAGCTTGGTGAGTAAACACATTGAAAGTAAGTGTACACATGAATATGATAAAATGATACAGCAAAACGGGAGAAGAAATATTTTGAAAAAAAAAAAAAAAAAAAAAAAAAAAAAAAAATTATTTTGTAAAAGCATGGAAAGAGAAGAAGGCAAACCGTTTTACACGTATTAGAAAAAAAGAAGTTCTCACAACATAACAATTGTTTTTTCTCCTTACATGTAGGAGTTATGTTTACCAACTTTAGTAAGATCATTCCAAAAAACATTTTTTTTTGGACAAGTAAGAAATGCATAAACACAAATGTAAGACTACGAAACCCGTATTATAGGAAAAAAGGATTTTGGGAATGGAGGAGAAGAATTATTCATAGGTATAATGAAAAAAGATACATTAGAAAAGGAATAAAGCCAAAGATTCCGAACAAAAATGAAGAAAATATAAAAAATAGAAAGGATGATGTTTATTGGACTTTTAAAGTTTATCAATTAAAAATCAGTTTAAGAAATTTATATAATTTCGGTAGGCTGATCAAAGGGTTACATTTAGAAGATGCTCTAGTATTTTTAGAATCCATACCACAGATAAGGGTAAACAGTATCCTTAATTCTTTATTAAATTCTAAGGACAAAATTGTTCATAAATTTAATGGAGATGTATCACGGTTATATATTGACAATGTACAAATACATTACAACACTCCAATGAAATACATTAAGTATCATGCATTAGGTCATTTTGGATTAGTCAAAAGTTATAGAAATACATTTACTTACACTATTAAACAAATGAATATACAAGAATTTTATCATAAAGTTTTCATACGTGGGAACGTACCTCGAGCTTTATCACACAATATGAGATTATATTATCATCAAAATAGAATTAACAAAGAAAATTTAATTCAGTGGTACCCATATATATGTGCAAACTCGAGATATTACTTCAGGGAAAAGTTAAGATATTTTAATAACATCTATCAGTTTGATTACTACAAATCTAGACGAGCGTGGATCCAGAATTACTTCAACAACCAGGAAAGAAGAACCAAAGAATTGAAGATGCAGAGAAATCTGCTCAACGATGCAAGTACGACTTAGTTTAAAAACAAAAAAACAGACAGCAAACAAACGAACAATTAAATAAATAAATTGGTAGAACAAAGCATATGTGCAATTCTCCCCCGTGACCTTTTTATTATTATTTTTTTTTTTTTTGTCTATAATTCTGGCATATGTTTTGTAATTCTGTTGCGCCCCTTTCCTTTACATTATATTCACAATATGCATATTCCTTTTTTATTCACCATTTGTAATTTAAAGTGGTAATTTTATTTGTTGTCTGTTTTCAAAAATAAACACAGAAAAAATAAAAACTGCTGATGTTAACATGTATGGAGCATGTCATGCCTGATCGATTCTTGCGTGAATTTCGCAGAACATTAAGAAGTAGCATATGAAAAAAAATAAATAAATACATAAATAGATGAATAAATAAAAGGTTGAATAAATAAATACAAACATAAATTAATAAAAACGATATGAAAAAAAAAAAAAAAAAAAATTAATCAAATATTTATATTGTGATGGGGAGACACCTCAAAGTTCATCACCATTAAACTTCTCTCCTTTGTCGTATTTAAGTGGGGTTATTATTACGCCCTGTAAATTAAAAGACAGTTTCATTTATGTAGGTTTGTACAATCATGAAATTTCTCACCAACAAATGACATTGTGCATATATGGATACAGGTAAGCTGTATATTGTTAAACATTTGAGCATACATATATTTGCCAAGCATTTATGTGCATGTATTTCTAAACATTTATGTATTCACAAATTGACAAGCATTCATGCATATGCATTGTCGCCTTACCGATTTGGCTTTCCACTTTTGTCCATCCCGTGAATAACTGTACTTCATAATGCATGCTTCCAAATGATATAAAATTGGGCAGTTGTGACAATTATACTGATTAAACCTATTGTGATTTTTTGTAAATAAGAAATGAAGAGGTTGGGAATGTTGTCCGATAAATGTAGAGGTGATTAAGTTATTGGATCAATATAGCCAAATTGAAATAGGCTAGTCAAAATAAAATGTGGAAAAATGTAAATGTCCCCACGAAATGCATATGTATAAAAAAAAAAAAAAAAAAAAAAAAAAAAAATAGGGGAAGTATATTCACATTTTATATGCCTCTTTTTTGCTTTTCATTGTATTACTCATAACTTTTGCTTGTTGAGATATATCCATTGCGATCTATGTTTTTCAAATAAATTATTTCTCCTAATAACCAGAAAGGTTTATCTTTTTTGTTTTCACAAATGACTTGAAATTTCCCCGATTCCTTCGACGAATGGACACTTAACTTTTAGGAGAAGGATAATACAACGAAAGGGGAGAAATGAGAAACGTGAACAGTTATGTTGCAGTTGAAATAAATATATTCAGGAAAATCTTAGAAGCAAAAAAGGGATATGTTTTATACACATATATATGTTGTATGTATATCTAAGCCTATGTACGTATATGTAGCATCATCATATGATTATCACCTCATAATTGTTTGACAGTATCGAGTCGTGTGAAGATCCTATCAAATATCCGTTCGACTTCACATGCTTTAGAGTAACAATTTCGTCGCACTTTATTTTATTTCCCGTGAAACTTTTTACTTCTACATTAAAAAAAAAAAATACATATATATATATATGCATATGTGTATATATGGATATGTATATATATACATATATATGTATTTATATATTTAAATAAAAATAACTTAGCATGGGGTATTATTCTCCCTCATTTGCTGCATACAAAAGGTTTTATCTTTTTTTTTCTTTAATTTTAGCATTCTTTTATTTTTCCTTTTATACCATCATAAACATTAACTGTCCACAATATATCTTCGTCATTCTTATTTGTGGTTACGGCGGTCTTTCATAAAAAAAAGAAAAAAAAAAACAAAAAAAAACAATAAAATAAAATAAATAAGCACATGAGAGTGTACAGAGCAGAGTGCGTAAAAAGAAGTGTGCAGAATTGCAAATGTTATATATACATGCAAAGGTATAACTCATTTGTTGAGCTCGATTAAACAACTTTGAACAATACAAGGTAAATTTTTTTTATTAAAACATGGTTATGGGCATAATCTCAATTCAATTTGCAAAAATAACAAAAAAAAAAAAATCTCTCAATCTTGATACACTTTTTAATAAAAATATTTTCTTTCAAATGTGAATAAAAAAACGTGGTGATTAAGTGAGAATTGTTATTTTTTTTTTTTTTTTAGCTCATTACAACTAGTTGATTTCCTGACCCGGTTCCCCATTTCATATCCGTAGAAAAGAGCCTTTAAGAAAAAAAAAAGGTATAATGGAATAAGAAGAAAACGGGAGTGTTGCGAATACACAAGTGAGCTGATACAATGGACACTTCACGAGAAATATATATTAATGAAAAAACACACGAAGAGATTTGTCCTATTCCAATTTTGTCTCATCAAACCAAAGGGATTTTTCATTTTTTTATTGTGTCTTTATTTCAGTTGTTATATATTTGCATTACTTGTATGATGTTCCCACGTTTTCTAAAATAATAGAACTGCCATCTGTTACAAATACACAATTGTGAACTTTAAAAAATATAAAATAAAAAAGGAACAACCCGACAGAAGAGTAATAATAGTTCATCTTAAAATTATCAGTCTATTAATTATATATTTAAAACAGAGATTAAAACATGTATATTTGTATATATTTTATGGATATATTTTTATTTTATTTTTTTATCCTTAGTTTCAACTAGAAGATAAAATTTATCTGTGTGTCGTGTGTCACTACGTAAGTATATATGTATATGTGGATTAAATGCCCACAGTTGTGTATCAAGCATACATAAGAATGTATACACACAAATTTGTATTCACATGCTGCTACACACATGAGAAGAACTGTCAGAGTACCAACTAAAATAAATTATAAATAAAATGTAGGAGAAAAATATTAGGTAAAATAAAAAGCACTAAAGCTAAAATGATAAAAAAAAAAAAATAACAAAAAAAAAAAAAAAAAATAAAATAAAATAAATCTTGTTTTGTAAAACTATGTATATAGGAAATAAAAAAAAAAAAAAAAATTCTAAAAGAAAAATTCTCCAAAATTTAAATTGAAATGTTCCGTCAAGTTGACAAAAAAAAATAAAACAATATAATAAAATGAGAATGAATAAAAAAAAATAAATAAATAAATAACTCATACTAAAATAATTATTCAGGCTATGAATTGGAGGACGGAAAAAAAAAAAAAAAAAAAAAAAAAAAGCCACAGCATTGGTAAATATAATATATATCATATATGTGAACATTCTAAGACTTATATTTATTATTCATGTATACCTCTTATGATTTTCAAGAACGCATATGTACTATTATTATTGGAGTTATTTTCCCCATTAAGGCTTATTTACAAGCGTTCAGATAAATACATTTTAAAAATTAGTGCGTGGCCCGATTTGCATATGTAGCATAAGTGGGTAATGGGTTTAATATTGGGGGCTCTTGATATAAAGGTATCAGAACAAAGTATGATTAAAGCCTTATAAATCATAAGTACATTTTTTCTGTCGGATTTTAAGGGGTACCTATATATGTATGTATATATATATATATATATAACTCGGGTACAATTTTATAGATATAGATCTAAGGTTGGCTGATGCTCACGTACGATGGAGATTTTGATGGTACATAAATAAATATGAATATATATATATATCCCATCATACAAGAATATATTACGAGCATCAAAAACATGAGTAGAATTAAGCATATATACACTTTCTTAATGACCTTTCTAAGCTTAATGGCTAATGTTTTCTTATTTTTTTTTTAAACCAATTTAAATGGAACTCTCGATTATTAGATGGTAATATATAAGGAACTTTCAACAGGGATTCACATAAATCCGAATTAACATTCCCCCTTTACACCTTTATAGGATTCTTCTATTTTTAAATATGCACCCCTTTATAGGGTGGGTGGGGAGAGACTATGGCCATCTGAGAAAGCATATACAATATTTATCTGTATACGTGTTGAGGTATATATATATTCTCATTGTGAAATATAAACAATTCGGATATAATTTACTGGTGCTTGTATATAATCCATTTGTGGAACACATACATATATTTTTATATATACATACATTTATTACCTACATATTTTTGTATGATTTTTTTTTTTTTTTTTTTTTTTTTTTTTGTCCCCTTTAATTTAATAAAAACACATACCTTCTTTTCTCATCTGCGCCTTGGTGAAATCACTGATTTTTTTTTTTTCTTTTTTAACTTGAATAAAACTACATATATATATACAAATATGTATGTTTTAATATATATATATATATATATATACAAGTAAAATGAACACATGCATGGGTATTAAAAAAAAATGCATAAGCATAGGGGGAAAAATGAAAGTTTGAATAATGAATTTATACATGAAATTTTTTTTTATGTGACACTTTACGAAGCTATTTTTCAAACATACCAGTGTTTTTTTTTTTTTTTTTACAGTAATCATGTTAAAAGAACATTTCTATTAAAGGAAAAAAATATATATATACTTATGTGCATATTTGCATACATACATACTTACATACCATTCATCAGCAAATTATAATATGCCAAATGTGCAATTGTGCAAAGTTCAAACGCGAGGAGGTGATTTTCAAAATAGCCAAGTCTCGTTCATGCATAGATAAATATACATAAGTATATACATATTTATACATACTCCTAAGCATTTACAACGCCATAAAAAGAAAGTTTTTTTTATGAGTACCTTCCCACAACTTATGTACACACATCTCTTTTTGCCAGCAATATTAGAGCTAAAACGTGTACACATACCTTAGTTTTAAATTCTAATTATTAAACAAATTTGTTTTTCAAAAGAAAGGAAACATTAACTGAGTAACCACTTGACACAGCATGTGCAAGGTTGCGAAAGGAGGTTCAAAAGTTAAAAAATTCGAAAATCCTAAAAAATTGATTTGGGATTTTTAATCCCCTTAACAAAGAAAAAGAATTTTAAAATATTATAAATGTGTATATTTTTATCTCACTTGTTTTGACAAGAGAAGAAAAGGGAGACCAAAAAAATAAAATAATACAGTATAATACATACGTCGAAGCCTGTCTTCCTACGTATTTTTACAACCACCAAGGTGCACAGAAGTTCCGCCATCGATATATTTTTTTCATCACATTTTAAAGCACCATGGAGAACAAAGTAGAAGATGCTGGAGCTGTTTTCGTCGATTTAGAAAAAGTGCACGACCCTGAAACAAAACAGATATTTGATTTTGGAGAGAAAAAGAAAAAAAAGAAAAAAAAGGAAGTTACGGATAGGATTGAAGAAGTAATTATTGATGGGACTGGGAAGGTATTTGAAAGAGGAGCAGTGTATCCATATGAAGAATTATTACATAGAATTCAAGATTTAGTAAATAAGCATAATATAGATTTATGTATATCAAAAAAGTACACAATTAAACCACCACAAGTTGTTAGAGTTGGCTCAAAAAAAGTGGCATGGATTAATTTTAAAGATATATGTACAATTATGAACAGAAATGAAGAACATGTTTTTCATTTTGTCTTAGCCGAATTAGGAACAGAAGGTTCTATAGCAGGAGAAGGACAATTAGTACTAAAAGGAAAATATGGACCCAAACATATTGAAGCTTTGTTAAGAAAATATATAACTGAATATGTAACATGTCAGATGTGTAAAAGTCCAAATACAACAATGGAGAAAGATAGTAGGACTAGGCTGTTTCATCAGCATTGTAATGCCTGCGGAGCCAAAAGGTTACCTTTTTTTTTTTTTTTTTTTTTTTTTTTTCTTTTCTCTTCTTTCGTCATCTTTCGTCATTTCTTTTTTATCATTAAAAGACAGTCAACCAAAAATGATTGGCCCACACATCAATTACTTTCAGTGTGTTATGATTTTATTTTTATTGCACCTCGTTATATTTTTATAATCCCATCGTACATTATGTTTTTTCTCCACATTTGAACGAACGACAGATCCGTCACGACTATTAAGAGTGGATTTCATGCCCTTGGAAGAGGAGAAAGAAGAAAAGCAAAACATACCAATTAAGGTTAAATAGGAGAAGACTTGGAAAAGTAGTTAAATTCTTTGTGAAAATCATAACAAGGATATAATTTTTAGTAATCAGTTATCATCATCAGGAAAGAAGAACATGTCAAAAGTTAGATGTTCAATTGATAGACAATGTGTATTTACACGTATGTATTGATACACTTTTATAGTGCTTCAATTTGTGTGGACCCTCTTTTTTGCCAAACTTTCCACGAAACTAAGCAATTCCTTGAGCTCATATAATTGACGTAAAAATTTTAGAATTATTGTACATGTAAATATCGAGAGGAGTTCATTGCAAAGCAGTAAATAATATAAATAATGTGGAGATAGAAATGAGTACAATAAAATGATATATGTTATATGGTATGGTTCAACATGACATGCGCACATTTGTACATGTATGTAAAAAAAAAAAAAAAAAAATCACAGGTGTATGTATTTTTGTGATATATCTCAACAGCTCACTATATTTTATTACTGGGAAAATTTCAGAATAATTCAAGTACATAGTACCTATATATATCATTCTTCGAAAATATGTATTTTTTTTGCAATTTTTTCAGAACCATAAATTTATCTTCAAACTTTTGTTATTCTTTTCCTTCCCCTCTTGTCACTTTGAAGTTTAGCAAATATAGTACCCTTGTTCATTTCCCCCCCCCCCCCCCACCCCAGCTTCCCTTTTTTGTTTCACATACGTATATATATATATATATATATATGTACACTTTTTAACATTCATTGGTGATGTACATATATTGCACATGTGTGTACGTGCGAGCACCCATGTATTTTAAAATAACGAATGAAAAAAAGTATTTCCAATGCAGCAAGCGTTAGCATAGGTACATATATGTGTATAGTTTATGCAGACACATTTATAATTGAAAATATATTTTTTCCTTTTAAATTAACAATCTCAACTTTTCCATGAATGTACATTTTTGTTTTAATATCATATGCATATATATATATATATATATATATGCTTATCTTTCCCTTCTATTAAATATTTTTTTTTTTCTATCATTCTAACTAAATGTATTATTTTAAATTATGCCAGAAATGAAGCAAATTGTTATAGGAAACATTTAATTTTTACATTTGTTTCTTACATGTGAAAATGCACAAAGTTCTTACATTATTTGTCTTTCATCGATTAATTCAAATTTAGTGTACTCTTCGGAACATTAGCAATTATCTCGTTGTCTGTTTTATTAAAAATGTTAGCAGATGAATGACACTATGAAGGTGATATGTTATTCATTTTATGTGAATTTTGTGAGTATGTTATAAGAATATACTAAGAGATAAGAGATGTAACTTTAATGCTTTTTTTTTTTTTTTTTTTTCGCTTAACTAATTTAACTTTTATATAATATGTAGGATGACAGTTTTGTCCTTCCACTAAAATCGGCGTAATCATACACGCTTGCATCATTCTACAAAAAAAAAAAAAAAAGAAAAGAAAAGAAAAGAGAAAATGCATTGATGTTAAGTATAAAATAGTTACAGCCATTATTATGACTAATTTTTTTTCATTTCTTTTTCTTAAATATTTTAAAATGATATGTAAAGTGATTTAAGACTTACATTGTCTCTTATTTGAACATCAGCTCCATTTTCTACTAGCAACTTAACTATCTGGTACATCAATTCAAGCATAAAGTTAAGTGATTTTTTATCATAATACATGTATATAAATGTTTCAAAAAAAAGGAAAAAGCATAAAAAAAAAAAAAAATAATGTTTAAGACTTATCCATATTAGAAAAATGTTTTTATGTCTTTATGTATATGAACAGGTATATAAAAAAAAAAAGTTTATATTTTGAGTAATATTACATCGTAGTGCTTATTTATTATGGCATAAAAAATGGGACTTTGTCCTTCCTTAAGTGGAGAAAAATGTTATTGTTTGTGATGGTAATTTATTTTGTTATATCCTCTATTTGACAACATTTCTGCATATACATCATTCATATATTTTATGTGCTTAAACATGTACATTTGACATACATTTCTCATTTAACTTTTAGGAGTCTATCTTTACTACATAATTTTTTTTTTTTTTTATCTTTTACACGAACATTGTCTGTTATATTTATATTAGCATTATTTTCAATAAGAAATTTAGCTATGTTTAAATGTCCACATTTAACACTGATATGTAAAGGTGACATTCCATTTGCATCCTTATGATTTATGTTACTCCCTTTTTTCAAAATTATTCTAGCCATCTTTAGGCTCCCATTTCGACAACTATACCAAAAAGCTGTCCTATTATTCTGTCTCGACAGAACAAAAAAATGAAAGAAAAGGCAAACACAAATCTCGTGTGTGAAGAATGACCATGAGGAATATTATTTTTACTCTTAATAAAAAATTAATTTATTTTTATCTATTATAACATTAAATTTTTTTTTTTTTCCATTCACATTTTCGTATTGCTAATTCGTGCATTTTTTTTTTTTTTTTTTGGAAATGAATTTTCACACGAAGTGGGGGTCATGGATGATAAGTCCACACACATCTGCCTCACTTGTGCAAATGAGAATTTGAACGTGTATGGATATAGGCATTAATTTCAATATACCGGAGGCTGAACATAATCTCCAAGAGGGATTTGTAATTTAGACAAGGAAACAACATCTTCATAAATTCCTATGCAAGAAGAAATCATTAAATTTGTGAAATGGGGAAAGAATACATTGAGTTATTAGACAATTGGAGATTCAGAAAAATTCCATAAAAGAAAAGGCACATATAAGGGCACATGCATATAACAAAATGTTCACAAAAAAAAGAAAAAGTAAGAGAAAAAATATATTACCTTTTCTCGCCGCCACAAGCAATTTTACTCTCTCTTCCTTCAAAAAAAAAAAAATAAAATAAAAATTCCCATACAAAAGTGATTCTTTTTTTTTTTACTCATTCTTTAAATGTGTAAAATTATATATAACTATAATGACTATGTCATGTATGTATATATGTATACACATCTAGTTTCGTTTAGCTTATCGATTCATATTTATTTTTAACAGTTGCCATGACTTTTGTGGATTTTTGGAATTGAAAGAGAAATGCTGATATTTTTTTAAAAAGATATTATTTAAGCTACACTTAAATTATTCATAAGAATCTTGTAATGGTATATTTTTTTTTTTTTTTATATTTATTTTTATCACAAAATTTATATGGCAAATCTTTTTCGTTAGTTTGCATCTCTCTTTTTGTTTTTTCATTATTTTTCTAGAGGCTAATAATTATAGAGAATAGTATATATCTTTTACAAATTTGTGCATTTTTCCTGAAATAAATTTGTCTTTTTTCCCCCTTGGTGTGCACATAAATACGGAGAAGTGCATGGATATATGTTTACCCATTTTTTTATATTGTGTGCATTTCTATCATCACGAAATTTTAAAAACATACTAACACATGCTATTCGACCATGTTCACTTCGACCATGTTCACTTCGATCATGTTTACTTCGATTATGTTCAATTTGATTATGTTCAATTTGATTATGTTCCATTTGATTTTGCCTATGGTGTCCAAGGGGTCGATTTATTTTTGCACTTAAACGCAACTACAAAATGGGTCAAAAAAAAAAGAAAAAAATCACATTAAAATTGTTAAAAGACAATGGGGAATCATCAAATGTTCTGGAAAATTACACAGGAGTGGGAACTGTATTATTTTATACTAACAAAAATTTGAAGATCTCAGAGAAGTATTATGGAAATATCTTTCAAGGAAAAAGACATGGATATGGTTACTAGCCTTTATCATATTATAAAGGAACACCGTTGTTCATATTTTTCCATCGCTATTTTGAGTTTCTCCATTTCATCTGCCATTTTTGGCCCCATTTTAGAAAACCGTTTCCACTACACCATAGAGATCATCGTCCCACCTGATCTCATGACCTTTTCTTTTTCTTTTTTTCCAAAGGAGAGTACAACTATCAGAATGGAGATTTTTATCAAGGAGCGTATGAACACGGTATGAAAAACGGAATAGGAACTTATTTTTACAACACTGATATCAAAAAGAGAAGAACCACAGGAAAAGTTGCGAAGGGAAGGGACTATGAAAAAAGTGATGACGAGAAAAGTGAAGAGGACCAGAGTGAAGAAGACAAAAGTGAAGAAGACAAAAGTGAAGAAAACCAAAGTGAAAAAAACCAAAGTGAAGAAAATCAAAGTGAAGAGGACAAAAGTGAAGAGGAAAAAAGTGAAGAGGACCAAAGTGAAGAGGACCAAAGTGAAGAGGACCAAAGTGAAGAGGACCAAAGTGAAGAGGACAAAAGTGAAGAGGACCAAAGTGAAGAGACAACTGAGAATCATAACCGTAAGTATGGCTATGAACATATCAAGAAGGAAGATGGAGCGTCTTGTAAAAAAAAAATAATTTCAAAAAAGTTACTAAATCTTATGGAAAAATGGAGTAAAACAAAAATAAAAAAAAAATCAATTATTCCCCCCAAAGGTAATTATATATAAAAAAAACAAACCTTAAAAAGGGTGCGAGAGCAGGTCGTTCCTATAAGTTGACAAGTGCATAATCCATGTTCATCAGTTTTGAAATTATTATTATTATTTTTTTTACACTCTTCTGCATATACATATGTACATATATGTACATTCCTATTGCACGTCACATAATGCATTTGAATATCTGCAGAGGAAGGGAGCTTCTACTACGGAAACTATTTCAACGGACTTAAACATAGCGACGGAATGATGATATATAGAAATGGGGATTTGTATGTTGGGGGTTGGAAGTTTGGGAAGAAGAATGGATGGGGTTAGTCATACGCGTACCAAGTGTATTTGTATATATATACATATGAACATACATATATGTATACGGATGTCTGTGCATATAGCTCGAATTTTAATTAGCGTGCACCTAGTTCCCCATTATACATTGCGTTACTCCCCTTCGTTCGTGCAGGAAGGTACACATACAAAAAATGCAAAAGCGTTTTGGAGGGACATTGGGAAGATGGATATATAATTCATGGAAAATGGATATTGCCAAATGGTTTTACATAATTTTTTTTTTTTTTATTTCACACAAGTGTGTTTTAACACTTGTTGTGGGTGTCCATATAACAGGAACATTATGCTTCATATGTATATATATATATATATATATATATGTACATGTGCAAGGAATTACACTCTTCCCCCATTTTTCCCCTCCACTTTTTATTTTTTTATGATTATTCCATCTTTTCCATTTTCTCTGTTCTTATTCAGGTATGTACTTTGTGGGAAACTTTAAAAATAATAAACCATATGGAGATGGCATTTGGGCTTTTAAGGATAAAACACAATTAAATGTTTTTTATTATGATGTTAAACAAGTAAAATTAAAAAAAAATAAAATAAAAAAAAAAAAAAAAAGTTTTATATATTCTTGTTATACAAAACATTAAATTAACGAATTACATAATTTATTTATTTTAAGAGAGGATATATAGTCATATTATTATTCATAAATCGTATATGCATATAAGCTTATTACATATACATGTATATGTTTGACAAGATGCAAATAACATAGGTATTAAAAAAAAAAAAAAAAAAAAAAAAAAAACAAGGAAAAAAAAAAAAGGAGAAAATGGACAACGCATCCACATAATATACATACATATATATATTCTGTAAACTAAACATTTTATCACAGAAAATTAAAAAAAGTCCCAAAAAAATGATTGGACAAGGAGATCCAAATATTTTACTGAATTATAAGCCATTGTGTATTACATTGACCAGATAAGGAATTTTTTACATAATAAGGATATGACACAAAATTGTGTTTTCATTTATTTTTTTTTGCTCCCCACTGCAAAAAAGAAAAAAAGAAAAGTGGACATGTGTAAAAAAGAGTGGTAAAATATATCACACCTACCCTAAAGTGGTGCTCAAATGTAGACACAATAAAATGGACCCTATATATATATAAACAATTCATGGAACATGCATTCAATATTCATCTTAAAAAAATATCTGAACATAAAAATATATGCACAAAAGTGATGAACGCAAAAGGGGTAAATACATGGAATGCAACAATGTTGTCACTCATTACTTTTAACTTCTAGGGAAGAGCCTTTTTTTTTCTTATTCTTGGAATATTCAAAATATATCCTATAAATTTTTCAAATGAAAAAGGGAAAAAAGGGTGAAGTAAATTTATATTTCACAAAAAATCGCGGCGTATAATGAGTGTACATTGCAATTTATTCCAATAAAAAAATATACAGCATTGATATGAGATGAATGTATACACACAATTCATGGAGTATATTAGTATATATATATATATGTTCATCCTACGAAGACAACTTTACTTCTCCTCCTCTCTTCATTCATTTGTACATGTGGATATACATGTAGTTATTCTCTTACCAGTTTATGCTAATGGCAAATCCAACAAGACATACTAGAAATCCGTAGCACATATAGAGTAAATTTTTGTCCTTTTTCTTTACATTTTTTACATCAAAGGAGTATATATAATTCAAAACTGTAACAAATATTGCAATAACTAAAAGGTTAACTATTTTAAAATATTTTTCAACACCAGTTCCAAAAATTTTATTTAGTATATTTTTGCCACCCTCAATTATGGAATAGTCAAATCCTCTTTTCTTTTTTCCGAAATTTAATTTAAGCTTCATTTTTACTGCAATTTATTTAGAGAATGAAATTTCTTTTTTTTTTCTTTTTTTTTTTTATGTATGTATGGATCTGAATGACAATGTTTTTTGGTACAACACAAGTTAAGGATTCTTTTGTATTGTCATTCATATATATATCATATATATATATATATAGTGTTTTGCTCTTATTTCTGTTCTTTATACATATGTACTATTTTGTTATTCCTATTAAACTCTAAAGTCAGTAAGTTTCTAAACTCCAAAAAAAATGTTATTTGAAATCCTTAAAAAGTCTGAGCTTCTCATATCATAACAATATTAATTCTTAATTTTGTAATGTTTCAGAAATATATTTTAATTCTTTTTTTTTTTTTTTTTTTTTTTTTTCTTTCACGTCCATAAGAAGAAATATTGTTTTAACGTAGTTCAAATAAATTAAATTCCTTTTTTTCTAGCATGACAGTATTATTAAAATGTAATTTACATACGTAACATATAAATTACATATAAAGCTTGCTTACAAATTTTTACGAAATGCTATTTTTCTTTAAAAAAAAAAAAAATATATATACATACTTATTATATACATATATATATTTAATCTAAAAACGAATTAATCTTTTTGATATACTTTTTTTTTGGTTTTTTTTTCAATGTATGCATTATTTGCATTCTTATTTGCATGCTTATATGCGTGCTTATCTGCATTTATATGTACATATTTGTACGTATTATGCACGTATATGAGCGTTTAAAAGTACGTATATTTTTTTAGGCATATCTATTATACGTAAAGATTAAACATTGTGCTTAAAATTATCATATTATATTTTAAACAAAAAAAAAAAAAAAAAAAAAAATAATAAAAAGCGAAAATTGTCACTTGTATTATGTAAATATTTATAGGTTTACTGAAACATATAACATAATAAATTTATGTAAATATTTCTTCAAGCATATTTTTCGCGGGTTAGAAAAATTCGTATAACATATACAGAAAAATTTGTAAACGCTGTTTTTTTTTGTCCATATCGGTAATAATACTTGGTCGTCATATTCTTGTCACTTATAACCCATTTCATTATTATTATATATGTTGTTTTATTGTATGCTTCAATTCTGATATTAAAATATATCCATCATAATTCTTTTCTCCCCAATAGGGAAGAAATATCTTATTGAGATACCACTAGGTTTTTTCTTCTTTTCTTTTATTTGTGCTTCAAGATGGATCAATTTATGTATCATTGAAATAATCATTGAATCCATGTAGTATACATTCGAACATACTTCTATCAGTGTATGTTAGCATGCATATTAGACAATATTATTACCGTTCTATGGTATACAAATTTCGGTATGGTTGTTCTCCCTACTTATAAAATTAATATGAATGGGGGGGGAGTGAGGTGCATGTGCATATATATATATATATATATATATATACCGCTTATATACTATACGAAAATATGATAGTGCAAAACCAGGGTTTATTCTTAATGCTGATTCGAGCTAAATTTGTATTCATTTATTATTACTTTACTCATTCACATTTCTTTATTAGTTCTAATTTTTTTTTTTTTTTTTTTTTTTTTTTTTCGTTCTACTTAATACATATTAAATGGAGACGCTATCTAAAAAATTATATCAATGTCCCGATCAAATTATTCTGCATGCGCGCATTTTTGTTATCATTTGTTTTATTCCATTTTGTTTCAGTTAATTTCTTGGTGTTAGAAAAAAAAAAAAAAAAGAAGAAATAAAGAACCACAAGGGGAGAGGGGGGGGGGGGGGGGGGGAGTTTGCTATATATTACATTTATTATCTTAATTTTGCGAGTTATTTTTATTTTGACTTGTTCTATCATGAATCTTATATATTATTCATTATATATACAAAATTATATCCTTTTAATTAGTCTCCCCCATCCATTTGCAACCGTTTTTATTTACATTTACCATACAACCGTATATTTTATTTTTTTTTAAATAAACAGTATATATAATTCATATTTATTGACCCCTCACTTTTTCAATGATACTTCTAAATTTTGTTACGCAAAATATTATTCTCATTTTTAAAAAATTTGGTAATGAAGATAAACATTTATAACGCGTACTATCGGACAAAGTATTTTTTATAAAAAAAAATTATATTTCTTCATCCAGTATTTAATATATAAGGTGCTTGATCATAATATTTTTCTTCCACTTTAATTATTCGTTCTTTGTTGCTCATTTAGGCAAACATATATATATTTTTTTTTCTGCTCTTTTATCAACTAATCATAAATACTACCCTTAAAAGATTAACATCAGGAAGTGTAAAATGAGTCCATTCACAGTAAAAAAAAAAAAAAAAAGAAAAAGAAACATTGAAAAAGTCGTTCTAACTATTCATTCGTATACTGTATAATCATCACCACTTATAGTAACTTGTGTTTGCTTCCCATAGGTACGTATAGGTAATTTTTTATTTCTTTCTTTTTTTTTTTTTTTCCGTTAATAACACCCATTTTATATGACATTACTTGTTATATTCTATGGATATATTTAAAGAAAGTTGAAAATGTTAAAATTGTATACTATATGTCCCTTTCAGTTTCCTATTCTTTATGATTCTGTTAGATGATTAGGAAAATATGTCTATTCTTCTTTTCCATCTTTGCTTGTATAAAACGAATTAATAAATTTTCCCACAGGAACAATGTTCCAATTTCAATTATGTTATTGTAATTATTCTTCCTCAAAATGGGGAAAGGAAAATATGTTGGTGGAAATTGTTATCCCTTTTAAACCTTTTTTGGGGTACATTAAAAAAGTGTAAAAAATGGGACAGAAAATACAAATAACAGCCAATATAATAGTGTCTGAAAAAAAAAAAAAAAATTTCTTCACAAAATAATTTTATCCTTTTAAAAGTTTTGTTATCCTTTATGTGTCCTGATACATGTATTGTAAAAAATAATCAATACAGCTATTTATTAATTGCGGATATATTTAATGGGACTCATATGCCTTTACAATTTACTAGTTGCTGTGACTTATAAAGTTGTTCCATATATCTTTGTCCACATGGTTATTCTCACTTCATCGCTCAAAAACAACAAAAAAAAAAAAAAAAAAAAAAAAACTCATACCATAAATGCTAATTTCAGCTATATATTATGTTAACACATTATAATGTTGTAATAATTTTTAGTAAATTACATTCATAAATTGATATGTGAACATCTTTTGAATGGAAATATAAAATGATAAATAAAGCGTAACGTTGTAATATCACAGTAAAATCGAATTGGTTTTTGGACGAAAAAATGTAGCATTTATATATAATATGTATGGAGGGTAAACAAACCAAAAAAAAAATTCCCTTTATTTCCAAAATACCAATAGGGGCATTAATATGCCATATTCATCAATGTTATATACACAAATTCACAAAAAAAAGGAAAAAAAAAAAAAAAAAAACTTCCCCTATGCGTGAAAAGCTTCTAAGAAGGAAAACTATGGTTTGGCTCATATCCATACAAGTTAAATAAATCAAACAAGCATTTTAAGAAAAACTTAAAACAAAAAAACAAACAAGGAGGAAGTTAAAATCTACTTAAAAAACAGTCAATCACATTGCTTAGTAAAAAAGAAACATTAATCATATTATATATATGTACATATAATACATATGTATATATATACTGCTTCAGAACATATGCATACATTTATACATGTGCATTACCCTGAGCAACATACAAATAAAGGGATTCTTCAATTGTTTGCTCGGACATAAAAATACAACAAATAAGAAAAAACAGTACACAGATATAGATATGTGCGAATTAATCTGTCAAAAATTAAATGAAACAAAGCTCCTCAAATTAATTTTCCTCACATAAATTTAATCCATTTGAAAGAGGAGGAAAAACGTGAAGATGACAGCAAACAAATGGGAAAGTAAGAGAAATACTTAAAAAAATATATAAAGAAAAAAATAGTAGAACTCTTTTATCTTATCATGATAAAAGTTGCTATAACAGTTACTCCCATCTGTACATAATAACAGGAAAAATAATTAAAAATAAAATAAAATAAAATGATTAATGAAATTACACAAATATGATAGAATTACAGCATTGTTAATCATTTATTTTATGCTTAATTATTCGACAATTTACTCTCCCACATAAAAAGCTTAAAACGGTATATCACTTTAAAAATATGGGGTAAAATGAAACGTAATGTTTTTTTTTTTTTTTTTTTTTTTTTTTTTCTCTACATTTATAATATAATCATACATGAGAAAATACATTCGCCTGCCTTTTCAATATGAATGAAAAAAAAAAAAATTTTTTTTTTTTTTTTTTAGAAAAAATAAATTGAAAATTTTGCAAAACAATACATATATATATGGGCAATACATGAGTATAAAATATAATCATCGTACATGTCATCCTACACATTAAGTCTATGATTATAAGGGCCTAGACATATGATACAAACCTATCAATAGTAATTGTAGCTTGTAATAAAATTTTGCAAAAAGGCTTTATTGAAAAAACAAAAAAAAAAAAAAAAAAATACATCACACGCACGACACTATGCAATATAGCGAATGTATATCCATTTACATATCTAAGTAATATGTGCATACGATACGCATTTATAGTAAATTATCCACACACTCAATTGCATATTTAAAACGGGTTTTGTCTCCTTTGAAATTCTTTAGAGATCAACATAGTTGCAGTAATAAATGAGCTGTTAAAAAAGACATCGTATATGTATTCCATATTCTTTTGTCCACAGAAATTTGGACAGATCCATCTACAGTATGCGTGGAATCAGAGAAAAAACGAAATCACATTAATAACGAAATGGTTAAATTATGAAAATGCCAATCTGTGGACCTGTAAAAAATAGTTAAAGTGCCAATTTTCATTAGGAACATCTAGGGTAGCTTCATATCCATTTAATAAAAAAAAAGAAACATATTCATCTCCTGATCGAAAAACGGTGCTGAAATGTAATTCAGTGGAAAGTGGTTAAATAGAATGGTTTTTAGGTTACTATAAATTTGCAGGAATAAACTCATAGCAAATTACTGTGTTGTACACATATAATTAAAATAAAAAAAAAAAAAAAATAAATACATTATAAACATATGAAAAAGAAAAATCGGTTATTGAAAATGATGCATGTTCATATATTATATTTAAAATTACACCTTTATAGAAGCTGCTTTCTATATAGATTCGTAATAATTTATAGTTTTTTCCTTTATTTTTTTTTTTTTTTTTTTTCCGGTTATGTGATTATTTAAATCTTTTAAGGAATATAATATTATATGTACCTTAACGAGGAAAAAAAAGAAAAAAAAGGAAGGCACAAAAAAAAAAAAAAAAAAAAAAAAGTTAAAAGAAAAGCACGAAAAAAAGGGGTATGAAAGAAACAACTGCATAATTAACACAAAAAATTTCAGTTATAGGCAGGCTTCTCCTATCACTTTAACTTTATTCTAGCACATTTCAACTTTTTTTTTTTTTATTTTTTTTTTACCTATTTAACCATTAAAATAAAAAAAAAAAAAAAAAAAAGAGAGAGAAATGGATATTGAAGTATTACGAAGATAGAGGATAATGGGAAAAAGAAGAAAGCAATATTGGGGATTCGAAATTATACAGTTGCATAAAAATTAGCATTGTTTAAGAAAGGGAAAAAATATGAAAAAAGGAGGAAATGTATTTTTATGAAAAGGGGTGTGTATCTTCTTTACTAGTGGTCTAAGCATAAATCTGTCGTATTTTTTATATGTACATCTTTTCTTTACTCATTTAAGGGAGAAGAGGGACAGAGATACAAATATCGGAAGGGAATATATATTATTACATTTTTAGTAAGATGCTGGGAGAGTGGGACGATGAACATTTTACAAGAATTTTTTTCGATTGGAATATTTTTTCTAAATATTCGAAGGATAACGAATTTAAAGATTTAGAAGAAAATATTAAAAATGAAATTGCCAATTCGGAATGTTTTGATTTACATGAAGAAGATGGTGAGAAAGAAACGATTGACAATATATTGTTAATACTTCAGTCATTTATTATGGAAAAAAAGTATATAGACGTTTCTTATTATTTGATTAATATAATTTTAAGATGGAATTATTACACAAGCTTAAGGAGTGAAAAAGGTTTAGATTCAAATTCTGTAAAGAATCGATTAAAAATAAATTTAGATATATACACACTTCCTGATGTGTATAAAAATTTTGAGGAATACTTCTATTCTTATTTTCCTTTATTTCTTATTGAAACGCAACAATTAATAAATAATAAAAAAGAAAATGAAAATATAAAAGAATATGACGTAAATCTGATTAGTTCCCCCAAAGAGATACATAATTTTGAATTCTATATTCATGTTGCATATGACAGTTTGAATTGTGCAAACCTTTTTTATGGAGATCTTATATTGCTTAGATTTGTTCCAAAAAAAACTGCAAAAAATGATTTATATAATATGTATACACCTATGTTATGTTCTTCAAAAGCAAATGAAGAAGAAATGTCATCTAGTGGTTCTGAAAATGATAAGCTAGATGATGTTTCTTCTGTTTCATGTACCAATTCAGAAAATTCAAACACTGTTGAGGATGTGACAGAACAGGAAACCGGGAAAGAAAGGGATCCAATAAATTTGGTTCTACCATCACATGAAAGGGAAAATAAATTGCTTGATTCCACTATGGAAGAAAAACAAAGCAAGGAAATCAACAAATGCACTCCTGAGAAGGAAGAAGATATGAAAGACGAAACGAGTGATGAAATATACATGATGAGAAAATATTGTGTTCGTCATTTATTAGGTTATGTTGTTTCAAAAAATAAGGAACAAATTAAAATAAAAATTAATTTGAATTATAAAAATTTCGATATTATTGATAGAGTTAGGAAAGATATCATATATGAAATTTTCAATAAAAATAAAGCAGATGATTATTTCTTTCGAATATCAAAAGTGACTAGCTTGATTTCAACTCTCCGGTTGTTTAACTGTTTGTTCAACTTTAGGAATTCCGCTATATTGAATGAAATTATAGAATTTGGCCCCATTGCGGAAGTCAACCAGGTCGAAATCAACCACAGGGGAACTAACCAGTGTGGAAATAATTTTTATCATATGGAAGAAGATATTAAAAGCGAAGATAACACCATTTTGCATGTGAAAAGACGTAAAAAAGGTCAAGTAGATAAGGAAGATGCAGAACAAAAAAACGCAGACGTAATATTCAAAGGAGAGCAGCAGGGAATGATTCTCAGGCAAAGAAAGAGGCAAGGAGAGTTACAACAAGAGGAAATCGTACAAATTGGCAAAACCGGGGACGTCACACAAATTGGCAAAACCGGGGACGTTGCACAGGTTGAGGAAAACGAGGGACAAGTGAAAGAAAATGACATCGATGGGGAGGAAGAAATGCTTAAGGATAAAATCAAGGACTATTTAAGGAAGTTGAAATGCTCAGACGAAAGAGAAAGTGGGGCTGAAATGGCAAGTGCAGATGTAAAGGAGGAACCAAATCCAAACCGAGATGTAAGTGGAAAGTCAAGTAGAAGAGGAGGAAGATTGGTCAAAAGTTGCCAAATCGAAATGAAAGACACAAAATGTTTAAGAAGCCCCGAAACACGCAAAACATATTATATGGGGAAAAAATATATGCCCATCGAAAAGGAGACACAATATGAAGCACAACAATATGCAGGTTTCAACTATATTCCAGAGACCTTAAAAAGTAAATTTATGAATATATACAATAAATACCAATTAAGAGCTATTAATAATAGCATAATAAATGAAGGGATCACATTAATTCAAGGTCCCCCAGGGACAGGGAAAACTACTACGATTTTAGGAATCATAAGTGCATTAATTTTTTTTCAAAAATCTGAAATAGATGAAAACAAAAAAAAAAGTGTATTAAATGATGACTTCTCATGTAATAATTCAGAGAATGAAAGAGAGAGAGAAAAAAAAAAAAAAAAAAAAAAAAAAAGCCCTTATGCTTGGATTAACTATGACAAAAAAACTGATCACTGCTATTTTAATGATAACTGTTTTGATGCAATGGAATATGAAGATTTTTTTGATCATATTGATAAAAAGGAGGAAGAAAAAAGTCAAAATGTTTTTCATATTAACAAATGTAATAAGAATGAAAACAATTATGCTTATGCAATACATCTAAGCATTATGAATGCATCAAGTAGAACTTTAAAAAGTAATGATAACATAGATGCTAATAATAAAGATGAGGAAGATATTCTCAAAAATAATGAAAATAGAATTAAAAACTTAATAGGATTAACAGAGTCATTTTATAACTCCTATATAAATAGTGATTATTTGCTGAAAAATACAGATTTTATGGAAGAAAAAAATGCCAATGAGAAATTGAATTATTCTTATTATGTTAATGACACGAATATGTCCTTATACCCTTCAAGCACATCCGGACAAGGAGCTACTACAAAGATCGAAATTGAAGATACAGTAAGACATGAATTAAAAAACAGTAAAGCAAACCATATCACTGATGAAGGAAAAAGAAAATGGAAAAGAAACAATCAGGAAGAAGTTGGGAAACAACCTAGTCGACCTAGGAAAGAAAAGATAAACAAATTAAATTTAATTAAAAATAAAAAAATCTTAGTTTGTGCGCCATCAAATGCAGCAATAGATGAAATATTGAGAAGATTAGTTTCATCCAATAGCGGTATTTTAGATGAAAATGGAAATTTTTTTAATCCTATTGTTACAAGAATGGGAAGAAATGTAAGTACAGATATGCTAGAATTTAGCTTAGAATTTAAAGAACAGTTATTTTTATTCCTCAATAAGAAGGAAGAAAATAAATTAATAAAAAGAAATCTTTTAAAAACGTCAACCATTATTTGTTCAACTTTATCTGCAAGTTCAAACGCTTCACTGGTTAATTATATAGACTATTTTGATGCAATTATTATAGATGAAGCTTCACAATCAGTTGAATTAGACATACTCATTCCTTTGTCATTTTCTTGTAAGAAAATTATCCTTGTAGGGGATCCAAAACAATTGTCAGCAACAGCATTCTCCTTATTTGCAAAAAAACGCAAATATGCCAGATCTCTCTTTGAAAGATTACAAAAGAAACATAAATTGAATAAATACAAATACAATTTGTTGTCAATTCAGTATAGAATGCATCCAGATATTTCTCATTTTCCAAATAAATATTACTACAAAAATAAAGTTACAGATGCACCTTATTTTTCATTTATACTTCTTAAAGAAACTCAAATGAACAAGTACATTACAAAATTGAAAAATACAAATAGAATAAAGGACTACTATGGGGTAAATGTAGAAAATGATCTTTTTTGCAAATTTGATTTATTTCATTTTATGGAAAATAATTTTGGAAATTTATTACCTTCCAATTTTCATGATTTAACATTATGTCAAAAAAATCAAGGAGTAATCGATTGGTTTTTCATACCCTTACTTCAGCACAGTGTATTTTACGACATACCCTTTTCAAAACAAAAAAAAATTAGAAATTCTTACATTAATATTGAAGAGAGTGAAGCAGTTTTGCAATTTATTGAATTTTTGCATTTCATTTTTACCACAGAAAATGTGCAAGAGTGGTACAAACGAATAGGTATCATAACTCCTTATGCCACCGAAAAATATTTCTTAAAAGCTGAATTAAAAATTTTCTTCAGAAAAAAGGGATATAAAAATGACATTTCCAATTTTATTGATATTGGAACTGTTGATGGATTTCAGGGTACTGAAAAGGACATCATAATATTTGTCTGTGTAAGGACAAAAGGTTTGCTAAAAAAAAAAAAAAAAAAAAAATCTATCGCACCTAGAGATGGAGACACTAACCATATCTGCACAGCTGGCCCCTGTGATCATCATGCCCCAGATCAAGAACCGAATGTGTTAAATCAAAGTTCTGAATCTTCTGCTGAAGAAGGAGTGGATAACTCAAATATGTTTTTCTCCAACTACAAACGATTGAATGTGGCGTTAACCAGGGCGAGATGTAATTTATTCATTTTTGGAAATCGCAATTTTTTAAAAAAATGTGATGTATGGAGTAAAATCATTAAACATTATAAGATGAAAAACAAAATTATTAAAATTAAATATAAGAAATTTAAAACAAAAATGAAAATTTTGTCTGAAAATATTACCGAAGAAGATTTATTTGATGAAAAAGCTCAAGTAATTAATAAAAAAATTGAAAATTCATTATATAATAAAAATTTAATTGATTACAATTTTGTACCAACCAGTGAAAATGAATGTCCTACTTTTGATTTAAAAAGTTTCCTTTACTCTGTTGGATTGAGTCAAGCAGAAGAGGATGGGTATATCATCTATGACAATAGAAATATAATGAATATGGACATAAATAGCAATAAATTAGGAACTCCAGGTTTTTCAGTAAATGCTGATAAAAAAACAGAAGAGGATAAAGTCATGAATTTTTTTAAAAAGCTTTACAATGACGATTTTGAAAATGCAGACGATTTTAATTCTGCACATAGACAAATGGGAGATGTTACCACGGCTAACAAGGTCCAAAATGAGGCCCCAAATGGGGCACAAAATGGGGCACAAAATGGGGCACAAAATGGGGCACAAAATGGATTTTTAAGCAATGCCAAAGACTGTTCCACGGCAAAACCATGCGATTTTAAAGAAGAGTATAAAAATGAAGTAAACGAAAATTTATGGAATATGAACCGAAGCAAAAATCACATGTATGCCGCATCAAATGGCGCAAAAAATGGCACAAAAAATGGTGCAAAAAATAGTGCAAAAAATGGTGCTAAAAATGAACCCACTGAAATGTTAGAAGTGATAGATCTTGAAAATGATGATGAATTTTCACATCACCTCAATTTAAATGATAAAGATGGAGAAGGGAAAATACAAAAGTGCAACCAAGAAGAATCTAAAAACATGGACCAGTCTTTACCCCTACCCAATTCGAGGCACAAACAAATTACAAACATGAAATCATTATCGTATGAGACAAAAATTGGTGATGAAGAATCCCCTAACTTTGAAGAAACTGAGGATCGAGTAATTACTATCACCCCCATATTGGAAAATAATGAATATTTCAAAAAGAAAAATTACTTCATTGATACGTTGTATAACTACTGCAAAGCCAACAAAGAGCTACTTTTCGTTGTGCAAAATATTTTGCCGAATTTTTCTAAACACATTTTATTTAAAAAGTGCGTATGACCTTTTGGAATTTTTGAAACTTGGTTGATCGCATCATGCGCTTGAAAAATATGTGTGCATTTTGCATGTTTCTTTTTGTTTGATGTCAAGGTTCTGGAGTTTTTCCTCCACACTCTTTTCATACCCCATCATCATCACCCCCATTATATTTGTGTCTTTTCCCCACATTACATAAAACAGCTCTTTCATAATTACAACCATATGTGAATTTCTTTCACTATGCGTCTGACTTTACTTACTTTTTTTGTTCATACTCCTAAGAAGACTTTTTTACAAATTTATAAAGACATAAACCAACACGGGAAATGTAAAAAAAAAAAAAAAAAAAAAAAAAAAAAAAAAAAAAGATAGTCAAAATGAGTGCCATCACATAGAAGGCACTGTAGTAACTACCATGCTTTTTCATCTCCTTCACGTGTGCATTAATTTCTGTCACATCAGTAGTCTGGATGTGCTATTCTATTCAAAATGTGTACCGTGTGTAGGTATATACATATGTACGTATTTGTATATACACGTATAGTACAATGGAATATTGGGCACAGCTTGGTCTAATATATGCCATATGAAAATGTGGCTACTGTGAATATTGGCTAACCTGTTGTCACAAGGTATGTCTCAAAATGGTGTTAAAAATGGTACCCATGTCCCGAATGGCAGAAGCAAAAAGACTTCGTTTCGAGAGTGCTGTGGGAGATACACCATTGTGCATAAAACAAAATTTGAATATCGAACAAATATGTCTCAATGTAGATTGAGGTAAAATTTTGTCCCATGGATCGGAAAATTTGAAATGCAAAAAAATGAGATTGAACAAAAAAAGGATAATAAAATAAGAGAAAAGAAAAGAAAAAAAGAGTAATGTTACAATAGTGCTACACACACTATGATAAGAACGAAGAAAAGAGCAGAAAAAAAGAGTAATGTTACAATAGTGCTACACACACTATGATAAAAAATACAGAAAAGTGCATATCTCAATACATATGCACACACATACATTAATGCACACCTCCTGGATATACTGATTCCAATTAAAAGGGGAAATTATTTTGAAATTCAAAGGGCTTATTGTCAGAATTAGGTTCATTTCCAAATGGTCCAATAGGGTCATAACGCAAATTCTTCTGATTAAAAAATTTATTATCGGGTCCTACTAATAATCCATCTGGTTTTAAAACAGGAATATTGTTTCTAAGATCTGGAATCAAATTTCGTCCAATGGATGGATTCTTATCATCAAAATAATCGTCATTGAAATTTTGTAAAAGATATAAGTCTTTGTCTGCGCGAAAAATATTCTTAGAGTACTCATTTGCATTGGGTTCAACAGTAATGCCTTTCAGGCCTTTCCGATTATTATCATTGTTATTGTCATTTCCATTTTTCATATTACTTAATATGTGTGTCTGAAATATTTTTTCTAACTTTTCTATCTGTATACTTTCTTCAATATTATCAGTTATGTTTTTTTCAGCACTGCAATTATTTATATATTTGTCCATATCAATTGTAACTGAGTGGACTATGGATGGCTGTGCAGTGTCAATAATTTGCAAAACTAACGAATTTTCTATTTTTAATATATTCAAATTATATGTATAATTCTTTTCTGCACTTTTGTACATAAAATTGTAATTATTAGAATTATTCCTCCAATCAGGCTCTATTAATATTCGACTTACAAAAAATTTCTCATTGTCACTATCTATCATATGTTTTATATATCCATCTGATGAAACTTGTATTTTCTCCTTATTTTCTAATACCTTGATATTTTTTTCGTCATTCAGTTTGTATATAAAATTATTATCCAAAATACAACTGTGGAAAAACAACACGAGAATTTCTTCCTTTTTCAACATCCCATTCAGTTTTACAAGATTTTTAAACGTGTTATGTTTAGACATTTTAGGGAAAAAAAAAATAACGTGCGGTACAAAATATACGGAAATGAAGCTCTTATTTGAGGGGCAACTTGGACTTGGAAAATATGGATATCAAAATTGGGGAGTGACGTCAAGCAATGTTTTAAGAGAAAACCGATTTGACGTTAAGGGGCAAGTTCATCTCTGAGAATGTACATGTACGAGTATGTACATAAATACATATATATAGAGATTATGAAAACGGAGGAGGGGTAAAAATTTATCAAATAAATGCATCCAACCGAATTAACAAAAACAAGAGACCTCTATTCAGTATCACGTTTTTATGAACAAACTGCAAAGACGTCCTGTGTTCAAACCAACCAAACGACGTCAAGAAGTTGTAAAAAATAAAGTAAAAATAAAGCAAACATATGTAAAACGTATATATATTTACATACACGCGATGTCTGTTCGTACATATATTTGTGGATATTACAAAACCATACATTGGGTGTTAATATGAACTTGAAATGTGAGAACCATCCAAGTAGTATTATTTTTTAACTGTTTATATGTAGCTTCATATATGGAGAAAAAAAATGCTACAAAAAAAAAAAAAAAAAAAAAAAAAGATTCTCAAAAAATTGTGTTAATGTAGTTGCACTTTGAAATGATTTATAAAAAAAATATATTTAACATAACAATAAATAAAAATGTACACATGCCAGTAAATTTTTATATACACAAATGTAACATTTCAATGCAATTGTGTGAACAATTTTGAGAAAAATATATTTTTTTAAAAGTATTGAAACTGAAAACGTGGAATATGGGATAATTTTTTCACGCGTAGAAATGTTCCTCTTAACAGTTCTTTTTTTTTTTTTTTTTTTTCCCCATCATGAGTTACTTCACAAGAGTGTTGTGCAAAATAACTGTGATGGGTGAATTAAAAAGGGCCATTTTAAATAAGTTCCTGAAGAAGAGTTTTCATTTATTTGCTTAATTATATTCATTTATCCCGTATACCTTTATCGCTTTATCGCTTCATCGCTTTATCCTTTTTTTTTTTTTTTTTTTTTTATATACACCCCCATAATAATGAATGCAAAAACCCATTTGTTTTGTGAAATTAAAGCTTTGAATTTACTCAATTTTGTTTGCGCCATTTGTGAAAGTGCTTTCTTGGAGACGTAGGTACACATGGAAAAGGACAGAAAAGGAGTAGGGAAAAAAAAAAGGCAAAAAAAAGTGAAACAAAAAAAGGGGTAAAAAAATAAAATATCACCTTATCGCGTAGATTTGCACCACTGAGTGACCGTGTACCTCTTATGTCCAAATCGTGAAACCAACAAACGGATAAGCGGCGCTACAAAGACACGTTGTCACATTTCTGCTTATCCACACATACGCATAACTATCTGCTAGGGTAAGAAGATTCTCAACTTCACCTGGAGGAAAATATGTGTTCCAATGGGGTGTATCAATTAAAAAAAATTCTCTTGAAATACAGCGAAACAGGACATAGTAGTAGAAATGTTCGATTTTTTTTAAGGTTTATTTTACCGGATTACAAGGAAGAAAATAAGCACTTAAATTTTGAAATACAGCATGAACAGTATGAGGAACCATTGGCTATATTTGAATACATAAATAATAGTAGGTATGAAATATCTTTGAAAGATATAAAATCGAAGCATATAGTCGATATAATTAATTTGTATAAGGACAGTGCAGGTAATTCAAACTTTTTGAAGCACGGAGGTCCCAAAGTTTACTCACATAGAAGGAGTATTCAGGTATTATTGATAGCATGTTTGCAGATATGTATATAAATTTATACATTTACAACTATATATTATGTGGTTAACAACAAGGAGACAAATTTAGAATAATGATGTGTCTCCCCCATCACCCCCATTTTATCTTAATTCTATGGTGGAATAAAAAGAATCTCCTGTTGCTTATTTGTCAAACCATTGCACATTACCATACTGTTCTATTACGTTTTTTTTTTTTTTTTTTTATCATTTTAATTTTTACTGCTACTTTTCCCATTCGTAGGGACTATGGTGCCCTAGTATATACAGTGAACTGAATGCCATTTCTTACTTAAAAAAAAAAAAAAAAAATAATATTAAATTACCAAAGTATACTAGAGAAAGTTTAAATTTAAATCACGATGTGATCAAGGGAAACGGAAGATGGGGCAATGAAAAATTATTTCCAAAAGGCTTTGATCAAAGATATTTAAAAAATATTTTTTGTTTTCCTTTCAAGGACAGCTTGCCAAACAAGGGCAACCAAAATGAAGAGATGGACGGGAGTGAAGCGCATATGAACTCCTTTTACAAATTTTATAAGGATTAGTAGGCGAGCACTATACCACATTCTCTTGTACATTCTCTTGTGCATTCTCGTGTATATACACTTTCACCACCTGCAGATTTATTACATATCCGTGTGTTCACATATTTATGTGGGGTGTGCGAGAAAACCACATGGTTTCGAAGCATCCAACCATTGTAAAAAAAACGGGAGAATTAGGAAACCCAATTCGGAGGGAATTTCAAAATTGTAAAAAAAAAAAAATAATAAAATAAAAAAAAAAAAAAAAAAAAAACTGTTTTATTACTACTATTTAATTATATTTAAATTTCTTTTTTTATTTATTCGTCATCACAGTGAATTTCTTCCGTTGTGAAAATTTTTTCTCTACTTTTCCTCTCCTCCATTAGAATATCTTTAATTGCTTTAGGCGTTATGTCCATCTGTGAAATGACGGATTAGTGATAGAAATAAAAAGGAAAAAGATGGTGAGAAAAGGGCTATTTTTGACAGGTAAAAAAAAAATAAGATTACAAAAAAAATTATCATGTCCAAAATAAAAAAAAAAAAAAAAAAAAAAACGCAGACACAGATAGAAACATGTTCTTATATATATTTCTCTCAGCTAATGTGTTGCATCCGTGGAGGAAAAAATAAAGAAGTGTGTATGTGTACAAAATATAAATATGAGCTCATTTTGGAAAAAGCAAACAAACCTCTAAATAAAAAGAAGCAATGGTTGAAATAACTTCATAATTACACCTGGTATTATGTTTCTTAATCGTCAACGCAAACAAGGAAAAAACATTTTCATCCCTTAAACTCATGGATGTGAAATATTTTAATATATATACTATATCAATTAAGTTAAAAAGCTCATAATTCTTTTGCACAAAATTAGATATATTTTTTACTAATTCATTATGATAATAATGGAGATTAATTAAACCTTTTATTAAATGTATGATATCATCTTTGCAAAAATGAGTGACTTTTTCATTTATATGTTGAATTAAATGTAGATGAAAATTTGAATTCCCGAGGCCTTTTTTGACAAAAGAGAATATATAAAATAAGTAACAATTATTTTTTACGCTGGTATTTGAAATGAAATTATTTTTGTAACAATCTAATATGCATATCCATAAGTCTGGCTTCACATGAGGCAATAGTGATAACGATCTTGATAAATTAATAATTTCATAACTTTTATATAAATTCCGTTTTACATATATAACAATGAGTTCAAAAATATCATTAAGTACTTTTTTATTAAGAGACATTTCTATCTTGGCTATCCCAAATAATACATTTTTTAAATCATTGTAATGTATATTACTTAAAAAAAAAGGTAGATAATTATTAATTATGTAAATTATATCTTGATAAAATTTTTTATTTTGATATTTCCTTAATTTATTTTTTTTATGATTGTCCTTAATATTATCAAAAATATTTTTATCTTTTAAAAATTTTCTGGATATATCAAATAGGTACACCGTCTCTTGAGGACTATTATTAATACCACATTCCACATTATAACTATTCACAATATGATTATATAAATTTTTATCCACGTATATATTGTGCTTCATGTATGTTTTCTGTTTTCCATATGAGTAAATAATAGAAGGTATTACATTTTCATATTTACAAGCAGTAGGAGAAGTCAATCGAAAATTCAAGTTGTCCAAATGGTTAGAGATATCATTTGCCATACTTCTGCCCTCAGGTTCGATATTATTTTCAATAAGATCATCTTCAAGGTTGACTAGATTACCACTACTATTGATTTTTTCATCCTCATAGTTCATATCGTCCGATGAGATTCTATCATTTATATGATTCTCATTTTTTAGGAATCCCTTTTTTGATTCGTCGGGTAGTTTATTGTCACTCCTTACATTTCTATCAGGGCTGATGATATTTGTTTCATTGGAACAATGTTCACCAAATGAATCACTTTGAACCAGTTTCCCTTCCTTCACATATTTGGCATGCATAAGCAAACGTAGTCTCAAAGCAAGCAAGGAAAAATACTTCTCTGATTTTATATTAGCATTGCTGACACTCCATAGTAAGGATCCAATACATTGTTCATTTAAAACAGAATAAAAGGTAAGAGATTTTTGGAGAAGCGTTTCAAATAGGTGTAAATTAATATTTTTACTTTTACTGTGTGTATTTAATATAATGCATATATCTAAAATGTTGAGATTATCAGAGATAGCTAAAATTCGATCATAAATTAAGGAATATATTTGTTCATTGTTATAATTTAAGCATTTCATACCTTTTAATATTAATGAACAATCTCTTCCTGTAAATCTGGTTACCCAATTTTTTATTTCTTTTTCAAAAAAAGAAATCATATCATTGTTCACATATTTTATTTTCCCCATACTATATATAATAAGAGCTAGCTCTTTACAGTCAATGTCGTGTAATTTATCTATTATTTGATTCCATACATTATCATAGAAATGAAAATTATGATAATTTATAAAAGCGTAGTGATGTAAAATCATAACTATTTCACTTGTCCTCAAATATTTTACAAAAGGTAATATATCATTTGTGTATTTTAATAATTGATACTTGTCAATTCTAAAGATGTTATGAAAATCTCTACATAGGGATGATAAATTAGAAATATCAATTTTTTTTAAACCTAAAACCATTTTGTAATTAATTATAGAATCCGTTTTGTCTTCCTTAATGCTTTTTTCAGCAGCTTGGCAGTAAAGTCGTTTGAGTGTTCCATTTTTTCGAAATAAGTTTTTTGCTGCAAGGTTTTTTTCTAGGATATTTTTCATTAAAATGTCTTTCATGTGAGATATCTAACGGTTTACTTTTAAAACATCAGTGTAAATTGATATAATAGTGATAAACGAATAAGATTTAAAATTGTTCGAACGAACAAAAACCTTTTTTTTCTGTAAACGCTTTACTTACACGATTAAGTTATTTACACATACTTGCATATTATCATGACATGAAGTTAACACATGAATATTTATTTTTCAGTTTAAATGTGAGAAGCAAAATAAAAAAAAATAAATAAGTAAATAAATAAGTAAAATAAATGAAAAATTAACAATGGCCTGATGATTTGCAGTGGACGTGGGAATATAACTCTTCGTTTAAGATTCCTCAAGTTTCAAAAGAGTCATTTTTGGAACACTTCTTGGACACTTGTACAATTGTAGAAAGCAAGAATGTAAGAATGAAACCATAATTAAGCAAAGAAGCGGTTGGAATAACAATAATTGTATCATTTCCGTTCCTTCCAGTAAGGAACTACCGGCACTTGGTGTAACACTTTTTTGAGAAACAAATTTTTTTTAACAAATAATGTTATATCCGTTATTTGAACCCAAAAGAATTTAAACTTAGTTAATTATATATAACTATATTTTATCTCTTTAGGTGCGTGTAAAAATGAGATTAACGTTACATTTTAATCCACTTTTTTTTTTTTTTTTTTTTTCTCGTTTCCTATTTTAAACGACTCTGTTGTTTTAACACCTGTTTTTGTATGCTTTGTACTGACAATGCTACTGCTGATGGGAAAAAAAGTGTGATAAGAGAAAATATTTAAAAGAAAAGAAAATCCGGAAAATAAAAAAAATGAAAGAAAACATGTAACAAAATAGATGGCATGTTTTTTTTTTTTTTTTTTTCATTTTTTTAACCTTTCTTCTTGGTTCACTTGTTCATTTGTGCCTTTTTATTTTTTTATATCATTTCCTCTTTTTTTTACCATTTTCCACTTGGCTTTTTTTTTTTTTTTTTTTTTTTTTTTTTTAAGAATAATAACTGCCTCAACCGTTTTTACAATTCTGAAGAAACCAGTGCTGTAGCTACAACTACTTTTGTAAATAAAAATTTCAAGTGCTTATGCAATTTTGTGTTTTCCATAACACACATTTGAATGTTGGTTACGCAAATAATTGCACATTCTAAGTAATAACAATAAGTAATATGCTATTTTATGTATTTTTTGAAAAATTTTTTTTTTTCCTTTCTTTCCACTAATAAATTTTTTTGTTTCTTTTTGAGGAAGAAACGGAGGAAGAAATTTTCCATACAGTAAGTTTTGCTGCTATTTTTTACTTATCAAGTGCTTCATTTGCTTAATTCATGAGTGTAATGAACCGTACCCGGATGTTATATCAGGGATGTGTACTCAATCAGTACACACACACGAGAGAACCAAGAAGGTGAGAACGATTTGCCCATTTGTGCATACCACCAAAATATAGTAAGACATATAATTCCTAAGAACCACTACCCTTCACTGTGGATGTTCATAATTTGGCAAAAAAGGTTCACTCATATTTTAATAAGTCAACTTATCCAAATGTGTATACACTTGAGAAAATGTAAAAAAGTGTAAATTATTTAAAAAAAAGAACTGAAAAGATATAGGTACGCTATAAAATGCTCATCATTGGAATTGCTGAGTTGCTTATTCTGTTTATTTAAAAACCCATTTGTTTATTATAAATTTGGTGTCGTTTAAATTTTTTTTCTTTCAACATTATCTCCATTTTATTAGCTTAATTTCTTGCGCTTGGTGTAACCCACGAATTTGTGTCATAATTTTGTACACTTTCTGAAGGAGAGGCACAAATAAATTAAAAGCTGTAATTCCAGACAAAAAAAACACCAACATATGAACCAGCATCTAAACCAGCGTCTCAACCAACGTCTCAACCAGGAACAACAGATACTGCATCAGGAATGCTAGGAATACATTCCCACTTCATATATTTGCATTGATGAACATTTGAAAACGCTCAAAGCATTCTTGCCATTTGAGTTCCTCTCCATGACCCAAGTTATATACTTACATTTTCAGTGTGTTCATAATTTGTATACAAATTAAAGGATTAAATTTATACCTTTTGTTCCTCCCCCGTTGGATACACATGTTTATGCATATATATATATATATATATATATACACATACAGACACTCCTACCCACACTTACGCACGATAGTGCCAATATAAATACAGATGCAAAGTGCTCCTCCCAGTTGTGTAGGGGCCTAGAAGGACAGGAGAACATTTTGTTCATTGCACTAAGATGAAGGAATTTGGTATGACTGTAAACAAAAGTGCAGTAGAGAAAAATATCCAAACAAAATGTGCAAGAACAAATAACACAGAGGTGGAAAGAGATACACAAAAAAAGTTAGACTCGCATACATGCATCAACAATTTAATGTCTTCCAATCGAAATGATAACAATTTAATGATACACAACAAACACGAGAAAAACGCTTTAGATAATATAGAAAACTGCGAAAAAGTTATTAACGAAAAAAATTTTAATAAAGGAAGAAATGTAAATAATTGTCGAAAATTTGAACATGAAAATATGTTAGAAATGAGTAAGTACGAATATGAAAATGATGACGTTTCTTCGTGTGAAGATGGATTTGCTGAATCGATTGACAGTAACAATTTAAGTTATTCTGATGAAGAGGAAAGAGGACAAATAGACCAACTTAATGATCACCATAACAATGATGTATATAATAACAGAAGCAGTAATTGTGAAAGACACAACTGCCAAGTTATTGTAAGAATAAAGCCAAGAAAGACAACGAACGATATGAATAAAATGAACGAAAATGACATAGGAACAAGAGGTGGGAATTATGAGAACGTGAAAAATATTAGATATAATAAAAAGTGCCTTTACATACATAACCAGAATTTTTCATTTGATAAAGTATTTTCAGAAGAAACGAAGCAGATAGAAGTTTATTCATACTTATCAGATAATTTTTTAAATAATTTATTTGAAGGATATAATTGTACCATTTTTGCATATGGACAAACTGGTTCAGGCAAAACATTTACAATGGGATTTGATTACATGAATGAATTCTCTGAAAATGTTGGTATTTTACCTCGATTTTTAAACGACATATTTAATATAATTGAAAAAAAAAAAAAAAAAATAGATTTCGATGTGTCATGTACATATATCGAAATTTACAATGAAGAGATTATCGATTTAATAGACTTTAATGAAGAAGATTATAATGAAAAAATCAACTGTAAAAATGCAAAAAACAAAAAAAAAAAAAAAAAAAGTAAAATAATAAACAAAAATATATACATAAGGGAAGATATGAATAAAAAGGAAATAATACTAATGGGGATTAAAAATGAAAAAGTTCAAAATGTGCAAGATGTTTTCAATATTTTGCATAAAGGAAATTTATTTAGAACAACGGAAAAAACATTTATGAATGAAAAATCAAGTAGATCCCACGCAATTTTTACAGTTAATCTAATTCAAAGAAAAAAAACAAAAAGTAACAACAGAGAGGAAGATCCCGAGACAGAGGAGGAAAATTTAAATAACAACCATCAATCTAACCGTATTAACAATCCTACAGAGATACAGAATAAATCTAACATAAATAATAATGAACGAGAAGAAGGAGGAACTACAACTACCAATGGTGATGCTAATACAAATGATGGAGAAGGAAAAAATGATTTTGATTTGGAAAAAGAAGATAATAACAATGGAAATAGGATAGAAAATACAAACAAATCAGAAGTGATATGTTCAAAATTTCATTTTGTCGATTTAGCAGGAAGTGAACGGGCCAAAAGAACAGAAACAAAGGGAAATAGACTGAAAGAAGCAATAAATATTAACTATGGATTATTATCACTAAGTAATGTTATTTATAGTTTATCTAGTAACAAGAAGAGTCAGCATATTCCATACAGAAATTCTAAGTTGACGAGAATACTTCAGGATTCTCTAGGAGGAAATAGCAAAACAGTTATGATTGCATGTATAAGTATTGATATTGTTGATTTTTATGAATCTTTAAGTACAATAAAATATGCTGCAAGAACTAAAAAAATTAAAAATAAACCAGTGATTAATTACGATATTAACAGTCTAGTTATTAACGATTTAAGAAAACAATTATTCAACTTAAATCTTGAATTGAAAAAATATAAAGTGGAATGTAAAGACAAATACATAGATGTGGACAACACATTGGTGAAGGACTTAACTAGCCAAAATAAATTATTAATGCAAAAAATGAAAAACTTAAAAATGAAAAGAAGAAAACTAATTTGTTTAATATTCTACTATTTGACCTTATTAAAAAGGAGAAATCATACACATGCCAATGATTTTATCAATTCCAATAACCTCGTGAACAATGAAAAAAATCACTCTGTCAGTTCTTTTAATGAAAATATATACAAGTCCAAGGTAGTAAATTCCCCAGATATTGCACAGGAGAAAACCTTCATAAAGAAAGAATGGAATTCCACAAGTGCGAAATTATTTCAAGTTTACATGAATGACAATGTTCTTAATGTTAATCATAGCGGAACAAATGTCGATCATAAGGGAACGAATGTTAATCATATCGGAACGAATGTTAATCATATCGGAACGAATGTCGATCATATGGGAACGAATGTTAATCATATCGGAACGAATGCTAATAATATCGGAACGAATGTTAATCATATCGTAACGAATGCTAATAATATCGGAACTAATGTTGATCATATTGGAACTAATGTTGATCATATTACTTGTGGAACTATTTGCAAAGCAGGGACAGACAGCGTAAGTCACAGTGATCACCCTCCAAATGATCTCATCCACAAATGGAGCAACCATTTTAGCTTTAGTTTAAATTCATTTTTTCAAAAAAAAACCAAAGTGGGGAAGGAAAACGAGGAAAATGTGAAAAGAAATTTATCGGAACAACTGAACTTAGTCAATGATAAACATTGCACACACATTTCCAGATATAGTTATGACAATTCAGATGGAATAGTAGATACCCATTCTAACCCTTTAATTAGGAAAGATAATTTTGTTCATAATGAAAAATCGTATCATTATTGTGCCATTAAACACAGTAACAATGAGTATATAGAAGAAAAAAATAGAAAAAAAGAACACGATATGAATAGTATAACAAATAATGGATCCTACGAAGGAACCAAAGATGAAATGTGCCCATGCTTTGAACAACTTTCCTTACAAAATAAGGTTGACAATACTATTGATAAAATTGGACTTGATAGCCAAAGCAAACTTGAAGAAAGTGTAACAATCTTCTTTCCAGAAAAAAATGCTAAAGAAGGTAATGTTTTGACAAATATACAAAAAGAAAACTCGCTGGATCTCTCACTAAATGTGAAAGAAGCTTCTAACGAAGAAACTCCAAATAAGAATCCATCAAATTGGGACTCTATCACTGGAACCAATAAGATATGTACTATGTGCCAAAAAGAAACGATGGTAGAAGACAAAGAAGATTCATGTGATCCGGATTTCAATATGTTAGAAAAAAAATATCTATTCATGAATTTAGAAGAAGATCAAAAATGTGTAGAACACATGTTCAGGCAATTTGAATTAAATAGATACAATGAAAAAAAGTTAAAGGACTTGAACAAGAAATATAATTCCATATTTGAGAAAAACAAAGGTTACGAAAAAAAAATTGACGAATTGAAAAAAATTGTTAAAAAAATGAAAAAATATGCAAAATTGAGTTCAGGGAACAAGTGCGACAAAACAATAAGGAAAAAAAAAAAAGCAATAAAATGTGTTAGATGCAAAAAGGGAACTACAGATGCTAACAGCAAAAGAGGAACAAAATCAGGGGGGAATACATATCAATACGACTCAATTACATGGAAAAAATTGCTTCACATGCATCTGCATAATGAAAATTGCATCATTCATCATAAGCGTAACCATTTTAGTGACGTCGAATTCGAAAGAGAAATGAAAAGGAAAATGTTAAAATATTTTGCAAAAAAAAAGAGCTTCACGGATACAGAAGTTAGTGTAAAGGAGTGTAACTCATTCTGTAGCTATGTGCCAAGCGAGGATCATGATAAGACACGAAAAATGCATCTACTTTACCACAATTTGAATTATCGCCAAAATGGGAATTATTTTTACAGGAATCAGAAGTTCAATGCCATATTACCAATCGTAAGAAGACTTAAAAAAGGATTGAACAGAAAAATAAGAAGCAGGGGACGGAGCAAAAACAGGAGAAAAACAGAAACTGCAGACAATAATGAAAGCGTCCCATCTAATTTTATATGTTCAAGCAACAACGCCGATTTAAAACTCTTTGAAAACTTCGCCGAGGTTGAGGTTTTCCCCTTGGAAAGCAATGACATGAGAAGGAAGGATCCTAAAAATGTGGAAAAAATATATCCCCAAGGAGTCCAAAATAAAAACAAAAAAAATGAAAAGCAGATTGATACAATGGACAGAATGAGCGGAGTAAATATTACAAACCTGCGTAGCAATTTTTCAGGAATTGGTAATAACATGTATAATTTCGATTTCGTAGATTACAAAAGAGGGTATAATAAAATAGAATGTGGTACGGGAGATGAACGAAGGGAGGATGGAACTGATAATAAAACTGATAATAAAACTGATGATAAAACTGATGATAAAACTGATGATAAAAGTGATGATAAAACTGATGATGAAACTGATGATAAAACTGATGATAAAACTGATGATGAAACTGATGATAAAACTGATGATGAAACTGATGATGAAACTGAGAATATTTATGAGAACAGCCATTCGAGCAGTTGTGAGAGGGGAAGTGATGCCGAAAGCAGCTGTAGTAGCGGAAGGGAAAGTAGGAGCTGTGGAAATATGTCCTCTAAATTTTTGAAAAATAAACTAAATAAACTGCAAAAAATTATCAAAGAAGACATTTGTAAAATTAAAAGAGTGAACAAAGAAAAAGAAGAATACAACGCCAGAAATGAACTTCTCGCGAATAGCATAATGAATTTAAAGAAAAAACTACAACATTTACAAGTGAATAGCCAAAATGACAAAAACTGCAAGAAGATAGAAAACATGAAAGGGGAAATACAAAGAATTACAAATGAAAAGGAAAAGATTCAAAAAAAATTAAACGACAATGAACAACAAATTAAACACTTAAAGGTAGATATTAGTAAAATGAAAAATAATTTTTTAAAAACTAGTACATTACTAAAAGAAGAACAAAGAAAACATACGAATATTATTCGTAAAAAAGAAAATATAATAACCAAATTACATGAAAGAGAAGAACATTACATTAATAAACTCAAAAAAAAGGAAGAAATAAGTAAACAGGCATATTCAAAATTGCTCAAAAGAAATCAAGAACTAAATGAAGAATTAAAAAAATTAAAAAAAAATCGAACTAATAGTAAAACTGGAAAAATTAATACAAAAAGGCGTCAAGAAAATCAGACAATTGGGTTCACCAATAAGGGAACCAACTCTGGATTTGCCGCTACAAGGTTTCAGAAACTTGTATTGGAACGTACAGATACTGTACCAGTATTTCCCGTTGACGATCACAATTATGCCAATATGGATGGTGGTCAGGTCAGTAAGGATAGAAGCCATGCCAATATGGATAGAATCCATGCCAATATGGATGGAAGTGAAGCCAATGTGGATGACAAAGATGAAGATGATGAGTACAGTGTGAACAGTCCTATGTATCATAACTTCGAAGTAAAGGACGATTTTAATGCTTCATCTCTGAGCACCATCCTTTCCGATGATATAAAATCAGTGCACTCAAATTCAGACTCCTCATCGTGGAAGACAGAAAAGAACAATTTATCTTTACACTCCCGTTTTAAATTCAATATGAGTGAATACAAATTTCAAAAGAGCTTAAAAAATGATATAAAAATTAAGAGCTATTTAAAGGAGTTTTTGAAAAAGAAGAAGAAACTCAACTCGATCAAGGCAAAATTAGACAAGGAAAAAAGTATGAACAGACAGGTTAAAAAAATTCTACAGGCTTTGCAAGTAAAGAAGAAAAATGAAGATGAAGAGGGGAATGGGGAGAACTGTCTTGTGAAAGATTTAAACATACGAACAGAAGAAAAATCTCTGAACATGAGTAATAATGGGAGTGTATGTATATATCCAGATATCAGCGGAGAAGAACTTTTGGAAAAAAAACTATTTCATAAAAAAGAAAGTACTTTAGAATTTAACTCGGATAGGCAAAAAGAATGTAACGACAAAAGCCAGAGTAATAAAGAAATGCTTCAAGAAAATTCCATCTCTGTGAATGACAAAAGTGGAGAAGAAAATTTGAAAATTTCATTATGTGATGAAAAAATCGATGAAGATGTTTTATATTATGAAAACAAACTAAAAGAGTCCAACGAATTCATAAAAAAGTTAAAAAGAGATATTATTACAAAGAAGGAAGAATTCATTTTGCAAAAAGTTGTAAAACATTTACTGAAGAAGCTACATTTCAATTTTAAAAAAAGAAAAGAAAATGAAAAAAAAATAAAATCATTAAAAAAATTTATCTATTCTGAAAATTTGTTTATATCGAACATTTGTAATAATTTTTTTTATTTGACAAATGTAACAAACAATTCAGTAGCGACAATTGGTGGCAACCCTTATTTGAATAATCCTATGACGATCCCAATTTATTCAAATCAAATAAATAACATACATGATGAAAAATCAAATGGATGGTTGAATATTACTTGCACAGAAAAAAACATAAAGAATAGAAATCCAGGAATAGGTGATTTTTTCCCGATATACAAATTTGATCAGGTTAATGGAGTCCTACCAAGAAGCATTCATGGGAATGTTTTTTTGAATGGTAAGAAGAGAAATACATTTAACACTTTGAGAGAATTTGATTCCAGTTTTGAAAAGAAGAAGAATAACACAAATTTAAAAAAGAGAAGTTATAAAAGTAGACTAATGGAAAATATACATTTAAACAATTTTAATAAAAGAAGAATTGTTTTATCAAGAAGTAACGATTTCATCGAAAATGGCAACTGTGAAACTAAAAGAGGAAAGAGATATTCAGATGGATTTTACTTAAACAAAAGTTGTAGCTCATATCCAGAATTTAATGCTACTATATCAGTTCAACAGAGTCTAGATATGACTCACAATGGTTATGAACAAATAAATGAAATACCAAGTGAAAGGGGGAAAAATATCAATCTTAATGCATTGAATATTTTATGTGACAACAATTCAGGTATAGAAAAGGAAGAACAACAAATGATGCACCCTACCAAAGATTTCGATAATAACATTGATTATGTTACACGCCCAAATTTAAACATTAAAAGAAAGACAATAGATAATTGCTACATTTATGCGAATAAAGAAAATGGGTGTAATTTCCTTGACTATTATAAAGACGTTTTTTCGAGGGATCATTATAACATTAACGATACTAATAGTGATGAAAAGGAAAACAAAAAGGATTTCATCACTCATTTTGATCTGAACCAAGGTTTGTCATTCAATAAATCTGAAGAACAACAATACATAGGATTGCCAGCAGAAGAAAGCCAATCATTTTTACATAACACTAAATATGACAAAAATAATATTTGTCCTATAGATTCACTAAAACGTTCATATATGACAAATAAGGAGAGTAATAATGAGACCTTTTCAAATGATAAGAATGAATTAAATGAAACTAAACGATTAGGAGAAAATGTACAAGATAAGGAAAGTAATTTTTTAAATTACAAAAGTCCCCATGCTTCTAACATGATAGAAAAAAAAAAAAAGAGTCGAGAATTAAATCGTGAATTAGATCGAGAATTAAATCGTGAATTAGATCGAGAATTAAATCGTGAATTAGATCGAGAATTAAATCGTGAATTAGATCGAGAATTAAATCGTGAATTAGATCAAGAATTAAATCGTAAATTAGATCAAGAATTAAATCGTGAATTAGATCAAGAATTAAATCAAGCATTAAATGGAGCATTAACAAATATGCATATTAATGGGGAGGACTACCACATGGGTGATAAAGGAAAAAATCGTGAATTCCCAATTGGGGATAAGTATAAGACAAAAAAAAATTTCGAAGGAGGATGTGACATCAGTTTATGTGAAAATAAGAGTATCCAGAACGCAGAAGGCATGAAGGGAAACTTTTTTTATACATGTACATCATCTTCTAATCAACATTTTAAGGAAAACAAATTGGATTTTATTTGCCCACCACGTAAAATGAGTCGAAGTGGAATCTTCAATAAGGATCCAAACAGGAATGGAAGTGGCAGTAACAGCCGGAATAGCAACGAATGTGCAAACCTAAATAAGAACGAGAATGATTACAAAAATGAAAAAAATACAATGAATAAAACAACACAAAGTCTGAACAGCACAAGCACAGACGGAATAAAGAAAAGACAACCAAAGGTCTGTACTATTAAATCGAAGAGTTTAGACGAAAATAAAATGGTTCATAATACCCTATCAAATGTTAAAAATACTTGCAAACAGAAGGAGAACAAATTGAATGATATCTGCTCAGATGTGCCTGTAAGAATTATGAGAGGAACAAATTTAACAGATGCAGAGACAAAAGATTCGGAAAGGATCGAACTTACTGAATTGGCAAAATTGGTGAAAATGGTGAAAACTGTAAAAAATACAGAAAATCAAAATGACAGTACAAAAGAGGAATACAAAACTCGAAGAAAAAACATTTCACTCAATGCAGAAACAAAGCTGGTGAAGAAGATTAACGTAAACAATTGCTCTACAAATCAGACAGAAGAAAAAGCTCATCACAATGTATTAGTCGAAAAGGGAGATAATTCTGCGTATAAAATTGGAGGAATTATGTCTGAAATGGACTCTTCAGCAATTGCTCAGTGGAACAGCAGTAACAGCAGGAATGATACAAAATGTGAGAATTTTTACAATTATGGAAGTCTGAATGAGAGGGGTGAAATGACCCTAAGTAATGATAATCTCCAGTTTGGAATTAACGGGGAAGAGTTTAAAAAGATAGAAAAAATACACGAAGAGAGCATTAATGTTTTTAAAAACAAAATGAATAATTTAAACATAAACAATGAATCGTTTGATAATATAAACATGATAGATAAACAGTTTAAAGGAAAATTGCACAGCTGTGGGAACTATGATGTTCATAATTGTGCAGGAGAATTCGCAAATAGCAACACAAATATACAGAAAAGTTATAAAACTGTATGTATAAAGAATTGTCATAAATATGGGGTAAGTGGTTTATGCGTTAAGGGATCAAACAGCAAAGGTTTAACATTTTTAAGTAGCTCAATAAACAATATAAAGTTATGGGATGGTAAAAAAAACATATGGAATTATGATCATATAAACATAAAAAATGAAAAAAGTACATTTATAAATAGCTTAATTATATCTTTTCAAAAAAATTGTTTTTTCTCTGGTATCAATAGTTACGTACATTTATTTGATATTCGAACAAATCCTGTTTCTTTGCAAAAATATTATTATAGTGACAAAAATGATGGCAGTTTATTAATTTCTTTACTAAATGACAAATCTGATTATATACCCTTTATATTACAGAATGGGGAAATGTCCACTTTTAACAACACAAAAGAATATATTTGGAATGACAACAACTCGACAGATGTAAGTTGTACATATGAAGATTTGCATAAATCGGAGCAGATGTACCTAGGAGAAGACATAAATGTGGATTCCAAAGCCAACGCCTCATCTATGAAGCAAGAAGAAAATAACCAAAGGAACAACCAAAATAAGAGCCAAAAGAACCATCAAACAAATAGTATTAATAATAACAAAATAGATGCAAATGAAGAAGATGCAAAAGATAAATTAAAAGTAATTAAAGATGTCGAAAATTTCCAATCCGAGTATTGTATATGTGCCTGTGGAAATGAGAATTTTATTAAAGTTTTTGATATCAGGAAAAATGATGAAAATATGTGGCTAGCCAAAATACCAATAACAAATAAAATTGAGTATATAACACACATTCCAATAAAAAGAAACGGAAGAAATGTTACAAAAGATTCCAATATATTAAAAAATGTAATAATAGCAAGTAGAGATAAGACTGTGAAAATATGGAAAAAGGGATGGGTGTCTTTTTATCCCCCTTCCTATGATTGGTGCACGTCACTATCTAATTTCAATCTTTCGGATTTGATCAAAAATAAAAATAATTTAAATATCATGGAACGGTCAGACGAATATGCAAATAACTTTTTTAATTATGATTCGTTAATTGTATCTGGAAGTAGAGATTCTCACCTCCGTTTTTGGCTTTACGCAACAGATAATACAACAAATGAATTTAACCGATTCATGAAAATTATTAAAAATGCTCATATGGTGGATATAACGAGTATATCCAAATATCAAACCAATGCTCTAGTTACCACGGACAGGTATATATATATATATATATATATACAATGTATGAACCATTTTCCCTGCTTCACTCCTGCATTTTACGTACAATTATTTCAACTCATCCCAATTTCTACACTTATACAGGGATGGATATATTCAGATGTGGGATTGCAACTTATTAATAAATGATAATGAAAAATCTTTACTTGATATGGACATATATAATAACCAGCTTAACCTTGCAGTAAACAAAATAGGGAAAACACTCAGGTTAAATTTTTTCATCTTTATACTTGTTCATCCTGCTCGTAGATACATGCATGTGTGTGTTTATTAAAAGAAATGTTACCATTTTTGCAATGTTATCTACGTACTTATGGATATCCACATTGCATGATGCGTATAAAAAGGAGGATTAATCATTTGATGTTACCCACAGATACAATATTTTCCCCGTCCACTACACTTTTTTTTTTTTTTTTTTTTTTTTTTTTATAGGCACTCATCAAATGCCATCAACAAGGTGGTATGTTATGAAAATCATTTTTTAACTGCTTCAAGTGACGGGTCAATAAAAATATTCTGCGAAAAATAAGACTATAACATTTCCCATTTAGCCATAAGAAGTATATATTTATATGTATATATCATAAGTATTTTTAAATTCTATGCAAAAATAACAATTTTTTTTTTTAACAGTTTATATTTTTTTCGAAATATAAAACTTTTGGTGCATCCAAAAATGTGTTAGTGAGATGAGAATTTTGGTAATGTCTCGTCAAGTGGTTCATTTTTACACAATTTTTTTTAACAACATTTTTCATTTTGAATAATGCTTAACTATATATATATCCCTTTGCAACTTTGTACACTTGTTACTTAATAAATGTGTACAAAAGAAAAAAAAAAATTTAATTTGAGTTCCTCTCTCTATAAAGAAAATGCGTACACATTATGTTACATAAAAGATAGTTATTGTAGGAAAAATGTTCTTTGAGATGATGGTTTATAAGACAGTAGATTATTTTTACATTTCACAAATGTTTAAATGTTGTAACTACTTTTTTTTGGTGAAGAACTCTTCATATGGTTATTATGCATATCACTTCAATAGTTTCCAATTTTATACAGGGAAAAAAAAAAAAAGTAAAAAAGTTACATTTTGTTTGGCAAGTGTAACAATTTTTTTTCTGTGTTTATGCAAGATTAAAGATATAAGAAAAAACTACAATTTCTGTGTGCTGTAAACATAACAGTTTTTAAGTAGTTTTTCTTTCTTTTTTTTTTTTTTTTTTTTTTTTCTTTTGACTCAAATGTGGAATGTATTAAAATAAAAAGCATGACAATCACAGTTGAATGAACTCCCTTTTCTTTAGTTAGCTTCTCTGCTTTTCTTTATTTTTTTTTTATTTTTTTGCTTCTCATGGGCTATTCATAATTCATTTTTAAAAAATGACTCCATATAAAACAAGAATAAATTTGCAGCAAATTAGCATAATTGTAACATCAGAATATTTTCCTATGCTGAAGTGACATAAAATAAGCCTTTTTTTTTTTTTTTTTTTAAACCTACCTCTACTGACATAGCAGAGCTAAAAATTTTGGAAGTTTATATTTATTTTATTTATTTTTTTTTTTTTGTATTTATTTCAAAGCTGATGGTCAAAATACTTCAGATAATACATGAAAATAGCTTTGCATAAAATATGTATCGTGTAGTTAAAATCATCTTAACTAGTCAATTGTAACGCAACAGTAAGGACAACTCTTACACATGTTCCTCTTATTCTACATAACTTCTCCCAATTTTCAACTCCCATCATTTATTGACAAATATACTCGATACCTTACATGTTACAATTCCGTTTACCATTTTTATAACACAATTATACGTATATGTCCAATCTTCACAATGTAAATATGGATGATAAAAAAAGAACAAGTACAAGTTTAACGGCTGAAGAGTACGTTTTCCCATGTGATAAAAATGAAAATGTAGAAGATAGAAAAAAGATAAAAGATTTAACTACATTATTAAATAGCTACACGAAACATGATGCTTTAGATGATGTTAGTGATTTTTTAGCTAGCTCATACAAAAGCTTCCTAATTAATTGTATATATGTAGAATTGAAATGTACTACTAGTAGAGAATTGAACACTCTGATAAGCATATGTCTAGATATCATAAAAAACAATCACGAAATATTCAAGTACCAAAATATTTATTTTATCAGTCTAAATACGCTATTTTTCTTACTAAATAAGGTGGATAATGTAAACAATTACTTGGAATATTTGTCATTCAGAATTTTTTACAATTTATTATTTGCAGATAATTGGACAAAGGACAATCACATTGAAGTATTTGCAAAATTGAATTACATTAATTTTTTTATCATATCGAAAATTTTTAAAAAGTATGTAATAGATCCCAACAATGATTCTGACATTCCCCCCACTTCTCGTATTAACAAAATTATAAATCACGTATCTGTCGAATTTTTATCTTATGAGAAGGAGAATCATTACACTGTAAACAAAAGTGGGGTCATAGAAAATACCGAGAATATTCGACTAAATAAAAACTTTAGTCTTTGTCATGATTATTGTGACCATTTAAATTCAGTAAATGTTGAACGTGCATCTTCTTTATCAAGGAATAAATACATTTTTCAGAATTTACAAGATACCTCCATACTCGTTCCTATAAATCTTAAAAATAGGGAGATATTTGTTAACTATCATAATGATAAGATATTATGGCATAAAAGACGCAAAATTGTTATATATGAACATACTTTAGAAGAGAAAAAAAAAACAAGTAATGAACAACATAACGGTGATTCTAATGTAACCTTGGTTAATTCAAATGATGAACTAGTTTTAAAAATTTACCAAACGATTATTCATTTGGTTATCAAATTTGACTTAACTATTTACATTATATGTGAATGCATAAATGTGTTGTTAAATTTATGTGAAAAATGCAATCAGGAATTAATACTTTATGATTTTCTATTGTTATACAAATTTTTCCTAAAAAGTGACCAAAAAAAAAAGTCACAACGATTTATTACCTTTATGATACAGTTAATTACCAAATGTAGAAAGGAAATTCAGAAACAATTATTTTTTAAATTGATAAAAGGTTTTAACTCCTTTTTGAATCTCCTTTATGTAGATAATTCTGACATACGTATGCAAGCTAAAGGGTGTTTACTATCATTAGATATATTTTATGAACACTTGAATAACAGCACAACAGGACAGAAGCAGCATTTACATAGTTCTAGTACACATATCAGAGGGCATCATATGGCAATATGTGTAAATAATGAAATTTCTAGAATTATGAATTTAATTTTATTTCATCTTAATTATATCCATGATGTTAGTAATAACCAGTATGCGGATAAAGTCACGAAAGAAGCTGAATATGACAATTTTTTTAAGATTAGAGCAAGTAAAGATTTTCTGTTGAAAAGTTACATAAATAAACAAATTAGCATAAAAAAAGATAAATTATTTTGTAAAGACAAAAATGAAACAAATAAAAACATCATAATTACAAATAATATAGTAGAAATGGAAATTTTGATGAAAACGTTTGACTGTATTTTTAGTCTTGTTCCAGATAGAACCAGTTACAACGTATGCTTTATTTTTTTTTTCATAAGCACTTTGATGTCAATTAAAAAAATATGTAAAAATAAGCAGTTTGAATTTCCAAAAAAATTCTTCTTTTTTATAAAACATTTATTTATCCAAACAATATACGTGCTAGAAAGCATAGACAGAATGGAAGACCAAACAATGAATAGCAAAAACATAACTGCAATAGTCGAATATTTTAGTATCGAAAATGAAACAAGTTATAATAAAAACAGTAATATTACTCTATTTGAAGAAAGAGATGTAAAACAAATTATTGAACGCATTAAACTTAGCAGCAGAGTAAGAAGTGATAAACCATTTATTTTGCTTCTAGAGGAAATGTATTCCAGAGTTATAACATTTTTAATGCCAAATGAAAAGAAATGGACCTTTTTAAATTCTTCAAATTTTTACTTTTTCAAAAAGGTTCTGTTAAGAATATCACATTTTTACCATAAAAAAAACGGAAGTAAAAATATGATGAAGTTATTCTTTTTGAAAAGCATTTTTAAAAACATAAAAAAAAAAACGAAATGGAAGTTGAACTTTAAAAAGGTGCATGGTGAAGAAGAGAACATAACTTTACAAAATATGCAGTTAGGTTATAAGAAGTATGCAAAGCTTTTTTGTGAAAAACCAAAATACATATCATCAGAAATGGCATCTTATTTTTCATTTTGCTTAGATTTTCTAAAAACATTTGTTTTATTTGATAAATCACTTAGTTACCATTTAAAGGGAAGTAAATATAAAAGTCTTATTATAAACATTTGCAAAACTACAATTTTTAAGTACAATTTTTTTTTACCTGCCAAGAGTACAACCAACTGCTTTTTCCATTCAATTATAGTCCTTCGCAATGTCTATTTAAACATTTATAAGAGTGGAAAGGGAAATAAATTATTACATGAAATTTGTGTTACAATTTTTTTATGTTGTAACAAAGCATTGAACAGCATTAAGAGGGATGATGTTATTTTTCATAATAATAACAAGTTGGGGTGTCTTAAGAAACATTATAAAATGAAACAGAGTTCATACAGCATATTTTCTGACACAATTAAAACACAGAGTAAAGGAAAGACATGTCCCATTATAATAACAAACAAGTTTGAAAAATCGTTTAAAGAATATTACTTAAATAATTCTTTACCCATTTTTATAAAATGCTTAGACGTCATGACAGATATAGTAAAATTAAACCTTTTAAGACACAAAGTTAGTAGCACTAGGGTAATTATCAAGAAATCGAAAATTGAAAAAAGAAAAAAGAAACGACTTAAAAATTTAAAAAGTGAAAAAAACTTAATTTTATTCACTCATAGATGTATGAGCAATTTGTGTAAATATCTTATAAAAAAAACGAAAGAAGATTTTTTCTATAGTGCTCGAAAATACATATTAAATTTTATTCAGAACTTTATCGCATTAAATACCATTTTAACCCTAAAATATAAAATTAGGAATAATTTAAATGTGGAACAAATTTTGAGTTTCTGTTTTTATAACATTTACACCGATCACGACATAAGCACTTTTTCAATCATACATTACATAGCTTTTTGCTTAAAAAATTACATAAATTTATGTGGAACAAAAATCAAAAAGTCTAATCATTACCTGGACGTATGTGATGATTTAATATTCCAAATTGTTGATGAATATTACTCCTATGATTTCCCGTAAGTATATATCTAACAAATTACAGCACACATTTTGCACTGTCCCCCTGAAGGACATTTTGTGCAATTACGTTTTTGTCAAACATGTCCTCATTATTTTCGCCAGTTTCATCATTATCACCAGTTTTATGATTATCACCAGTTTTATGATTATCACCAGTTTTATGATTATCACCAGTTTCATCATTATCATCAGTATCATTATTATCATGTGTATTTTTTTTTTTTTTCTCGTGTTTTTTAATGCAATACAGAGGAATAAGAAGCAAGATTATAAATAGTATACTCATCCCTTACAGTTATTTCACACATTTTTTCAATCTTCTATTTCTTCTTCTTTGCAGTAAAACGAATTTATGGGAGGAATATGTATCCAAAACTGTTAGTTTTAACTCTTTAAAAAATACTAGTGTAGATTGTCCAGGAGAATAAATCAGTACAGTGGGTAAGAAAACACATTTGCGTTATTTTGTTTATTCATGTGATACTTTTCTTGATCCAGTATTTATTATTTTTCTTTTTAGACACCATTAAGTATGTACTACTTGTTGAGGGGTCATTAAATATACCCATTTGAAATGAATTTACCCCTGTCCATTTTTGTTTGAATTACAAATTTGGAAAAAGAATTTACAAAACAGATATGCTTTTTTTTAAGAACAATTTTCAAATTAGGAAAACGCATTCAGTTATACAATACTGTTAATTTTTTCCTATTGCTTTTTTTTTTTTTTTTTTCTGTTGTTGTTTTTTCCTTATGAAGCTTTATGTAATACATGCACAAAAAGTGGCAATCACTTAAGTGTTCTATAGAAATAATGTTACATTAAAAATAGTTAACAACTCTTAAATAATATACATGTAGTAATGGTATCATTTTTGTCTTTAAAATAATTTTTTATGTTCTTATGTAACTTCAAAATTTCAATGTTAACACCGGAGACACTTTGCTTTACTGTATAAAACTTTTTTTTTTTTTTTTTTGCATACATATGATGCAATAGAAAGGGAAACAAACAACGGTGGTTATAATGAGAATAATACTGCACATATAACGAAAAAATGGCTATCAAAAGAGGCTCCATTCATTTTATACCAGTTGTTTTGTAACATTCCTTCTTTACTATTTTAATTTTTGCCTTTTGGTTAATCATAGGGCATACAATTATGCTTTTTGCCAAAAAAGAATCTATAAATTCAGTGTTCAGATAAGCCATATTTGTTCTTTTACCCCCATATGCACACATGTGCATAAAAAGGAAAATTGAAAAAAACACACTTTTTTCGTTTTTCGAAAAATGTAAACAGTGCGACATGGCAACAAAATGTGTAAAGATGTGCTTTCGTATACGAAAGTTGGTTTTAAGAAATACAGATATCTCCAGTACTGGGGAAAATGAAATGGTTCACGTGTTTCAAATTATTTTGTAGGAAGGTAGCCAAAAGGAAAAATATGTAAATACGTGTATATATATGTACATATATATATACTTATATGAATATCCCTCCTTGCTGTTCATATTTTTTTTTTTTTTTTTCTAATACAAGAAAAAAGTATGTGCATGCGCAGGGAAAAAAATGATGGTTCGTAAGAGCAGGTATCGATATGTTGACTGTATTTTTGTTTAAAAAATGAAAATATCCCCATATTCATCAAATTTTAGTCATTTAAAAAATACGAAGAAAGTTCCTATAAATTAAGGAGGATTATTCTATAGGCACAAAATTAATGTACACATTTTAGACAATTTTCTCTATTTTTTTTTTCTGTTCGCTATGCATTTGCATTGTAAATTTTTTACTGAACGGTTAATTATTTGGTAAGCGTTGTAACACTTTTTTTTTTTTTTTTTTTTTTTTTTTATTTTGCGTGTGTGTAATTTGATAAATCATTAATAAGAAAAGCTATAAAAAGTGAAATAATAAAACTCTAAAAAAATTTCATCAAAGAGAATAATTAATTTTATGTTTAATATTTTTATGCATAGTTTAGTGTTTGTTTGCAATATACAGAAAATTTGATGTCTTATTTACATAATTTTTAATAGATTGTTTTTTTGTTTTTTTCTACAGTACATATTTGTATATAGCACTTTTCTTCAGGGCAAAGGAAAGAATTTCCACAAGAAAAACAGCTGCATTTTTTTTTTTTTTTTTCCCCTTCATTTTACTCTATAAAAATAAAAAGTTTATCCATTTGAAACAACTAATGCCACGAATGATGTATATGTCCACGAAATATGTAGTTGTGTCCTTGAAAATATAGAAAATGAATTGATTTATAGTGTCAAGTCAAAGTTTCAAAAAAGTGTATATTGTTAAATTAACATGAAAAATGTCTATAAGAGCTTTCTGCACGCATGTAGACACATGCTTATATATATGATACACTCCTTTCCTAATAATCCCTTAACTTTTTAGGTTCTTTAATATTTATTTTTTTTTTTTTTCTTTTGTTGTTTCAGTAAATTTTTTTTTATTTTTTATTTTTTATACTTTATTTTTTAGTTTTTATCTTTTTTTTTTTTTTTTTTTTTTTTTTTTTTTTTTTTTTTTTTTTTTTTTTTTTTTTTTTTTTTTTTTTTTTTTTTTTTTTTTTTTTTTTTTTTTTTTTTTTTTTTTTTTTCATTATCGTTTAATACATAGCACTTTTTTGACACAAAAAGGTACATAAGCATTTATGTAACTATTTTGAGTAAACCTAATTTGCTTTACAACTTTACTAGTAGAAAATTTCCAGAAAAAGAAATTAACAACTTAATGCGGAAGTTAATACTTTTGGTACAAATTCGTATAATTATGTATTATTTGCTCCACCACCACCCCAATATGTCTCTCACATAGGAAGAGACACAAAAATTAGTTACACCTTTTAATACACATGCTATAATAATTTAAGGATTTTTTTTTTTTCTTTATAAATAATACATAGAGGTGTATTTAGAAAAATTACATTTTTTAATCCTCTAAATTAACCCTAAACAATAATCAGCAAATCAAACACACATAAGCGACTACAGAAACGTAAAGAAATAGCAAAATAACACAAATAATAGAATGGATTCATGTTTAACACACGATGTTGAAAATGAATATGACGGAATTTTTGCAAAAAGCAAATATTATTATAAAATCCATTTAGCAAACACGAGGTATGATATTATCAGAAGAGTAGTTCAGGATTCTGAAGATTGGATTGAAGCTAATCCGGATTCTAATGATTGGGATGTTATGTGGATAGACACATCCATCTCCGATGATAGGTTTAGGAAATTGAAGAAATTCCAAAAAATTAACCATTTTATTGGAATGAAAGGTATTACAAGAAAAGATGAATTATGCAAAAATTTAAAAAAAATGAAAAAGAATTTTCCGCAAAGTTATAACTTTTTCCCTCGCACATGGGTCTTACCAAACGAAATATCCGACTTCAAAAATAATTTTAAAAAGGAAAATGGTTCAAAAACGTATATTGTTAAGTTAAAAAATTCATGTCAAGGAAAAGGTATTTATTTAACAAAAAGTTTAGACAATATAAACAAATATGAAAGTTGCGTAATTCAAAAGTATATTCACAAACCGCTACTGGTAAATGGTTTGAAGTTCGATATCCGATTATATGTTTTGGTAACAGGCTGTGATCCACTTAGGATATTTTTACATGAAGAAGGTTTAGTAAGATTTTCAATAGAAAAATACAAATTACCAAAATCGAAGAATCTAAAACGGGTGAATATGCATTTAACGAATTTTTCCATTAACAAAAAGTCAGATAAATTTGAAAATTCCCTAGATCCTAACGATGCAACCACAGGACATAAAAGAAGTTGGAAAGCATTTTTACATAAATTAAAAGAAGAAGGATTGCCCATGGATTCAGTAATGAAACGCATTGAACATATGATTGTTAAAACAATTTGTTCAATACAACCTGAATTGAAGCATTATTACAATTCAGCTCATATTAGTGATTATTCTAATAGTATGTGTTTTGAAATATTAGGATTTGATATTTTACTAGATTATAAATTAAAACCTTGGTTACTTGAGGTGAATCATTCTCCTTCTTTTGCGACAAGTTCGTTGGTGGATGAGAAGGTAAAATATGCAGTTATCAGGGACACGTTAGTCATTTTATATATGCATTCGAAATATAGACATCTTTATATTCAAGAATATTTAAATTTGCAAAAATTTAGAAAAAAATATAATGATATGTTGCTAAAACATAAAAAAGAATTAAAAGAAAAGTTAACTTTAAGTCGTTTTCATTATGAAAATAGGAACTTGGGGGGATATAAAAGAATCTATCCCTTAGCAGAATTGATGGATTATGAAAATCTTATTTTATTTGTTTCCAATGCTTGGAATAAATCAATTGGAATTCCTTATTCTATGAAAAGAGATTCCTTTGAGTATTTATTTGAAGATAACACAAAAAAGAAGAATCAATCAAAGGAAAAATTAGCTATAACTGACAATTCAGTGCTAGAAGGGCATCCATATTTGTTAAATATGTTGGAATATAACAAGTACTATTACTCAGATAGGACCAATGTAAATATGAGCAACTGTTCTACCTCTTGTTAGGAGATAGTTAGGAATGTTAAGGGGTTGCGACAACTTCCTCTTTTATATTACTCAGTTATACCACACTATTGTTGTACTATGTTATTTCTCCGTATCATCTCGTTATAACATTTTATCGCAGATTTTTTTCCCCATTTGAGAACAAATAACTATAAAAATAAAAAAAAAAAGGAATCCATAAATTTGAAGTGTTTACATTTTTAAGAATTATTCTAAAAGTTCTCTACGTGGGGAACTTCATGGACGTCGTTTCGCCTTTGGCACGCGACGGTCAGGTGTAAATTTGTTGCGGATTTTTTGGAAAATACTTATTTGTTTATAGGAGCAGGGGGGTAGATGTATGTATGAGTATATACATTCACGCGTTTATATGGATCTGATTATATGTGTAAATATTTTTTTTTTTTTTTTTTTTTTTTTTTTTTCTTTGCATATATGTAAGAACAGTCCAACAAGCAAGATAAAAGCCTGCTGATAATTAGCTGCGTTGAATTAATCGTTGCAAAAATAATGTGTGTATCAAATTAAAGATTACCTAATTCAAGATAAGACATGATTAGAAAAAAGAAAAAAAAATATATAAATATTTATAATATCATTTGAAATGAAAAAGTTTGTTATATATGGAAACTAATTCACAACAAGGAAATATGCGTAAAATGTAGGGTTTTCTTAACTAAGGTAGTTGAGACACAACAAAAAAAGAAAAAAAAAAAAAAAAAAAAAAATTAAGATATTACAAATTGTTGTACATATGTAAAATTCCCCAAATAATAAATTAAGGAAAATCTTAAAATGTACAAACATTTGTATTTTTACTTTTACAAAACATAAAAACAATGCGAAAAACATATTCAAAAGGGATTGCTAGCATATAGTAATTTGTTAACTGGCATGGTGTTTATATCAACCACGTAAATACTGCAACTACTGTGATGAAGATGAATTTCTCTAGATTCGTATATTAAGGGGAACATCAACAACAAGAACGAAAAAAAAAAAAAAAATAAATAAAATAATGATGGCGTAAAAAATGGTATAAAAATGCCATAAAATGGAATGAAAATATAAATAAAAATAGGTGTGTCTATCCAAGGGTAACTGGTATGAGATAATGAGGAAACTGATTAGTTCCATATGCTCATGTATCTTTTATGAAATTTTAAAAACAAATTTCCTTTTCAAGTTATAAACCATTTTTTGCTACTAAACCTCTAAATGATTTAAATGCACTGGAGTTCAGAGTTGTAGCAGATAAGGATGGTTAATATGCATGTATGATTTTCTGAGAAGTACATTATATCATATTACATTAAATCCTATTTGATTGCTTTTTTTTTTTTTTTTTTTTTTTTTTTTTTTTTTTTTTTTTTTTTTTTTTTTTTTTTTTTTTTTTTTTTTTTTTTTTTTTTTTTTTTTCTGTTGTTTCTTCTTTGTTTTATCATTGTAGATATTTGAATTATTCTGTTTATTTTTACATGTTTCCAAAGAGTTTAACATATGAGAGCACATGAAACGGTAATATCATCCATTTTCCCACCTGTTTTGTGGCATTTAAATTCTTTATTGTAGTTATTTATGTAGGGCGATATCCACCTTTTCATTTTCGAGTAATTAAAAGCCTCATTGGCTATTTTTTCTGATAGGGAAGAAAAGTTGTTTTGTTTAACTAAATTTAATATTTGGTTATCATACAAATTATCCCATAATCCATCTGATCCGGCAACAATGATATCATTTTTTTTTACTTCAATATGTGCAATGTCTGCGTCATTTGGTTTGCTTACTTCATTACTTCCCAACTGATAAGGGAAATTAAATTCATATTGCTGTGGCTTGGAGCGGTAAACAATGGTATCATTTCGAATCAGGATAAATTGAGAGTCTCCAATGACTGCTGTAGATATGGTACTATTGCTATTAAAAATTATTAGACAAACAGTGGTTGATCCCTGAATATCATTATTTAGATATGCATAGTTTAATACATCTTCTATTTTTATATTTTCATTTTCATCTATTTTTTTTTGTAAAAGTTGTAAAAATTTTTCTGGGTATTTTCTTGGATTTACACCATGCCTTATCCACGATCCCACACCATCAGCAATGGCCATAAATGCTTTTCCATTCAAACAACAATCTTCACTTTCTACTTTGTCTGGATGTTTTATAATTTTATAATTTGTTAAAAAGGAATGTTTTGCAGTTGAGCAAAAGGCTTTTTTGTTGAACGAGAGGAGTATTTTTTTTTTAATTTTATATTTCAAATATACACTATTTGCCATATTAAAAAAATTGAAAGGTAATTTATTTTTTAAAAATGTACAAGGTAACTTTGTGATAAAATTAAGTTCCTTGGAAATGTTATTCGTAAGCTGTGTATCACATTTTGTATTTGTGAAATTGGAGTTCTTGTTGCTGCTTTGGATATGTAGGAAAGATAATTTATCCATAATGTTATCCTTCATAGCCAATTCATTTTTTGTTTTCTTTTTCTTTTTTAATTTTTTCTCGAATTCTTTAGAAAAAAAGTTAAAATTCTGTCGATAAAAGTAGCAATCTTCCTTTTTCAACAAATAACTCATTTTCTTATTCTGCAAGTTTTTAATAGCTACAGCATGTGTATAGTACTTAGCGGGTACTTTTTTATAAGAACTAAGCATATTCTTTAAAAGTACAATCACAAGGGGAAATAATATAACGATCATCTATATTCAAAATCCTGTGTTTTCTTTTTCTTTCGTTTTTTTTTCCCCCCTCATCCACGTTTTAAAAAGGAGATGCCGTATTTCACTGTTCTGTTACAACATGCTCGTTTATAATTATGATTTGCTGTTCTTTCTATGTTATATTATTTACTTATCCACATTTTCCTCCTTTATTTTCTTTCCTATTTCGTATTTGTACTTTTTATTTTTCCAAGAAAAAAAAAAAAAAAAAAAAAAAAAAAAAAGGGGTATAAATAAAAAGGGAATGTTAGGTGGGATTAAATATATTTTATGATGCATAAAAATAGAAGTGGGCCAAAGGAGGGGGTACAGTAATTTATATAATTATGTTTTTTCATGGGTTTATTTTTATTTCTGCGTGCGTTGATATATAATAAAATAACAAGCAAATGTTGGTGAAATGTAAACTAAACATAGGTTATTATAGGAGAAAAAAAAAAAAAAAATACTTACGAAAAATGAAGCACACAAAAAAAAAAAAAAAAATAAAATAAATAACACGAAAAGGGGAAAATGTAAAAACAATGAAATACACTTTTATCGGTGTATGTTGGAAAGATTAACTTAAGTATCTTAGACCGAAGATTAACTTAAAAGCTTGAAAAAATTGCAACTGCAAAGTGTTGGCGTTACTTGAGGTTTAATACGTATACATGAAAATAAAATGCAAATAAAAAAAAAAAAAAAGTGATAATAATAAAAAAATTACAAAAAATTAAAATTATAGTAATAAAATACAATAAATAAGAACAATAATAAAAATAAAATAACAAAATGCTTAAGAAAAAAAATACACTTTGCAGCATTTTTACTTAATATATTTTTTTTAAGCTTTTAAAAAAAATTTCCACAAATAAGGCTATATATGTAACTTTTTAAAGGTCTTTTTTTTTTTTTTTTCCTCCTTTACTTATTCGTCCATAACCGTAAAGAATGAAAAAGTTAATAAGAATCTAGATTCCCACGTCATTGGGTGATTTATTACAAACGGGGGATTCTATGAAATACAAAACAAATTGCAAGAGCGAAGCTACTCTTGTACATTTTCGCCTTTTTTTTTTTTTTTTTTTTTTTCTGTGTGCCTTTTCCTTCTTATATGTTAAAAATAGATAAATTTTTATTTAACAAGTTATTTATTTTAGAAAAGTTCTCAAGTGCTGAGTAGATTAAAATTAATGTGGTGTATATATAAGTACAAGTTTTGTGGTTGTAAATGTGGTTAAGGAATACACATAAAACGTGATGATATTGTACTGATTTCGCCTATGTGGTATAACTTTTTTCTTTTTCTTCTACCGAATTTCACATATTTATTTTTTTTTTTTTTTTTCATTTTCAAACGAAGGAGCGCATATATAGAGAGAGGTATAGATCAAGAGATCATTACAAATTATTTACAAAGCATGTTATCCGATATGGTTCATTCCACTATCAATAGCACATGTGGGGTAACCAGTCCAACTCTTAGTGGTTAGTGTCATTTTATTTTTCTCACCCCTCGTTTATAGTATAATAGGGGAGATAATACCTTGCAACTTATTTTATCTCTCATATCAAAAAAATGTTACAATTGCCACCCACCCACCCACACACACACAGCTTTCGTTCACCATATGTTTAAATCAGAAAGAAGACGCATCGAATGTATTTTTCTATGAATGCATAGAAATGTCGTATTCTGTTATTGAATCATAACATAATTTTAAAACACTTTTCTTTTTTTCTATACATTCTCGAAATAAACATCTTTTTTAAAAAATTAACTACATAAAAGGGATTTTTTTTTTTCATTTTCCCCCAAGATAATAACAAACAAAAAAAAATATATATATGTACATATAGATTATTTACAAAAAAATGTCCATATATTTTGAATGTTCGTATGTTTGAGGTGAACAATACACTTAATAAATTGGTATAGGTTAATAAAAACGTTAAATGATATTCACGTTTTATCCTTCTCACCCTTTGGATTAACTTTTGAAATGAAAAGATTGAATAAGGTGTAATCTATAAATCATTTATAATACTGACAAAAATGGAATATTATTAAGAGGAAAGTTGCATATAACAAGATTTGTCCAATTTTTTTTTTTTTCTCGCATATACACATAATGTAATATAAAAACACGTGGACATTGTGAGAGAGCACTAATTTCCCCAATCTTGAATGTCCACCAATAATGAAAGAATAAAATGAAGATAGAAAACAACAAAAAAAAAAAAAACAGTGAGTTTATGCACTAATGGATTAAATATTTCCCCCTTTATTTTAAAATTTAATTATAATTAACACTTTGTATGAGCACTTTTCAGTATACATCAAAATTGGTACATTTTTTTTTTTTTTTAAATAAAAAAAAAATAAGAAAAAAGAGTAACATAAATTTGCTTTCACAAAGTTTCCTAAAGTCATGAACATTAAAAACTTAGACGATGTAAAATACAGAATTCATAAAATTAAAGTTTTGAACGAAAATGATAGGAAGGCAAAAGCAATATTGAAGAGGGCAGCTGATCAAGTGCAGGTAAGTATTTAATTGATCAAGAAGGAAACAAATAATGAACACAATATATGTAAAAATGAAAAATTTAATTCTTAAGTGACTAGATATCTATGTACAAAATGGAGTATGTAATTTAGAATATACTAATAAAAAAATTGAAGCGTCCATATGTAAGGGATAATCAGCTAAAGAAAGAAACATGAATCACCAAATATGTTTCTTTCTTTAGCTGATTATCCCTTCATTATTGTGGTAAAAAAAGAAGCAATGCGCCTTGACTAATTTTTACATTTATTACTTGTTTTTAATATCTGCATCTCATTTTACAGCCTATAATGAGGAAGAGATGTTTTTCGGTTGAGTTGCTTTCCGAATTTTTACCCAGGAGCCCAAAATTGTTAGGCCTAAACATTGTAACAAAATCAGAAATTAAGGTATGAATTAACTGATTTGATTTGGACATATGAGAGGGCTTACATATTTTGCAGAAGAGTAGAAGAAGACATTATTAGAAGAAAGAAAACATGTACATGCATATGCATTCATGTGCACATGCGCGTTTGCACATACTTCTCACATATGTATATATATATAGATGGACGTTTTTCATATCCATGTCTTAATTGTGGATCCTACTTTTTTATAGATACGGCTGCGAGAAAAAAAAGGTGGGCAAATATTTCATTTTAACGAAATAATAGGAACGCTACTTCACGAATTAGCACACATAGTACATAGTCGACATGACAAGGCATTTTACGAGTTATTGGATAGGCTAATTTTAGAATATAATGAATTATATGTTTATAATAAAAAACAAGATGGACCAAGTAAAGGAAAAAGAATAGGTGGAAATGAATTCCACATTTGTACTGGTACCCCTAAATTTATGGCAGCACAAGCTGCTGAAATGAGATTACTAAACAATTTTATAAACAAAGATGGAGAAATATTAAATACATCCCTTGAAAGTTGTTTGACGACAGAACAGTGTGAAAATTTGTTTAAAAATAGAAAAGAACGTGATGATAAAATATGTTCCTTATCGGATGACATAATTTTGATTAATGGGACAGTCGAATCCTCTAACTGTGGGGAAAATGAAATTATAGAAAAACATCAGAGCACAAAAAATGATTTAAAATCTATAAATGCGTCGAAAAACACTAATAAAACCTTTTTCAATTCAAGTATAAATTATATAAAAGATGAAAATTTGACACATGCACATTCGCAAGATGGTAGTGGAAAATCTTTTAATGTATTAGGCAACAACCAGAAAATGAAACAAGATTCATCTGATAAGGGGTGTAAAGAAAATGCTAAAACTTTATTTAGCAATAATGGTAATACCAATAGAAATGCTTACTTATTATAGTGTCTTGAAGATTATTCCTAATGAGTATGTGTTTTATGGTCAAGGGAGAAAAAGTGTTTCATGCATGCTTCTTGGGGTTGATAAAACGCATTCTCGTTTTGGGAATAGCAAAAATAGATATATGTATATAAGCATTGGTTCTTTGAATGAGTTGTTAATTTAAAAAAAAAAAAAAAAACTATGAATTGTGTAACACAACAAATATTACTCTCAGTCGAATAAGAGGAATGTTTAAAATGTTTCTTAGAATTAGTGGATCTTAATAAATGTATCCATTTGGAGAGAATCCTACATGTCTTAATGATCTGTTTATAGTTATTTTATTTTATATTTATATTTTATTTTATTTATTTTTTTTTTTTGCTCCACAGCAGGCAGCGACTGTGTGCATATATTAAACATAAAAAGAGGTTACAATAATCTGAAAAATTCAGAAAATAAAAATACTTTGACAATTTCAGATAACACATCTGTTAAGAAGGATAAAAAGAGAAAAGTTATTATTCTGGATTAGGTAGATAGAAATGGGCGATAGATTAATTTTTTCTCAGCAAAAAATTACACTTCACATTGTATATTATTATGAATATTCACTGAAGATAGGTTCACTTTTTTGTGTTTTTTAAATTCGTGAAGGAAATATTATAACTTTAGATAAGATGTATTAAGGATTAGCACGATCACACATGTATGTACATACATGCATCAGCCTTCATATTCAGTTTATTTTTTTTATATTTTTTATTCTTTAGAAAAAACTTGCAAATTTTGTCACCTTATTTTGAATTAATTTTATACCACTTTATATGACAATTATCTTTTTGTTAAAACTGCAATTGTTTTAGTTAACATATTTGTTCATGTTAAAAAAAAAAAAAAAGAAAAATTTAAAAAAAAGGATATATTTACATATAAATTATGGAGAAATGAGTCTAACATAATTTTGCATAATAGGCAAAAATATATTGTGGAATATTTTTATTAAAATGTACAAAAAAAAGGGAAAATTTCTCTGTCCTCATAATTTAATTTTTAAGTCAACTATTCTTAATAAATTATATAGATAGGACAAAAGTGGTGATATTTATTTTTCTGTGCATTATTGGATACTGTTCTGGCCTTATATCATTTTTATACCTTCATCATTTTATGGAATTATTTTCGCTGTTTTGATCATTTGCATCAGCATTGTGAGCTTTCTCACAATTGATTGTTTCGATATTTTTATTATTAACATCATTGACTGTTTTTTCAGAATCTTCTTTTGTAGCATCTGCACTTCCCTCAATTGGTGTATCTATTTTGCATTTTTCATCTACAACATTTGGTTTCTCAGGTTGATTCGGGGGTGGATTCAAACCTGGTGGAGGAATTGCTGGTGGATGTACACCTGGTGGTGCTGAAGATGGAATTGTGGGTGGCGTTCCAGGTGGTGCTATGGGAGGAATTGGTGGTTGACAAAGACCAGGTGATGGCATATATATCGAATGAGGTGATGTCTGGAACATATTTGGTGGTAAATTTTGTTGAAATGGTGATCCTGGGAAATTCATATTTGGAGGATATTTTTGTGAAGGGCTCATAGGTATTGGTGGTATATTCGATTGAAATCCTATAGAAAAAGATAATGTAGAGTTATTTGGAAATATTTTAAATGGTAAATGNNTTGGAGGGGCAGTGTTCGGTATGGCAGAAATTTGTTCATTAATTAACGGATACATATGAGTACCTAATGGAGGTGATTGCATCATATTTAGGTTACTATTTGGTAAATATAAAGGCATGGGTGGGATATAATTTTTTTTAGAATCCATTGGATTATTTGATAATAAATTGTTTGCTGGTTGAAGTGGTGAATTAAAACCTGGAAATGAAAAATTTCCCATTTGAGCTTGTTGAAGAAATTGTTCCATAGTAGGAGCCATAGTTACTTGTGCCCAGTTTACTCTTTGCTGTCTTTTAACATTTTTATCACCTAATTTTTGTTTTAATTTATTTAAATTTTCTTCAATTATTTCAGATGGAACTCCATCCATTCCTCTTATAATAAGATCTGGATCATTTCTTTTAGGTAGGGCATTGGGTACAGTTTTTAAATTACTTTTATGAACCTGCATCATATGGATAATTAATCCGCTAGCTACATCTAATTTTCTATTACATTCTAAACATTTAAAGTGTTTCGCTTTTTGATGCTGGATAAGGACTTTTTCGTCATCAAATTCTCTATCACAGTAGTAGCAAAAGGGCTTCAGTTCTATATTTACTTTTCGTTTTTTCCTCCCCATGTTTTATTTGTGATTGTGTTTTTGTTTGTTTTTGTTTGTTTTTGTTTGTTTTTATTTGTGTTTGTATTTTATTTTGTTTTTTTTTTTTTCCCTATTTCGCGTTCCAATCAACTTCCGGTTTTTAAGAATTCTTTCTCAGTGTGAGTTCACGTGTTTGGTGAATCAAGCATGCATACAAACACGGGTTCATGTATCTGCATATATATGCTGAGATAGAAGCAGGTTGGCAAGTTTAACAGTATATGTTAATATGATAAAATTGAAAGAATGGGGAAGTACACATGTAAAAAATATATATCTATGAAATGTATGCATATATATTGGTACAACGTTTCATGGTCAGGTGAGTAGGTAAATGTGGGGTGGTTGGGTTGAGTAAACACTATTACAGGGGGGGGGGAGGGGAGATAAGTTATTATGTACATAATTCTACTTTTTACCACATTACGTGGGATTTAAATTTCTTAACATGAGCATTCATCGTGTTCTGAAAAGTGTGAAGTATATATATATATATTTAAACTATCATATTATGCGTGTTCACTCCACGGTGAAATGGAAAACGTATTTAAATTGTTCCCTTTTGAATGATGTAGTTCTATATTTTCATTCAGAATTTCGCACATATAGGTATGTACATAAATGCATAAAAGAAAAAAAAAAAAAAATCGCTTAAGAAATCCGTAATGCTCCAAATTAATTTGTATTTTTTAAAAATTAATTTCAACTGAAAAAAGAGAAAAAAAAAAAAAAAGGAATTCACTGAGCACCTTTAACATGTTGCCTTTGAAGAGATTCTCCCCAATAAAAAAAAAATTCAAATCTTATTTTGTAATGCATTGTGTGTTTTATAGTAGTTATACCTAACCCAGTGGGATAAGAAAGTACAACACTTGTGGGAAATATTTTACTTATTTTTTTAAAAACAAAAGATGTTTTGCTCTTATGAGGGCTCTCTTAGCATTTTTCTTTTTGAACAGTCAAGGACATGTGCACATATATCTGTATACACAATTTAGAGCTCATATAACACGGATAAATTTACATGTACTACACTAAATAATGTAGCATACGGATGTGTTGAATTTTTGTAATTTTTTTATTTTTTTTTGTTTTCCATATATCATGATTTTATCCGACACAAAGTGTATTTTTAATTCAAGATATTCTACATATGCATAATTTACAAAATTCCTTTTGCATTTAGAAACTTTTTTATTGAAGGTTGTGTTAAAAGGAAGAAATATAATTGAGGAAGTTATTTCTTAGCCTTCTTCAGTGAAGTACCATTATAGGATTACAACACATTTCCATGCATATTTGTACTCATTGTTCACTAGTAAAAAAAGGTGTGAACTCAGGATACACGTATATATCATCTCTATTTACAGGTATTAGTATCTTGTTTGACATTTCTTCCCGTGTGAATAAGTCTGAAACGTGTATTTTTTTTTTTTTTTTAGTAACACATTTGTTAATATTATACCCCTTTTTAGTTTTTCAAATGCGAATTTTGTTATCCGTTTTTGACATTTATTCATATATTTTTAGACACGTACATTTTAGCGACATTCAAAGCGAGCATGATAAAATAAAAAAAAAGAGTAAATAATTAGCACAAATCTTATAACTCATGGAACTATATGTTCTTTTAAAAAAAAAAAATCATATACAGATGCACTATATTTGTTGTGGCATGACTTTTAATGTTTCAAAAAAGGGAGAAATAACCAATGCAGTAGATAAAAGGATGGTGTTTAAATAATGATTAATATTTTTTCTCAAATTTCATGAACATTCATCTCTATGAAAGCATATTTTTGCGCATATAAATGAACACCATTATACTAGGAACGAGCGAAATTTCGATCGATAGGTTATTACTGTTTAAATTATATCTGAGATGCACTTTCCTAATAATTTTTTAAGAGAGCGAAGTCTTTATATAAGCTTGCAGGATCACTCTTTGACTTTGAAAATAACAAATTTAAAAGGTGGGTATATTGGACAATCAGCAGGAAGAAATAACAAATATGTATAAACATACAAATATATACGTACTCTTGGAACTTACGGGGATATACCTACACATATCTACAGAACCATTGTGCTAGCAGTAATTACACACATATTTCTGCTTGCTCTTTTCTGATTGGCCCATTGTGAATGCAATTTTTTCGGTTAAGAAGGGGAATAAATATGCCTATAAAGATTTCGCCCCATTGGCTAAGTCTACGGAGGCGTTTTGGATCAGTGAGAAGTCTAATGAGCAGTAGATTCAATATTTACACAAACAATTATGATGTGTCTTCAAGTGAATTTTTTAGTGAAGTTTATTTAATGAGCAAAAAACTGGTATACTATGTAAATGATTATTTCAGACTAAACGATTGGGAAAGCAGTAGGGAGAAAAAAATAGGATGCCTTTTTCCACCATGTTACTCTCAACTTGTTTTTAAATTTTGTGTTTTAATGAACAATTATGATTACATTTCAATCCCTACACCTATAAAAAAGTCAAAGCAAATAAAACAGAAATATTCCTTTTACATATCAGAAAATAACATTGATTTAATTTTATGCCATCCTTTTTATAAGCATTACATTGAAGAAATATCATTCAATTTACAAATTCCATTTTTAATATGTTATGACAAACCGGATATTTTATCTCATGAAGAGTATTTAGACGATTTAAAAGAAGGAAGGGAAACTTTTGGTCATAAATTTTTATACCACCCGAAGAAATATGAACACTTCATGAGTGATAAAATGGGTGCTTTAAAAGAAATGAAAGAGAAGCATTTCAACAATATTACTGCGGGAAGAGGCATAAACGATTTTTTTGCAAAGGTAAATAATACAAATGAACATTCAAATAAGATGATGATATCAGCCACAAATGATATATCTCCTGCTTTCCATTTGCAGTTATCGAAAGAAAACGAATGTGACAAAAGTATAAAATTTCTATTAACAGACATTTTTAATCAGTCCCAAAAGTTTGCAGATTTCATGAGATTCAGTGAAAAAAATAACACTGTTTTGATGTGTATTCCAGCAAATAATATCCAATATTTTGACGCATTATTTGGTTTGCTATACTCAGATGCAACTATTATATTCCCTGAAATGAGGAAGAAGAAGATATTAAATTATAATAATTATATGGAATGGTTTAAAACACATATGAGAAATAAAAATAATAATTTCCAAGTTCATAATTTGATCATTAAAAAGGATTTTACAGATATCGATTTTGATTTTATTGATGGTCCAGATTTGTTTGAAGAATTATTTCATTCGGAAAAACCTATAAATATGATAGTGTGTAACAATTATTTAATTCGTGATTTTCTTATATTTTTTAAAAATTCTGATATTAATACAGAAACAAAAAGGGAATTTATTCAAAACAAAGCTAGCAGTGTAGGAACTATCATACTAAATGGAAATGAAATAATGCCAGGAATTAATATCAAATATGTTGAACAAATAAAAGACATTTTTGTGAATGCAAAAATATATCAGCGGTATGTGGTGCAAGAAGTAGGGACCGTAAGCATAATGGAATTAGGAAAACTAGAAGAAGATAATATCCCATATGAAAGAAAATTAGCCGGTTATATATTGCCAAATATTAATATAGAAATCGATTCTAAAACTAATGTTCTTAAAATAAAATCAGAGAATTTATTTAGTGAATATTACAATAACGATATATTAACTACCAAATCTTTTGACAAGAGCGGCTTTTTTAAAACAAAATATATCGCCTCCTTAACAGAAAATTCCCTTTTAAAAATAGAGGGAATTCACAATGAAATTGAAAATATTCCCGATGAGTATTACTTATATTTTAAGCAGCGACGGGACAAGATGGAAAAGCACCCACCTGGTTATCTCAAACGAGTTCGATTACAGGGTCAGATATGGGGAAATTTTCACGCGAATAAGAGGAATTGGAAGCGAAAATTTTGAGGGATGCGTCGTGAAGAGATGACAGGGTTGAGGCCATGTTGTGACAAAATTGTGCTACAGAAGAGACCAAGTTGTGACAAAATTGTGGTACAAAAGAGACCAAGTTGTGACAAAATTGTGATACAGAAGAGACCAAGTTGTGACAAAATTGTGATACAGAAGAGACCAAGTTGTGACAAAATTGTGGTACAGAAGAGACCAAGTTGTGACAAAATTGTGGTACAGAAGAGACCAAGTTGTGACAAAATTGTGATACAGGAGTGACAAAATTGCTCCAATTTTGTGTACATCAACCCACTGTTAGTACACTCCATTTGCACATGCAAATGTTCAGGGAACACATTGAATTTGAAATATGTCGAGTGCATACACAATAATTCAGTCGGGGCCCTCAAAAATTTATAATGACATATATAACCAGGGAATGATCCCCAAATGAGTATTTATCTGAAGGGGAGGGATTCAAAGGGGCCTTTCTCATAAAATGTTAACAGAGATATCGCATAAATATGAACAGCCAAATTTCCATTTGTACACGTATTCTGTTACTACTCTTTCTTTTTCTTCATCAGTTTTGCTGCATTCCTTTTAATCACTAAATCACATTGTAGTAGTGATTTTCTGGATTATCTCTTTAACTTGCTGTCGTAACGTCTGATGGCTGGTAAATACCTCGATGTCATATTTTGTATAACATATAATTTTGGAATTAATTGAGTTAATGGTAATGCACCATAAATAGTTATCAATCTCCAGGTCGGATTCTCTTCTTTCGCAATGCTGTATTATTAAATCATTTTTATTATATCCAAATTGTAATAGATTATTCATGAATTCTTCTTCTTGTATAGACCCAAACATGAGGTTTACGCCCTTTTCGCGTAAATACGCATTATCCATTTTTTTATTTTTCTGTTCACTGAAATTATCAATATCATTATATTTTTCCATCTGACTTTCATTTATAAAATCCCCGAAATGGCTACTATTATATGTACATTTCACATTTGCACAATAATAATTATCATCTATCTTTGTTAATATTTTTTCTAAATTATTTGTACCATCAACATTAAAAGAGACAGAGTGCATATCTTTATTCAAGTGTCGAAAATAGTTATAACCGATATTTTTTTTTTGTAGTGGATAAATATATATTATGTTATATTTTTTTTTATCTCCATGTGGTTTATTATTTATGTTGCTGCTGTATGCAGGATGGTCTTCATTTTTATTATAATTTTCTACATCCCTGTTTTTTTCGCTAATACTGTTGTCAACTTTTCCACTTACATCAACAATGTTTATTTGTGAGCTTAGATCAAATGCACTGAATACACTTTCTAACCGATGTGGTAGTAGATAAAAACATTTTTTATTATTGTTTGTATTTATTATATCCCAAATGGATGTTTCATTTAAGTCCCAAAAAAGTGGGCAATAAAATACATTTATTTTTTTATCATAAATATGAAAAGGAGATAAAACTGATATGGGGTTGTAATGTGGGTCAATTAGTAGAATAGAATTATTTTGATCCATTGCCCATTTTTCAAACAAAACGGGAGATTCGAAAAATCGTAAAGTTGAATCTTGAACAAAACATACACATGGAAATCTAAACGATTTCGATATATCATTTATATCATTTCCTATAATTAATCGATTGTTTTTTATCATAATTTCTATGGAAAATGGTCCTTGTGGATTCAATATTTTACTGCACTTTTTCTTTCTGGATTCTTCTACCCATTCAGCACTTAAATTAGCTTGGTGTATAACATTATTTATATTACCTATTATGGTAAAGATTAATACTTGTTCTTCTTGGGCTAAATGTTTGCTGATAATTACACCAATCAATTCGATTAATTCTAGAAAATACAAAAAATGCAAATCTACAGGTATCAGTACGCACCCTTTGCTTTTTATTGTCCTTAGAACAATGGAGCATATTTTATTTAAACTGTCCTTGTAATTCTTTTCAATGCACATGTTTATTTTTTTTTTGGTACGTTCCTCTGGAGATTTATCCTCCTTTGGTATTTCTTCCGTGTTTTTTCTATCGCCTTCATTGAGATTTATCTGAGGAATTACTAACCCATCTCCAGTGGAAAAGTTTAACAAGTTCTCGTCCAAACATGAGACACCCTTAGTACTAGACAAATTTTCATCCTCAGGTAATAAGTCATTTTTATATTCTCTTTCCTTAAGATATGCTTGATTAGTAGGCAGGTAAGATGTGAAAAGAACAAAGTCTGCCTTTTCCAAACAAGTTAAATCTAAAGGGGAGGGATGTCTTTTTATGTTATATGAACTTTTGTTGATTATAAATATGTTCATAAGATCTGTTGTAATGAGAAAATTACAACTACCTAAGGAGTACCCACTACTGTATGGAGTGATGTATATAAGTTCCTCATTTTGCTGGAAACATATTTTTTCTTTATATGACAATAAATGTAATGAATTTCGAAAACTTAATTTTAAATCAAAATATTCATCACTATTAAACACCTTTTTATTATATATTTTTTGGCATTTTTCTTCTTCATTCCACTGTGGTAAATAATTTTCTTTCGTCTGTAAATTTTCTACTGCACTTAGAGAAAAGGTATAAGTTAACTTTGTGCAAACTATTTGCGTTTCTGATATGTCAAAATATTTGGAAAATATTGGTAACCCCATAAAACATTCACTACAAGAAATTAAAATTATATGAATCTTTAATGGAACATTGCTTATATTTAATAGCAATATATTTGATAAGTCCTTCGTCTCTAAGTTGGTTATTCTTATATATTTTTCTTCTAATGATTTATCTTTTTCTGTGTTTCTACATCTAATTGAGCTTTTTTTAAAATTCAGTATTTCCTTAGGGTTCAGTGGCAATTCGCATAAAATGTTGAATGATCCGATTGTTATTAGATGGCTGCTCACATGTTCGCTATCGCATAATTTAGTTACTTCAAAGGAGTCGAGCATTTTCTAAGATTTTTTTACACGTAGAAAAAGGGAGTTTACACTTTTGTGAGGTTTTTTATAATTCTTGAAACATTTTATTTTTCAATTATCTGATGCGCTGATTTTTAAGATCAGCCGTCTATAGAAGTATGCGCGTGGATGTAGGTACATGACAATAGCTTATATTTAAGTGCATATATCTACTAGTAGAGGTGGTCATCTTTTTTGGTAAAAATGCTTTTATATTTTTCTTCTACTTATATATTTTTTTTATGCTCAGTTGACGCCTTTTTTTGTGCATTTTACTTTTATCCAAATATATATATATATATATATATTTTTATGGACCTTTTTTCCTTATGTTTTGATATTCATTCGGGAGTCATTTGTGCACAAAATAGTAAATAAATTTTAATACACTAGCTTATTTATTAAATCAGAGAAAATTGTTCATTTTTTTTTTTAATTGCGTGTTATGTCGAATATTGTGCATGGGGGGAATGCACGGCAAAAAAACAAAAAACAAGAGGATATATTTTTTAGCTTCTTACAAACTTATACAACAATTGTTGCTAATTTATTTTTTAAAAATGTTTGTGTGGATGACAAGAGTACTGATTAATCCACCGTTGTGCAACAATTATAAAAAAATAAAATCGATATGGACGTACCAATCGAGTCTCCTTCCTTTTTGTGAATTGAAAAGAGGTTGTGATGTAGTTTAAATGAAACATTGTTCTATGCTAAAGTTTGTTGTAAATGAGAATTCATATTTTGTTGTGGGTATTTATATTGTGCAGGTTAACATTTAAATAACTTCACATATATGCACGCTTTACCACTCCTATATGCACAGCAATGTTTTTATTTTATAAACATTAAAATAAGGAAAATAAAATTAAATATGCATAAATAAGATAATACATTAATAATGCTTAAGCGGTGAAATAAGCCGTGCATGTCAAAATGGGAAAAACGATTGAATTAACAAAAAATGAAAAAATATGATGAGATACATGTAAAGAAGATATATGTTAATGCTTTAATGCAAGGGGACATATACTTCCTAATAAAGAAAATATAACATAACATTAAAATTATCAACTTCACGTAGAAACAGCAGATATGTGCTACGGCTGACAAACAATTATTAGCTCCGCCTTATTATGAGCTATAAGATTTATTAAATCCACCTCTGTAATGTCTTTTATTTTTGATCCAAAATTTATTTGTATTTTGTTCTTGTATGTGATGTGTATTTAAGCTAGCCTTTTTTCAGTACACTTTGNTTTTTTTTTTTGATCTTTTATTTTGCATTTTTTTTTCTTCAAAAATTTGTATATTGCTATTATTAAAATTGTAATAAGGAAAATTATGAAAACAGTTTGTAGTATCGTTTTATAATTTTTTTTCAACAAAATTTTATACCTTTCTTTTTCATTATATTTGTGGACACTTATGCCGTTTTTTCTTTCGGCACTCAAATAACAAATTGAGGGATCTTGAAATAAAAATATAAATATGGGATCCCTAATAATAATATTTTTTATCAAGTAATGCATTGCATTACAAATTCTATGCTTATATTCATATGATGTGGATATATTATTATTTAATACTTTTTCAATATAGTTTAGTGTATTATCTGGGGAAGTATCATCCCCTTGTGCAAATTCGTCTGGGTTGTGAAAAAAATTAACTTTCTCTTTTTTCATATGAGCAATAAGCTCTTTAAAAAACTGCATTAAAGGATCTATATAACAAGAATTATTTTTATAATCATCATAGTATTTTTTATGTCTTCTCCCCTTGTTACACTTTTTCATGTATAAAGTTCGATGACCAATGGGATAGTTATAGCAATTAGTGTTCGTCTTAGATGATTTAGCGAAGGCTACATATTTTTCTTGCTTCACAACACCATTGTCTAGTTCTTTTTTCTCCTCTCTGTTAAGGACAAATTCGTTGGTACCATAACTATCATATACTTTATTTTCCAAAATACTATATCTTTTCTTGTGACAGGTTGTATATTTTTTAATTTCATAATAACCGAGGGGCATATACACATATTTTTGTCCATTTTCAATGGCTAATAATTCAAAAAGGGGTTCCCACAAAATAAATTTAATTTTTTCATTTTCAAAAGAATCAACAATTTCAGTTATTTCATCATTTTGGGTAATGATAAAATGAGAGAAATAAAAAAAGTAATCACTAGAATAGTATAATTTAATAACATTTTTACAATTATGTAAAACTAAGTTTTCTTTGATTAATATATATGTCTTTTCAGCAGCCTCATATTTTTTGAAAGAACAAAAGTCTTCACATCAAATTTTTAAAAAGTCGCCGTTTCTTATTTTATTTAGTTCAATTCTTATAGTGTCTTCAATATAAAGAGAACTAAAAAGTGGAATATATAAAAAAAGCACATTAACTAGGGCGCATAAGACATTTAATGGGTTATTCATTTTTTTTTTTTTTTTTTTCGATGACTTTTATGAAAGTATATGCTTGAGGAATTCGTGTAGACTAGTATTTTTATATACATATATATACATCTATATACATATTACTATACAGTGATGTGACAAAATAATAACGCGCATAAACGCCTTTTGTCCAGTTGTATGAATATATTCTTTATCAAAAATAATACCATTTTGACCGTTCTCCCGTTTGGCTTTCTTTTGATTGAGACTTACTGGAAGAAGCCGATTTTACACGTACGGGGGGAGGCGAGAAAAGCTCAAAAATATTAATTCGAAAAAGTCCATTTCTTTTTTGCGCGTTTATTCGCATGCTATAGAATATGGCAATTGTAAATACACCATACGCGCTTAAACACATGCCATAGGTAATGCTAAAATGTGTGCACCCTTAAATAAATAAATATATATATATATATGTATATTTATACATTTGTATAAATATACATACGAATGCGTTAAACGATGCCCACGGGGTGAACACATGAGCCCTTTAGTTTCGAACGAACAAAGGATGAAGGGAAATAAGACATTTTTAAATTTCCTAATGTTGAACAAAAAATGGGTAAAAAAGTAAGCAAAATAAATGAAGAACACAAACACTTTGATTTTCCAAAATGAAAAAAAAATTAAAAAAATTAAAAAAATGAGGTGACGCACATTTTAAAAAGTAAACATGTACGTAGAAAAAGGGTTAATAAAATATGAATTCTTAATTAAAAAATATTTCAAAAATTTTAATTTAAATGTGAAGAGAAGGCAAATTGGAGAAGAATAAAAATGGAGAAGCAAAAAAAAAGGGAAATGGAAAAAAAAAAAATATATATACATATATATATATATATATATCATCATTTGTGTGAATACAAATCGAAGTATTCCTTTTCTATATCATGAAGAATAGGAGAACAAATTATTAATGAGTGCAAAGGATCATTATAATGTACAGATTTTAGTACCAACAGTTTACCAGATATAATCTGTTGGTTGTTTGACCCTATACGAACAATGGCAATGCCTTGTGTATTATCTGTAATTACATTTTGTTTGTGAACACTTTCACAATAAATAAGTTGTTCAATAGCTTCGTTAACAGTCATAAATCTAGATGGTTCATAAATATTTTTATTTTTCATTATATTTTCTATCGTTCTTTCTTTTATTTTAATATCTAATAAGCATAATGTATGGAAATTATTATCTAAATTTACTTTGATTTTGTCATAAAAACTTGTTGGTCTATAATTCTCTTCAAAATATGGAATGGATACGGTTTGTCCAAAATTGTAAAGCTGCATCCCACTTTCCCCTATGGCTGACATAATTGATGCATTATGAATTATTTGAACTTGAATATTTTTTCTTTTTGCTCTCAAGATAATATCATGATGTGTAGTTGCACATAATGGGTCCCCTACAACTAAGAAAGATACTTTTTTATTTATTGCTTCTTCTAATATCTGTTCACAATTTTCTTCTGCAAAATTCCTATCCACTTCTTTAATATGTTTTTTGTAAAATTCTTCTAAAATATCCTTTGATACAAATAAAACGGATGTATATGATTCTAAATACACTACATCTGACTTTTCAATTATCTCTTTTCCTTTTACACTGATATCCTTTTCATCCCCCAGACCTAAGCCGATAATATATAGTACCATCTTCTTACACGCATTTAACTACCCGTTACAGGGTTAGGTAAGGGAAATATGCACATGTGTACACTTATACACGTATATTAGTTAACATATATGTTCGTGTATATATATATCTAAGAATAAATATCCTATCATGTATATACAAAATCACATGCACTTTACATGTTCATCATACAATTAAAAGAATGGCGAAGAGATTGTTTTATTTGATCCGAGAGTAACTGTAAAATCGCTTGATTAAAAGCGGCGTAAAGAAGGAGTAGCGGTGGGGGAATCATTCAAAAATTTACACACGTATTTATTTCTTCTTCGCCTTTCTAAGTTTAGCTATTCTGCTGCATCTCATTTGAATAATTTTTCATCATTTAGCTCAAAAATGGGACGAGTATATTTTTTCCAAGTTTTGCTATTAAGTAGATTTGTCAATATATCCATTTATCAGCATATATATTTGCCAAGGATTTGCGAATTCACTATTTTTCTGTGTGATTTGACAGATCTAAAAATACCTCACTTCATAAATGTGCTAGTTTTCTTTCTTATTTATGTACATACATAATAATACACATTTCTTTTTGTAGTAAAAATATATTACAAAAATGGTAAAGTACGGATTTCAGCGAAGATTTACACAGAATTTTATCCTTTGTGTGTTGTTTGTAACTATCTCTTTATTTTGGATTGTTAAGTAGAATATGAAAAATGAAAAGAATATTCTCTTTAATTTCTTCCATCGCAATTCTCTTTTTTGCCTATTCCCATTGTAGTCTCTTTATTTTTATCATTCTTTTTTTTTTTTTTTTTGGAACAGGTAAAAATAAGGTTATAAAATTTTAATTTTTTTCTCCTCAAGAGCGGAGCACCCCCACTCACGATGTTAATACCGTTTTTATGTAATAGCAAAAGAAAAAAAAAAATAAAAGTAAAAATAAAAAAAAATAGTCAAACATTTTTACGTAAAAATCTGGGTTCTGTTGTTATACTATTACCAGTTTTAATATATATATGTACATATTTCTTATGCATTTTATAAATTTTATATGTGATATATTTTTGTACCTCATTAAAATCTGTTTATGTATGTGTATGTGGTAATACATATATACATATGCACGTGCATAGTCATACGTACAATTTATCTACAAAGTTGTAAAAATAAAACTTTCAATTAAAGGCTTTTTCGTAGTTTTAATAGTTGCCCAGTTCTTTCCAATAATGAGTGACAGCTTAGAAAAGTTTTCAACAGTTGATCTGTTGAATGAATTGAAAAGAAGGTATTCATGTTTAAGTAAACCTGATGGTAGGTACATATTTTTGGGAGCTCCTGGTTCAGGAAAGGTATAAAATGAGAGTTCATATTCATTGAAAGAGAGAAAAAAATAAAAAATGCAGGCAGTAAAATATAACCAATTATTTTGTTGTCGGAGTGACAATATGTTAATTGTTCGAGCATGCGGTTAAGAGATATACAGCTCGATGTATTGAAAGTTGTATATAAAAGTACGCGCTTGTCGATACATATGTGTGTTTTACTTGAGAATCACACAGCTGCACACACATGGATAATATTTTTTATAAATTTTTCAAGGGAACCCAATCACTAAATCTGAAGAAGTCACACTGCTACTGCCATTTGTCTACAGGAGATTTACTAAGAGAAGCAGCAGAGAAGAAGAATGACTTAGGAAACAAAATTCGAAACATAATCAATGAAGGAAAATTGGTAGATGATGACGTAGTGTTAACACTAGTAGATGATAAATTAAAATCACCACAATGTAAAAAGGGATTTATTCTGGACGGTTATCCAAGAAATGTAAAACAAGCAGAAGATTTAAACAAATTGTTACAAACAAATCAAATGAAATTGAATGGAGTTTTTTATTTTAACGTTCCAGATGACGTGCTAGTCAAAAGAATAAGTGGCAGATTAATTCACAAACCTTCAGGAAGGATTTATCACAAAACATTTAACCCTCCTAAAACGCCTTTTAAGGACGATATAACTAATGAACCCTTAATACAGAGAGAAGACGATAATGAAGAAGTTTTGAAAAAGAGGCTTAATGTTTTTAAAAGTGAAACGACACCCTTAATAAATTATTATAAAAACAAAAATTTATTAATTAATTTAGACGCTACACAACCGGCAAATGATCTCGAAAAAAAGATATCGCAGCATATAGGTAGTTAAGAGCACCGCTTATTCTTGGGTTTAGTTCCTTGACTTTCGTTTAATTAACGTGTGTTACTTTATGAGTGTACATATAGGCCCGTTCACATGTGCATGTAGAGCGATATATGTATAAATTTGTTAGCATTATTTTTGAAATTCCAATTTGTTGCTAACCTCCCCATATCCCAAAGCTATTCTCTACATCATGAAAGAAGAACTTTTTGGGAGTTAATGGGAGTTTCTATTTGAGAAAAGTTTTTCGATTCTCTTTGAAAAAAAAAAAATGTTTCTCCCCATGCTGGGCTTTTTACTGTGACAACTTGAATTTTTTTAGCATCATCATTCTGTGACTTTGTCTTCATCTTTACCTTACCGTCATCCTCTTTTTTTTTTTTTTTTTTTTTTTTGCGTTTTTTATGCACCTTTTATTACATTTATGGATTTATGAAACATTTACACAAATGTGTCTATTTTATCTTTTACACGAATTTAACAATATTAATTTTTTGAACATAAAAGTATAAGGTAAATGTGTGATACATTAATTTAAAAAATATGAAAAAATAATAAAATAAAAAAAGTGGAAAAAAAGTTGGAAGTAATCGATTGTGTTATTTTCCACTGGGAGAAAAATTGTTATGGGCAGATTTGAATGAGCTGTTCTTACCAAGATAAATATATTTTTTTTATGATCAAAACCAAACGCGCAATTAGGCAGTCTTCCTTGTGATTGACACAACGTGAAATGGGAAATTATCCAAAGATAGTAATTAGTAGGAAAAATGCATATATTTATATTTGTACATGAATTGTTAAGCGTGATTTTTCTTACCTATTTTTGGTAACTGATTTATTATAATGGGAGTAATAATAGGGGACTTTTGCTAAGTTGTCTAAGCTTGAGCCACAAAGAATAATTTTTGGGTGCTTTAAAAAAATTTTACATTGAGTTGTTCATGTACATTTTAATTATATAAGATCATTTTTTTTTTTTTTTTTAAATAAAATAAAAATAATAACAAACCTAGTAATGTTATGCACATGCACACTCCTTGTATGAAAAAGGCGCTTTAAGAGGTGAATAAAATGAATTCATGTTTTTGTGTTCATTGCTTTTTCTTGTTTACTAGGAATAATTTTAAAGATAATTCTCATATTTATTTACAACTTTAACACTTTAACGCACTCGTTTTCCTGTTCTATGCGTAATATCTTTTTAACTGTATCATTTATTTTACCTATGAATATATTAAGAAAGAAAATTTACAAGCTTTTTTCTTATAAAACATGTATTATTTTGTGACAAATACATTAAGAAGCACAAGGCTATAATTAATTAATCAGCTATTTTGTTAATGAGATGTTTTTTTTTCTTGCACACGGCCGATTTCGTTGTTGTGGCGAATTTGCTGCTGTAAACTGTTACGAGTTTTTTGTATCTTTTTTCAGATCAAAGCGATTGTATAATGAAAAGAATGAGAATCATCCTTAATTTGCTATAAGCTTTCATATTTAAAAAAGGGTGAAAAAAAATGTACGAAAAGATGTGCGAAATAAGGATATATTTACATGCGTCAGAATTAAGTAACACGTAATAAGTATATTTCATATTTAATTTTAACTTTTTTACAAAAATAGTAACCCCTTAAAAAAAAATTTTCTAACCATTTCTGCATGAAATATGCATGAATACGGGGTTACCAAACCTTTTGGCAAAATTGAATTTAAATATACCTATAATGTAGTTTTTTTTTTTTTTTTTTTTTTTTTTCTCAAATGTACGCACAGTTTTCATCTGCTTAAAAATTAATGTTATACCTAAATGCATGCAAACAACGGTTATAATGCCTCTTTTCTGATGTAATCTTCCGAACGACGGATTCGTCGTATGTCAATTTACACATTTAGGTTGGCATTAACTTGTTGAGTAAAACCAATCTAATCCACACCTTCGTCCCTTTTCTCCAACATTGAACTTTTTGAGCACATTTACTGCTTTGAAAAAATATATTACAGTGGTAGCGTTAAATGTTTTTTATTTGTTATGTTACCCGTTTAACATATGACAATAACAGAAATGCAACATTAAAAAATAATCTCCTGTCCTTTGTTGATTACTTAAGAAATCACTAAATAAATTGTACGGAAAGAAGAAAACTATGTGTTAGGATTATATTTTGAAATGAAAATGACTACATAAACATTAAATGAACACATATTTGTGTCACTACTTCAATGAATGGTGCATGCATCAGTGGTGGCACGATTTATGAATATATCCTTGTGTGAATGTGAAAAAAAAAAAAAATTCTCAAAAAAAATAAAATATATAAAATATAAATTTTAAAATTATAATTGATTGTATTAATAGTAATTCATAAATTTCAATTTTTGCACATGATAATTGTACACAACAGGTACTATCTATAAAATGGTATATGTCGATCATTTTTTACAGCAACCTTTATGCCTGATTTTGCGCTTAATTTTTATTGAATGGAGGAGGATTTAGTTTCCCCTCCTTTTTTGCCATGAAATTTGTTAGCTATAAATAATTTTTAGCATATTTTAAATCACTTTAAAGTATGTAATAAAAATGTAACTTTTCATAAATACTAACACGAAGGAAGTTATTTAATTTGGCTCATTAATAGTCTATGCAAGGATGTATAAATAATTATAATATCTATATAATACTATTAATTAACAAAATAATGGGTTTCATTTTGTACGCAAAATATACATAATGGCTCCGCCGTATACATAAATATTTCACAAGTTAACATTATAGCAAAATAAAATGAACTCATTTTTTGTAAAGTGGTCTCCAAGCATAACCCCTGCAAAAATGATAGCAGATGAAATCTTATATCGAATAATTCATTTAGTGTTTTTATAGAACTATGGGTTTTAAAAGAAAACATTTATATATGGATAGAATAATATAAAAACAGTATTTGTAAGCATGAAAATGTGCCTTCTTTAAAAATAGAAAAAGAAAAGCAATTTATATTTTGATAAATAAAGCGCAAATTCACATTTTTAAAGATAAGAGAAAATTGATCGTATATATAAAAAAATCTATACATATTTTTCGTAGGCATTATGGCGCCATTTAAACTTTTGTATAAAATTTATGTTAGCACATTCAATGCGAACATGGTAGCTAGTGCAGTAGAGTTACGTTAAAAAAAAAAAAAAAAAAAATGAAAAAAAAAATGCGGCGTTTTGGATTATATATACAAAATTATACTTTTTTTTTATTACAACATTTGGACTATATTTTATGGATGTTATCTAAGTACATATGAATAGAAAAAAAAAAAAAAACTTTTTAAGTAAACAAATATATTAAAATTTACTATTTTTTTTATCCATTTTCTTTTCATTTGATCGCTGAATTTATGGGTTTAACATTTTAGGATGTTTTGGGCTAACCGATTAACTATAATAAAAATGCTTTTAATTTTTTTTAAAAAGTTATATATGTTTTTGTCATTTTTATATAAAAATAAATTATTTTGCAGTGTACAATTGTAATGAATTTTATTTTATGTAGATATTTGTCCATGATTTTATTTATAGAAGATTATTTTTTTTCCCTTTTTTTTTTCTTTCTTTTTTCTTTTTTCTTTTAGCTATATTTTTAAGAGCTAAATGGTTGTAAATAAAAAAAATTTATACTTTGGTTTCATTCTAGAATATCTTCCCCTAACAACTTAGTGATTTGTTTTTTTTTTTTTTTTAGCACAATGTATTTTAAAGTACATTAAAAATTTTCTTTGAAACACATTCATATCCTACATAATGGGCATAATAGTAAAAGAACCATTTAAAATTTCTTGAAAGAAACTCAAAACAAAACATATACATGAATTATTATATAAACACACGAAGTGACGTTTACAATAATCTATATAACGATAAATTCCCATTCCTTCACTTCAGGTAAATGTGTATTATGAAAAATATAGATCCTATAAAAATGTAAATAGGTAAAATATTAACTACGTTGTGTATTCAGAGCTGATAACTAGAATAGAAAAAGGTTCCAAAAAGATGATTTTCCAAAAAATTCATTTGCTCAGAGTGGTAACCTTATTATTGTTTATTCTGTTAAATGTTTCATACATTGTAAGAAAAGAATATATTTTACATATTTGAAAGAATCCAGAAAAGTGGATTTTTTTTTTTTTTTTCTTTTATATCCTACTATATTATATAACTCACATTTTTGCATAATTTATGGCAACAACGCTTCCTTTCATTTTTTGCCTATCATTTTCCCATTTTTATAGAATGATTTTTATACGCCAAAAAAAAGTTACTCATTATTGACGACACACACACGATTTTATTGTACTTACACAAGACAACTATCTGAGCCATCATTCAGCATTACAAACCTAATTGCAAAATTTTATTTAAATAGAGATAAAGACGAATATTCATATATGAACAAAGCGGAAAATCGAAGAAATAATGAATATATTAAAAGACTTGAAAATCGAAGATTTAATAATTATGGTAAAAGAGGAGAAGGTCGAAGATATAATGATTATATGTTAAGAGATGAGGATGAAGATGAAGATGAGGATGGAGATGAGGATATAGATGAGGATGGAGATGAGGATGGGGATGAGGATGATGATGAAGATTTTAATGAATATATGGAAAGAAAAGGAGCTCAAAGATATAATGATTATATGAAAACAGATGTAAGTCGAAGATATAATAAATATATGAGAGGGGATTTAAATCGAAGAGATAATGAATATATGAAAGGAGATTTAAATGAAAGTGATAATGAATATTTAGAAGTAGATTTAGATAGACGACACAACAAATATATAGCAAGAAAAGTAAATCAAGAAGATAATGAATATATAAGAAGAAAAGTAGATCAAGGAGATAATGAATATATAAGAAGAAAAATAGATCAAGGAGATAATGAATATATAAGAAGAAAAGTAGATCAAGGAGATAATGAATATATAAGAAGAAAAGTAGATCAAGGAGATAATGAATATATAAGAAGAAAAGTAGATCAAGGAGATAATGAATATATAAGAAGAAAAGTAGATCAAGGAGATAATGAATATATAAGAAGAAAAGCAAACCAAGGAGATAATGAGTTTCTAACAAGAGTAGCAAATCGAGGAGATAATGAGTTTCTAACAAGAGTAGCAAATCGAGGAGATAATGAGTTTATAACAAGAGTGGCAAATCGAGGAGACAATGAATATATAACAAGAAAACTAAAGCAAGGAGATAATGAATTTATAATAAAAAAAGCATATCGAGGAGATAATGAATATTTAGGAGTAGATTCAAATCGGCGAAATAACGAATTTATAACAAGAATAGTAAATCGAGGAGATAATGAATATTTAGGAGTGGATTTAAATCGACGAAATAACGAATTTGTAAAAAGAAAAACAAAAGGAGAAGATAATGAATATTTAAGGAGAGAAGAAAATCGTAGGGATAATAAACTTGTAAAAATAGATGGGAGTAGAAGAGATAATGAACTTATAAAAATAGATGGAAGTAGAAGAGATAATGAACTTATAAAAATAGATGGAAGTAGAAGAGATAATGAACTTATAAAAATAGATGGAAGTATAAGAGATAGTAAACTTGTAAAAATAGATGGAAGTAGAAGAGATAATGAACTTGTAAAAATAGATGGAAGTAGAAGTGATAATGAACTTATAAAAAAAGGAGTAAGTCGAAGAGATAATGAACTTCTAAAAATATTAGAAGGTCGAAGAGATAATGAAAATGTAAAAAAAGGAGAAAATCGAAAAGATAATGAAAATGTAAAAAAAGGAGTGAATCGAGGAGACAATGAACTTGTAAAAATAGAAGGAAATCGAACAGATAATGAACATGTAAAAAAAGGAATAAGTCGAAGAGATAATGAACTTCTAAAAATATTAGAAGGTCGAAGAGATAATGAAAATGTAAAAAAAGGAGAAAGTCGAAAAGATAATGAAAATGTAAAAAAAGGAGGAAATCGAAAAGATAATGAACATAAAAGTAGATCATATAATCATTCGAGGGCATATACTATGCCATGCAGAATTAATGAGGAAGATGTTGATGTAGAATTAACGAAAAAGGAATTAACTAAACTAATTAATTCCTTTGGGCCAACTATATATGAGAAAGATATGTATATTACATTTTATCATTATCATACATATTTACAACGTCGATATGTTGAGCTTATTCCAAAATTATGGAAATATGCTGAAAAATTAGCATCCAAACGTCATATACCTGCTGAAGATTTTAATGAGTATTGGATGGCATGCAAAAAAGGCATAAGCAGAAATTTATTCACTTTGAATTTTTATTCGTATAAAAATTTTTTTGAGTTCGCTCGGGATATACCTGTAGAAGATACTGACAGATTTAAAGAATTTTTAAATGAATGTGTTGGTATATGGAAACGAAAAATGAAAAAAAATAATAAAAAGTGGACTAAAATATTGGCCGAAAATATAAAAAAATATAAAAAACGCCAGTTTTGGTGGCTCCAGAAGGGTATTAATTGAAAATGAAGTAGAGGAAATGTAAAAAATATGAAAATGCTTAGGAAATGAATAAAAAATAAGACCCCAGTATTGTACAACCAAAGAAGTTAAAATTAAGCTTAGAGGAACTTTTTCTTTAGAAAAAAAAAAAAAATACAAGTTATATATTTAGTTGTCAATAGGGATACACAACATATTTTTTATTAATAAGGAAGAATGTGGAAAAAGTGTAGATGTTGTAGAAAATATGAAAATAAAAGAAAAAAGAAAAAAAATGAGACTTATGCCCCCTTCCTTTCCCCTTTCCTTTGGTTTATTTTATTTTTATGAATAATGATGACATTAATAAAATTTTACCAAACATAATATTCAATACTTTTTGATTATAATGGCTCATTGATTGTAATCTTTTCTCTGTTGTAAAATGTTATGATAGAGGAAGATACCTTTTTACACATTGTCAATTTGGAAAGCTTATAAATGCATATACACACACATATATGTATATATGCTTATGACATTTTTTCCCATTTTTGTCCCCTCATTTTATTTTATTTTTTTTTTTTGTTTTAATTTTGCTTTATGTTATTCAATTTAAAAATACTTTTGTTAGGATGTTTTTTATGCCTTACATATTTGTACAGTTATTTGCAGAAAAAGCTTTTATATTTCATTTAATAATAGAGAAAAAAGCTTTCACAATTATTAGTCTTCTCTTATTATTCGTATATGAATAAATATTTGTGCCTTTTAATAAGCTAGCAAAAAAAAAAAAAAAAAAAAAAAATTTTCTTATTCATGCTTATGCAATTTGTGGATTAATTATTGATTTTAAATTTGAATTACAAAGAAAATGCTTTCTTTTTATTTTCCTTTTAAATAAATCCAAATGATTACTTTTTGTTGATATAAATGATATGTTTTCCGAGCAATGCGGCACTAATGATGATAGGCTAGAGATAAAAGAAAAGTATAATTTTTTTTTGAATGAATATTTTTCAAGAATTAAATCGCCAAGCATCAAGTACGGATTCAATAAATAACATTCTTTTTTTTTTTTTTTACGTGAAATTATATAAACAAATTAACACTTTTTTTCAACCGTTAATATCTGTATTAGTTGTAACATAAAATCATATATCCGAACAGTAAAAAATTAAAACGTTAAATACATTTATATGTATCTATTTCTACAGAATAGTTAAAAAATTATTACATTTCTTAATCACAAACAATATGCACACAAACAATTCTGTATTTTTAGTGCGCTGTTTGGAGATGAAGTGTTTTATAATAAGATCACCACAATAAAACCAATGTGTCGTTTCCACGAATTTTATAACATAAATTAATTCATTAATTTATGTTATTTCATCGTAGCTGTGTTTTCTCCTTGCCTTTTTATTATCATACTAGTTTAGGATTATTAGGTCGATAAGCGGTTTAACCAAAGGACTATTTGTTATATTCGACTTGTAACATTTTGTTCCCATCTTAAATTAAATGCATTTTTGAGAAAGAATAATAAATAAAGGTATAATTAAATGAAAAGTGGGATTAAAATTATTGGACCGTCATCAAAAAAAATGTTGTAAGATTGAATTTAAGAAGTATCCAGAATTATAACGACTCATTTGTGCATCTGACTCTTTTTTCACTTCAAATGAATGTTAGAAAATAACAATTTTATTTTATTTTTATTAGATTATAATTTTTTGCTGAATATCCATATTTTATTTGATAAAGTAATAGATTAAAATAGAATATAGATAAATCTCTTATTCTCCCATATATTGATTAACACTGTGCTACTTTTTTTTTTTTTTTTTTTTTTGGTTTTCTTTAATATTTTGTTCTATTACCTGGTTTTAAAACTTGTTAAGAAGAGTTTTATTGTTTTTGAACACCACGTTAAAATACTTTATTAAAGAAATTACTCCTAGTTAAGAGGGCAGAATTAAAAATATATAATTAAAAATATATATTTCACATTAAACAATTATATAATTATTACGCAAAATATTAAAAAAACAAAATTTAAAGTGTAATATGCTTAAAAGAATTTTCGTCTTGTTGATGCTCCTATTAAACTTCCTTTTATTAGTAAGAATAAATATTTACGTTTTTTGAGGAAATGTATTTTTTTTATATATATATTTTAGGCGTATTCATTTGAAACTTAAATAAGATATTATTCTTATAGTACCGACATAATAAGTACAATATATATTTTTCTAAACTTTTCTTAGGACACCATTTCAACATCAGAAACAGAACAATTGATTGAAATACTGTCAAGCAGTTGGTGACTAAGATGATTAACTGAAAATTAGATATACCTAAAAAATAGTGGTCAAGAAAGAAACATATTTAAGGAAAAAATCCGGAAATTACCAGTTGAAAAATATGTGATCCACTACTTTTAAAGGAACTAGAACGGAAATATGAATTTCATTTAGGCATTAAATTTTTATTAGATACAGAAATAAAAATAACCTAATTTTTCTTCTTTTTTTATAACAAAAAAAGGAATGGAATGTCTTATAAGGTGATACAATACTTGTACAAGGAGAGACTATAACAAAATATTAGATAGATTAAGGTGTTCATCTGAGTAAATATCTTTGAAGTGTAAAAATTCTGAGGAATTAAATAAAGGAATATTATAGAAAAAACATTTATAATTTTATAACATGTTATTTAAATTCTATCCTAAAGTTTAAAAGATTCATTTGTAAGTACTTGTAATTGCAGAATTAGTTTTTCAAAAATAATGAAGAAATGTAGGAAGAAAAATTGTAGAAAGTGATATTTTATAAAACAGAAACTGGAAAAAACAAACAAAAAAAAGAAATATAGTATTTTTCTACTTCATAATAGAAGGAATTGAGTCTAGACAAATATGAATTATAAGATAATGATTGTCATGACACGAAAAAACTGTATTACTTTTTTTAGAGAGTAAATTATATTATAAAAGGATTATGTGGAATGTTTGAAAATTTCATCTTTTTTATATCATAAGATACATAAATCAATAGTTTTTTTTTTTTTTTTTTATATTTCTCTTTCTTAAAATCATTATATACAGCCTTATATGTACCAAAACTTTTTCCAAGGTGTTTATTATAATGTTGTTCATAAGATGTAACAACATTAGCAAGATAATGTTTAATTTTTTTGTATTTCTTACAGCATTAATGTATCAACTTAATTTTTTTTAAATATATTATTATGATTTTTGTCTAAACCATATAATATATGATACACTTCTCTATCTGTATAGAATATTACAAAATAGACAAATAATCTATGGAAACGATAATTCATCCCTTAATTCATTGAGTAATATAGGAGATATACCATAATATAAACAAATTAACATGCTACTGACTAAGGATTCATCTCATTTATGCATTATATTGTTCATATAACAAAAATGGTTTACAATCTTTTAGTATATATCATTAAGGATAGGGAATTCTTCTAACATATTTTTAGTGAAAAATTGTTGAGGAAAACCAATGCAATTCTTCCAACTTTCATCAAAATAATAATAATGATAAATTTAATCTAATTCATATAAATCACATTACTGCTACATAAACATAAAAATTAATCATATATGCAAAAATATTTACAATGTATAATTACCTAATATTGCTTATACCCAAATCGATGTCATAATAAAAAAGCATAATGCACTTTTACCGAAATAAATATAGCACTAAATGATTTTATATTTATTTGTTAAAACAGTTTTTTTGAATACATTAAATCAAAAAAAAATAATTCAAGTATTTAACAATATAGTAAAAACGTTAATAATACTGATATAATTTGTATGTCTATAATTTAGAAGCATACAGTATGTCTTCAACAAAAAAATGCACTTCCACATAATCTATACTAATATATAAGAAGAAGTTGCACTAACGTGAATTTAATATATATCAAAAAATAATCATTGCATATAACATGAAATTAAAAAGTATTAGACGAATATTTTGTAAAGGGTGTAATTAAATATATAGCTCTGTCGTTATTCTTTTTTTTTTTTTTTTTTTTTTTTTTTTTGTATAAAAATTTTACTACTCTAGGAATATTTATGTATCATGTGACATGTATATATACAATAAATTGATAACATGTTATTATGTATATATAACGGACCATATATTTATTAATTATTAAGGTAAATTATTTCTTACGTTTTACATAATATATTCTTTAAAGCTTAATTCCTCAATTTTTTTGGAGTTAAATGAGTTAGCAAAATTTAGGTTATGATTATGCATAATGAAAAAAATTTAAAACATAATCACTCTCTATCAAATGTACATTTCTTTTTAATAAAGTGATGTAACGAGATTTTCGACAATAGTATATTGTGAAAAATTCTTCATTTAATAAGATAATATAATAACTTTGTATTATTTTTCTTTTTGAAATAACTCACAAAAGTATATATTCTACATTATTTACAATAATAATTAAAAATCTCAGAATATTATTTGTTTACCATTCATATTGACTTCTAGAGAAATACTTCCAACACTTAACATTTATAACGATTAAATTTTCATTATGATAAAAATGGATAAATACATCATTATCTGTGTTAGCAATTAATATAAATAATTTATATATTTATGAAAATACAATTTAGTAAAAACGTTTCTAAAATTTCGTATATATATTTTTCCACTTTTAATGAGGAGACTAATAGTTTTGCATATATATATATATTATTTGTGTAAATGCCATAATTTTTTTTTATTTTACTATTTTGTTAATCTGTACAAAAATGCATATTGTATGATTCTCCGTTAAAATATTAATATAAATTATGCTTTTGATTAGTAAAACATTTGAAAATTAACTGATATTATGCTTAAAGTAAAAGAATCCATTTATGCTTAAGATTTTAATATTATTTTATTAAGTATTGAAATAGGGATGTATATTTATATTGAACTCTATTACAAACAGATTTAAGTATAAGAGTTCTTTATTTATTT